TAGCCTACGGGGGCGATAGAAACTTTTCCAAATAGCGGTTAATTTTTCAGTTATTTATTCTAATTGCTTTATTACCAGGCACGTTCAAGCATTTAAATATCGAAGGAATTCGTGAATCTAGAATGAACTTTCTACTTAGAAACGTAAATATTTCTTCTTCATCAATCTCAATGGAGTAAGTGCTTAGCAAGAGAAAGCGAGAAAAAAGTAGAACATCATTCGAACTTTTTCTTACTTAAGAAGAAAAGCTCTCATCAATTGAAAGTTTGGCTCCTTCCCAATCAACTTTTATTAGTTTGTGGAAGTACCACTGCTTCAAATACAGATTAAATAATTATGTTCTGCGATGAAAATATCTGAGAGTGTATTTTGGAATTATCTATCGATCGAAACATTATTTTCCACTTAATTTTACTTTCTCCTCCGGGAAAAAACTAATAAAACTTTTATTCAGGGATTTATAGATAAATCTCCAATCGCAGTTTTATCAATAAACAGTTCGTTTGTATCCTGATCAATAATTTGAAAAGTTTTTCATACTTTTACTGTTTGCGATTGTAAATTCTCAAGAAGTAAGTTTTTTATGATTCAATGCAAAAATTTAAATAAAAGGAGTGGGGAGAAGAATAAACTTTTCCAACTAAAAGCATTGCGAAAAAAAAATTCCCCATCTATGTTATTGCGACCAGAAANAGTTTAGTCGTGGAAAAATTTATTCTTCTCGGAGTGGGTGGTCTTAAGCCTCATAATTCCATTAAATATTTATCATAAGAAATCGTTTGACATTTCATCAGATCAATCAGAAGGTTTCTCTACACATAATGATGAATTCTCCCCTAAAGCTGTCGTTCTTAAATTTATAGAAATAAATCAAAGCAGAAAAGCTGTCAAAAAAAATATCGATCTAATATCAAAGACGTGTATAAGTAAAAAAGGAAAGAAACGTCTTAAAAACTGACATATTTCTAGTCTAGAAGAAGGAAATGACGCGTTAAAAGATTCACAATCAAGCCATAAATTTTTTCCTCTGCCAATAAACTTTGAAGAGATTTTTATTTCGACTTACCCAAAATTGATCTGCAGTAAATCCTGGAATTCGTGTATGCGACGCACCAACGTCATGAAGATATTGAAAGAATACATCAAGTTCATCTAAGCTTCTAATGCCTTCATCAAGCGTCTCCATCACTTTGTTGGCATGTTCTGCCAATTCTTCAGATCTTGCTTGTTCCTCTCTTGTCTTCAACTCTCGAAATTTGTCAAATAAGTTTATAAGCTCGGCGTGTTCTTCAAAAAGTCTGTAATTGAAAGAAAGATAAACTTAATAAATTTGTTGAGGATTCATTTCGAGCGTAAGAAATCACTTTAATTTGCTACTCGACATGAATTTATGGATGAGACAATCTGGAATATCCCTCGGTCAACCAAAGCGAGCAACAATTTCCTCAATTTCTCATTGCTATCTCAAAATCTTGAGGCGTTCATTTCATTCGAAACACGAAGTATTGTCAAAGCAATTATCAGGATGAAGAGGAAGAAAGGAAAACTTCGCTTTTTCACCAAAAACGTTTTTTTTTTGGAATTTTTCAATTTTCTTCTTTGATCTTTTCAGGCAATTACTTTCTTAATTTCCTTGATCAAGGTAAGAATTTCCTTATCGTAAAAGTCAATACGTGATTTTGAAATAAATCTTTTTTAATTCGCAATTCGGATAAGATGAAGTTTAATTAGTTTATTGAACTTTATGATGAAATGTGTGACACAAAACAATGAGAACATTTTTCGATATTTCTCAAAAGTTTTCTCAAAACCATAAAATATTTTAAATCGGATTACTTAATTACTAAATGTATCGCTCTTACTTTAATCGAATTAGAGAGGGATGAAAGTTTATTCGTTAGATAAATGAAAGCTTTGTCAACCTTTCCGGTGACATAAAGAGACCAAATAACTCTACATAAATTGATTTGGTTTCTTGTTCCACTATAAACGACCGACAAAAGCAATGGTTCATAGTTGGATTTTTCGCTCAATGAATTCCTAAAAGGGACATTCATTCAATCGTGTCTGATCGGGTTTTTTTAAAAGTGGAACTTCCATTCTCATGATGATAAATAGAACACGAAAGAATTTTGTTTGATATTCAAGTAATGGATGAACAAATTCATCCCTTCAACGTGGGTGTATGTACAACTTACATAAGTTTGTTCGATTTTTCTTTTAAATTTATATTTATTTAATCATAATAAAATTGAAATGATACGTCATAGCATAAATGCCAAGACAATGACGCAAAACAAGGTCAATCTCAATATATCATGCAACAAACATTCCATTAAATAATAATAAAAATTTCATGATAACAACCACGTAATGTTGTACTTAAACAAAGGCGTGGAACAATTTGCAACTTGATATCAGCTCAATAAAAGGTTACAATGTTAATGAAGCTTATGCATCAATGCATGTTTGTTCTTAAATGCTAGAAAATTTATGTGATTAATTAAGTAAAATTTATCTACTTTCATCAATCACCTTCATTTCTTAAGTTACATGGATCCATTTATAACTTTGATGAAACACCTTGGGAAGTTAAACAAGTCTCAGTGGATTAAAGATTTTCGTGATTACGGAAAACTTTTCTCCTCAAAGATACTCAAGAATAATGAAACTTTATTGAGTTTTTATTCCTTTGCAGAATCTTGACTAAAGTTTCTAAAAATAAGATTAAGGATTTTACCTTTACAAATTTATAAACCCATAAGTTTCAAGGATCTTTAAAATGCTTATGCTCTCATGTTTGTAGAACTTCACATAAGTTTGATGCTCTGGAGGTTGGAAGATATCAATATTTTTCTAAGCTCTACAATGTAACTTTGGTAACTCCATAAAACTTCATATTCCCCACAAAACATCTCCCAAATGATTGCCTTCTTTTATTATTACGAATCGAAAATGAAATGGGAAAATAGATTTGATACATAAGAAACCGTTGGATTGCTATGTATGTAAATAAAATGTGACTGCTAGAAGCTTTTTCGAATAAGTTTTGTGATTTTGTTACTCATAAAAGTAAAACTACTTAGGTCTAAGAAAGAAAATCCTAGTCAAAAGTTTTTCATTTTGTTTTTTGAGGCTTATTGTCCCAAAGTTTCCCTTCGTTTCCAATTATTGAAAAGTTTATGTAGGTACTGCGTAGAAAATTTCTTTTAAGGATACAAATGATTTATGACCGCTTAGACTTGAAAATGAGTCTCTTTTGTACTTCGAAATTTGAAGCATGACAACAGCAACCGCGGAAAATTCTTTAGAAGCTCAATGTCTGCAGCTATCATCAATCAAATACAATGCCGAACGATAATAATTGAATAATAAATATCTATAAAATGTTTATGGATTTTTTTAGATGATTTCTCCACTCCAACTAATAAACTTTTGCCCACACGCACTCAAAGTACGGTATTATTCAACTCAATCATCAGAATAAAACGTAATCACAAATAATTTTCACCATTTTATCAAACAACTAGTTGTGGGAGGTAATAATGAGAATGTAAGCACCGCAAATGATTGATTATGATCGCAAATTTCTTCAATGATGCATTATTATCTTGTGCTCAAGGTTTTGAAAGACCGGAAAGCCACATGGACGATACTTTACTCAGAGGTTTATCAAAATAATTGGAAAATTGAAGTTTACTATTTTTGTGTTCTTCTTCTTTATGTTCATTTAATTGTCTAATTGTGAATAGAAAGAATTTTCCTTAAACGAGATATTTACAGTTTCAATCAACAACAAAAAATGTTAAACGAAGTTGAAGAAAAGTTTTAAATGATGCAAACAGAGAAAGTAGAAGAAAATAAATCTTCAACTGTCTGTCTCTAATCATTCGGAAGGGGAAAGGTAAAAAATTACCTCGGGATAAACTTTGTTATCTGTCCTACTTTTTCTGATGTAAAATATTATTTACATCACACGAGGGAGCTTTCAGGACATATTTTCATTTTCTACGTCTAATGCCTAACAAAGTCCTTTCATTTATGTAAGAAAATTTTGCGAGGGAATGAAGAAATCAATAAGAAGAGAGAATGAAGAAAATTATTTACTTGTGACCCAAAAAAGTTGTCGTTTTAAATCGCCTAAATGAGGTTTCGTCTACAGCAGAACTTTTTAGTATTTATATTTTATTTTGAATAAATAAATAAATATCAATTATTAAGCAACAAAGTAATAAAAAATAAAGAATGAAACTCAAGCACAAAATAACGAACAATTTTCATTCGCATTTTCTATTCCATCTGTTGACCTTCAAGTATAAATACTTCAACATTTCTCGTTTTATGTTGAAAATTTCATTTTTCTGAGAGCTTTCAAGTTCACAAAAATTCTAGCAAATCTGCTATGACTTTTCTTTTGAGATTTTCTTGGAAATTTCGAAATCTGAACGATAACTTCTAAGGATTTAGAGTCATAAAAGAAATACCTTGAAAAAATGTCAGTTGTACATGGTTTCCAAATCCATCCTAGACATAAAATTGACGTGACTGCTGTGTCGTTATTAATTTTATTATATTTTCATGTGAAATGCTAATAATACTTCAAACAATTCTTGTAAGGTTTTAACTAAATCTCTCTTTATTGTCAATGTGTACTTGTCGACTTTCACATACGAACTTTTAAAGAGCTATTACTACCTAAGTACCAATGGAGAAAAGCAATGGGAATGTGAAAATATTTTTCCAGGGATAAAATCAAATCTAGGTCAGCACTTGTTCTAGTTGCGGAGATACAAAAACAACATACATTTATGGAACATGCAAATTGCAAGTCTCCATTTCAATTTGATGCGCGTTTTAAAAACATTTTTCAATCTTTTCATATCTGCAACGACACTACTGATTTGAAGTTTATGGGAACTGTTGAAAACAAACATGACGTTTAAATGTCATTCAAAGAGAAACTCTCGGAAGCTTTGCAATATTTATGACTATCATTTTACTCATAAACATACATTGTTGATGTCAAATGTATTTGTTTGAAACATGATAAGATTGATCAAAAATAAATTACAACCCAAAAACATTTCAGATTAACCAATCAAGTTTCAAGATTCTCCATTAGTGTAATTCTAAATCTACTTATCAGAGTAAATAAGATTTCTCAGATTTTTTGATGCTGACAAGGACTCTTATCGTCTTTTCCTAACTTTATCTTGCTTACATCTTAAAAAATTTAATATTCTTGCTTCATGAACAAGGTAGAATCCTAAACTAACTTCAACAAGGACACACATATTTAACAAGATAAAATGAAGATACAAATTGAATTATAGAAGAAGATTGTCAAACACGACATCAGAAAATATTTTCCTAGCATCTATGCTTAAAGCAAGATATCAAGTAATTTTCATTTTTTCATTTGACATGACATGCAAGGAAATATTTCCCCTCTTTGTGTTACGTTGAATGTTCAAAAGGGACACGAAGTAAAAACAGATTTCAGTAAATATTAACAATTGTATGAGTCTGTACGAAAGGAAATATTTTGTGATCCCAATTTTGTTCACAATGTTGCTTATGTTCATGGTAAAAACGGTTATTATATGATTCTTCTCGAGAGATTCCTTAAAAGCTTGTTTTGATCACTTATGTTGTGTTTCGTCTGTGCAAATATTCTTCGAACCTTTCCCTAAATATAAACAATTCTTTTAAAAAATGGATATCAATTTCACATCATAGCAATAAAGGTTAATAGAGAAATCTTTTTAAATTTCAAGCTTTTTATTAAAAATGTTAATTTCTAAAATTATTGTTCGATATTTGATTGCCAAAGCTTTTGATTGAAGGCTTCCTTTATTTAAAATTGATAACAAAAACTTCTTAAGTAAAAGTCACCTCATTTTATCGGTTCAAATATTTCTCAACGTTCGAACCTATTTCCACTGAGTTACTTTTCTTATCTCTCTCATCGCAATTGTTTACAACGAACATAAAGGAGGAATCCTTTTATATAAAAGCATGAAATTTTCAGGTCGAAGTAACGCTTTCAATTCAAATGATAAATAGAACACGAAAAACTTTTCAACAGATTGATATCATCTTCAGAAACAAGGGATGCGAAAAACAAGAAAAGGTGTAATAAGAAAGATTCTTCGCGAATCTACAATCATGTTCATGACAAGACGTGTAAATACCCAAGACAACTCTTTCGTTACTCACTTGATAAACATGTTGATGCCAGTTGTCTCCATGGCTCGACTAATTCCTTTCCATGATGCCACCATTGAGTATTTCTGACGTGCTGTGAGTGGTAAACGAGGGTCTGGTGCCGCTGGTGCAGGCGGTTCATTCACATTGTTTTCCACCTCTTTTTTATTATCACCACTCGTTGCCAGTTTTCCCAATTCACATCCCATTATTAATAAACTTATCTCCACCGACCCTAATGAGCTTTCAGTTCTCCTGACAATGTCCTTCTCAATAGCTTGCTTGATTCTTCTTTAATCCCTTTTGTTTACGTTCGCTTTTTTCATGCGACGGTGGAAAATTAAATTAAAATGACACTTTTGCTTACACGCCCACGCTTAAGAATAATTTAATATTATATTTTCTTTCTATAATTTCCACTCGTTCTTAAGACTGTTGAACACTTTATCAAGATCACTTTATACTCTTTGTAATCCATGCAACGAGATATTATTATCTCTTCAAGATGCTGCTGTAAGAAATAAAAAGATTTTCGTTCTCTTACTCCATTGAATCAAATTCCTGAGCTCTGCGTTTTATTTAATTGCAAACTTTTTCTCTACTTCAATTTAATAGCTGAAGTGTGCCACAAATTAAACTTTATAAATAAATTTTCATTAAATAGCGCTGCATGGAGCCTGATATATATTTTGTTTTGGTTTTTATAGGTTTTCCCGCACATGAAAAGTAATTTCACTTGGAAGTGTTTTCATCAGACACGTTTCTATGGAAATCTTTAAATTTTCCTTTTCAACAGGGACTAGAACGAGATTTTTTTACATATCAATGAACATGTTCCTTTCATTTCTAATCTCATATTTTAACAAGTATGTAACATGGAATGCAGATATTAAAATAGATAAATAATCATTTGATGTTATGTAGTCGTGATGTTTCTTTCAATAAATTATTCATTGACTTGAAAAGAATGGAAATTTAAATGCACATGAACGAATGATATTAATCAGAATGAAATTGACGAGTTTTATTGTCATTGTCATTTCTCTCAGGATAGGTTTAATAAATTGATTTAAATTCATCACAATCAACGTCTTCTTACGTACAACCTTTCATGCTTTCAGCATATCTTCTAAAACGAAATAAGATTTTCATCAATTTCATTTTGTAAAGATGTTGTCTGGGAGTGAAAAGAAGGCGGAAAATATCTCAGATGAGAAATAAATCTCATTCATTTCATTATCTTAGTATCTCAGACTCCATGTCAATTATGTTTTTATTTAGAATATTTCTTTGAAGTTTGACGAAAGATTCACATTAAAGTCAACAGTTGAAGTGACACACAACAAGCTCAGTATTTAAACACATTGCACTTAAGTTAAGTGACAATACGACTCATACTTTTGCCTTGTTTTCCTATTTCACTAATTAATGAAACTTTTTCAGAACGGGAGACCGTTATCCTAAAAGCCCAGGGTCGAAGTTGTGATGATTAGTTTTCAACCGTTGAACGGAAACCGAGAACAGAGCGTTAGGAAGTTTGTGAAAAAAAAATCTATAACCCTTCCTTCCTTCCACGTTAAAGCCACTTCACTGCTTATAAATTATTCTCATCCGTCAAGTTTATTCCAGCTTTTCTTTTATTCCTTAGAGCAATAAAATCATAGAAATTCCACTTTAATGTAGAGTTTGTGTGACGCTTTTATTCAAGTTGTTGCCAACCGTACGTTCTCTCGGAAACTGAATTGCGATTCGGAATTTTCTTCAAAAGAAAATGTTTTCCCTTCTGCATCTCTCAGAGGAAAATGTTTCGCTCAATTTTCTTTTTCTCTCACTTTCTCTTGAAATGTTTTCATCGAAGATAACTTGGGGGGAAAATTCATCATTTAATTTGCTATTGTAATTGAACCATCTTTTTAACGAAACCTTGATTCGAGCCGCAAATCAAGCGCGACTCTCACATCAAAGCTCTATTGTTATTCATTCCTTCATAAATTATTTTACGCTTTACATGTTCAACACAGACGTGGCTAAATTCCGATGGGAAATTTTCAATATGCTCCTTTTCATGGTTCCATCTATTTCATGCTTTTTATTTATGAATCATAAGAACCCCATGAGAATTACGTCTTTCATCCCTGAAACGTTTCGAAAGCGCAAGCCTGCCTAAAGCTGTTCTCTTTCTCATCGCTCTCAGTGTTAACATACTGAAAACACTCGTCGTAAAATGTTTTCCCTCCGAAATGAAATGATGAAAGAATTATTTTCCGCCATAAACGGGAAAAGTAAGTATTTGACCTCATGCATATGATACATTGTAATAATAAAGAATTGTCAAACACGTAAAAATATTTCTAATCGATAAATGAAGCATTCTCCCGGAGGCGTTAAACATTGAAGCTCTCATTTGAATATTTGTTATGAGATATTTTTGCTCATGTATAATCTAATGAATGAATTTACTACGTAAATATGTAGAATATGCAGAATATCTAAGACTAATTGAAAGCATGTGTAGCAAAAGATAACACGAAAGAAGTTATTTGCATAGTAGAATGAAAGTTTTTTCTGCTGAATCTACCTGAATTAATTCCACCTGCGAAACTTATGATTGCTTTACATTGTGCTTTCCTACATTGTTCTTAATTCAATTTTTTTTGCATAATGAAAATTACAAAGTGGAAATTTTACTGGTTTTTCATTACAACAAACATCATCAAATAACAGAAGAAAAGCTACTTTTTGTTCTTAATAATTCTGGCCAACTTTTTTCATCAGAAATTTAGAGATGGAAGAGCAAAGTTCTGTGAAAGTTTGCGGAAAGAAGCAGATCGTATTGCATAATAAGGTGAAACGAATTGAACAATATAGAAGCGGAATTCTGTAGAAAGTGACTAGGAAAAGCCATAAAATTAAACATAAAATTTACTGCGCAATCAAAATCATGAAAAGGTTTTATCAACTTGACAGAAGTTTCAATGTTTTGATGAATTATTGATTTCATAAAATTGATGTGATCACAATTTGATGAACATTATTCAACTTGAATAAGCAAGGAAAATATTTTCTTAAGGGCCACATTCAATATTTTGAGAATAATTTCAAACATTACACATTGAAAAAGTCAAAAATTAATTATCTGATAGCATCAAATATTTTAACAAAGGCTTTCGTCTAATATCTAGATATTAACAAAAACAATCTTATTTGACTTCTTTGTTTCAATTTTCAATATTGCTCCTAAAAAAATGTTTACCATGAATATATTTTCGATCTCTGCTTTCATATTTTAATTTTTAATGAAAGAAATCGCTCTGAGCTATGACACAATTTAAATAAAGGAATAAATAAGGCTTTCAACTCAGTTGAACATGTTTCACATTACACGAGTTGAACTTCTTAAAGCTTTGATCGATAGAAATTATCATGAAAATAACATTTATACTGCTCGAAGCTTGAAGCTCCACAGAGATCACTTTTATAATGCTTCACTTTGTTTCCTCTTCTTCTTATAGCTTCTTATTGTACGCATAACAAAGGAAAATAAATAAACAAGGCATCTCAAAGGAGGTTTCTTGCCTTTAAAAAGCAATTTATTGTGCTCACCCTTTGTAAAAGATTCCTGGGAATTCTCAGAATATATAAGTATGCGCTGAAGCAAGTCAACGTAATAAATTAAGACAATAATATTATTCTGCATTTTACAGCTTTACTCTCTTCCCAATAAAATATCAAAATTTAGAAGGATGAAAATATCACAGCATGAGAGTTTCAATCAATCGACCTTCCATGCCAATAAGAAGCATTCAAGCTTGCGTTAAAGATTCCAGATAAAAAAAACCTTCAATTAAAAAAGGCATCCCATAATAAAAAAGAAAAAAAGTATTGAAATGCCATCGAATAACTTCGCACTCTCTTCCGTTCATTATCCAATTTTGGAGATCTTTTATTCGCCATATTCGGATGAGAGTAATACACATGCACATCGACTCCATGACGTTTCATTGAAAGAATAAATAAATGTCTTGATATTTTTCAACATAAACCTGTTTCAATTCAGAAATATTTAAAAACCATTCAACGGATACTAATGCGACTTAAGTAATGAATGTGTTGGTTACGTTGGTAACGTTAACATCAGCTCCACAAGTCAACTGCGTGTAGAATTTTCTCTTCAAATTAGGTAATTTAATTTTAACTTACAAAGCTATTGAAACATGTTACGGCTTTTCCATAGAATTTTATAAATGAAGAACGACCACCATAATAATGCTTTTGATACATTTAGCAGTCGCATTTGGTTTTAATAATTTTCCCTTTGGTCAACTTACGGTTTATAATTCATTCAAATAAAGCAATGCGAGTTAAAATCCCTCTGCTGTTGATTGTAATATGATTAAACATAATAGTTAGCAGTCTCGGATGGCTCTCACAAAAAGCATTGTTGCATGTAGCCGAAAATAATAAAACTGGTAAATTCAATATGCTGTGCTACAGGTGCACACGGTTGAAATGCAGTCAAATAGCAACAAGGGATAGTTTGGCAGGTAGTTGTGTAAGTTTCCAACAGGTAAACGTGAAGTCAAAAACTTTATTTGGTATTGTGTTGGATGAAATGTGATGCCTCGTTTCTTCATGTTTATGTGTACATATTTGGATAAAGTTTATACACATTCACGTTCAGTAATGAAGAGACTTAACGATATATCCTTCCATTTCGTATCATTTATACAGATATTAAATCTTCATAATTACAAAAGCTTGATTTCATTAAAGTCTCATTGAATTGAAATTAATGTAAATCCCAATCCCAACAGATAAATGTTTAAACTGCCTTTTGGGATGATACAGGGAATCGAGAATAACATCAGTACATGCTTATGATCATCCCATTTAAAGTAAATTGTAATGGGAAACAATAATGATTGGAATTTTAATTAAAGTTCTGGTGTGTTGTGTTTACCTACAGCATATGTTTTGGATTTGCCATCATCTTAAGATGAGATACTTGAATCAAGTTGAGGTGAAAATATATGAATGTAAACCCGCAATTATATTTCAATTTCAAACATTGGTGTTGGTGTTGTAACCTTTTCGATAGTGTTTGTGGTGTTGTGTTTAATATCGAAAAAAAAATGTATATAAAAATAACTTTACACTCAAAGAAGAAAACGAAAAAGAGTTTTACTGTAAAGTTGAAGCAGCGCGAGGCAGTCGAAGAGTCGATGTTGATGGTGAATTGCGCGCATTGAACGTCGTAAAGTTTTTGTCGTGTACTTTAATTTTAAAATTCTTAGGATTTTGTAAAATTTATTTTCGTGTGATAAAATCGTGTGAAAATTTTGAGAGAATTGATTTAAGAATTGAATAAGATCGTTTTATATTACAAAAGAATTCGTTAAAGAAGTTTTTTTTTTCATGTGACCATACCAATGGAATAATTACTAAAATATTAATTGTGCATAATCTTCCCAAAAAAAAATCTCAAGTAAAGAAGATTTACCTTTTGATCATTCTTTTAAATATTTCAAGAGAAAAGAAAATCATAGAAACACAATTTAATTTTAAAGGTGAAAGAAAAAATATACAAAAGTTGGAATATACTCGCAAGTGAAGTTAAAAATATTACAAGAATATATATCCAGATATACCTACGTATATAAGAAAAAATTCAGTGAAAAGAAACATCATAAGAAATTTAACGTAAAAGTTGATTCGCGTTCACCAAGCTTCATAAAATACAAAGTGAAGAAAGAGAGAGAAAAAGCATATAAGAAGAACGTGAAGGAAGAAATTGGGCGAAAAAAGGTAAGAAATCGAAAACATTTCGAATAAGAGAAAAAACAACAACCAACAGAAGGGAATGGTCGATGAGGGCGAGAAATGGGCTTCAAGAAATTCATCTTTCTTAGTCAGTCGTATAATTTTCCGTTGTTTAACAGTCTTTAAGTTATGTGCATATATTTTTGGGAATTAAATAACAATTCGAGAATGGGGAAAATTTACTTTCTGCTGTCAAAAATGACAAAAGTTTCTGTTACATATAAAAACACAAAACAATTAATGCAGTAAAATCAGCTGAACAGTTGAAGAAGAAAATGTTTGGATAGATTCTTAGTATACCTAAAATAATTGGAGAAACTTCCGTAGTAACTGATATTGAAAATCTGTCTGATAAAGTTGATGACATTCCGTTTCTGACGAGCTCGTTATAATGAGCCATTGAAGCATTAATGCAACAATATATTTCTGAGAAATGTCACCAGTATGCTTACTCGATTCAATGGAACAAGAGATGACAATAAAGAAAATATACGAGCGCCGAAAGCAAGGCAAAAAAGGCTTTCATTCCACAATGCGAATATCTCGACAATTGGCGAAATCAAGAGCGAACTTCATTCTCCTATAAAAATAAGCTATTGAATAAAAGATTCTCAAGATTATCCATCTAAGAGGCGAAGGTTATTGAATTTGTTGTTTTTATTGATCACTTTTTATGTTGAATTGACTTGAGGATTTATCACATCATGAAGAAGAAAAAAAGTCTGCAAAGAGCGAAGGTAAAAGCTGCTTGTGATGGAAATAAAAAATATGTAGACGATAGTAGATATTTTCAGTGGGCTAAAGGTTTTTGAAAGCAAACATGCCCTCAAGGGTTTTAATGTGAACAATGTAGAGAAAGAAATCATTCACATGACAAGTTTTGCGGTTTAAAATTATGGTTTTTATGTCAATCGATGAATTTTCAAAGACATCAACAATTGCCAAAGCTGTAGGATTGATGGATCATCGAAGTGAATATATGTTGACGTCAAGAAATCTTTTCTGTTGTGGTTTAAGTAGAACGATATCGAACGAGATTCAACCATTCACTTTCAAAGAAGCTCAACATTTCACATGATATAACCGAACTGCTTAAAATTCAAAACAGATCATAAGACATTCATATTCATCTCTAAGTTAAATCCACCAAGTATCAATGAAACGATGGAGTGCTTTTAAGAAAGTAATGAAATCGTCTTTTCATTGAGACTTAAAATCAGAAGAAAAAGCTTTCTTCGTTTTCTTCGGTTTCATAAACTCGCTTTATTGACTTCAAGAAGTGAGATATTTTTTTACCGTCTCGTTTTAACACTTTCAATTTGCATTCAACACTTTTCAGGGTTCACTAAGACTTTGTGCTTCAAATCTGTGTCAGAGTCGACACTTTGAGTTGAGTATTGAAATTAATATGCGAGCGACAAATAAATACGCTGTTTGTATTCAAATTTCAACATAAAATCTCCCTTTCAGAAAAGAAACTTTTCGGGGAGATTTCAACAAACGATATCGGATGCTTAAACGAAACAAAGCATACAACATGATCTTGAAATTCCAGCCAAATGCCTTTTTATTGTCGGTGTTTGACTCGAGTATCATGTAACATTCTTCACCACGACTGTATTTTGACTTTTTTTTTTTGCTTTCAAACCTGAAACCGCCCGAAAGAAGAAAAGAAAGAAAAATAAAATGTTTGAGTTTTTTAGAACACGAATAACAGATGGTTATACTTTTTTTAATTTTTGTAAAGCAAGAAACTGAGCCAGGTTGTTGGCATTTGCTACCAGCACATCGAAAATGATCATGAAAAGTAAACAGACAAATAAGAAAAACTCATTGCAAATTCAGTGAGACACTTTATTGACTTTTAACCGGGCAAGAGTTTTGTAAGAACGCTGCTCTCGTCATCACTGCAAGCACACACACACACACACATTCCCCCTTTCTTATCTCCACGAGTTAAGAGATGTAAATTCTATTGTGCATTCACTCTAGTTAGATCTGCGAATTAATAAACACTGAATTACTTTAATCTTCCGCATTTGAATATTAATTTCGACGAGAACGGGATAAATTATATATTTAAGATATATCCTTTCAGGTACATATCAAGTTTATATAAATGTCATGCCGCTTTTATTAATCTATTGCTGTTCTCTTTCTCAATCCTCTGAATACATTTTGCTCAATTCTTTTCACAGTTTCAATTGAAACTTCTAGGCTAACTACCGTTCGAATGACTCTCCTCACTGTTTATTTATTTATTTTACTTGATTATGCAAATCGGTTAACGGAAGTGTTGGGGAGAAAATAAAACCATCGTAAGACAGGAAACGTTTGGACCCGACCCTCAATTGTTGATTGATGCAGCAAGTTTCTCTTAGTTGTCGTTCATATATTGAAAACTTTCCGCCATAAATATTGATTAATCTCTTCCCACATGAATCATTCGTTCTTTTGGACTGATAGAGCTGACTCGGAATATTTGAGGTCGTGCAGAGATGTTGAAGTCATAAAACTGTTTTTCTTCTTTCAAGAACGTCTTAAAATTTTCGAAAGACGTAGGTTTCATTCTACAAAAATTCTTCAACATTTCTGACATGGAAGCGTCAAGAAAATCACGAGAATATTTCTAGTGAAGATAATAAATTATAGTGAATTATGAACCGAAACGTAAGATGGATGATGTTTAAATAATTTAAAGTTGTTCTTGTGATGATTACAGTTACAACACCGAAAATGCAGAATGGCGTAACGAATGACCTCAACAATTCATTTTATTTAACATTTTTTATCGTTTATACTAAGTAGAAATTCTAATTAATTTGTTGTTTTTCCATGCTTAATTTTGCTAAAAAATATTATAAATTTAGTTACGCAACAATTTACAAAAGAAGAAAAAGCCGCAGACCAGACACAATCATGAGAGTTTGAGATGAAAAGCTTGAAAAGCTTGTAAAAAAGAATCTTTCCACTCAATCATTTTAACGGGGATTTGCGGTTTTTAACTTTTATGAACTAATAAAAATCTACTTGGATATGAAAACAAGCGTGTAAAAGTTAAAAGAACTGATTGAGTTAGTTTGCCTCTTATTAAGAAGCTACTGGAGATTTGAATTTTCTTTCTCTATTTGCACTGCATGTTTGGCTTCGATGCCTTTATCTTGATATATCGAAACAAGTTTATTAGCTTAATTGCTTGGCTTATTTTTTTTCTAAGACTATTTGAACATCTTCATAAATGTTTATTTCAATAAAGTTTCCACAAGCTGCTTAAAATTATTTCGCAATTTTGTTTTGAATAAGAAACCTTCAACTTCCAAAAACGATGAATTCCCAGCGTCTATCATAGGAAAAGAACTTATGTAGCCTTAACATCAAGACCTGCTAACAATATAAATTGCCTCGAAATGTTCATCAAAATTAACTGTTTTGATAATTTCTATTCAATGCAAATCACCGAAGTCATTAGAGACTTCATCAGCTTGTGAAGTGCCGTTCTTTTTGTGAACTTTTTTTCCTACCCAAACTTCATTTATTTGCTTCTCGTAATTGCATTTAACAATATTTATCTACAATTTGTTTGTAACTAAACTTGTGCCGAATAATAAAGAAGCATTTTTCTTAGTCTGGGAGACGAATTCATTGTTTTTTTGTTTTATTCTGTTGCGGAGTTGAAATCTGTGCCAGAAAAAAAGTTAAGTGATGATAATTTCAGCAAACAAAACAACACAGCGAATGTTTTTAATTCAATTGTTAAATTCGAGAAAATAAAAAAAATTAATTGTCACGTCGACGGTTTTTCGAGTAACATTTTCATGACGCTGCATAAATTATTTTCAATTTATGTGAGCTTGGAAAATGGTGGAATTATTTGCAATTGAATTATAAAATTATTTTACATCTGCTACATATCTTTAATATTAAAAATATTCCATGCAGTCGGTAAATAGTTTATTGACGAAAATATGTTATCTAAAATCATTTAAAACTTTTAAATCCACCACAGCAGAGATGACAAATCTACATAGAAAACAAATAAATTTTTAATCGAAATCTTGACAAACAACAAATCCATCGAAATTGAATTTGAATACATTTTGTTGGAGAATGTAAAATAAAATTGAACATGGCAACTGTCGGTAGAGATTACTAACTATATCAATTTTTATGTAATACAAAATTCATAATCATTTCAATAGAAGGCAAAATATTTATATGAATAATGTCGATGTAATTCAAATTATATCTCAAATTCTGGAAAAATATTTTCACTCATAAATAACTTACTGTTACAATTCAAATAATAAACTTTCATAACTATCAGTAGATTATAAAAATTATTGAATTCAACTCGATGCGAATTCCATTTTTAACTGCAATGCATCTCTTTTTAATACTCTGAAATACGCAATGAATATAAATTGCAATGCAACTACCAAGCAATGAATAAAGTGAATAAAAAAAAGGTGTATTCACTTTTATAATCTTCATTTTTCATGGGCGATGAGATATTAAAAGAGGTAAAGAAGATCATTAAGCAAGTATAAAGGAAATGTTCCCGAGACTTGGAAATAAAAGCATAAGTTATGCTTGAACAATATGCTCTAACAAGCTTAATAATGAGAATTGTTCTATTTGAAGAGACTGCAAAGGAACAAAGTTTTGCAAACTCTGAGTGAAATTATCTCTCCAACTTTCAGTTGTCTCTAACTTTACGACTGTCAAAACAGAATAAAATTTCTTATTATTAAAAGTTTCGAATTTTGATGTTCTTGTAAAGTTATGCAAGTGATATTAAAAATTCAAGAGAAGTTGAGAAGAATTCTTTTTGATTGGCTACTACATTTTATGAGTTTTTAATAAGCTATAAAGGGTCTCTTAGGAAGAGATTTCTGCCACATTCACCATGTATAATGAAAATTTTCATAAATCAACACCACGCTCCACAAAAGAGGCTCAAGTCACTAAAGTAAATGAATACGAAGCAAATGATGCGAAAACAAAATCGTATTCATTTTTGTGAAATCATTTCCGAGTGAGTGACTTTCAATAAGCTTTCCTTGCTATTCGATTCCGGCAATTTCGTATTATTTTTGTTTGTTTGGTGGTGTTTGATCGGCGATTTCTCGCTCTAAAAACATCGTTTTGTAATACCGTCTAAGACTTTGTCCCAATGTTATCATGACGTATCATTGTGCAACAATGATCTGAAGATGAAACGAATCAATAACTTTTATAAGCTTAAACATAATCAACTTTAATTTAATTGATTTTTTTTTAAATTGAACAGCGAGGAATATTGTCGGCATGAGATTTTTTTTTGGATTATTCACACAATAGCAAAATTTTATTTTTCATGGCGTTGCAAATTCTTTTTTAAAGTTTTCTTCTTAATTTTTTTGCTTGGAATTCTTAATGCTTTTTTAATTATAGCTTTTGAATACTTTATTATGCAATTTTTGCATTTTCTGTTTCTGATGTCTGAAAATTACGAAACAGTTACAATTTTATGAGAATCAAGTCGAGGCTGTTCTTCAGTTTGTTTTATTGTCCAATAAATATCCCGCTTTGTTATCACCATAAAAATCATTTATAAAAGCGACATTTAAAGAATTATATCATAAATCTTTTGCGTTCGAAGAAATGGATGAATTTTAGCATCTATCGTCAACTGAAATTGTTTTAGATTATAAAAAAGAAAACATTTTACGACATTAACAACCAGCTTCACTACTTAACGAATAAACACATGTTTGAATCTTTAACACTTTGTTTTCTGCTGATTTTTATAGTGTTCGAGAATTTCTCCAGTGTTTAATGTTCGATATATTTTTGATAATGATCAAAGAGTCGTGGAACTCTGCATGCTAACAAACATGCAAATTACAAAGAATGTCTTGACAACAAAGCTTTAAATTAGGATATTTTATATTTCTGCAAGTAATCTTGGGCAAAATGATGCGATTCTTTATAGCTATAGAGTAGCATAAGGAAATATTTGCGTTGACTTGAGTCAAGGAAATTACAAAAATATTCTTTACAATTCAGCCAACATCATCAATTCAACACACCCGATAATAATGATGTTTTAACAACGCTCTGTCGTTTATACTTACACAGGGCGAGTTCTAGGAAAAAGAATCGAGAAAGAAGTTTGAGATAAAAAACAATTTCATGAAAACGATTAATGATAATGGTTATTACACTTTTCTGATGCACGTGAAGAAATTTAAATATATTTTCATTTTGTTTCTGTCGTAGAGCATTGAAATGAAACTATTTAAGCTGTGGTATTGGTTACCATCACTTCAAGGATACACAATGAAAAGCAATAGCAGACTTAAACTTGAATTCCCGAGGGTTTTTCATCTTTGATAAAATAAAAATTTATTTTCCCAGACACGTACATTATTCCTCGTTAACAGACAAATAGAAAAGTTTTCTATTCTTCAATGTTTAGTTATGAATCATATCTCACTTTTCAATCAGAGTTTTAAAATAAATTTATTTTACAGTGAAATGTCTGTTATTTATGATTGAGGCAACTGAATTGAAAAATCTTTGAACGTTTGCAAGCTTTCAGATGCGAGATTAAATTTGAAAGTTGAAATTTTGGATGAAAGTTTCTAAATTATTTTTCGATACAAGTTGCATTTATAAGCAGACAGTTTTCATAACTTTTTATTACTCTCGTATTAACTCAACAAGCAAATAGTCAAACGGTTCAACTTAAACCTCAGCATCATCAATGCAAACATGAGAAAACATTTAATTGGCAAGCCAACACTTTTTCTACAGACTTTTTACCTTTAATAACCTTTTACCTTTACAACTCTGTTCACACTTATACAATCATTAAAAGAATGAAGTTAAAATGCTCTTGTAAAAAGTGATGCGCTTTCTTCCCTCTTTTTGCGTATACTACGAGTGGATTCAAGCGAAATTAAATTATCCGTTTCATGGAAGAACGCTCAGCGCGTCGCACACATAAACATCATTTCCATCTTAATGAATATCTATGGTTATGAAGCGAGAATGGTGCAGATTATTTCGTGTTGCCTCGTCGCACAACTAAGAATTTTCAAGAGCGAGACAAAAGAGAATAAAATAATAATAATAAAAGTGTTTTAAAAAAAAAGCACTTTAAAGATAAGCACACGGTATAGTTAAAATAAAAGAAACTGTTAGCCGAGATGATTAATGACTTAAGAATTCTTACATCCAAAAAAAATAGGAGCTTGACTCCAATCGCTTCAAATTAAATTCATAATCAGCAACAACAAGCAAGTTAAGAGAGAATTCTTTGTAAAACCAATTTACCGAGTGTTTCATACAATGAAAGAATGTTGCTCTGCCCTAAGGCAAGACTGGCAAGAGATCAAAATCTGGCTCAAAGTCTCTTGCACTTGGTGGCAGATAAATTAAAGTTATGCCTGTGTTAGAAAGAGATACAGACATTTGATAGATTAGCAAACCCATAATTTTCGTTATAAATTTGTAAGATCGTTTTTATATTTTATGAACCGTGATATTTATGTATACTTTAAAAGAGAAAAGTTACGAAAGAAAAATGTTGATGTTTTAAAAGAAACTCAGGACCTTGTTCAGTTTAATTTTATTTAAATTCATTAGAAACAGATAAAAGTTGAAATTGTTGAAAGTTTATTTAAACTGAGCAACATTAATCTGCACCAATTTGCAACACTATCAATGTTCGTACATGTAAGAGGCTGCAACTGCAATTAATAAGAAAAAAATTTAATGCAGTCGTGTAAAAATATTAAAAAAACATAAAATTTCTCCTCGAAGGTTTATCATAAAAAATGACATGAAGCAAAGTAATGATCGATAAACTTAAAATCCCGAACTTGGTTTCATTGTAAAGTTATAAAATTAATATCAAAATATGGGACGATAAAGAATAATAAATAAAACAAATATAAGGAGGAATGAATGAAGATTTGTTGAAAATATTTTATCTTTCTATCACTTCGGGATATTTTCTGATATTTTATCATCTTTTCTGATTTTTTTAAGCCGATATGTTGAAGCTGTAACAATAAAGAAATGAACCGAATAAATATTTAATCATTGTCTATAGCAAAAATAATTATCTCTAATGTCAGAAATATTCTTTTAGGACGCTCTCGGCGGTATAATTCGTTTCATGACTTTCACTTTAATTTCCATTCATGATATGAAGAGAAAGAGAGAAAGAGATAACTAGGATTAATGAAAATCATGAAACGAAAGTAATCACAGTAGTGATCAAGCATCATGAGTCTTGTGCAAGCAAATTGATTATGCTGGATTGTTATTAGACATTCCGAAATAAATAATCACTATGTGACAATCAATCAATTACGGTTGGCGAAGGAAAATTGACAATTGTGATCTGCCATTAATAATGCTGCCTGAATTTCTCACTATTAAGTGTGGGTTGTTCACCTCAAGGAGTAAGATTGACATCGTAAATTATTTAAAATTGCCGTACAGTATTTTAACGATCGATTGCTGTGCCAAAGGAATGTCATTATATACGTGCACGTTATCTTTCTTTTTTTTTTCTTTTAATCATAAGAAACATGAAAATATTCATACGAATTAACATTGTATCTTCCCCTCCTTCTTATAAATGTGTCTACAACATCAAATTAAAGGTTGAAATTAATTAACTTGGACGTATTGTTTACGAGACGCAGTCCTGTGAAAAGCTGTTGGACTGGATGGCTTTTTTATCGGATCAATTTTTTTTTCTTTTCACAACTTTGCGACATGTTTATGTTGACTAAGATGAGTTTCCAATGGATACAAATTAATGAATCTATATGAAATTCATCTTGTAATTACATCAGTGAATCCGACTATTTTCCATCCGTTATTTGTTGGTTCTTTTTCTTAAGTGTTTTATTAAGTCTCATCATAGTTTATGTATAGCCATTGAGAGTTAATTATTTCTTAAGCGCATGCGGAGCCTCAGACATAAACTAATTATAAATTTTATCAACTTCTTCAAAAACTTCCGATATTAAAAGGTTGTCAAGCGTAATAAAAGAAAGCTTTCATCTATACAATTATCTTTACTTATCCTTTGATTAAGTTGTAGCACAGCAGGCTTGGGTTGCGTTGTAATGAAGATATTTAATGAAAAGAAAATGAGGAACAAAGATTGATAGACATTCGAAAGCACTTTCAATGATTTTCTTACCTACATTCATTTCACAGATTATCACTTTTCAAAGAAGGTTTTTGTTAGTTATAGAAATTAGTGTAGTCAAATCACAGCAATTAATTTAATTTTAATTGTGAAAATTCGTTAATGTAAAAAGTTTGACGTGAAACCAGAAAGGGCCCCAAAATAAACTTTAACGACATTGCTTTATATTTAATCCTAATAAACTTTTCAATGAAAAATGTCATTTGGATTTATGGGTTAAGACTTTGAAAACGTGAATGTTGAAAATGTTGATGCGTGGGTGAAGGAACGAAGTCGTTGTATTGTCGACATATGAAAGCTTTGCATTGAGAACTTTGCTTGTTGGATCTTATTTAATATTAATGGAAGATAAGATGATGCATGAGATGATGTGACATGAGAAGGAAGAAGGAAGAAAAAAAGAATGAAGATGATTTGCAGAGATTCCAATGACGTCAGTTTTAAAAAAGCGTACATAAATATTCATAGCGTGGCTGGTGACGAGCACAAATGGGCATAATCATCCTACAAACTATTTTTACTGCCAAGAGAATCACTGATGATGAGAATTATTTGTCATTTCACGGAATAAATGTGATCATGTTTCCCAGTTGGAGCTGTCTGTAAAAAATAAGAAGAATTTGCTTGTCAGTGTACATGACTCTATGGAAGAGGCTTCAGAAGAATTACGAATTCATGACAGCGGATTCGCTTCGACTAAATGGACTCTCGAGTATTGTTCACTGTTGAGGATTTATTAAACCATTAAGAATCTAAATTGCAAAGAATAAAAATAGAGTCGGTTAGAAAGCCGGAACATTGAATTTGGTGTTGAATTTTATGCAAAGTAATGTTTTAATTAAATAAATTAATAAGCAGAGTCACATCAACGAATATTCTCAAGAAATATAAATAGAAAAGAAGCTTTCGTGAATCGAAAAGTGACTTAATGATGATAATTGTTAAACTTTCATTGCTTTATGAATTTCATTTTACATTCAATTGAAAGAAATGTCTATGATGAGAGTTTTAATACTGAAAAGCTTCCAACAACGCAACGACGGCAATTATATTTTTATATATAATATACTGGGATGCCTAAGTTTCGTGATGTGGCGCCGAAAGGGTTTTTAACTTTTTTTTCCGTTGTTTTCTCTTTGAAGATTAATGCGTAAGAAGGGGCGTAATTATGCTAATGAAAAGATTTTGTAGGGTTTTTTGTTTCTTTAAGTGAAGTTTCTTCATGTTTGGGTTGGAAAGTTGCAATTATAAAGCCAAATACTGTTTATAGTCCTTACTCAGTGTTCTTTTTTTATTTAGCTCGCTATGAAATTTTAAAAAGGAAAATTTGGATTTAAAAATAAATCACCATGGCATGCGAAAATTGAAACCTTTTAACCTTTTTTTTACATTTCCCGTTTAATCATCTTTAGATGAGGAAAATATTTGCAATTCGCAACAGTTCTAAATTACATAAAAGGAAGAAATATTTTGTGTTCATTCATTCTCAAATATTTCAACATTTAAAACATAATTAAGTATCCTAGTCATCCTATTTATAAAATGTGAATTTCTCACAAAGTTTCTTTTTTTTCACTTACTTCAATTAGTTAACTTTATTTATCCAAGCTGTGAAATCAACAAGCTACATAAAGAAAACACAGGAAGTTTTACAAGAGACCCCCGCAGTACATAATGTAATACGCAACTGAAAATTTATTGAAACAATGAGGTAGCGTTACGAAAAAATTTCCCAAAATATGTTTTACTTACTGACTTAGCTACTGTGTTTGTTAAGACATTAAAAAAAGTTCCAAACTAAAAAATCAGAAACAAAAATTTTTATTGCATTTCATTACGCGTTTCACTCTCAGAGCTCATAAACCGCAAAATTTATTGTTCGGTTTTGGTCGCCCCCAAGGGCAGATATTTCTTGATTTGAATTATTTTTGCGTACGTTTGCTAAGTGGATAAAGTGTAAAGAAGTTTACAAGCTGTTAACTTTATTGCTTGTTTACATTGTTGAATAACAATTCTCAATTTGTGAAAAGTTTCCTGCAATAATTTACTCATATTAGCGTGCATCAGGGAATTAAATGTGTTAAAACAATCAGCATTATAAAAGTTTTGTAAAAAATAAACCCAAACATGGAAGTTAAAGCTTCTCTATTAGGGCGGAAGTGTTTGTCGTTTAAAAACGTAGTTGAAGTGCAGAAATTATTCAAAATTAAACTTAAAGAAGAAACTTATCATTAAATGTAAATTAAGTAAAGAATCATGCGGTTGAAGACTGTAAGACAAGTTAAACAACAGCATCAACAACAGAAGAGAAGAAACAATAAGAGAATGGAATTATTATCAAGTAATTTATGTTGGTTATGTTGCTTGCTTCTTTCATCATTCCATTCAACCTTTATTCTGTTGGCAAAACATCTCATTAGAAATTTAGCGCCTATGAAAATAATTAGGATTTAAAAAAGATTCTTCACAAAGTTTCTTAATCATTTTTTCCCTTCATTTACTTTTCACAGCACTCCATCGTAATTTGCTATTGTTGAGCTTTAATGATGTACCAGCAACTAAATCCATCGTCGGTTTATCAGCACCTGAAGCAGAATCAATAGTTGAATATTTTTTAGCAACTATGTATGGTGGCCAAGAGGCATCATACACAATGAATGGCAACATGATCGAGTCGTCAATGATCCCAGGATCAACAGGCATTTCACCTTCACCTACTATCATGCAACAACAACATCAAAACGATACATACAGTAATGGAACTGGCAACATAATCGCATCATTGCGAACACATTCATCAAAGTTTCCTGTGAGTATAAAACATTTTCAATTTCAGACTATTTTGATGTGAATCTAGACTTGCCTCTTGATGTCAGACTCTTCTAATAACGATCTACAAAGATAAATTGAGAAACTCAAATCCTTCTATGAAAATTTGATTGTGACATGCTTCGAATGATTTTGTGACAAATTTATTTATGTAACATTGCAAGCAATGCATTCACTGAAGCTGTCATAATTCTTTCAACCAGTACAATGTATTGCTTCTGATACCTGATAAGTACACAAAAATTTCCAATTCCCTTTTTTGTATCATCCACAACAGAACTGAAAGTTAACATTTTGAGATGAGTTTGATATCGTTTCTTGTCGTTCATTGGAAATGTGACTCTGGTTAAGTGATACTTCAAATGCTTTCATTTATAAGAGTCATTCATTCTTGATACTAGATACGAGTTGTTCTATGTATAAGCAAAAAAGGAAAACTTTCGCATTTTTGAATTTTTCATCCTCAGCATTTTATGAGAAAAGAGAAAAGCAACTCAATGAGTCGTCGATAGTGAATAAATAATTTATTGAAAGATTTTTCTTTATATTCTTTCACATTGCGAACTTTTACTTATTCTCAAATAGTTTCTGGCATCAGCATACTTGATAGATTCACATCACATACTTTAAAAGAATAAAATTTCAAGACACAATATCGAATTTAAGGAAAAGCTCTTTATTTGATTACAAATATTGTTGAAAGTTCTGACAAAGTATCACTTTGGTCCAAACAATGTTTACGGGTTGTTAAACAGCTTTGTAATGTTTAATGAAACCCAACAATTCCACCTAAAATATGACAAAATATTTCATAATTCTCCTAATAAAATTCTTCCCAATCATTAAACAATTTTTTTTTGCCACATCTTCTTAAGGCAACACTTAAAAGGCGCTTCCCATCGAAGTTTTGTCGGATTGAAAATTGGTCGTGTGTAAGAAATGTTTTCCTACTTGCTACGTAAGATCAAAGAAGCATTCACCTTCGACGATGGTATTCATTTCTTAATGTAAGATTTAATGGATGGGAAAATTCACACAAGTCAAAGGCGAAGTGAAGCATTGTTTCAATTGAGGTTTCATCCATTGATGACGACACATGTGTTGTCTTGCGTAAATCATAATCCGATAAAACCATGAAAGGTAGCGCTGGGAAGAAAATTAACAGCTTCGAAAAGCTTTTCAATCTTTAATTAAAGTATTAATCTTGAAATTATTTAATTCCTTCAACTTCTCATTTGCTGTCATCGAATTTTATATGACAAATTATTGTTTCATTTCTTCTATCCATAAACTTCAACTCCTCAATTACTCACTCAAGCAAGCTACTTGAAGTCGCTAGCAGGCAACGAATGAAATTAATTCTAGAAAATTGTTTTTCTTCAATTGTTATTCTTTCACTTTTAGATTGAACGTGAGCTGATTTTATCGACCGATAAGAGTGGTTCTAAAGTACCAATCAAACAGTATCCACGTCAGATTCCAACAACGCCAGTAGCATTTAATCGCTCATCAATTTCGAATGGTAATGGTGCAGCTTCAGGCGTTATTCAGCAATTTCTTCCCAAATCATCGACAGCTGTTGCACCTGACCATCCAACATCTAAACACGCATGGGTAAGATCACTCTTTAAAACTGTTTTAAAGCTCTGGAAATTGTTTCCAATTTGTTTAAATCTGATCAAATTGTGTAATTGTGGAGTATCGAAGGCTTCCACATTCCACATAATTTTATGTTTAAGTTTCTTCAATAATGCTACCGAAGTAGAAAAATGAAGAATTTGCAATAAGACTTAAGTCGATGATCATGATAGAGTTTTTTTTTCTTGTAATTTAGACAGCTTCGACAAATCATCATCGATAATTTGAAACTTTTTCCTTTCCATTTTGCTTTCTTCTTTAATTTCTAAAATGAAATTAAAAAAGAAAGAAATAATTTGTCTTCAATTAATCTCTAAGAAAGACAAAAACAAACAAAATAAAAATCAAGCTTGAGGATGAGAACTGCGAAGTTTAATGTTTAAGTCGTGGAAATGAGTAAAGTGGAATTAAACGGCCTTGACGCTCCGCTCTGTTTTTTATTGCGTGCCTTCAGTTCTGATTTATATGGCAAAAAGTGAACTAATTTAATTTTTTCTTCGTTGTTTCTTGATAGCCTCGCAAAGAGAATTCTTTCAGGAACTTAAAAGACATTGTCATTAATAAAACCCTCGACTCGAGATAAGCATTTAGGAAAATTCCTAAATAAAAATTTCCAAATAACGAAGAAAAATTGTAGAAAATTTCCGAGAAATCGTTCGAATGAATAACTTTGCTGACACTCTTTCTGTTGGAATATTTATCATCGAGAAAGTTATTCAAAACTACTTATTAACTATAATGAATGAAGCTCGAAACTTCATGAAATGAAAATGAATAGAAACTTCACTCTCAGTAAAACTTAAATTTCCCATCCACCCGAAACAATGTCTTTTAAAAAAAGACGCTTCTTTTGTCTTTTCCAGCTCCCTCTTGCTCTTACTTCAACTTACTTCAATACAATAACAACAAATAGAGACACAATAGGAACATTTATTAAATTGAAATCCACGAGAATTAGCTCGCACAAAGCAAACTCCCTTCGAATGAATAGGTAAAGAAGAAGAGAACTCCCATCAACAATACTAAGTTAAAGAATCAGAGAATTAATAAAATAATTGTTCTTTCTGAAATTGGTTTCTTGGCTTCTGATTCATTCTCATGTTCTCAATGTTAAATGCTTTTGAAACTGAAGAAACTTGTACAACGAACACGAATGAAGCAATTTTTTTTTTCTGTTGCTTTCAGTTTTTGTTTCCATTCTGTCTTTTTTTTTAAAGTCGAGACGGTAATCAACTAATGTGAAATAAGAAGTTTAAAGCTGCGTGTCTTAAATCCCAACCTTCGACACAATTTTCTCTCTTCTCTTTCTGATGATTCATTAAGAAAAGTTCTTCATATATTTATTTAAAACATAAAAAAATTACGGGAAAGAAGAATCAGAGAATTTGAGTTAAACTGACAAATCTCAAATGAAATGAAATCTGAAAATCACTATCGCTGAACACTCCTCTATGTCTCTCTTAAATGAAATGCTCTGCTTAAAGAGGAGATTTTACATGCCACAAAATATATGCCTCAGATTAAATACATATATTTAGATAGTCACAAAAGAGCATTAATGTTCTGGCAATGTCTGAGTTGTTCTTCTTTTCACTTTTGCTTTGACTCAATTTATGAGCTTGAGAGCGAAAACTGTAAGAAAGCGCATTTGAAGAAGAACAATTTTGATTGTGTGTAAATTTCCATCGGCGTGTGTTTGTTAACGTTTCTTATTTTTTATTCTTTCAATTTAATTAAAAATTCAGGCACGATATTATGTGTTTGTTAAAGCTCAGTGAATTTACATGACAGAAATGAGAGGAATAAGAGAATCACGCGGGAAAAGTCAAGGGTGGCGTTGAAAGGAAAGTTCAGAAATCAAAACGTCGGAGGTTTGTTAGTAAAACGGTTGAGTGAACGGGCTTTCAAGTCATGACAATATATCACGCTCGGTGAATTCCTCGCTCTCACTTTGTCCTCTTTTATGTTTTTGCAGACAATTTCTTTCACCAATTTCCTTTCGGTATCATCTTTCATTCCACTTCATCCATACCCACACACACACACGGCACACGGCATTGTGTGTGAGCACCTCTTGAATGATGAGAATATTTTCCAATCTTTTTTATTATAACATTATTAAACAAAACACCTTCGAGTGATGTTTGATTTCAGTGTTGATTTTTCGTTACCACGGTGCAATTCGTTCTGGAAGATTCGGGCTATAAGAAAAGTCTGATTTCATTAAAGGTTTTATGTCTGATGATTTATCATAGAAGTGTTAAACAGTAACTAGAATCGAGTCAATTTGATGAAAGCTTTGATGTTATTAAAAGAAGTTCAATAAATCAAATTAAAAATGTTCGACTTGTGGGATGAAATTTACGACAACTTTGTAATAAACTTGAAGTGAACAACATGCCAAATTAGTTGCAGAGTTTTGATGACTCAATAAAAAGTCAATTAAGAAAGACACATCGAAATGTAATGAGCTTAATAATTAACGAAACATTTTGTTTTCGCCTTAAGAAAATAAAAAATCATTTTAGTGCCTTTTAAATCGATTAAATTTCATTATTGGATGGAGGTTTAATTGCCAAATCGATGATAAAAACAAAATTTATCGTTGAAGTGTGGTGAACCACGAAAAAAAAATCACGCTCTGCCTGCTCATGATATAAAATAATTTCAAGTTTAATCAACTCAGCAAGAAGTGAAAAGAGAGAAAGACACTTTAACGTGCTAAAAATTAATTCTGATCGCATAACCCCGCTTGAGAGCACGCAAAAAAAAAATGGTGGAATTTGCTCTTGAAAACGTAAGAACTTTTTTATTTTATTATTCTAAACTTGGATGTTTACCTCGCTCCCGCTCGCGTATACTTTTGACCGCGAACAATGATGAGAAATTAAAATTTATGTTCAACACAATTTCTTACCTGTTGTTATAACAAATTACGTATGCAGAAATATGTTTCATGCTTTGGTTAATACGTTCATTCGCACATAAATTTAAAGGCGATGATGTTGTAAAGAATCACTCAGCGGCATCGTAAAATGTTGAAGAGTTAAAAAAGAGTTTCAAAGGAAATTGTTTTGCTAGAAGGATGCATAATTTTCTCCGGATTTTAATTCCGTCGTGTTCACTGACACTCGACTCCTCTTCTTTCCGGAGCATTAATAAATGTAAAGACTTTAAATTTCATTCAGGGTTAATGGAGGTTTGAAGTGCAAAATGAATTTCCATTTAATCAAAGGAAGCTTTTGATTATGTTTCACGTTATTCAACTTGTATCTTGCTTTGATGAAATTATTAAATAACTTTGTGCTATTCAGTTATCAATCAGGTAGATGATGAAAGAAATAAAATTGTCGCTAAGCACCCCTGAAAATTTCTTCTGTTTCATGTTCAAAAGCGAAACATTCCCGACATTAAATATTTTGCACAACTTCACTTCACAGTCATGGAATGCTTTCGAAAGAGGGAAAACAATGGTCTTGAGTTTCAATTTCGTCTCTTTTCCCAGTTTGTCTCGTTCTCTCTTTTGTTATGCGAAATTTATAAAGCATCAGATTTCAATCATAAAAGAAAAAGATTTTTGTTCATTTTTTTATGCGGATGTTAAGAGAAATATTGTTGAGAAAAGCTAAACAAGCTCGAAATAGTTTTGAGTTACACATTTATAGCAACATGTGCTTTTCATCTTTCTCTCTTTCTGTCTTTTTATTTTCTTAAGTATTCCCCTTTTGTCTTGTTTGTACTTTTCATTATTTGATCAGCTTATTTTTATTTTTCGAAAGTTCAAGTCAGCTTAAAAGATATTTAAATCAACACAAAACTAAGTTGCGTGAAAGACGCACTTTAGACTCTAAAGACATCAACATTTGTATTCAATTTTTTCCTTTCTTTATTTGTCTATTTGATTCGTTTGATTGATGAGTAAATTGTTACATCGACATCTTTCCTTCTCCACAGAATACACAAAATGTGAATCAAGAGAAAAGTCAGTCATCGCAAATGATGACGGGAGCGATACCACGAGCTCCAACTCGACTACCGGAAGATGTAACCGCTTTAGCAGAGCGGGAAATGGGTGGAAAAGATCGTGACTCCAAGAACGCTGTGTCAAAGACTTATCATACTCTGAAAGATTTAATATCGTCGAAGTTCAAGAAGGATTCAGCGGAAATGACACCGGAAGAACTCAATAATGTAACAATACAGCATCAACAGAACTACACAAACGATGACATTACAAACACGCCGTATTATAATTTAATGCAACAACATATGCAACTGCAACAACATCAAACCCAACAGGGAACGTGGAATGCAGCAAATGGTAATCATCCGCAAATGTGGAATGGAAACAGACAGTTGATGAGAGATTCGTCTGTTCAAATTACACAACAAGTTGACATGAATGGTCAACAGGTTTATCCCCATATGGTGGCGACAAGAGCATCAATTCATCAACATCGTGCAGCTTCACAGCCACAATTGAATTTGCCGTTTAAAGAACATCAAGCCGATGATCGACGAGGTTCATTAGCGAACATTGACGTCACTGACTCTGATGAAGGCGGTTTTGCGCATGGAAAAATGTGGCGCCCAACAAATCAACAACGTCCGATAACAAGTGAAACTCCAGCTCAGCAAATTCTTCATCAACAACAACAAAATTATTTGAAACGAAGTACGTTGGCACAACAAACGCAGTCACAAATTCTTTCCAATGGACATTATCAACCTCAAATTCCTCCAACTTCATTTCACTTGCATCAGCAAGTAATGCAACAACAAAACATTCCTGATGGTGTTTATGCGAGTCAAAAAGTTGATTTAAATCGACAAGAAGCTCAAAGCCATCATGGAAATTCTCAAGATTGGAATGGAATGCAGAGAGTGAATCAAGAAACTATTCGAACATCGTTCAATCAAGATCAACCACAATTGAGTCAAAAAGGGGAAAAACAAGTTCCACCAATTCCACCAGCAAAGCCACCACAACATCAAGTGAAGAAGGCACCAAACTATGAACATCCACCGAAACTTGAAGCTAAAAAATCACAACCACTTGAAACATCAACACCAAATAGCAACCAAACAAATGCAGAACATAATGGAACAAAACAAGTTCCTGGATCAGCTGCAAGTTCAGATTACGATAAAAGTGGGAATCATAGCTCAAATGTTGATTCAGGTCGTGGATCGGCAGCTTATTCAAGTGGTAGAAAAGCAACACTTGACACAAGTCCCGATCATTCTGACACTCCAGTTCCACAATCACGACCCAAATCAAATGACTCTGAGTGGATTGACATTGTTGATGCTGAACTTCGTCACATTCTTGAGCCTGGAATGCAAAATATGAACATCCGACCTGAGAGTACAATATCAGGAAGTTTATCGTCGATATCACCGCCACTTCCACCTCTGTCACCTGATGGAAGTGCTCAGAATACAAATGACACAAACAAACACACAACAAGTAGCAACACCGTAACGAATAAAGGAGGTTCAAGCAAACAATCTGCAGCACCATCACAGGTAACATAAATATTTAAATTCATGAGATTTAATCTCACATTTTGCTTTAATTTTAGACCTCTAAGAAACCAGAGTATGGAACTGACAGCTACAATAGACCAGGAAAGAATAAATTCATTGGACCGTCACGAGGCTTACCAGGCTCAATTCTTCAGAAACGTGGTGAACAAATGAGATCGTCGATAAGCAAGAAGCAAGAGCAATCGATGATGAAACGACATCGTGAGTGTGGAATTAACTCAGTTTAATGGAATTTGAATTATTTAATTGTTTTCTGTGTTTAGTGTTTGGACTTGATGATTTAACATCAACGACGACGAGATCATTGGATTTAGATTCGTTATTGGGTGGTCCTTGGGGAGCTGGACAATCAGTGAGTGATTCCGAAACTGATACGCAAGGTCTTCGACATATTAAATCACAACTAGAAGGACTTGAAACTATGTACAGTGAAGTTTTAAAGATGCTTGGAGCTCGGCCAGGAAGGAATGATGGACATTTAAGAAATGCAAGAAGGCGTCAAGGAAGTTTATCGTCGTTGCCTTCAAGTTCTGTTAGTGGAAGACCAGTTAGAGATAGAAGAAGGAACGATGAAAGAAGAAAAGTTCGAGACATTAAGGTGAACATTTTCACAACATATTCTCATGTTTTAAAACTAATTAAATTTTATAAACCTTTTTAGGGTATCAACAAAAGATTCCAGCGCTTGGAGTCGCATGTTGTAACATTAGCTAGAAGTGTAGCTCATCTTTCAAGTGAGATGAGATCACAACATTTAGTGACACAAGAACTCGAACAATTACGTCAAGATTTAAATTTTCGTATGCAAAATTCACATGCAACAAAGTCAGCTGATAATTTGAATGAAAGTGCTGATGGACCAAATTTGACTAATCCAAAGAGAGTTAAGAAGTTGACGAAATTTTTTGGCGAAGATCCACCGTTGATGAGATTATTTTTAAAGAAACTTGGATATGAGGTAAGACATTCAAAATCTTAAGATTTGACAAACTATTTATGGAAATTTTGTTTACCTTTTAAGAAATATGCTGCATTGTTTGAACAAGAACGAGTCGGTATGATTGAATTACCTTACATGGGTGAAGAGCGTTTGCAGAAATTGGGTGTACCACTTGGACCACGATTAAGGATTCTTCAAGAAGCGCAAATATCTCTCATAAAAGATAAAACTTTATGTATTGTTTAACTTTTAATTAATGCTTAGCATTTGAAGCTCTCTGAACATATTTAACACAGTTCATTATCTTTAATTTACAATTATTTCCATGACATTAAACTTAATGAAATCGTTGCCACTTGTAAACCACTTTGAATCATACATATTCATTGAAACTAGTTTTAATCGGCCGGAAGTGTGCAATGTGTGACAATTTTTCTTAACATGCACATTTTTTAGCATCATCTGTTATCTTGTAACTATCTATGCGAATGTAACATGTAGAATACGTTTGTGAAAAATAATAACGATGAAAATTTATTGCATTAATTTAATTTACTCTCCTACATAGATTGATACGAACGACGACCAAAGCATCTTTATAAGGAGATTTTAAAATAAATGAGATTTTTTTATAAAATAATAAGTTGCTGTGTTGTTTAAATTATGTCGGATGATTCATTTACATTTTTCTTTATCTCACATGTGTTGCTGAGGTTTAGGTTGATGATGAAGAAGAATTTGTTAATAACTTGTTCATGATCCTATTTCAACAAAAACCTTTCCCTTATGAAGCTTTAAATTTCTTTCAGTCGACTTTAAAGATTACCCAAAATACGAGACTAAAACAAAAAAACAAAACAAAAAAAAAGGTTTTACTTTAATTTTTGAAAAGAAGTTACAATACTGAGTATTGAACTAAACATTCTGATGATGACAGTTTTGCTGTCGAAAAAGCTATTATAAGTAAGTTAAATGAAAACGTAAAAAGTATAAAATTTTTTTCACGTTCTCAACTCGTTATTTGCTCATAAAAAAGTTTTTCGTAGAAATTTAAAAAACCTTATCATGTTTAAACTTTAACACACAATCATATAGTCAAAGTCAGAAGAAAAAGCTCATTAAATAAAAACATGAGAGCATTAATCTCAATTATTTAGTCTGCTTCTAGTATCAGTTTAACAAGCATCGATTTCATAGAATAATGAAGTTAATTTTTGCTTTTATTTTTGTTTTGTGTTTCGTTAACTTCGGCTTTGCTGAAATTTCACAAATTGAATACACTGATTGTGGTGAAGCGTATGAAAGTGAGTTCAAAATCATTACAAAGAGTGAATAAAGGTGAACTTGATTGGTTATTTATTTGCAGCTCTTCGTTGCACTGTTGACAATGTCAACGGAGATTGTTTAATTGACAGAAATACAAAAGCATGTCGTTTGAAGAGAGGAAATAACTACACAATGAATGTCGACTTCACTCCTGACTTCGAAGGCGACGATGTCACAATGCTTGCTTATGCTTTGCTTCCAGGTGGAATTGATGCGCCTTTTGAGGGAATGGACGATAATGCTTGTCACTGGATGACATGCCCAGTTGTCAAAGATACAAAACAAACTTACACTTTCAAACTTTCAATTAGAAGATCATATCCAAAAGGAATTTTCCAAGTCCGCTGGTTGATGAAGAAAGCTGGCGAACCGAAGTGTTGCTTGGTGAATCGTTTAAAAATTGAATAAACTAAAGTTTGTAAACTTTTCATTGAGAGAAACAATCAGTGATTCATTTTGATGAACATAAATAAAGAACAGCAATGAGAAGAAAAAAATTGATAACATGTTTGAATATCATTTGGGATTCACTGGCGTCTTGATTCTGAGAAAACAACTTGAACAAATAATAATCCAGAGAGAGGTTTGAGAGTGACGCAAATACAAATATGTGAACATCCTCGCACTTTATTCCTTATTTTTGTTCTCAAAATTTTTTTCTGTTGTTATTTTTATGAGATTTTCTCTCACGAGTTGTTTGTAGCTGATAGGGATAGCAGAAGAATGTGACTTGAAACATTTTCAGTCTAATTTGAATGCTTGAATATTGAACAATCATTTGATAACATTTTCGTCATGAAGTTTCTTCTCTTCTCAGCTTTCTTAATTATTTTAAGTGCTTACCCAACAGTACAGAATCAAGTGCCAGCTGAATACGGATCGTGTCCTGAAAGTGATTACGAAGGTAATGTAGTTGAATTTATTAATCTTGAAATCATTATTGAATTCATTTATTTTTCTCTTGACCTTTGAAACCTCTGCAACTTTTTGATTCATTTTGTTTTTATAAAAATCGGAAGATTTGAAATGCACGATAGATTCAGTGACTGTAGAAGGATGTAGAAAAGATCGCAACTCAGGCGCATGCAAAGTAAAGAGAAATGTTAATGCGACAATAAAAGTTGAATTTACTCCCGATTTTGATGGTGATGACGTCACGATGATGGCTTATGCTTTGATGCCTGGAATTGAAAAATCTTTTCCCGATATGGATCCTGATGCTTGTAAGTTTATGACATGTCCAGTTGTGTCAGGAACTTCAAGCACTTATTCCTTTGGATTGAAGTTGGCATCAGCATATCCACTTGTAAGAAATTTAATCAATTAAAAAATAAATTAAGAAATTCTTAATGTCATTTTAAATCTTTTCAGGGTCTCTTCAATGTAAGATTTCTGATGAAGAAAGGCGGTGAAGCAAAATGTTGTTTTGTCACTAAGTTCAGAATTGAGAAATAAGATTCAAATTGTTTAAATAAATGGAAATAAAGTTTAATCGCTTTGAAAGTGATGTTGAATGAAATAGTTTAATTAAAATGATGAAGCTGATAATTGATTAGTTGAATTTGTTATTCATTCATTTCATTCCAGTATAAAATATTTGTTAATAATGATGAAGTATTGAGGGTGGAGGGAGCAGAATGAAAAACTGAAACATAAATCATCGAATCATTAACTATGAATTAATCAAAAAGTGAAGCTTTCCTTTTCATTCATTATTATGATTTGCTTAGATACTCTTCTGGAAATAACTCATTACTAACAAATTCCAAAAGCGTGCAATAAACCTCATTAAAACAAAACGAATAATTTCATTTCGTAAACTAAATCAAGTTTTATTGACATTATAAGCAAATTATGTTATTGAGTCATTGAACTCAAAAATGGGGAAAACTGAACATTGAGTTTGTGCATTCATCATGACTAACATTTAAACAACTTTTTAGTGCACTTGCATTTGAACGAACATATCGAGTTCACTTATTTAAAGCTTACTTTTACAGCTTTATTGATATTTTGGAGAAGGGATTTTGAAATCACACGAAGTTGCCGGCATAAAACACGTTTTTGTGTAATAAAAAATATTTATTAAAAATAACTCTCGTCACGTGCTGTCTGTAAAACGAATATGGTTTAATTGCAGGTGGTTTAATTTAGATTAAATAAAAAGACGAAGATTCAAGGTAAACGAGACAAACCTTTTTCCTTTTTTATCAAAATGGTAGATTTAAAACACTTTTTTGTAAACAACCACAAGTTTGAATGTCAAAATATTTAGTTGCGGATTTTTAATCTAGATGCAAGGTGTGGCAAATCAAAACTTTTGGAAATTCTTATGACCATCTTGTGTACATGCCTTAAGATATTTTTGTCAAGTCACTCTTGATCAATATTTCTTTTTATTTAATTGAGAAGAAGCGGAAATTTTACCGTCTATCGTTTCATCAAATTTCAAAAATTAATTAAACTTTTCCTTTCGAAACTAAATATCCGGAAAAACTTTCAAATCAAATTGCTATCAAACATGAAAAATTAGTTTAGATTATAAACGTCATTAATGAATTGAGCCAAAACGAGAAATTTCAAATCTGATTTTCGTTTTTTGCTTCCTCTAGCACAATTTTTTTGCTCAACTTTACTTTCTATTAATCTAATGGTTATTTTTGCTGATGCAGAGTTTAAGTTGTACTCGTAACTAACATGTTGGTTAAAAAAGTGTAACAAATTCAAATTACTCAACTGCTGTTTGGTCTTAAAAATTTTAAACTCGACATTGTTTCTCAACAATACTTTTGCTTTTCATCAAATCGACCAACTGAGAGACAAAAAAAAAACTACTTCGTGAGTAGCACTCGTTGTGAAGAAAGATTGGAAAGAAAGAAATTTTATTTCATTTTGCATCACTTTTCCTTCATACCTATCAAGCATTTAGTTTCATTTCTTCGTTTCTTCTTTACTACTTTTCTTAAATAATTAAAAGTGTTCGATAGAAATCTTTTTCAAGTGTCTTAATATCTATTAACAATCGAAACGGCATGTTCACCGATTAATTTGAGTGTGAGAACTGCTTTAAATCGAAGATCGTCGAAATTTAGTTCAGTTGAGAATTTGTAGGTCTTTAAGAGTTTTAATAAAATAATCTTCATCGATATCATCGCATATCGATGTCCAATACAGTTTCGTCTTCCCGTAGAGAACGGAATGTAACTACACGGGTGGCGTTTGGCGACGTTTTCCGGAAGAAAGTGGTCGGGGTTAAATAGGTCAGCTTTTTCGCCCCAAATATCTCGTCTTCGATGAAGAGCGAAAATATTCAGCACGAAAGTTGTTCCTTTGGGAATCACCAACCCTTGTTCAATTTCGAAATCATCCATGGCTTCTCTAAAGATAACAGGTCCAACAGGTGCCACCCGTAGTGTTTCCTTAATCACTCGATCCATGTACTGAAGCTTCCCAAGTGATTCAAAAGTTATTTCATCGTCAGTTGCATAAACTTCGTTTATTTCTTCAACCATTCGGTTTTGCACATTTTGATGTTGTGCCAAAAACAGAATACAGTGAGCGGTTGCTGTGGCTGTTAATTGAAAGTAAATATAAAGGAAAAATGTCATTACCGGTCAATAGACGATTACAAGATTAATTAAATTGAAAGATTATCTTTTGGTTTCCTTAATGTCATTAATGGGCCTTGGGATGATCAGAATATTATTGTTGAAACTTGATACTTTCCAATTCAAGTCTAGTCTTGCTTGAAATGCTTTTAAGCTTAGTTAAGCTTCCACATTTCTTGTTAAACTACCATAAAAAAATTCTCACCTGAAGTTTCGTAACCTGGAAAAACCATAGAAAGAATATTAACACAAAACATTCAATTCTTCGTTTCAAAAATATCTGAATCACATTTTGTCTAGCACTTAACCGAAAATTCGTTTCATTTATCTTTATCAACACAAGACGTGTCGTAATGTCAACAAAAGATTTTTTAACAAAACAAAATTTAATCAGATGCTAATATTATTCAAAAGATTCATCACATTTTTCTCTTAAAATTATCTGTGAGTACAAAATAACAACAGACATTGACCGTGAAATTTTTAATGATTATGAGCTTTTACCTGCTGATAAAACGGTTATGACATGATGTTGAATGTCTTCATCCGAGAACATTCCCTCATTATTAAGAATGTGGTCGATAAAAATGTTGTAACCGAGGTCCTTCTCGTCACAGTTGTTATTATTCTTCAAAATCTCACGTCGTTCATCAATGATTCTCTGGTGAAAGTCTTTCAAATACTGGCCTTGTCTTTTGTTCTCGTAATATCTCGGAGTGAGTTTAAATATCGTGTCAGGGTAAACCAACGGTTTATTTTGGAGCATGGCTACAGTCTCCGATGTACTATGGGAACGTAAAAAGATGCAAGTTAAAATTTTTGTTAATAGCCTTGCGACGATAATTTTAAGTGGTTCAATCAAACGTCATAAGAGAAGCAGCACGAGTTGATTTTTGAAGTAAATGAGATCATAAAAATTCATTGTGAGTTAGTACACTCGATTGTTATGTTATCAAATTGGAAGTTTGGAAGTGGAAAATGTTAAAAGAGTTTTTTACTTATCGACAAATCATGACAGAATTCATAATGCAATACAGTAAACTTTCTTTAAATTGATTTGTTAATTGTTTGCTTTTTATATTTTCTTTCCATTAAATTTCAATTTGTGAAACATTCGTCGCATCTCTTCACTTAACAACATCGATGATATTTATTATTATGTAAAAGTTATGAGATTGCAAACCTGTAGAAAAAGCTTCTTTTTGAAATTCAAGGTAGGCACACGTTACAGGTTTCCATGTGAATGTCTATTCAGTATTAAAGAATGTTCCTTGTTGTGAAGATATTTAATACGAAGTTTGAAATTTTTACCGGCAAAAAGTAAAACGTGATTGATGCCAGTATACTTAAAGTAACCTTTCACCAATGTGCAGTTACAGTATGAGAGTTTAATACAATGTTTAATAGTAAAAATGTCGCCTCCAACCAATTAAACCTCTGCCTTCTGGTTTGTGAATCTTGTTTAACGAGATTTCACTTATATCAAGTATTGAACTGTTGCATACAGTCACGAAGTAATGTCTTATGCCAAATTTGTTCATTAATGAGAACCACGGGTGACAAGAAATGCTGCGATGACTTGTGGTGATGTTTGTATAAAAAACTATTATTATAAAGTGCTACTTACTACTCCACAGCGTGAAAAACTTTGTTGAAAGTTTCATCGTTTTCCGCATCTGAGATGTTCATGCCTAGAGATGTTGAACAAATCATCTTCAAAGTGCATCGAATTGTATAATCGAGTATATTGAATGAATTCCCATCGACAAAACTCGCAATTTCATTTGTAAGTTTATCAGCAGTTTGAATAAAAATCGGAATGAATGATTGCAACGTGGAAATTTTAAATGAGTTGTTAAAGAAACGACGATCATGTTTCCACTTTGGATAACGTGATGACAGGAGACCGTTGTCCAGATTGAATAATTTGTATGCGATGTAAGGCTTCTCCATACAAACATCAGAATTGAAAACCTTTTGAATTAATTCGGGACTGTTCACGATAATACCCATGATATGCAGGAACCAAACCTTAACAAGATTTGGGTACAGGAAGCATAATTCTGTGATCAGCTTTAGTTGTTCTATGGAGAAAGGAAAAGTTCAATGAGAAAACATTTTTCCACATCGATCAACTTTCACTTTCAAGACAATTCGAGCGCAAAAACAGTTTATAAGCCATCATTATATTTGTATTTTTGATATTATTAAAAGCTTCCGACTTGAGAGCATCACTACAATGATTACTTTTTTTTTGTTCGCCACTTAGAGTCGGTCTATTTCTTTTTTTTTGCAAAGTCATTTCTTAGATGAGAAATTCATGATTAACTACGATAATCTTGGTCAAGTCATTTAGTGGTCATACTGAGATAAAAAAAAAGACAAAACTTTTACATTCGTTGATTTCTGATGGTGCACTAAACTTTTAAACACAATCTTTTGATGTTTTAAACGTTAAATCAACTTTAAGCATATATTTGTAGTATTTTAAGCGTGACAAAAATTAAAAACGTTTCTCTTGTTGTAAGAAAGTGCACTGAGATATCACCAAAGATTTCTTTTTAAAAGACGCAATCAATTTTCAATTTCATTCTTTTTGAAGTGTGTTAAAGAGAAGAGACAATAAATAATAACGATCGTTTGAAACTAACTAAGACGACAATGCTTTGTGGTTCTTTGTTTTTTTTTTCGTCAACATAATTATATTCAGTTATGCCTTTGTCATTTTTTTCTCCTTTCAGTTGATGTTCACATTTTATGTCAAGTGATTTTGGTTTAAAAAGAAGTTTAGGAAAACTTAAAATAAGTTGGTCAAAAAATTTTATAACAAGCACTAAAATAATTTTTCTACACAATTTTAACTTTAATCAACAGAATCATTTGGAAAACATTTGTGAGTCCGACTCAAGCATTTTTCCATGCTTTAACCACATCGTCAAATCACTCATAACGAGAATTAAATTTAATAAGCACCTTCGTTATTCAATCCAATCATTAAATGTGCATGACCTATGATCGGAAGTGCATTTGGTGCTGGAATGTCGAGTTGAATCTTTCGATAGTTTTTCATAAAGCACATAATTCCGGCAAAAATTGCAACGAAAGCTAGGAAGACAAATGCAACACCCATGATGATGTTCAACAGCAATATCAAAGTTTAGCTTTTTTTTATTTTTCGCAATTAACGCGGTATAACTTGTTTGTTCACTATCTTTAATTCCCTTTTTGCACTGATCGTAGACGAGAAAATAAACAGTATTTTTTTTTTATTTTGAAAATTAAAACCAAAAGAAGTTTCGCAGACGGTAAAAAATGTTAACTGACTCGAGCAGCGGTTGAATGGGAACTGTCTGCAAGTTTTGAAAAAACGTATTTTTCGGGCCACGCTATAGCTTAGCTGGTTAATGAAAATGTTAAAAGACGGGCGGTAGTCCAAGCATTGGCTTCATGTATACAAAAAGAGTAAGACTGCTTGGAACCATTCATTGTGTATTTATTTTTATTTTCGAAAATTGATTCAATGCAAACACCAGCGGCTCGATGTCGGCAAGTTTTAATTGACAAAAGCAAAGAAGCATACCTTGTCTTCATAGATAACATTATGGGGGCAATTTGTGATTATTGTGAACTGCGAAGTTTTTCGATGTATTCAAATGACTTCAACCGTGCTTTTGTCTTTTGCGACTCTTTCAAAATAACAATAAAAAGAATAACTTTTATATACATAAGCTTTTGTCAACAATAGGTAAGCATATTAGGTGACAAATGAAGGTGTGCCTTGATGTGCCTCAAGAAAGGATCATTAATAAGAATCTGAGATTATCGCTTATTTTTTATGCTGTTAATTTTTTTTATTTTATGTTGCTAATTCCAAATCTTCCAAATGTCACGTTTCAGCCTCGTTCAGGGCCTTAAAGTCTCAAATAACTCCCATTTCAATGATGCAGTAAAACAATTATTTAAGTTCGCATCGCTAACCCGATTAAATTCCGGTTCGAAATTATACCTGAATACATAAAAATTTATTTCATTTTATATTGTTCGCAAAACTTTAACAAAACTTTGTATTAAAAATTTAAAATAAATTGAAGATGTAAGCTCATGCCGGTACTATACAGTATTTAACTTGTGTTATCATATTGAAAGTGAGAAGATGCTTGACAGTAAGAGTGAAAACATTTTCATCTTTCACTCCCTTGTTTCAATGTTAATAATCATAAATAACTGTCATTAAAAAGACAAATGATAATTCAAATACCTTCTAATAGATGGAGCTAATTGTGAATACTGCAATGAAAGATTCAAAATTTTGATTTCCCACTTTAAAAAACACGATTGTCTATTAAATTAATAAGTAAATCTAAAGGAATTCATTTCGAATAGATTTTTATTGTTTTTTTAAGTAATGATGAAGGCAAAAGGGATTTATTGCTGATTAAAATGAATAAAAATCGTTTGAAAAGTATAATTTCAACGTTACTGTCACTACTCAGACTGTCACTTGAAAACTTGGAGAGTTTTGTATGGACAGGTCGAATCCACGAAATCATACATATGTTCAATTTTTGTTATTAACATGAACAAATGCCAGCATTTGTATTCAATTCTCCAAAGCGTAAAGTTTGTACTCGCGTTTTGAGTTAATTTATTTTGATTTCGCTGAACTTATCAATTGTAGATTTGATAGAATCGAAATTCTCGTGATAGGTATAACTATTGAAGTGATTGTGAATGTTAAAGTCTGCTCATTGTGCCTTATTTGAGCCAAAATTAAATAAAATTCCCCGAAAGCCATTGCAACATAATTTACATTTGTTGGCACAAAGAACAATTCATTGAGTAGTGAACAGTGAGAAATAGAAGAAGAAGTTGATTTTTTACGAATGTAGTTTGTTGTTGGTGAAGTCTGATAACGGTTTTGTCGCAAAAAGTAGCAAATTATATATTGTTGTGTGCGAGACGTTGAATAATTTGCTCTTATCAAGAAAACAATTTAGTGATTGCTAACAGCAAATCGTGTAATCAATATCAATATATCATTCAACGAAAATCTTCACCGAAAAGTTAATCAAGTAGCAAAAATATTACGTCAATTGTATTAATTATTTGCCGAAAAGCGTAACAGTGTGAAAACATCGTTTCATCATCAAGGGACAAATTTGAACAAATAATGAGGTAAAAACGCTTAAATCATCTACTTAATCATCGAGTCATGAATTTGAATTCAATAACAAAGCCTTGAACAGAGCATATCTTAAAAAAATAAATAGTTTTGCTAGATGTTGCTTACTAAATTAACTAAATACTTGTCATTGCGCGAACAAATATTTTAATGCTTGCTTGTCCACCACAATGCTATGCAATTCCGACATTTCATCTGTGATTTAACAACTCAAAAATTAACAAACAGTATCGATCGTCAACTTTCGCTTTTCGCCTTCAGGATTTCTTAAACCTTCTCAAAATATATTTCAATAACAAATATCTAATAAAACAGAAGGTTTTTGGAACAAATTTTACAGAAAAGTTCATTCAATTGAATTCAATTTAAAGTTCTATAAGAAGAAGATTGTGTGACACTGTTTTGAAAAACACTGAAAAATGCTGCAATATTCAACGAACTATTACCGGAGATTGCCTTTTTAACTTCATTACGAATGCAACCTTCAGCTTTGCTATAAAAGAAAGAGAGAAATTAATTGCGAGCATGAAAATATTTATAAGAACTTGACATACAAATGATGCAACGTATGGAAATCGAAAAGATCAACAGAATTAAAAATCAAACAACCTGCACAAGAGAATTTGAGTAACTCTTGAAAAAATAAAATAAAAAAGTTAGCAAATGTACACAAAGTTTGCGCTTGAATGATTTGAATGAGTTTTGGGAATTTATTCTTTAGAAAATATTCATGAATTAAGTACTTACGACAACGATTCTCTTGAAATTCCGTGGAGCATAATTTTTAATTCAAACAACATTAATTTATACTATGACACTGTTTACTAAAGGATGAAAATTATTTTCGTCTTGAGATATGAAAATGTCCAAAACTTCTTTTTGTTTCTTTCTTTCCGATGTTTTGGATGTGCTTGTGGCGACAAAAATAACATTTATGGTCGTCTCGTGGGCTTGTTTGGCAAGACATTACGCAACTCACTTAAGTAGAATACGGGAATGATGAGACAAGAAGTCGCTTAAATAATTTTAAATAAAATCTTCCTGAACGAAATTCGCCAGATGTTAATTCGGTTATAAATGATTCTTTAACAAAAAAAAACCCACCGGCTGTTGCTTCCTTACCTTACTGAGTTAGTCTTCCGTTCTGTTTTTAAGGATTCGTAACTCACACAACTGCATGAAATATTTATTAATATATCTAAACATAAACGGAAAATTATCCGCGCGGTAATGCGATAATCATCTCACACATCCGGTTTCTTGACGTACCATAAAGTTCAAATATTTGCTCCATTCTCGGATTTTATAACATTTTTTGTTTTTGGTTTCGGTCCCAAACTTTTATTTTCACATACATTCTGACTTTTGATTGCGTTACCACAGTCAAAAAATGAAAACTTTTCTGTTGTTGCGGTGTTGAATGTAATCATAATGAAGAGCGAATGAGTGAATGAAAACGACCATCAGTAAAATGTCTAAAAAGTGAGCTTTGTGGGAAATGTTATTGAGATTAGCGTGAATCGTTGTCATAATGAAAATACTAGCATAATTTTAATGAATTAAACTTTTACGTCTAAGTAATTGAGTCATTTGGAGAGATTGCTCGGAAGTGTCTGTAAAATTGCAGGGAAAATGTGGGAAGTTATCAAAATTAATTTATGACATGATAAACCGTTTGATGAAGTTTGTTTAAGAAAACTTGAATTAATTTCATGAGTATTAATTACACTGCAGTGCAGTGTAGTGAAAGGTTGATAAAAATCTTGGGAAGTGAAAGGTTTATAAAGGCGATTAAGGGACGAACTTCGTCCACATTTATCTGAAGGTTTATTAAAAATTTATGTAAGGAAAGGATTAATTAACAGCTACACTTTCAAAATCTTAAACTTTTATGTAAAAATCATATTTTGTTTCAAAGTTTTCTTTTTTTTCCCATGAATTATCCACAACGATCGGAAACTGTGAAAAGAATTTCATCGGTTGTTGCCAATCGAGACCGTTGAACATTTTTATGTTCTTAATTGCGACCTTATTTGAACGGGCAAAAAACAGAATAAGAAAAAGAAAGATTCCAGTTACCTTTCAAATTAATAAGTAAAGAAATAAAACTCAATTTTTAACGATGTAAACCACCGTGTTGTATTAACATTCCAAAGTAGATAAAAATATTTGATTGAAAACAAAAAACATTCCCATTCATTGAATTTCTGATTCACAATACTTGATGACTTATCTTATCTCATGACATTTATAGTTTCACCTATTTTTTATTGTTTCATTGATGATAAGATAAATGTTAAGCGTGACACATGATGAAGCACTTCATAGTCAAATAACGTTGTCGAAATGAAATGAGAAAATTATTCAATCGAAATAACGAAACAAACGATGAAAGAAATGGCTGAGAAAGCTTCACGATTTCATCTTTTTATTTATTTATTTTCTTTTATGCTTGTTAATCTCACATCACGAATGTTTCTATTTCTGTACAAATCCACATTTGGAGACGTGATCTTGGACAATAATTTTCTAAAAGTCTATCCATCTGATTAAATTAACGACAAAGTTGAGTTGAGGTTCTATATTGGGAATGAGAGATGAATTGAAGAATTATTTCTCATATTTATCTGTTCGTATTGTTTCGTTTAGGTGGGTCAATCGAATTGTGCTCATGGAGATGAGAAATCGCCTTCCGATAATTCGAATCTTGTCTTGTTTGTTCTTATACATGGCTCGTCTTGTTGATTACTTGTGTAATTATTCTGCTTCGTTGCTAGCAAAAGTTTTATTAAGGCAAATTGTTTAATTACACAAACGCCCACACCATTAAACTCATCGCTGATTTTTTTCATGTTGTCTTCTTTGAATTGAAATTGTTAGCCAGTGAATTGATTTTTAAGTTTGAGTTTCATCTTCCGCCAATGTTTTTCACCAAATTTATTCATCTAAACTAGTTAAATGTTGAATTTAAAAAAGGTCGCCTCAAGCATTGTTTCAACTTCTCTTCTGTCGTGTTTTGTAATATAAAAAAGCTACTGATTTTAAATTAACACAACAAAATAGCAACAGCGGGCCCGAAACCATTTTTTGGCTACCTCGAAAGGAAGTTAAGGGGAAGAAGAAAACGCGCCTCTTACAGTAGCACAACCCGAGCGATGCTTATTGAAATTGAATTAAACTCGCAGCCCGTAAAATGACTCGCTAAAAAATGCTTTGATTTTTTATTAATGTTGTGAAAAAAAGAAGAATTGTTTGCCTCTCTCGCTGTTGCGGTTGAGTTGAATGAAGATTCTTTAATGAAGAAAACCGGTTTGGGATTGTGGAATTTAGCGGGTGGTCAGCGATAATAAAACACGATGGTAGACGAGGTAAGATAAAATCGCAACTCTCGAGAGTTGTTGAACAAGTTTCAAAGATTAAGAAAACAAGTCATTAGTGTATCTAAATTCGACACTCATATTTATGTCAATAAATTTTGTCGGCCAATTATTGACTTCCATTTTTGATAGTTTAGTAATTTATTAATTAAATCATCCGATCCGTTTAAAATTCTTCCAATAATCGTTTTTTAATGGGCTCCATCGTCATTGAAATCTTTTGGGATTCTCTTGAACTTCGTTATTCGTTTCCGCCTTTGCTCGCATTCACCGATACCTTGAAGAACTTTTTTCTTTTATTTCGTCTGAGAATGTGTCGAAGGCAGAATTTTAACGGTAAATGTTGTTAGACTTGAAATCGAAAGGCGCTTTGAATGTTCCAAACTTACTACCAAGGGAAAATGTTTACATTTCCATGTTGGGGAAAAACTTCCAATTGTTGTAATTGCGCAATCTCTCATGGAAGGAAACTACTGGAAATTAAGGGATTTCAAGTGCTTCGAAACAGGTCCGGATTAATAGATTTTTTATTAAAATTTAAAGCCGATTAAAATGTTAAACAATTTATTAAATTAATTAACAAAGTTTCAATGAAACCTGTTCGTGAGTTTTGCAATTTCACCTTCAAAAATATTTGAGTTTTTATTGACATTCCAAACGGACCTCTCCGAGATCAACACGAAACCTTCACCTCCTCACTTCCTTGCGACTAAATCTTTGTGTTGTTTTGGTTTCCTTTGACGTATTTTGTTTTGGTTCGTCAGAAAAAATGTTTCTTACTCGTTCATTTCAAGTGTTTAATGCTCATTAATCAGTTAAAGTGTACATTTAATGTCACGAATTATCACGAAATGTTAAACAGAAACACGTAAAATTGTCGTGAAGTTGTGAAATTATTGAAGAAAAGTTGGAAAATAGAAAGAAAAATAAAAGATTGAAGAGAAAAACTTTTTTCTATGATCACCGCAAAAATCTTGTCATAAACATCGTCGACCATGGACAAAAGTGTTAATAATTTTGATGATGTCGAAGACACGATGTCGAGTGTCTACAATGCATGGCGTAAGCAAACATTTTACGAGTATTTCTCGCGTTTTCATGAACAAAAAAATAATCAATCTCGCTCCATCTCTCTCATTATTTCTTCTTCTTATTCTTCATTCGTGAAGTTCCTTTGAAGAAATTTCTTGCGTTAATCTCTGATAAAGCCTTTGAAAACAATGAAAAAGAATTTCTTGTCTTTCCTTAAAATCTTTCTTTGACTTTTAACTTTGACTTGAAAAGTCTTAAAATAAAAAAACAACCGCAGAAAGAGTTAACAACACATAAACTTGAACAACAAAAACACAAAAGAGAAGAAACAATTCTTTTAATAATTTTTTACAGACGAAATGTTGGAATCAGAGAATTCTAGTATGGCCGAGCGGCTCTACGACCTCGAACGTCAAGTGTTGGAGCAACAAGAAGAAATCATCTCACTTAAATCGACACTTTCGGAAGTGTTACGTCGTCTAAATAACCTCGACTGCAATTCATCACGCATATCAACATCAACATCCTCTTCCAGCTCTTATGAAACGACAATTAAGAATAACAGAAGTAAGTAACTTGCATTAGAATTGAAAAGATTTTCATTTACATAAAAGTTGGAAGAAGAACAAAAATTATGATTTTCGACCTTGATGCTTAAGTTGATTAATGATTATTTGAAAAAGCATTTAAAAGTTCATCAATGGAAGTCGTCAAGTGAGGTGAAACCCAATAATTCCCAACAGTCACACGATTTATAATAAATTGTTTTAAGCGACTCACTTTAAATACCAAAATACCAAAATTTGATGAGCTTCTAATGACATGACTATCCCACACCTTTTCTAAATTGAATTTACTCGAGAGTTGTTGATATCAAAATAATTTTTCCTGACATCAAAATGTAATTAAACACCTTTTCCTTTTCCGCATGCTGTTTATTTCAGTACGTTCCACACAAATCACCACAACACTTGATGGAAACGATTGGCGGTTAAGGAGAAGTGGAAGCAACACAAATAGTACAACAAATTCGCCTTCTAGATTTCAAGCAAACAACAAAAGCAACTTAAATCGACGCTCATTGCATCATCAATCGAACGGTTCGCTTCATTCAGCGGATTCTCAAAGCAGCACATCACCAGCACCATCGCCACTACCTCGACCAGTTACTGTCCATTCCACAACGCCATTACAGTTGAACAATCAACATGCCTTGCAGAATCAAACATCAGCATCAAATCTTCTCGGTCAGAGTGGAACGAGTAGCCCAACAGGACTTGGAAAGCGTTGGAGCTCAACTGGTGACTTTGTGACATCACCAACTAATCAAGCATCTTCTCCAACACTTCAATCAACACGCTTCGCTACAAAATCGCTGCTCAATCTTCAATCAAAAAATGGCATCGGTAATGCTTTGAAGCATGGGTGAGTTCGTCATGTCATCATTGCAAAAAAAAAGACAGCCAAATGTTTGTTATGTTTTATGTTCAACAACATTCTTTGATGTTCACCCACGGACATTTACACAAACACAATTACACATTTCTAAGCTTATTTTTTGGGTCGTTTCGTATCAAATTACCTGAACTTGTCTTTATAATTTCAATTTACTTTATTTCTACGTCATTGCAACTCATCCATCCCAAGTATTGATTAATTTAACTTACAATCGATATTTTATCAAAAGATTCTGTCTTGATGTGTAGGAAGAAGATTTCTTCTCAATTGAAAATATTTTTACGGTTTTAAATTACCTGAAGATGACTTTCAATGAAATCGAGAAGAATGAGAAGTTTTGTTGAATCGAGCTTCACTTATGCGTAATATGACACTACAGAAATCTAATTTAATTCATCTGATGATAATCTAAGAAGAAGCTCATAAATTTATGTTCAGTTGATTAATCTTATTGACGGTGGGGTGTGTGCTGTTGAAGGGGAGAACATTTCTTTCGCTCGATCTCGTGGTGATAATAAAGTCATCGATTTAATATAAACGAAGAGTATAAAGAAGGAAAACAAATCGATGAACCGATGGAATCAAAAGCTGCTTATCACATTCATAAAATATTTATGAAGTCAAGCGATTTTGAAGGAAATCTTTGATTTAACGGAGCTTTGAAGAGAGCTTCCATAAACAGAAGCGTGAAAACAAGTCTAGATAAGATAAAGTGAGGTTGAAACCTTTTTATTCTTCTCGTAGTGAACCTGACGAAATTGACCTTTTGGGTTGTGACGAAAGCTTTGATCTTCATAATTTTCTATAAGATAATTGGATATCTTCCCTCGTCATTTCAATGTCATGGCTTTTAAGCTTAACAATGAAGTCGTTGCCCAATATTTAAAAGCCAACAAATTAAAGACTGTTTTGTTTTTGGCGAAACCATATAAAATTTATACTGCTGTCGGAAATGATCTTGTGGTCAAATTACCAGCTATTTCATTTTCTAGATCAACATAAAATACAATTAAGTCCGAGAATGGGCAGAAGAAGAATTCTTCTCTAATCGTTGTGGAAAATTAATGATCGACTTTTAGTTAAGTTTAGTTTCGTTTTAGTCTTTCGTGAAAACGCAAGTCAAACTTTTTACTTCGCTTTTATCTTGCAAAGTTTATTAAAATATTTTATTTTATCAACGCTCGCTTTATTATGGCACCGACTCGTCATTTTATGTAACTCATTCGTATCAAAAGCATCATTTACCTATTTTCATCTCATCTACATTTGAAATTTTGTGTTGCTCTCGATTTGTTTGTTTGTTACGAGTTGAACTTTTTTATTTGTTAATATTTTGTTAATCGAGAAAAAAGTTGCAGTTTAATTGTTGATTGCATAACATAGTGAAGCATTTTATGTTTAACTGTTTCAATGTATATAAAAACTTTGCTGCTTTTTACCCTTCATGACGTGAATTCAAAGCATGAAAAGTCATTAAAATGCAAAAATAAATATTCGACAAAGTTAAGCGAATGATTCAAAGGCATTGTATTCATGACATCATGTGAACAAGCCATCTTGTGTCGTACATTTTTTTTTCACAGTTCACCTGCTAATTGTATGCCTCAATAATTCATTTCAATCGCTTATAAATGTTTTATTGTCTGTTGAGTGAAAATAAAAAAATATTTTTTGTTTCATGTTTGAGATTTGATGGAAATGGAAAAAAAAAGATTAATTGTTCTGTAAAATCAGCGTGTAGGATTTGTTTAATTAATTTGTCATAAATATTGAATAAAATTCGATGAACTTTTGATTTAGAAAACACATAAAATTGAAAATATTTGTGACAAAATTGTACAAATCCATCAAAAAGTTTCATAATAATGTTTTCATTTTATTCAATGATTTCTATAGTTCCAGTTCAGCACAATATGATGATGACAATAACAGCATTCGTATGTATTTACGTGGCCGTCCAGTGACAGTTTTTGTTCCTGAAAAGCGAGCCGACGCAATCAATTATGATGTCACCAAAGTTCAGCCGGCACCTAATAAGAAGTTGAAGTTAGATTGGGTGAGTAATAAGATAACTAAAGAATGTCTAAAAATTAAACAAACTCATTTTTAAGGTGTATGGATATCGTGGAAAGGATTGTCGATCCAATCTTTACCAATTACCAACTGGTGAGATTGTTTACTTCGTAGCTGCAACGGTTGTGCTTTATAACATCGACGAACAATCGCAACGACATTATTTGGGTCACACTGATGACATCAAAAGCTTGGCAGTTCATCCAAATAAACTTCTAATTGCAACTGGACAATGTGCTGGTCAAGATAAGCGAATTGCTTCACCTCATATTCGTGTTTGGAATTCTGTGTCACTTGCGACCACAGCAATTATTGGTGCAGGCGACTTTCAAACATCAGTTACGTGTGTAAGTTTCAGTCAAGCTGACAACGGAACACTTTTGCTTGCCATTGATGATTCGACTGAGAAGACAATTAGTGTTTGGGAGTGGCAGAAAGGTGACACTGGAAAGAAAATAACTGAAACGAAATGTTCAGTCGATACTGTCGTTGCTGCTGAATTCCATCCACTTGATCGCAATCAAATCATCACCATTGGAAAGAATCACATTGCATTTTGGACACTTGATCAGAATGGTGCACTTTATAAGAAGATGGGAATATTTGATAGTCGTGAGAAGCCGAAATATGTTACGTGCCTGACATTCACTCCATTCGGTGATGTCGTGACTGGTGACTCCAATGGAAATATTATTTTATGGGGACGTGGCACCAATGCTATTGGAAAATTCGTCAAGAAAGTTCACGAAGGCTCAGTGTTTTCACTCTGCTCATTGCGAAATGGAAAACTTATTTCAGGTGGTGGTAAAGATGGCCGTCTGGTGTTGCTTGGCGAAGATTTAATGCCAGTTGGATTGGAAAATTACATTGAACCACATTTTGGTTCTGTTCGTGTTGTGACTCAAGGAAAAGGCATGCAATTGTTGGTGGGAACAACAAAGAATTGTATTCTTGCTGGTGATCTTGATATGGGATTCACACCGGTCGTTATGGGCCACACTGATGAACTTTGGGGACTTGCAGTTCATCCCAACATGCCACAATTTATCACTGGCGGTCGTGATCGTTTACTTCAACTTTGGGATACTTTATCACATTCTGTTGTGTGGAGTAAAGATATTGGTGAACAAGTTCAATCTGTTGAGTTTACACCCGATGGTGAATTAGTTCTTGTTGGATCGGCCACTGGAAAGTGGATGGTTTTTGATACAATGTCACGAGAACTTTTATCACAATATACCGATGGACAGGAAGCCATTCAAACAATCAAATGTGCACCAAATGGGCAATTGGTCGCGATAGGATCGCGTGATAACATCATTTATATTTATCAACGTACGAGTGTACCACACAAGTTCAATCGAATTGGAAAATGTTCAGGTCATTCAAGTTTCATTTTGCATGTTGATTGGTCGGTCGATAGCGACGTTTTGAGAAGCAATTCTGGAGATTATGAGGTTTTGTTCTGTAAGATAATTTAATTATAAATATATAATTACCATTTCTGAATATTCTTATTTTTTTCTTCCCAGGGAATCCGAATCTATGCAGGCAAATTCCAAATGGTTCATCACTTCGTGACGTAGAATGGGAGACTCAAACTTGTACTGTTTCATTTGAAACTGTTGGAATATGGCCAGATGGTGCTGATGGTACTGATATCAATGTTGCTAATCGTAGCAAAGACAAGACATTGCTAGCAACTGGTGATGATTTTGGAAAAGTTAAACTTTATTCATTCCCAGCATGTAAACCTAAGGTAAAATATTTAACGTCTTTCAATGATTTAAAATTTACATTTGAATTTCTAAAAACCGTTATTTTCTCATCATCACATATAGTCGCTTTCATACTCTTATGGCGGACATTCAAGTCATGTAACATCTGTTGGATTTTTACATGACGACACACGTTTAATATCAACCGGAGGAGCAGACACATCAGTCTTGCAGTGGTCAATTATCTAAAAACATTACTAAACGAATTGACACGGAATTGTTATCTAATCTTTAATGCAACAAAATTACTCTCTTTTTATTCCGATATTATTCGTAAAGAAAAAGAAACAAATATTTTTCGATCATATAACACGATGAAATGAAAAGCTTACATTAAAATAATTCCCAGAGAAAAGCATGGATTCCTTTGAAAATCTATTTATAGGATTTTAGAGTTAATTAGTGCACATTAAATTAACTGAGAATTTCCATCTCTATAATGCCTCAAAAAGAAAATGCTGTTGAATCATAATTACCAATCTAATATAATTTTGAGCTATGAAACCTTCTGATATTTAGATGCAAATTTATCGCTGATTGATATCACTGATTCTACCATGCTTAAAGAATCTAACATCTGACCTTCTTCAAACTATATAATTAGATTTATTGAAGCCCTTAAAAACCTTACAAAATTAATTTTGCATATATAAAATCTTATCACTAAATATAATCTCCACAATAATTAACTTTAATCACAACTAATTTATAAAGTAACTTTAGAAACTATTGCACCTCGAAGGAGTTGAATGGCTTCATTGTGAGAACGAATTTGCTTCGTTGCAGCAGAATTTCCATAAGCCTCAATAAGCAAATGTTTAAAAGTAAAACAAGTTTCTAAGAATGACAGGAAAATAAAGAATAAAATAATGAACTTTTGAATGAAAATCTTTTCTTCCTTCTTTTTGTATCAAATTTTCTAATCGATTTTTTAATCAACAATTTGTGGAAATAAACATGAAATAATTTTCCTTCTCGATATGTTTTCTAAATTCAGTCAAAATGTTATCTAGAAGAAAATAAAAATTATTAAAAAAACAAACTTTGTAGAAATTGTATCACGAAAAAGTTTGAATTTAGTTTCAGCATTTATCAGGTCATTAAATGTTTATATATAGTTTTCCAGATCAAAACCTGCTTTTTTCGGAAATTGAAAAATAATCGGATATCACTTGATGAATATCAATGTAGGTCATCAAAGTGTGTTTATAATGCAGAAGTGGGTTACAAGGACGACCGAGAAGCTCCAAGTAATTCTTATGCAGAAGGCGTTCATTCATCGCCCTTCAGGCTATGTCGAGTTAATAGAAAATATTTTCCACCGTGTGTTGAACACGAAACTCCCTTGCCACATTTTTCAACCGAAATGTGTGTGAAAATTGATTTAATCATGGGCTACGATTTTGAAAGATGAGAAGAAAAATTTAAACATATGTCACTTCTATGATGATGCTGAATATTTTACATGTTTGCATTAATTTTTCATTTTCCTTCACCCAGATAGTTGTTGTTGGGGATTTAATTTCATAATCTTTAATTTATGTGTAATGACAAAATGATTCATTTCAGTTTTCCAGCACATTATGGTGAAAATATCGGTCATGAAAAAGAAAACAAACACTTGATAGAACTGAAGGAATTATTGTTGATTCACGACAAAGAATAGTGTGAAAATAATTTTCTTCAACTTGAAAGAAGATTTCGAGCAAAGAAATTTAAAAGAAAAACACAAGCAAGCTCCTTAAAGTTATGCAAACCGCTTGACGGCGAAAAGCCACATCCCACAAAAGAAAGTTACAGGCCACACCCATAATTTTTGCTTGAAAAAATGAACATTTTTTAAACATGTTCTCAACTTCACCATCCAACAGAAAAACATTTTCCCTTAACATACATTTATTTTTTATCCAATTTCAAAGTGAGCTTGTTCTTTTATCATTTCAAAGCAAAAAAAAATCAACAAATTGACTTTTCAACAATGGACATTTTTTTCTTCATTTGAAAACAAATCGCATTTTTTTTCTCTCATGATGTCACATGAACCTTCGACATTTACAGTGACATAGAACACATATGCTAATCAGAAATTGAAAGTATGGTAATCGTAATCTGAAAAATTGTTCACATAAATTCTTCTGAACATCAAAATCGTAAACCTACAAATTGCACAATTATTGATGAGTTTCATAAAAAAAATGTTCTCAACCCTCATCACTTAATCCTAGATGTTTTGTCAGGAAATCGTTGGTGTTTACATGTAAATCCTAATTTCCCTCCTCTTGTTTCTCTTCTGTGAAAATGTTACTAAAAACAAGTGGAAAGTAACAACACTATTCACTACTGCCGACCGAGGAAAACCACATTATGAGAATCAGGTGCATGTTATCGAGATATCGCATTAAAGAGATTTGCCAGAGATTTATTCCTTGTACTTTGCTTTTTTTTCTGTTATTTATTCAATTAACATATTCTTATTGGATTTGTTTGCACCGAGATAAAAATGCAAAGTAGAACGAACAGCCATATCGTTCATTATTTATTTAAATGATATTCAATCTGTCGTTGCCTTTATCTTCGTTTTCGATACTCAAACGGAGGATTTTCAAGCTTGTTTAACTTTTTATTAATAATCGTGCAAATAGATTTAAATCGCCACCATCAGCGACAGCCGAGAAAAGTTTTTTCCTTTCCCCCACTGAACCAACTAAATAACTGATTTAATTATGGCAAATGACTTTAAATAGCACTCTCTGGTCGTGCGCTTGTTGAATTTTAATATTTAATCGTCATGAGTTGAGTTGATGAAGGGACGAGAGAAGCGAGATTCGAGCGATTCATAGCTTGGAATTTTTAATGAGCGCTAATACAAGTTGTAATTGGCAATGATATTTTTCTCCACTGCACAAACACGAAAAAAATGTTAAAATGTTATTTTCCAATCCTTTTTTATTTTGACTTCAATAGTATCTATAAGCATTTAAGTGCTTGCCACATAACATAAGCATAATTACCATAAATGGCACCGCGCGCTTGTTTACGTTACGAGAATAACAATTCAATTTTCACCAGGTCAAAATCCCGAGTAAGAGAATAAAGCAACTCAGACAACGAGAGAAAAAAAATCGATTTCAGAAGCATTTTATTATTTTTTTGTTTCTGATTTGTGATACATATTTAGTAACAGGTAGGATAAGAAGTTACATCTGTACATAAGAATTGTTATAATTTAAAAACTATCGATTAGTATTGGATTTTCATACTCTTGATAAGTTATGCGAATTCCTTGAGAAAATTCGACATTTTTAGAAATATCTTCCATAAAATTTGGTGTATAATAAATAATTTCCAAATGTTCCATGTTCGGGTATGTCTTGAGTATCATTTTCAGCATGTTTTGGGTTAATTTAAAGATCATGATAAGCTTCAAATGCTTAACATTTATTGGTGTCGTGATTTGTTGTGATATGTCGGCATCAACTCCACAAACTAAATTTTTTATTTGTTTTTTTTGAGTAATTTTTCCCAAGTAAGCATTTTCAATTGATGGATTGTTGATCAAAAATTCCTTCCAGCCAGTTATTTCCTGGGTCCATTTTCCATTGCAAATTTTAATACAAATTGTTTGAAGATGTTTAAATTTAAGTTGCGATAAATTAATTTTTCCATTTCCAATCTCCAAATATTTTAGACCGTTCCAGCTATCAGCAGCAGAATGTAAAAAGATGTCATTACAATTTTCGTTAAGAGATATAGTTAAACGCTCAAGATTTGGAAAGCATTGAGCGAAATCATCTGCGGAACAAAGCGATCTTACACAATCCGTACAATCAATCTCAAGAAATTTCAAATGCTTATTAATGTGCATTTCATATGAAGTTGGAAATAATGTAGTAAAATCAAATCTAATTTTCAGTTTCTCCAGTTTCATGTGCTTGATAATAAAATTAATGATGTCATCCTTCATGAAAAAATTATCAAATTCCAATTCTTTAAGTGTCGAGCTATGATTTTTTAATAATTTCAAATATTGCTTTACGATTGCATTCGAATCATAATGATTTACTTTCCAGCTGCCTACCTTCCATTCAATTGAAAATTTCTTCAAATAACTTTTAAAATTGTAATCAGCTAACAATTTGAAAAGTTCCAAATGTGTGGAAGAAAAAATAATTAATGATAATGATTCCAGATATATTTGATTTGAAAGAAGTTTTTCTAGGATGCGGTTGTGCGTAAATGGATTATAACCAACGGATAATTCTAATTCACGAAATTGAACTCCTGAATTTGCTATGATCTTATTAATCCTCCAACAAAATGATAGTACTAAACGTTTTAATAATTTCGGTGTTGATGGGACAATTTCAAAATTTTCTTCCAGGACAATTTCAAAATTTTCTTCCAGCAAGTAACAGTATCGAATATCCAAAATTTGACACAATTGCAAAGAGTTGAGAATTAGAATGAATTGATGTCCAGTCAAAAAAAATCTTTTCATAACAAAGTGTTGAGTATTGGAGCAGTATTTTGTTAACTTTTCAACGAATGCTTTATCAATTGGTATGTTATCTAATATTATTGAGTGATAGCTTCGAGTCAATTTAAATTCAGCATTACAAACTTGTTCCATTTTGTTCTTCGAATCTATAACAAGAGGAAATTTACGCATTGTTGAAGCGTGTGTTCCAATGATTTCGTTCCATCTGAAAGTTAATCATGTGTTAGAAAAAACATTCTAACCTATTAAAAAAATCTAATTTACCTTTTACAAACTAAAGTTGCAATTTTCAAAGTTTCTGAGCTAAGATATTCGAATATACTAAGCATTTCATCGTCACCTAATACGTTTATTCTTGATTCTTCCATATTTAGGCTGTAAACTGTTGGAAATGTGTTAGTGAACGATATAAGTAGAAGTATAGCGAAGTATAGGAATAAGTCATTCAGTGCTTTGGTAGCCTGATTGACACTGACTAGTCTTTTGTAGTGGAATTTGCTGTTGAAGGGTTTCAAAGCAAATACTATACTTCGCATACGACTTGAACAATAATTCACCCTACCGACGTGCTTCTGTGAATTATCAACATAAACACTTATGAAAGATTTTCTTTTCGCTTTTAAAACAAAATCTGCTTCAAAGAAACTCGTTTGAAGTGTGAAGTTGTGAAAACGGTTTAGAAACTCGAAACATGTTCGAATCATCAACGCTCAGCTTCAGCTGTAACACTTTTTAAATTAAAATTATAACGTAAAATCTTTTAAATGTCTAAGGTAGAAGAAATTAGGTAACAAATTATAATTCTGACATTTTCTTTTGTTAATCTCATTAAAATTTTATAATAAGTACGAAATTTTTAAAATCCTGGTTTCTTAGCTCTTAATAATTCTGTAATTCATACATCATTGAGTTTCTTTAAAATTCCACAAATATCATGTTGTAACATTAATGTCGTTTCAAAGGTGAGTTAAATGTGATGATAGTGAGGCTAACAAGCTCTAACAGAAATTGCCGCCTTACCAACGAGTGACAAATGAAGTTTTTTCCAGTTTCACGACAGCATTTTAACTACAAGCAATTTTATAGACTGCAATTGCTACTAACACAGATCGTTAACAATCTTGAAATAAAAAAATGCATTTTGTGACAATTGCCTAGATAAATGAATGTCTTTATTATACTGCTTGAAACAAGGTATAATAGATTACAATTGTCAGCATTTACACGAAACATCGCCAAAGAGATGAAAATTACAACACGAAAAATGTTTCAATGAACATTCCATTCGAACGCGATAACGATTTTGGCACATAAAAGGGCGAGAAAGAAAATGTTAATTTAATTCTTAAAGAAATATTTCCTGTAAAGATTCACAAATATCTACTTGGAATAAAACGTTTCATTAAAGAAAATCGCCTTTTCAGCGATTTAAATACTGAAGAAGCTCTTCTTTAAGTCAAGAATTTAATAAAATTTGTAAACACGAGGAGCGAAATTTTCTTTCCTTCTAATTGATATTCGTCGTTGTTGAACATCTTAAAAAGAAATTAAAATATTTTCTTAAACAGAGTTAAGCAGTATTTATTTACGGCTAATTAATTTTTAATTCATAACGACGACATCATGAGAATGAAAATTTTTCTCTTGGTATTTCGTCAAATTAATTTATTGCCATCGTTATTCTTTATTGTTGGTGGGGTGGCAGGCAGTGGTGAATTCTTTTGAAATTTTTTATCTCTAGCACCTGGCGAAGTCATTTTCAATTCGCATGTCTAATTTAATTATTAACAAAACTTAAAAGTCGTGTTGTGATTGACTTTAAGTAAGTATTGTTTACATTCAAGTGTGTAGGCGAATTGTAAGAGAATTAATTTAGAGATATTGGAAGACAAGTTTCTTCGTTGTTCAACTTTATAAATTTACTTAAGCTAAAATATTTTATATTTCCCATAATACAAGTTTCTGAATGGAAAAATTTCAATTCAAAAGTTCAATGATTTTGATAAAAGATCCCGACTTAACTACGAAATTTATTGTTTTATTAGCTCACTTAATATCACAATAATCTCTCTCACTTTCTCACTCAAGAAAAAAAACAAGACAAAGTGAAACAATTTCAATAATTATTCTCCCAGAAAAACCACTCATTGCTGCGTTAGTTTTTCCGTAACATCAATGGTGTAATAATAAAAATGAAAAAGCATATTTTCTGCTCGGTTTCACTGCAAAATTATTAATAAAAATGTTTTCTTGCTCTCCATCCATGTGATCATTAATAAAACGCTCTTTAGTTTCCCATTATTTGATTTTATTGAAACGATAATAAAACATGTTGTGTTACGTACAAAGCGAACGTACTTTATGATTTCCATTTCTCTGCCTTTTCGGTTATGTTATGGCTTGTAAAATAGTAATAATGGAAATGTTTTTCCCCCTTCAATGAGAAAGGCCGTGAAATAAAAGAAAGGAAAAAAACGAATAAGAGAAGAAGTCAAGCCATAAAAGCAATTGTAGCGCATACCTAAGAACTCGGGAATGATTGTTTTCTATGGCGAATTTTATTCGAGTTAAAAGTTTGAAATTGAAAATTTTAAATGACTTTCTGTGTCAATGTGGAAGAAATTGGTTAAATGTTTCTTCTTCCTTCTTCCCTCACACAAAAATTTTTCAATTTTCTAATCGTTTGTCTGTTCAAACTTTAAAGTGTGTTAGATATTCGCTTTTAATTTGACTTTAAATTAGCTAAATCGCGAGATCGAATCATAAGAAGAAATCAATAAAAATTCCACAGAAATCGTAAATCACGTTATAAAATTTAATTGTGTTTCTAGACGCTTCAAAACAGTTTCAATTGAAAAGATTCGCGGGGTGAATACAATTACTCTCAATATGAATATCGATTAACAGATCTACGATTGAAAATGGAGCAATAAATTTGCTTTTCGGAAGGTTATAAAATTATGCTAATTAATTTGATTGTGTTTGATCATCGATTGTTGAAATCGATAAGTTTTTGAATGGATATGAAGAGAATGAGAATTCAGCTGTGGATTTTCAATGCAATTCATTTAATATTTAAAGGCGTAGATAGATAAACATTCTGCCTGTGTATCAAAGAGCATTCATCACAAACTGTTCTCGACTTAATGCATTTTTATGGTAAAACCACAAGAATTTATTAAAGACTCGCTCGTCAATCACAATGAGTCAGGAATTTCTCGGTAAAATGAGATGAAATGTGTTTAAAAGTCAGAGAACATGCATTCACCCAAAATAGGTTCTCGTAAGCATCATCAGCGATTAGGTTAACAATTTAACCCCAATTTAAAATTTACAACTCTCGCCGAACATGTCATCGTATAATTCAGAGCATGAAAGGGAAAAAAGACTTAAAAGTATCACCGAGAAGAGAATAAATCTCAAAGTTTAAATCTCGAGGATAAATTATTTCATCTAATGAGCAAATAGAGTTGAGAGAATAAAAAGGCGACACTGATGACATGTAAAAAGGGTTCATAAAATTTATTGCTTCGCAAATATAATTATTCATTATTATCAATGAAGATAGAAGAATTTTTCAGTTGCAATCTCATAAAGATTTTAGAAAAATGTGTCGATAGATTTTTTAATCAAACATAAAATTTAAAAGATGTGAACAAAATCAACAAACCCTATTAACACAAGATTCAATTACTGACGAGGAAACAGCAACTCAATTGAGTTTATTTACTTATTAAGTATTTAAAAAATTCACGCCTTGCTGATTTACAGTGAAGAAGGAAAAGAAAAATTCTAATTAAGAAAAAAAAGAAATTAAATCAAAGACACAAAAGGTGTCGCATAAAAATTCTTTTAATCTCATTTTTTAATTAAGCAACAATTTCACTCGTAGATGAAATGAAGAGCATCGGAAAAAAGAATCTTGAATATTCAAATTATCTCAACATTCTTGTCGCTTTGCCCGATGGGCGAAAGAAAAGATTTCTAATTTCCTGGGAAAAGTCTTCACTGGCAATCTGCATTTTCCGTCGCAGATTTTTTTTTGTGTTCTTTCGGTCGTTTCACGAAAATTAAATTAAATTTAAAAACACTGATAACTGCTTTGAGGATTTTTTTTCAACCCTCGCAAATTTCTTTTTTCCTCTCTCAGCAGCGTTAAAAGTATCAACAAGAAACCTTTTTGTTTCTCATTCAGTGAACACCAGAAAGGAGATGAATCTTCCGCTTCGGAATGATGTAATAAAAAAAAGAAAGAAAGAAGGAAAAGTTTTTCAAGTGAGCCTTTTAATGTTTTTTTTCCGTTCGCCTTTGACTGGCAAAGTGTGCAACTTCTGATGATCTCATTTCTGATTTTTTCTTGCATGACTTCGCGCCCTTCAAAGACTCAACAACGAGGCGATTAAAATTTGGTTTCCTCTGTTTTATTAGCTTGTTGATAAAGATCTGTGTGCGAAATGGCGTTGATGATGGTGAAAAGAGACGAGGGCGATGATGATGGTGAGTCGAAAAGATAGAAAGTCCACTCGAGTAATTTAAGCGAATTATCACACTTCAAATGGGAATTCTTCTCATCACACTTCAATCGTACTTTAACAACATCCAAAGCAACTTCAATTCTACCTACCTAGACAAAAGGCCAGGCAAGCTATAAACGATAAAAATTTACATTGAAACGCCAATAAATATTGAAAGTAAAGTTTTAGCACGTAATTCTTCAATGTGTCATGAGGTATTGGAAGCAGATTTCGTGAAGTTGCCAGCAACTTATCCAACACAATGGGACGTGAGGAGATATGTAATCAAATGAAATTTATTTGATTTCACAATAAAAAATACCAACTGAAAAATTGAATTGAAAATTTACATAAAATATGTTTTCGACCTCGTGATATGGGCGAGAATTTAAAAGCAAAATGAAATTTGAATGTTTTCTACTTCGTTTGTATGTTTGCACTTAAACGACAGAAGTAAGAAGGAGGAAAGCATAAATTTTATTGTTGTTTTATTACGATGACATATTGTTTCATTGTTTTGATGTGTTCTTCTCGAAGTCATTCGCAATTCATTGCAAAACGCGAATGAGTCGAAGATGGAAAAGCATCTCATATGAAATCAATCGTCAATTGCTATCGAGTTGTTGCAATCTTTAGTTCATAACTAACATGTAAACTTTTCATGCATATGATGAAAGCAAAATTTATTAAAATCTAGATTTAATGAAAAATCATTTCATGCTGATTCCACAAATTTACATGTGCCGCGATGTTGTCATCGTACATGATCTTTAATTTTAAATTATTTCGCAACCTTCATCTTGCATTTAAATTACCCTCAATTTTTCAGCGTAAGAATTGTTCGAAGACAATCTTAGATGGGAGTGATTTGAAAGACATGTCGGGATTTGAGAGAATCTTCATGAATGAAAGTTAAAATCAGGTCATGTCTGATAATTATGAGTAATTATATTTGCAAAGCAATAAATCTTTAAAACCCTTTTTATTATATTTACCCTTACTGCAATTTTTTTTCTCTTCGCCTTTTTTATCACATTTAATCCTTCTGACGCAATTTTGTGATTCTTCCCAATGTACTCATGTAAGCAGTTTAACACTTCACATTACCCATAAAACTCATGCTCGATTATGTTTCTTCCAAGTGAAATGAGATTTTTATTACTCTTATTAGAAGGATACACAAACTTAAACGCCATGGAACGTTTCTTAGGACGGGGGGAAGATGAAGACAAAAATTTATATTCGGTTGAATCGCTCTGCATGCTTTAAGCTTACTTGGAACAGCAAAACAGCATCGTAAAATTATAATTTTTCTCCCGTTGTTTTCATTCTTGAATCTTCTACCACATACTGTAGTTAATTTATTGATTATTGCAAGTTATTCTTCCATATACTTAACTGTTGTAATCTTGAGATTTTCGCATAATGCTATACAAGCCATAACAACACATTGAAGAACAATCAAGGATATTTAAGGGATATCATTTATTATGCTCTTCATACATTAAAAGTTAATTATCTTGTACAAAGAAGTAGTCGAGAAGTAAATAAAATTACAAGGATTTAATGTCTTTTTAATTGGCGTAGATCAGAGCATGGATTGATTTATGTTGAAGCGTTAGACGGAGAATGATAAGAAATGAATGACCATCGTCTGTGATTGGGAAAGAAAAATACGTCAAGTGGGATAAAAATCTTCGAATAAATCTGAAAATTTACACAAACCAAAGTCATGAATCAGGTCCACTTAATGATTATTTAATAAGTGTTTAATGTTGATTTTTGTATGGGGATTAAATAGAAACACATGAAGGGTTTGCAAAGTTAAATATTAGAAACTCCATTTAGTCACCACTTAGAAAGATAAAAAGTTGGCTTTAAATCCTTTTGGTATAAATAAATGCTTCTCGAGTTTAACTCATTTATCATTCTTTGATATTTTCTCTTTCAAAATTGCAAGATTTTGTCGGTCCATAAAGGATTTTCTAGAATTTGTTGGGTGAAATATTTACATAAACTTATGTTTTTGACTTCTTTACATGTTATCAGAGTCATGTCGTGAGTCATATTTAATGACATCAGAAAATATTCTTCTTATGTCATTTCAGAAAAAAAATCACTGTGATGATGAAAGATAATTAGAATCAACATGCTGTCAGTATAAATTAAGAAATCGATTCAAATGATTTTTATTCATGTCATAACACAAACTTTGTCCTTTCGACATCTCCAAATGCTGACATGTGTTGTCTTATCGTTGTCTCGTGAACAAATAAACAAGAGAAAAAAGAAGTTAAGGAGTAAGTCAGAGATAAAATTAGAAGACGTTTCAGTTTCACACAAATAAAACAAGAGATTAACATTTCTTCTCTGTTATAAACCCGCGTGTGCGGCTGTGAAATATTACTTGAAGCTGCTACGAGGGATGGGAAGATACATTTGTTAATAAGCCACAATGAGTTTAATTGTTGTTTCACAACATAAAGAAACCGAGAAAGAAAAAAAGAAAAAGTGCGAAATTAATCTAGAAAAATTATCTTTTGATCTGTTCTTCTCATTAAACTTCTCACAGTCAAATTTTTCACAAGAATTTCTTTTCTTTTATTTCGATGATTGCGCTTTAAGAGAGGGATTTAAGATAATTGTGTTATTACGAGATGAAATGGTGTTAGATGAGGGCAGTCATTGCGTGAACCCACATAGAACTCTATGGTCTGGTTTGCTGATCCGCAGAAAATAAATTTTACTGGAAGATTTAGAGATAAATTGTTCTCAAAAGCTAATCATCAGCGGACAAGTGTAATAACGGAGAATAAATTATTTCAAGATAATGTCTACCAAAGAATATTGTGCATGAAGTGAAATGATTTCAACGTTTAGAACATTTAGCGGTAAAGTGTAGTAACTTCTGTTCTGAGGATTGAGATGATATAGAAAGAAAGAAATTCCCCTAAAAGTCAATTTTAATAAAAAAGGGCGAATAAAAATTGTACAATAAAAGATTTCCATAAAAAAAATCATATTTCGACTTGATGACTTGCTAAATGTAAAAAGGTTGCATTTTTATAAAAGAAGAAAAAAAACTGATCGAGTCTTGTAAACACAAAGTTTTGTTTATTTGTTTCCAACGCAACACCAAATGGTCGCATATGGCGAGGAAAATTCTTCTTTATTACACATAGAACAAAGATTTAGATTTTTGTAATTGATACAAAAGAAGACGAAACTAATACTTTACGATTTACTGAAAGGGTAACACAACAATCTATTTCCGACTATCATAAACACTTATGAGATGTGAAATAATTCAATTTTCGATGAATACTTTCGTTGATTTCATTGAGAGAATGAATCTTCATGTTAATTCCTATTGATTCATTGACCTTTAGTTATTACGGATTTTGTTTTGTTTCTAATAGAAATTTTCGAGACCTAAAAGAATTAAAAACGATTTCATTTTAAAGCTGTTGCAATGCGCTGATGTCAGCATTTTTTTTATTGTTATCACATTTTATCTCTATAAGTTCAAAGGCATAAAATAATTGAAATCTTATCAACCTGACTTAAGCATTTTGAATCTTAATTTACATTCGGGCACGGAACCATGGAACGAAGGAAGTTACGCGAGCCCAGCCAGTTGGCCAACCAGATTCACATCCCAAACCACTTACGAATGAAGCTACTCCAATCAGCATACTTTCACCATTTCTCTGGACAGTCAAAGGACCACCGGAATCTCCGTTACATGCACCAACAATTCCATCACCAGATGTGCAAACTAAAAACAAGAAATAATTTTTTTATTGACTATTTTGCATGTCAATTGTTCAATGAATTTTACTTGTGCTATCAACGATGATTCCTGGGAAGCGAATTCTGCAAGCTGCATTAGTGATGACATTCAATTGAACATAACGTAAGAATTCCGAAATAACATTTGCACTTCCAAATCTTCCCCATCCTGAGCCTGTTGCAAGTTCACCAGCAAAGTCATTTTGAAGGTCAGCACCGTCTGGAAGTGCAATTGGTTGAATTTGAGGGGTAAGTGTTACTGGAGATGGGAACATTAGAATAGCGACATCGTTATTAAGATTGTTGGGATTGTACGATTCATGCCAGACTAATCCACTTCTGGGAACGATAACTCTAACTTGTGCTGGTTCATCACGGTTATTAATGAAGTGACCGCCAAGAACAACTTCAGCTTGAGTAACAACATCGACACAATGTGCTGCTGAAATAACTCTTGTTGTTGAAACTAAAGATCCTCCACATGTTCCAATGTTTTGAGTGGTTGCAAATGAAAGTCGAAGTCCGGCTTGATAAGGAAATTGATTTGGTGTTGCTTCTTGTCCTCCAATGATTCTACCACCTCTGACTTTACTTTGAATATATTCAGATTGTTTGATGTCACGACCTTCCCACCATTCTGGGAACTCATAAATTGGACCTTCGGCTGCAAAAGTTCCAACAACACACAAAGCAAAAATCAAAAGAAGTTTCATTTCAAATCAATTAAATCACTGAAGAACAATCAACTGAGTTTATTCAGACAAAAGTGATGGAATTTATAGTGGTTGAAAGTGTTGATATCTTATCAAACTTTTCTTATCTAAATCTTGAAAAATTTTATCATAATCCATGATTAATACATAAAACCTCGGAGTTCTTTGATGTTTTCGAAGTTTTTAATGTCTCAGAAGTTAACAAGAAGTATTTCGCCATTCAGAAACATTGATTGTTCTTTCAAAGCTTCATTACTGGAAATTCCTTCTTGTAAAAGTCATGGGAAAACCAAAAATCCATTTAAAAAGATAAGAAAAGATTGAAAATTATTATTATGACGTGTTGTGTTATCCAAAGTCTTATCGTGGTTGTAAATCCAATTTCATCTCATCACAATAAAAAATGAAAATAAAAATTATCATTTTAGCATCAAAGTGCGTCGTTATTCATGATTTAATTATTACAATGAGTTCATAAAATGCTCATCAAAGGAAATTAAAAAATGTTGTAATTGCTTTTTTTAAGAAGATTTTTTAGGAGCTCCTGTCTCAACAAGCAATAAAAGTTACGATTTTTCTTTGTACGTCCTGCAAAGCGGACTTTCATTTTTCACCCTTGAACAAAGACATTTCTTCACCCTCGCTATCTCTCTTTTTAAATTTCTCAAGCAATTTTCACATTTTTAAAAAGATAAAAAATACTGTTTGTGTGGTTTCTCTTTTTTCCGAATCTTTTCACATAAATTCTCGGTGAAAATGAAAATCGAGAGATGAGAAGATAGAAGGGATTGAGTTGTAAATCGAAAAGTTGTAAAATGCGAATATCATATCGCGCACTTATGCAAATATTTTTTGATAAACACATGTGATCTGGGATTACGTGAGCTTTAAATGCAAAGAAATTTATTTGCTTTCGTTTAAAGTGACACAAATTCACGTAAACTGTTTTCATTCCTTGTTTTCCGTTTTCCCTCAATTGATAATGGATGTTAGAGTCCTCCAATATTTCACCCTCTTATCGCATATAACAAACAAACAACAAGCGAAAGGATAATCAAATTTCAACGAGATACTAAAATAACAAAAAATTGGAGATGGGGAAGCATAATTTTACGTTACTAACGCATAATTTTAAGTTACTCCGGCCGGTGTGGAGTTTCCGACTGCCCATGGACCTTCCGACTGTCCATGGACCTTCCGACTATCCATGGACCTTCCGACTATCCATGGACCTTCCGACTATCCATGGACCTTCCGACTATCCATGGACCTTCCGACTATCCATGGACCTTCCGACTATCCATGGACCTTCCGACTATCCATGGACCTTCCGACTATCCATNCCTCCAATATTTCACCCTCTTATCGCATATAACAAACAAACAACAAGCGAAAGGATAATCAAATTTCAACGAGATACTAAAATAACAACAAAAAAAATCATAAACTTTCACAATAAATTTGAATTTGAGCATAAAATGAAAAGGGAAAATCAAATGAAATCGAGTGAGAAAAATTTATAAAAAGACATTTAACTTTATCAACATATCATGTCAACATTCGTCTTTAAAACTCATCAAAGGGAAGAAAAACTTAAAAATCTCTTCCGATGTCATCACATAAATAGGAAATAAAAATACATAAAGGTAAACTCAAGAGATGTTCTTATGGAAATCACTCTTCAAGCATCATCATGCGTTAAGCGAAATATAAAAGCACACTCAACAACAACTCAACAAGATATAAAACAATTTTTCCACATTTTCAATTTTTTACATGAATTATGCAAAAGACGAAAAAGCAACTTTGAAGATTCGCCACTGACGTAGCATAAATATAATACAAACAGTTGAATATTTAAATGTTTTCCCTTTTATATACAAACAAAATGTTGGTTTTGGCTTCATAAAAAGACTTATCACCGTCATCATTGTGCAACGAAATCAATAGCATTTTAATTTCACGTTTGACGTTTTGAACAAACAATTACTTTATATGCCCTTGCCTGCGTCTTATCAAATGTTCAATCTCCAGTAAATCCATCATTTCACTCAATACACAATAGGATGAAACTTATTTGCATTTTTGAATGCTTCTTTCTTTTTATTGAAAATCTTCTTTCATGACCCGTCAATACTTTTCTTCTCAATGAATGTCAGATGCTTTGCTTTGCTTTCTGAAAAGGAAGAATCTTCCTTACTGTTCCGATTTGGTAGCAAAAGATTGAGGGTAATCTTCATTGTTGTATGATATTGGCTTCTGACAATGGAATGTTCATTCAATGTCAGAAGATTTTATATTGGAATAAAATTTATTGGCCACTTTTATTTAATCATTCCCGAAGAGGAATTATGAGTTAAATGAGTGTTAAAATTCACCTTTAACATAACAAAAAATTGCGAGAGAATTTTCTCGGTAGTTTCATTTAATTAGTTCTTCCTTAAAACAACCCTAGGAAAGTTCCTTCAACTTTCACCCTCGACCAAGTATCGTCAGTTGAATCGTTCATCAATTCATAAAAGCATCTTTGAAAATTACAGCAGAATTAATTTAATAATCAGTGAGAGTGAGATAGATTTTTTTCTGGTCGCTTTGTTTATTCTTTAATTAAATTACTTGTTGTATAAACAGTTCTAGATGTCACAAAGTAGCAAAAAAAAAGAGAAGACGAAACGACTGCTTTTAATATTACAGTGAACTCAAGCAGATGAGATGGGGAAATGGATTTTTTCATTCGTATCCGATGCTTCTTTGAAGAATTTAATTTGTTTCGTTTATCCCAAAGTGAAGTAAGGATGTAATCTAATAATCGATAACATTCTTAAATATACTTTGGAATAAAAATTCTATCTTAAAATATTTGAATACTCATCAGTAAATTTAAATTGACTTTAACACGTCAGCTTCAGTAAAATTCAGCGAAACTTTATTAATAAGCAGTGTTATAACATTTTACAATGTAACGTTCTTAAATTTTAAGCCGCTGAAAGTGCAAAGCAGTAAATCAATCAAATCGCAATTCAAATGAATGAATGAATAATGAACCTACCTATGTGTTGAAATTGCAATAAAATTCTTCCGAACACAACACTGACAGAATTTAAATCCTTTAAAAATTTCAATGTTATCTTTTAATTACTTTAACGATTAAAATATTTCACGAAAAAAACAACGAAAAGATTTTAAGACGAATATCAGTAACAAGATGCAGAAGTTTAATAAGAGAGTTCAAGTTAATGTGTCACCTGTTTGAATCATTACACAATGTTCGTGACTTTTTACCAAGGGCAAAACGAAATCATCTTAGATGAGAAGGAAAGAAATAAAAAGAAGCAACTTGAAGGCATTTGCTGCCACAACAAGAAAGTAAGATTAAAGTCGTCAACGAAACTTTTTTCTCTTTTTCTTATTTCCTTCATTTATGATAGCAGTTTATACAAACAAACTGTCAATATGTTTCTCTCTTCATCCACTTGTGTAACTCCGTGATGTGAAATTTCAAGAGATTCTTCTTTTTTGTGTTTATCAAAGTCTGAAAGTTAAAGAAATTGTCATAAGAATTCATCACAACTTGCTTACAAGCATCGTTACTTCTCATTTCGTTCAAGTATTCAATCATAATGTTTAAAAAGTGTAAATAATTTATTTCTCCCTGTTTGATTATGATTGAAAAAAAGAAGTTAAGGAATTTTCAACTCTCACGGATTGCCATCGGCATCGTTTCGTCTTCTTTTTTATTTTATCATTTTCATTGGGGTTGATGACACTCGTTGCACCGTTTCGGCATTTTTTTTTTCGCTCCAAATCTGTTCTAATCTGTTCTGTCAACTTATTTGTAACACGATGTGTGACGAGATGTATCAGCAAGATTGCGTGACATGACGTGGTGATAAAAAATGCACCGCACAGCAATCGATTAGTTCGAGAATGGAATTTTGAAAAATTGTAAGAGAAATGATAAATGATTGTGGTGGCGATTTTCCAATGGAAAAGGACAAGCTGACTTCTTTATGTAGATATTCAAAATAACAAATGATCATTGTGCATCTGTGGCGATTACATGCGAATTTGAGTGATAAATACAAATTGCTTATCCACCCTTTTCCTTTAGTAAGTATGTCTTAATGTTGTTAATGTTGGCCGGGCCAAGTCATAAAATCTTCAAGAAATTGAGTCTTAAACTTCTATTTTTAACCTTACTTCCAAAAAGATGTGACAACAATTACAGGAACTTTCAGTCATGATGAATCATTAATGAGTTGGATCTGAATACACCGATTATTAGCTGGCGCAGCACGATTTCATTTTACCAGATCGAGACGCTTTAATGTGTACAATAAAATAATAAAAGTTCGCTTCGTTTGATGAAGTGCTAAGTAAGTTTAAAGTTTTTAAAGAACAGCTTCGATGTCCAGTCAGAAAAAAAGTCATAAAAGAACTTTGGTTTTTACAACTTTTTCTGAACTTCTTTTTAATTCGCTTCTTCGTCAGCGTAGTGAAATGTTTTGTTACCGCTTTGTTGAAGAATTTATCATGCGGTTAAAACTTTCACTTTAAATTTATTGATTCATTCAATACTTGAATGTTCCAGCTGCAAAAACTCTAATGCTACATTTGATGAATTTCGTATTTATATCAGTAAATGACCTAAAAACTTGAACGGAAACTAAGAAAACATGTTACAGTCGGCAGCATGGAAATGTTTATGTTGAATACTCTTACATATTTCATAATCAGTTCGAACAAAGTGCTGCATAAACAAAAACTATTTCAATGTGACACAGAAATATTTATTTCACTCACTCATTCAATGGTGTCAGTTGTAGATAATTGTTGTTTAATTATGATTAGTAATTTGTGTTTGCCATAGCATTAACATGACTTTTCAGTTTTCCGGACTTCTAAAAATAACTTTTCCATCAATTTGAGCTTAAGTATGTAAGAGAGAGAAAAGCAATAAATTTTTAACCATTTTGCGCAACAAGCTCTGAAATTAATGGGTTTGAGGTTGTTATGTCAATCTTCCAGCAAACAACAGCAGCAGTTTGATGTAGAAATAGTTTTTGTAAATTTAAACCTTTCACAGTTGTTCAAGATTTCATCGTCACGCCAATTATCATTGCGAACACATAATGAATGTGTTTAAGGAAGTTTGAACAACTAATTAAAGCTTTTAAACATCCTTGAAAGGGTTTTCGAGTTTTAATTTCACCCACGCATTCTCTGGAGTTACAAATTGAATCTTTAGCGTTAAAATTTCTCTAAAAAGGGTTGCAGACTGACACGATAAATGTCAAAACAAATCGAGTCATTTATTTCAGCTTTAAATTCAACAAAAATTCTTGAAATTTGTTTTATTTTTGATCGCATTATGTAAATTATGTGTTTTATAAGGAAAAGGCAATGTTTTTAGTAATTTTAATGAAAGTAATTAAAAGCAGGGTCTTGACTTGACTTGCCAATTTGTTGCTTTTCCTGGAGGTTGACTTGAATGAGTTACTTGACTTAAAAAGAGTTACAAGACCCTTGTTTACAATAAATGAAAAAAATCAATTTTTATAAAAAATAATAAAAATACACGAAATCAAATTTCTTGTATGGATTGTTGGAATATTTTCCCAAATAAATAAATGAAAAATCAAGAATTATCATATCAGTTCAACATGAAAATCCTTTTGAAACATTTTCTTATTTATCTAAGATATTCATAAGATCACATATGAATGACATGTTAAGCTATCGTATATAGTTTTGCATATTTGACAGAAGAAAATCCTTTTAAATATGCTTCATTTGAATTTTTTATATTTTGTATATAGATTACATTCGTACATATGAGGGGGAGTTATGATGAAATTGAGGTACATCATAAATAGCTCTCATGTGACACTGAAAGGATAAAGAAAATTGGTTTTATATTCTCTTTTTTCAGAGAACAATCATTCCGGTTAAAGTATTTTTGAAGACACATACAAATCTCGCAATTCATATATGAATCTCCTTTTATTTTAAGAAATGAATCGAAAAGAAGAATAAAATTAACTCAATTTAACACTTTTACCTCATTTCCCAATTTTATGATCCATTCAGACATGATGTTATTAATGTGTCTATTATTAGCCGACACTATTTTATGAGTTTGGGAAATGAGCCATAAATTCCAATGAATGAATAAGGTTCCAAGTCATTTACTTAAGACATTTACCACTAACATAGATATGTAAAGTACATTCAACAAACAAAATCTCACACTCTGAACATGTCGACATGCGAACTTTCCGTAGCTTTTTTTCATTTGAATAAGTTATTTAGTTAAATTTATATTCCAAAGAGTGCAAGCTGTTTAAATGTTACAAATATCTCGCAACCATCTTCCGCAAAAAAAATAATTAAGTTATTTAGTCGCAATCCCATGATCGCATTAAAACCTATGGTGTAATTATTTTATACGACACAATTATTTATTAATTTAATATTTCATGGCTTTTATGCATAAATTCATTAAGCGAAAGCAGAGAACGCAGAACATAACACAGAGCATTAGTATTTATTTAATAACAAATGAAATTAAATACAACATTTTATTTTTATTGCCTCGGATATTTTTTCCGTTTTGTTGTGGCGGTGTTGTTGTTGTTGTGTGATGAAAAATATTTATTTTTGCGAGGGTGCAAATTTCATAAATATGTTCACATACATACGAATCATTTAAAGAAAGAAAATTCTCATTTTTCATTTTTGCTTGTTTCTGTGTTTCTTGTGTTGAAAGGGTGTTGGAGAGATTTGTAAGACAATCTTCATGTTAAACGTGTGAATATTTAAGTGTTCAGTTGAAGTTGAAATAGATGATAAAGTTTACCATATTTAACACTAATAGTTCCACAAATTTCCCATCCTTATTCTCCATCCGAATCCAATTGAAATTCACACCGCAAATAATCATCATTGACAAAATGTGCAACTCAGCTAACAATAACTGTAAACATGATGCTTCATTCACACTCCAAATGCAAACAACAAAAGTCAAATATTAAATCACGACTTCGGTAAGAGAAGTTGAAGTAATGATGAGGGCACCTGGGGAAGTTGCATTGCATTCTAAACAATTAATTGATGACAATGACAACAGTAAATGTGATGCGGCAGCAAATGATCGAATCCTCTTCAGGGATGAAACATAATAAAATTAGTTCCGGTTACTTACATTTTATTAATTCTCATGTTTTTGTTATGTTCGTCCTTTCATTTCGTCTCGTTTTTGGCACAAGAGAACAACAAAAAAGCATTCAAAAGCATGAAATTGATGTTTACACAAAACCGAAACAATTTTAAAAGTCTGTGAAATTTTCATTTGACTTTTGTTGTTGATTTCAAGATGATTTATCGCAGTTCAATGATCTGTATCTGAATCTTTTTTAAGGCAGCAGTTAAGAACATGACAAAATAAAAACCGTTTGTAAGAGTTGACTGTTTGTCTCTCCATCATATCGTGTTATAAATTTAATGAAGGGTGTGTCATCTTTTAAGGATCATGAATCAAATTAACATAAGAACTCGTTCTACAACACTTGGGTCTAGTGTCACTTTGAAAACGCGACCAGACCATATTTATTTGCTTGGTGCATTCAACTTTTTCATCGGTACGCTGAATTTCCATATTTTTCAATGCTTGGTTGCTGCCTTCCATAACTAAATTTACTTGTTGTGACTCTCGAGTATGAAAAATAAATTTTTTAATCCAAATATCGACTCAACTGATCTGGAGGTGTGGTTTGTTTCGTTTTTTTTTCTTCTTCTGNATGCAAATATTTAATTTGAAGTCGCTTCAACCTTAAACTGTCATTTGTATTTAGAAATTTAATAGAAAAAATTTAAATTATTCCTTCACACTCCAAATGCAAACAACAAAAGTCAAATATTAAATCACGACTTCGGTAAGAGGAGTTGAAGTAATGATGAGGGCACCTGGGGAAGTTGCATTGCATTCTAAACAATTAATTGATGACAATGACAACAGTAAATGTGATGCGGCAGCAAATGATTGAATCCTCTTCAGGGATGAAATATAATAAAATTAGTTCCGGTTACTTACATTTTATCAATTCTCATGTTCTTGTTATGTTTTGAATTTCAAATTATTCATGGCTGGAACTGATTGAAACCAGAAAATCAATGTTTATCATGAACGTTTCAAATGCTTGACACATGAAAAGCTTCAATTTTGCACGAGAAATTAAAAAGATGAATTAAATGCAAACGACTTGAAATTATTTACAATGTTTAATTTTTCCCAAAGATCTCAAATTCGTCAGCATTTAATGTACATCATGAGATCAGGAAAGCATACAATTTTTAATAAAACATTCAATTAATCATTTCCACACAATGGACGAGATGAGTTCTTTTATGATCTTCGAGATGGCATGCAATAAATTAATGAGATTGGCAATTACAACAAAAACAGATTTTCCTTTATGTCAGTTTTTAAGGGTCGAAGTCATGAAAGAATCAAACACTTCTCCCATGCATGTTGCCGTTTGATGATGTTGTAAATTATTTTGTGTGGTGATCCACTTTTTTTACAGAAATGAATATAACGACACTCAACCCTCGTTGTAATTTGTCGAATATTTGTTCTATTAAAATGCACTCGAATGTGCTTTTATTTTTCAACTGAATCGTTTTCCTGTGATGTTAACGTGAGTTAAGTTAAAGTGGCATTAATAGAAATGAATGCCCTGACTTCACCACTTTAGTGGCTTTGAGTTCAAAAATATGAAGCAGATTGTCTACGATGACATTTGTTGTGGTTGAAATTGAAAGGAATTAAAATAACNCACGTAATTAAACAAAAATAATTTTTGGCAAGGAAACATTGAAATTTTTCTAAATATTTTCTTAAATTTATTAAGTTTAATCAACACGATAATATATTTCACGAGACAGTTTAATTAACATGTTGAGACATTTTTTATGTAGATCGCTCTCGATCTGTTTTTTACCTCATCGCGTCAGCCATTTTAAAAAAAAAAACTTAATAAATTAACACACAACTACTCGATAGTTTAAGTTCGCTGAGAATCACTTCGACTTGATTAAATGTTGTATGGAATAATTTTTATTATGTTTCGCAGACAACCAGGCTACTCTTTAAAAGTAAACGGGCGACACAATACGATGAGCGAAGTTATATGATAGATAGAGATACTCAAGTTTGGCTCATGAGTTTCTTGTTATGTTATTAAATTCTGCTGGTGCTTAGTCAGTCTAATAGACTCCTCCTCTAACGGAAGATTCTTCAGTGTATTGCCCGCTTGCGCTTTCACATTCAAACAAACGATGAGTGAAGAGAAAAGGAGATCAGACTATAACAGAAATTTTATTATCTTGCTTTCCAAGTTTCATGGCATTCGCCAGAGTGAGATGGCAACTCCCAGTTTGAAGTTGAATGTAGTTGTTAAATACACAACCGAAAAGGGATAAATTAGTTGTGTAACGAAGTGAAGTGAATAAAAAATAGATTGAAATCAGTATATTTTAGGTATTGGATACAACGAGACGTTCAGTTTTTCTTTCGGTTTTTTCTCGTTGTTGTTTCTTGCTTGGAGGGAAGTGATTTTTTTATGCGGTGTTTATGGAGGTGATTAAACGTAGTCCGCGACTAGCATCGAATGAAGTGACTTCGAAGACGCTTTTTTACTTGAAAGCGAGATGAAAATTTTGTGAAAATGATTTTACAGCAGATGATTAATAGTTTTGTTGAAGTTAATTAAATCTCGCTATGGTATAACAAGGAATACATGACATTTATCTATGAGTGAATATTTTTGAAAAATATCTGTAAGAATATCAATAAAAAAATTCAAAAGTTGAAGATCATTTTCTAAAAATGAAAATAAAGTGAAAAGTGAAAAAATAAGAAAACAAAAAACAAGGAAAATCTTATAAAACTTAATAAATAAAATTTAAATAAAAAAATCATGGATAACCCAAACTTTGGATCATCTCATTTATCATCACCAGCACTTGTGGTGTTCTCACAAGCTGCAAATGGATTAAGTGATGCACTTCGACTTCAAAGGCCATTTCACTCGCAACTTCAAGATGCAAAAGATTTACATCATTTATCATTGGTCAGTAGTTACGGAACTCATCTACTGCATGGCTTTCAGCCACATTTCCTACATCAACACTTAAATCCGGCAGTATCGTCTGCAAATTCTAGTCCATTCGGAAGTGGCGGTGCTTTTGTGAAACCATTTCCTTCGAATCTTTCTTTGCCTTCTGCATTTGCACCACCAAAGTGTTTAGGTTTTGGTTTAGATCAAGTGAGTATTAAAGATGTCACCGTTGGAAGTATCATGAGTCTACTTGACTGATAAAAGTTCTCCAAATTCAAGGGCTTACTGTTTGGCTCGGGAAATAATGCTCCGTCAACAAACGGTGGCAGTGAATCATTTCGAACTGATTCGTCTAGTCCTGCCTGTGCTTCATTGTCACCACCAGCCAAAGATGAATCAATGGAGGGACAAACAAGCGAAGAAGGAGACCGTGATAGACTTTGTAGTCCAACTCGAAGTCCCGAGACACCAGGATTTCGAAGTGAGTGAAATTATTTGATGTTATCGACACCGTTTTGAAGTCGTGTCTCGCCCACCCTCAATAAATATTACCACTAGACCACTTGCCCAACTTTTCGTGTCTCTTTTAATGGAAAATCACTTAACACATTCCTTTTCGGGCCAATTGATGCAAGCATAGATCAGTCAAGAATGGACCGGGACAGCATAAAACGATTTTAGAACTTTTAATGTTTCATCATGTGTGTTCAGTGCGGAAGGTCATAAAGTCATTAAACAATAGTTTTGAGGGAAATTTTATCTCAGTTTTCGGTGATTTTGAAAGGATTTCTTTTCCATTTTTATGAAACACAAATAGAAAATATCTTTTTTGCTCACTTTTTCGAAGCACGATTTTGGTTTCAATGTTTGGGGCAAGAGAAAGAAGAGAAGAACATCAAACAAGTTTAAAAAATGTCTGTGAGTGATGTTGTAAACAGTATGGCAACACATTGCAAGTAGAAACTTTTCCTTCTGTCTCTAAATTATAAACGCTTCTTTATAGAAATGCTTTTGATGATAATGTGAATAATAAACATTCCAAATCGAAGCTATTGTTTAGACACTCAAGCGCTCACTTACAAACAATTATCTTTTAACTCGATGTCAGAACAAAAGCTATGTTTACATAATACTTCGTAAGTTCTATTTAATTTAAGTGAGTTGTTATGAATGACTTCCTAACTTTTCCCTTCCTTTCTCAAACTGATGTTGTAAATCAATGAGATTAATCGGTGCCGAGAGAGATTTCTATTAAACTGTAATCATCGTTTTCTGAACATGATAAATAAAACCGCGAAACATTTGGCTTGTGAAAAAAATAGAAAATTCATTTGATTTTCTCATTTTTCCGCACTTTAACATCCGGTCTGGCAGTTGAATTACGTGATCTGAAAGTGTAATAAAATGTTGTTGAAGTGACGACGGAAAAATTGTTTTTTTAAATGCAACTTTCTGCACAATGTTCACTCGTCAATGTGGAATGTTAAACATGGCAACTGACTTTTGATGGTATTTTCGATCGATTTTATACAAAGGAATCTTTCCAACATCAAATTCACAAGAAAAATTTGCTTGCTAATAAAATACTTTAGGGGAAGATTGAGAATTCTCAAAAAAAGGCGCATCAAATCATAAATATTTGAACATCAAGAGAAATAATATTAATAATCCTCAAATAAAAGAAATTTAAGTTTATAAAAATATAATTTTATAACAAATATCTCTGAGTCCACTTAAAATAAAGAAGAACAAAGTCCATCATTTAAAATCACTCGACAAAAAAGAATTTCTTGGGCATAAATCATAATCTTAAGACCTTTAAAATGTATTAACGTAGCATTTATTGCGCAATTTATGATCACTGAACAAAATCTTCTCCTAAAAGCATTTTACAAACTATCTAAATTCTAGAAAGAGTTTAAATGTTTTCTTCTCGTCCACCGCTCTCGGACACGATTTATTTCTATTCGAGTTGTAAACATACATAACAGTTTTGTTATCTCTGTTCCAAGTAAAACCGTATCCTTTTAAGGAACATTAACCTCATAAAAGTATCGCTTCGACTTCGTCTTTCTTTTGAAAGATTAGGAAATTGGATCATAAACTGCCATAAAAAATCTGTTACACTTACATTTGGCTACATAAAAATGCATCGCACCATGAATGAAAAATTTTACAATTCAATTTTTTTGTTTGAGATAACTGAAAAATATTTCTCCAAGCCTTGAAAACAAAAAAAAAGTTCTGTTTGAAAAAAGGATTACAATAAAAATTTATGAGCGCAATAAAAGTGAAAAAAAGTTATTTGCACAGCTCGATATGTTTCAATTTGAAATCATTTCGCAAGCAGGGAGTGTAACAACAAACGATCACTTTCAGGTTTTCTCGAGCGATGAAACCGCAGTGGAACATTTTCGATTGCTTCATTTAAAAATGCATTAATTGGTCCGCGGATTCCTTTTTTTTCGCGTATCGTCACAAAAAAAATGTACTGGTCTGCAAATTGATGAAGAAATAATTATGTTGTCAAGTGATTGGTAAATGGCGGTATATTTATTTAATTTCATAAAAAAGGCGATTTTTAATTGATGTTTAAATTAAATATTTTTTAAACGTATAACTTTCAATCAGGAATTGGTCCTAAAAAACCTTTACATGTTGGTGCAACGTCAGCAACAGGTCACAATTCATGTCCAATTTGTGGCATTCAATTATCACCCGATGAGTTGGAATCACATTTTTCAGCCGAGTTAGGTCGATTGGCTAAACCAAACATGTACAACGAACGTCAAGAGATACGAAGAACTCTCAGCATGGAACTACATGCTGTGCAAAGTAGTTTGCAGAGTCGAAGTAGTAGATGGGAGGTAATTGACGTAAATAGACGTTTAATTAATTTAATTTTTAATTTCTTTTCTCTTTATTTTTAAACGACAGACATTTCAACGAATACGAGTCAATCGTCAAGGTCGATTGCGGGGAAAGCTTCGAAAACGAAAATTTGAAGAAGAAGCATACGCTAATATGACGTGTCAATCATGTCCGGTTTGCCATGGTCGTTTGCAGCGAACGCAAGAAGAAATTGCACAGCATATCGAGGAGTGTGTTCGTAAGGTGAGTGTCAGATAATCATTCAAGCTTTCATATGAATATGACACAGTTTAACCGCAAATTTCATTTATCAAACAAACAGCAAAACAGTCAAACACAAATACAAGATGAAGATGAGACGGTTGATGTTGAGAGCTATGGTGAAGAGACATCAAATGGTGCTATAAATATGACGTCACAATTATACAATAATAATAATAATTCCGTAAATAACAACAATAATAATAGCAATCAAGTAATAAATAACAATAACAACATCATAATGCATAATAAAATTGACAAAACAACTCCAGAAGATCACACGATAACATCGCTGAACCGCACCACCGCAAATTGGGATCATAAAAGTCGCATGTCTTTAAACTTGAGTTGCACTCAGATTAATGAAAATGGAATCACAAGAGTGACGCCAACAAGCAGCGATCAGAGAATCACTGATGTTGAGTACGAGTTGGACAATGATCGTGACCGAAGTCAAGAACGAATGAGTGATAATGAAGAAGAAGTCATTGTTGATAATACTGATGATGAGAATGACTGCGGTATGAAGAGGAAGCAATCTCAGCCGTCGGCTCAGCGACTTGTCAACGGATTACGAGAGATGAAGAAAAGGTTTGTGAATTGAATTATTTTGAAGATTTTTTGGATTCTTTTTATTTAAAAATTAAATTTCCTCACAGCACTGAAGAAGCGACTTCAAGTGTTGAAATTGATTCGGCGACGGAATCAAATAATCAAATAATCGCAAGAACACCGAATGATACAACGCCGAATTCTGACTCTTATGTCAGTACATCTGAGGCTATTGAACCGCCGGCTTCTAAAGCTCAAGTTCTTGAAGAACTTAAAGCGAGAATCAGAGAACTTGAAGGTTCACCTCACTACAAGTGTTTCATATGTAAGGTCAGAAAAAGTTAATTAAGCTTCAATGTCACAAAATTATACAGAAAACATTTCATTAACAGGAAAAATGTAAAACATTTATAATCTCAACGATATGTGGTCACTATCTCTGTGAAGATTGTTGGATAACAGTTTCTGTAAGTTACAACATAAAACTTTATAAAATTTTCATTCATTTTATTTCTTTTAAAATATTTTTCACAGGATATCGAGAAACAATGTCCAAGATGTAAGATTGCAACATTAAATATCGACTTTAGAAAAATATCATGTTTGAATTAATGACGTAATTTCAAGAATCTTCATCTCTAAACATTGATAAAATAATTTTCTTTTGTTATAAATATTTAAACAAATTGTTATGTGCAATTGACCACTTCAAATTTGGTTGAATTTTTCATGTACATAAATATTTCTAGCACAATCAATTTCTTCATTCAATCATAAATTTGTAAAGTTCGAGCTTTTCTTTTCCTCTCTAATTGCACTTTAAATTGAATATCACGTTTAATATTTGTGTAAATTATTAAAGAAAAATTAATAAAACATTATAGAGAAACAAATTGAGAAGATTTTAAATATTTTGTGAAGCCAATTTCATGGCCTGCCTTTGTTGACGTCGGCTTCAAACTGAAATCTTTAATTTGAAAGAAAATTTTTCTTTTTTTCTGCTCTGCGACGATCATACGACGAGTGATTTTTTTCTATTGAAGTATTAAAGCGCAAGCGACAACACAGTGAAGTAAGCATGTGCCGTTAGAGGTGGAGTCAGCTTGGTGCCTAATATTAAATGGCGCTATAATGAAAGTTTCATGACCTTAAACTCTTCTAATATAAGGAAGTTAAATAAAGTTATTCATTTTAATGTTGTTTTAACGAAATTATATCCGAAGCTAAATCATCAAAATATTCTCAACAGTTCTCGCTTTAACTCATCAACAAGATCTAAGGTTTGATAAGCTTTCAATTAGATTTGAGTAACGGCGGTCGTAAATCTTATTCAAATTATTTCTTTGTTTGCATTTATTCATGTTGATCGATTATCCAACAGATGTGCCAAACGGTTCAGCAAGTATCAAAAGGAAAATCATTCAATCGAATTTCCGACTCATAATTTAAGTTCAAAACAATAAAATAACAACAAAATTGTAGATAAAAAAGCAAAAGTCATATCAGTCCGTTTAGGGTTGGAAGATTATATTTCATAATTTTTGTATTTGTATGGTAATCACTGGACAATAAGTGTAAGAAAGCATTTGTATTGATCATATTTTAATCTTCAATTACAACAACCCTTATCAACAACAAGGGTCAGAAAATAAATCCCAAAGTTATCCAATCATGTTTCACAGGATAAAAAATGCCCTTTCTTCATCTCGGACGATTTCACGATTTATTGTCGACCGTAAAACGATGCTTTGAAGTATTTGGAAGTTTTGCAGTTTCTAAAAAAATTGCCAGTGATAATCTCACAAAAGAATTCTTTATCATAATGAATCGATTTCAATACACAAAAGCAGTTGTAAGTTCTGATAAAACTTTATTGCATCATAAATTATGTTTCGACTAATTATTTTCAACGACAAGTGAAAGTAAAACAAAAAAAAATTAATAAGTTGTTATCATGTAAATTATCGTTTTATTGCACCAACTCATCGACAATTTTATGATCAGTGAATTTGTTGATAGATTGAAATTAATATTTTTTTTTACGGTATCGTATCGATTTACTTGAGTTGTGTTTACATTAAGTGCTACCGAAATATGTTCAGAGATAACTTATAATTTATCGATGAACAAAGTAAAACACGAGACACAAATATGTAAGTTAAAAGACTTTTCAATCGCAAAATAAGCATTTTAAAGCTAAAACATCTTCGAGCGCGTCTTGAAACAATAAGCAATTTCTTGGACAAATATTTATGAATGAACAATCGAATTTTGGGCTTCTTTTGATACAATTGTAAGTACACTTTCTGGTCAAGAGAATATTTGAAAGATTAAGAGAAATCCATTGAAGGTTTTTCAATATTTTTTATAAACCGATGCGTCGAGAAGTAATATTTATGTGTTTTATTATGTTCGAACATTTCTGACATATATGGTGAGTGTGTGATAACGTTTATTCGCATTTGCATTGAATGCAAACTCTTTTGCAACCGTTCTAGGTAGAAAAGCGACTATCTAGCGGCTTTCTGAATACAATTGGATATTATGGACTTCTTTCACTGTAGGACAACAGTTAAGTAAAGAGTTTCTTTGAACCTTTTACATATTTACTTCTTTATTCAACACACCAAAGATTGTTTTGTCTCTTGAAATTATAAACTGGAATTGAACTTCATTGACGATCATTTAATGTTGAAACAAGGAAGCATATTATTCAACACATCATTGAATGTTTGCGAAACTTTTTTAATAAACTATTCGTTGATGTTACACCCACAAAAAGTAGGAAATTTGTTAATAAAAATGTGTAATTGCAATATGCGGTTAAATACAATTTGACGAGTTATTAATTTCTAGTCAATCAACAAAACAAGTTGCACCCACGCACACAGATTTTCCATTTAATGACATGGTCATGAAACTGCATCATTAATTTTCATTTGTATCGATTTACAAATCATACAATTCAGCTTCGTGTTAGAGACGATTGTGTCATACTGCTAATGACATCATATTTTTCAATGACATTTGTCACCCTCTTCCTCACACGATACGCTAAACAATATTGTTTCCTTCATCACCCATCTGATATGTTTTCACAAATTGTCTTTCACAATCTCAACACAAATAATTTACACGCTGAAAAAGCGACTTTAAAATTTATCCTAGAAATCTTGTTTTATTTAAAAACGTTCGAGGGTGACAATTGAAACAGATATCTACGAGCTTCTTACTTTGTTTATTTTTCTTCTTACAAGGATCAGTCTGAGTACTTGCAAATGACGAGATTACTCTTTAAAAGAAATAAATAAATAAAAGTATTTACCATGTGCATCATTGATGCATGAAAATTCTTCTCTAAGAACATTCCAAGGCACATAAAACGATTAAAGATTTGGCCTTTGGGAAATTGAAAGCGAAAGCAATAATTTTCTTTTTCTCTAAAAAAAGCGGCTTTGATTGAACAAATTTGATAATCTTTTTCTAAACGTATGAAACATACATATATGAAGGAAATCAATATTTCAACCCCTAAACAACACATCAGACGATAATCAAATTGCGACGATGTGCATTTGAATGTAAAAATTCGGTAAATTTGTTTTTTATCTTCGAAATGTTTGTAAATTGTATCGATTCGCAGTGAGATGTTTTAAAATATCAGCTGCAAAGTAATTTTATCCCATAAACATGTTTCCAGATATGTCATAAAACTTTACATTTTATGTGATTCCTTCAAACTTAAGACATGAAATTATGAATTGAAAACTTTTTTCTCTATCGAGACTTAGAGGCTCGCAATATTTGTCATGTTTTATGACTTTTTTCTCTTTCACATCTAAAACCAACCTTACTTAAATATTCAACTCAATTGACTCGAACTTTTTGATTTCTGAATCAAACAGCAATTTTGTGAAAAGAACAATGAAAAAAAATTTTTTGAAATTCAATTTGATAAAAACAGTTTCAGGAAAATGTATTTTAATGTGTTTTTATAAGTGATATGATTTGAAATTGAATGTAAGAGGGTGACAATGATGTTAGTGGAATTATTGTGAAGCTTTGTAAGACGAAAATCTAGTCAACCTTTCAAACGACTTCAACTTATGTTCTTCTCTTTTTCATTGTGCTACTGAATCTCATTGTGTTTTATTCACATACCAGCAAGGATAAGAAATTCTTTTGCTAAACGCGTCGTTTCTCCAGCACGCGGTGAGAAAGAAATATCAATAAAATTCAATAATAAGACGATCGAGAATCGACTACTGTTACACATATTTTTGCGCTCATCTCGTTCGCGGTAACTAAAAAAATATCAAAAATATGTATGTATACATGAATGTATTTATGCAATATTTTCCACCGATGTGTCTTTGTTGGAAAAAAATGTTTCCATTGTGGCGAGAAAGAAATGTGCTTCAAACAAAACTGGCGAAAGGGAAAAACATGAAATATCTCTTTCGACTGTAAATATAAAGCGATCGCATTTTTGCTGCTCCTTTTTGCCTTCCTCGCAAGAGAAAAATATTAAAGTGGGAATGAAGTTTTGTTGGAGTAATAAATTAAATGCTTCTGATGGATTTTTAACTGTTTTTTCTCGATGTCTTTACCTCTTCCTCTCTCGTCTTCATTCGCCGACCTTTAAACGTGATGAACTGAAAAAATGTTGTTGAAATTGCGTCAACATTCATTTCTCTCTACTGCATTTTTTTTGTTGTGTGCTGAATTTCAATCGTTATGAATCGCGAGATGACTTTATTTTCGCCTTTGAATTGCGAATTGTTATACATAAATCAGCAAGTATCAATCAAGCATAAAAATTCTGCAACGTCTGATGCAAGTTGAAATTGCTGAAACCTGATTTTATTGCACCTTTTTGTGATGTGATGATGGCTTCTACTTACTCCTTGTCTTCCTTTCTTTGTCAGTCACAGCTTCATTGACATGGTATTTTCTTTTGTACATTTCAACACTTCTACTTTGCTTCCTTTAAAGGTTTTATAAACTTTTAAATATTATTTTTGGGAGAATAATTATGAGTAATAATTAAATTTTTAAATTTATTATTCTTGCCCATTTAATGACCTGAACAAACGTCTTACAGCACACATTTTCCCATCATTATAATGCCATAAAATATATCGAAAGTATCATCAATTAAATTCTCATTCGATATCTCATCAATTACTCAAGAAATCCAATCCGAAAGATGAATGCATTCGATTAACTTCAACAAATGTCTTGAGAATTTTTCATTATTTGCCGACCATCATTTGTCTTGTGGGAAATCTTAGTTCCATGTCTCAAGATATCTTTGAAGAAATTTATGTTGTGCACATGACCTGTGACAACTAGAAGAATGCAACATTTTGTCCCCTTTTAATTAATTAGCTCATCCTTTTGGAAAAGCATTTCCATGTCATCATGTTCCTTGAAAAACAAGAGAAGGGTTAAGAAGAATGAATATTTGCTAGTAAATTAGTTTCTCACAAGATAACTTAAGAAGATTGAAATCCTTTTAGTTGTTTTGTGAGAAAATGACTTTGATAATTTCAGATTTTTGCCGAAAGAACTTCAGTTGACTTTAAGATGAATTCGGCAAAACACAAACAAAAGAGTGAGAGAGAGAACTTAATAACTTGCATCAAGTATTATGGTTAAAGCTTCTTAGCATAAAGTTTTCATGTCATCGTGAAATCTGTTTCGTTAGTCAACATAAATCTGATTTCCTTATGCATGAATCAAAATGACTCAGACAACTAAAAGACGAATGCGTTCGAAGCAATGAAGCAGTTAAATGACTCAGCTTGAAAGCGTGTTAACAAGGCATGAATAAATTAATAAATTAAGGCGGAGAATGGAGAGAGAAGATTGAGACAAGAAAATTGTCAATGCGTAATGGAATTATAATAAGATGAATTAACACTTAATAAAATCATTATTTTCCACTTCTTCTTCATGCTTTTCAGCATCGCATTGAGTTTTCCCCTTTTTCATCGACATTTAAAAAGATTTCATCGACATTAAGATCAAAAATGTTATTTGTATGGTCATTTCCCATTAAACTTATGAGATCCTAATCAGAGATGATCATTTGGACATTTCATTTCAATTGAAATTTAGGGAAATTTTTCCACAATTTTCCTTTAATATTCAACATAGGGAAAACTCATGAATGAATGAACGATTAAGGATTTGAGAAGGAAGTTGTGGAAGGAAACATTTATTGGCATCATATTTTAAAGTTTCTTTCCCACTAGATTTAACCACATATATTGCAAGCCGACACAAAAGGAAAAGAAGCAATGTTGAATAACAAATTTGAACACAAAATATTACCCATGTGCAAACAGATGAAAGATTTCGTAAGTTGCGTCAGTTACATGTTGAATTTTAAAGTGAAAAAATCTGAATTTTCAGTTGAAATAAGAAAAGTTTTCAATCTTTATCTGGATTTACTGAAAAGGAGGTTGACAGAATTTCTAAATCCACCCCAAATGGTGAAGTTAGTTTGAGACAGATATGAAAATATGGAAAACAAAAATTATGACGTGAGAGCATAAATTTCTAGCTTTAAAATTGTTCATGGAAAATATTTATTTCACTTATCGTGGTGATTCAAGCGAAAAGTTTATTTAATCTTTGAATGTAATCTTGTGCAAGTTATTTGCAATTATCATGTTAGTGTAATAATTTGATGATAAAATTAATTAAAACGAAGCGATTTGTAGTACGAAGTTATTAAAATAATTGGAACTGACGCATGCGAATAAGAAACAACAAAAGAATTTGCATCAAAGATAGTAAGTCTCTGGATTTTACGAGATAAATTTTTATAGTCTGAAGAATCCGTCAGAACCGTCTTTTGTCGACGAAGCCGCCAAGTTAATAAAGCATTTAAATAATAATTTTTATGATTTGCTTTTTAACTCTTCATCTATATTGTCGTTAATGCATTTTACAATCGGCGCATTAAATCAATAAAAAATTTAATAAGCGATTTAATCTCCAAGAAGAGAGAAGAATCAGTCAAAGTTGCTGCTTATGCATCCGAACATCTTCTGCAATCGAATTTTATTATGAAACTTTAACGATCGAAAATGAAATGAGATTTTAAATGGCCATTTCGCTTGTCAAAACTTTTAAACATAATATGAGAGATGATTTTTATTTCAGTAAAGAGGGATTAAGTGCTAAAGTTTGCACTCTAACAACTTATGAACTCAACCAGCAATACTTTGTTGCTTTCGCAATAAATCATTTAATTTGAAGTGAGAATCTTTACGAAGTTCTAAATCCCAAGAAATCACATTAGTCGGTAAAATTAGATTCGAATGCAATTTTAAAGTTTAAGAACTGTAAAAAATAATGTTGAAACATTTAACCGACTGAAGAAAACTCATGCCTTGAGGATATTTATACGAGGAAAGTAAACATAAAGATGCAAACTGGTTTAAGTCAGAGGGAAACACATTTATTTTATCCTTAATGGGAAGAACATCAAATTTATCATGCGAGAAATACTTTCACACATCATAAACTTTAATTTAAGTAGTTGTGATAAACTTTAGGGAATGGAAAGTGAAAAGTTTGTAAGTTTTCCCAGTGATATTCTTTGTAAATGTTTGAATTTTGATGATGATAAAATTGTCGTCGATTTCAGAAACTTAAATGTGAATGAACTTTTCCTCAACAAAAATTGTCACAAAAATAAATCATTAAGCAAAAGTCAATTAATGAGGAAGATATCGCAAAGGTGACGTAAAAGTCGCAACGGGATATCAAATTTAAAAAATGATAAACTTCATCAATGACAGTAAAAAAGATTTGAAATTGTGCAAAAACGATTTCATTCTGTTATTGATGTTTACTGTTGGAATAAAATAAAAACAACTCAAACACGTGATAAATCTTACGTTTGAAAAGACAATTTTGATTGCCCCAGTTTAAAATTGATTTTTTAAAACGACCAACATTAATTGGAAGTCAGGACATAAATATTTATGTGTTTTGAAAGCGAGGCTGACTCCCCCAGATCCTTCTGATGACATTGAATCGTTACTTGAAATAAAATTTAATTGAATTCAATTCTGCGACCACTGAAAATCATCAGCACTTTACTTTTAGTATCATTTCAATCAGATGAGATTTGTTTGCTTTCTAATTGATTGTCTAAACATCGAAGTGTGAATAGGACTAAAGCAAGGAAAAATTTCAGCAATTTTTTGTATATTTTTCATCGTTGAATACCATAAAATAGCGATTGAGAGAAAAACAATTCTTACGAGTTTGGTTTTTCTCGGTTAGTTAGATCCGCAAACCAATGAATCAAATTAGAATGTTTATAAATTTTGATGAATCAAAAGCGAAGCTGCGTTTCATGCGACAATGTTCCACGATCAGGCGCTTTCATTTCAACTCACAAGTCACAACCAACAATAAATCTTAAGTTTTCTTGACAACGGTAACCAGCGTGATGACAATTTATTCCGATACATATTTTCATATTTTCCCCTCAAATCCACAAAGTAAATCCACCGACTGCCACAAATTGAATGTTTTTCTTTCTGCGGGGAGTGCAAAACTAGGCAAAGTACGAGCATTTAAAGCCCATACAACAATAATTCACAATTCAATGTTGCTTCTACTTTCACATGTGAATTTATGTTGGAAACAACACTTTTGTATATGGCGAAATATTTTCCGCATTTTGCAGTTTGATTCATTAAAGTTTCAGCAACGATACTGAGGCATTAAGGAAGTGTGTGAAAACCAGTGGGAAGTTTTTCATTATTAAATACAATAAATTAAGTGACAGTGGAAGCGAAATTTAACAAGCAAGACATTGTCTTTGATCTTAAGTTAATTTTATTCATTTCTCTTCACCATTAAAAGAAGTGTTTAATTAACAACGAAGATAAGTCGATCATTTAAAATATCGTAAATCATACGAAGAAGTGTTTGAGTTATGAGCAGTTAAGCCTCGTAATCTTTTCTTTATTGGACCTTTTTTACTCTCAAAGTGGTAATCTCGAGGACGATGTTAAACATAACAACCGTTTGGACATTTTTCGCCACAGCTAAATTTAAATTTATTGCCAATGAATCCTAATATATGAGGATTGCAGATGTTTGATGGAGCAGCAAATCTTTTTCACTCAAAAATCCCCGAACACAAAACCACAAATCCCATAAGTCATAATATCATTCGCATGAAATGCCACGGCTTTGGATGAAATTGACAGTCGCTAAATTGGCCATTTGTTTACGTTTAGTGTTGGAAGTAACAATTGGTAAATTGTAAAGGTGAAGAATCACAGTTGATTGTATTACATTGGAAAAGTAATCGTTTTAATTTAATTGTAATCACGATGTCAACATTTCATGATGCAAATATTTAATTTGAAATCGCTTCTACCTTAAACTGTCGTTTGTGTTTAGAAATTTAATAGAAAAAATTAAATTATTCCTTCACACTCCAAATGCAAACAACAAAAGTCAAATATTAAATCACGACTTCGGTAAGAGGAGTTGAAGTAATGATGAGGGCACCTGGGGAAGTTGCATTGCATTCTAAACAATTAATTGATGACAATGACAACAGTAAATGTGATGCGGCAGCAAATGATTGAATCCTCTTCAGGGATGAAACATAATAAAATTAGTTCCGGTTACTTACATTTTATTAATTCTCATGTTTTTGTTATGCTTTGAATTTCAAATTATTCATGGCTGGAACTGATTGAAACCAGAAAATCAATGTTTATCATTAACATTTCAAATGCTTGACACATCAAAAGCTTCAATTTTGCACGAGAAATTAAAAAGATGAATTAAATGCAAACGACTTGAAATTATTTACAATGTTTAATTTTTCCCAAAGATCTCAAATTCGTCAGCATTTAATGTACATCATGAGATCAGGAAAGCATACAATTTTTAATAAAACATTCAATTAATCATTTCCACACAATGGACGAGATGAGTTCTTTTATGATCTTCGAGATGGCATGCAATAAATTAATGAGATTGGCAATTACAACAAAAACAGATTTTCCTTTATGTCAGTTTTTAAGGGTCGAAGTCATGAAAGAATCAAACACTTCTCCCATGCATGTTGCCGTTTGATGATGTTGTAAATTATTTTGTGTGGTGATCCACTTTTTTTACAGAAATGAATATAACGACACTCAACCCTCGTTGTAATTTGTCGAATATTTGTTCTATTAAAATGCACTCGAATGTGCTTTTATTTTTCAACTGAATCGTTTTCCTGTGATGTTAACGTGAGTTAAGTTAAAGTGGCATTAATAGAAATGAATGCCCTGACTTCACCACTTTAGTGGCTTTGAGTTCAAAAATATGAAGCAGATTGTCTACGATGACATTTGTTGTGGTTGAAATTGAAAGGAATTAAAATAACATTTTAAGTATGTTTATTTTTAATTATTTATTAAAAAATAATTTTGAATTGATTCAACTGAATATTTTGTTTCAACTTTAAAGAGACACCACAAGAAAGTCTCAACCAAAAATAAAATAGCACTGCGTGGGAGAAACTTTCGTTAATACTAATTTTACTAGCAATTCTAACTGAGAACCAATCTTAAATCAAAGCATTATAATTTTAATTGAAGCAGTGTTTAAAATTACACGAATTTGTACAATTATCTAAATAATTAGATATTTTGATTGTCAAAATGGTTAAGGAAATATGTAATTGGAAGTATTGAAACCTATTTAAGTAATGAGACTCGATCATTCACAACTTCAACAATGAAAAGTCAAGAAGTAATTTTTTCTCTACTTTTTTCGTGTTTGTTATTTAATTTAGTGACAAACAAAAGGATTATGATAAAACAGAATTTAAACGATGAAATTCAAACAATTTATATTAAAGCGGTTCGATGCAAATTCAATGAAGATTTCTTTTTTAAAAATTATAGTTGCTTCGCCAAATCATACAATCGATCGTTTTCTACGGTCAATATTTTTTCAGAAATGAAGCCTGTTAACATTGACAAAGTTTATGTAAGTGAAAATAAGTTTTTGGAATAAATATAAATAATTCAATTTTCTTATTCACTTTACAGCTGAATTGGAAACTTTTATACAAATACGGAATGATTTATCGTGAAGTGATGCATTTAACAAGACTTGACTTTTGTCAAGCTTTTAACTTTGGATCAACCAATAAGTTGGTAATTCAAATGTTATCAATGATGAAAGACAGTGATCCTAATTTATTTAAACTTCGTTGTCCTGGACCTGTAATCAAATGAATTTGTGATGATCCTTTTGTGTTTATGATATTTTTATGAAATTTGTTCGCTTTAAGGTGGTGATGTCTAAATTCTACATAAAAACTGGAACCATGATGTCAATTTTTCCTTCAGGAGATTATAAACTCATATTTGAATTTGAGTTGGAAAACAAAACTTTGGTGGACTATTTCGAAGTTATATGCAGTTTAAATTCTCCTAACAAAGATACTTTTGGGTGAATAAAGAAATCAATCACCAGGAAGATTTTCAATGAGGTTCAAGTTCTTAAGCAATTACAAATTTGTTATGTAATATCTTAAAATACAGTGGACTCTCCCTATAACATATTTTTTGAAAATAATTTCGAACGAAATCTAGAACAAAATTCTCTTCCTATAACATCTTTTTTCCGGTTCCTTCGAAAATGTTATAGGGAGAGTCCACTGTATAATTATTTCAATTTCAAATTTTTTTAAACTTATTTTATTCTACTCTATGTGTACAATCATTTTTATATCAATATTTGATTATTGTTATTATTATTCATCAATCTACCTTAATTGCTCCTATTCTCTTTTGTCAAAAATAAAAAGGTTACAGCAAAAATCAAATTCAATGATGAAGTTCAAGCGATCTTCATTCGGACAGTTCGATGCAAATTTCCTGGAAAAAATATTTTCAAAATTGTAGTTCCTTTGCCAAATCATAATCGATCATTCTACAGTTAATACATGTCTTGTCAATTATTAAGCCTAACACAAAATAATTTTATGATAAATGCAGTTGTTTTAGAAATTCCATTATTAAAAAGCTGGGCAGATGCAACCACGACATATACCGTTCTCAAAAATTAATCATACTTTCAGGAATGTAACTTGCTCTTAAATTTACCAAATATTAATATTAAGATTAAAACTTTAGAAAATGTTTATGCCTAGGTAGGAAATAAATTTACAATGACTTGCACATACAAACTTGAACGAAATTGTCGATTTTTCCTACTGAATCAGTAAGACTTACTTTGAATGGGGGGAATTGGAAAACAAAATTTTAGTAGACTCTTTCGAGATCATTTTCAGTAAATTCACTCATCAAAGATACTTTGGATAAATTAAAAAATTAGTACGAATATGCTTTTAAGTCTACAACTGTGTTTTTATGAACGATTAAACATTGATAGCACATAAAGTATCCATCTAAACAAATTTAAAATGATCATATTTTTTGAACCGGTTGAAAATAATTCTAAGTCACTCATAGTTTGTTTGCAATTATTTCAATTCTAAAAATATTTAAGGAAGTTTCTATTGATAAATCTCTCTACAATAATTACATGAAATATTTTATAAACGAGTCCATGAAATTTGTATTGTCATTCAGTTATCAATTTTAGAAATGAAAACTCAAGAAGCGTTTTGGTTTTTACTTTCATCGTTTCTTTTATTTTCAATCGTTACACCCACGAGGAATGTTCTAACCAAAAGCGATGAAATTCAAACGTTTTATATTAAAGCGGTTCGGTGCAATTTTTCTGAAGATTACTTTTATCAAAATTATAGATAGTTGCTATGCCAAATCATACAATCGATCATTTTCTACGGTCAATGTTTTTTCAGAAATGAAGCCTACTAATATTGACAAAAATTATGCAAGTGGAAGTAAGTTTTTAAAAGAAATATTTATGTTCAATTTTCTATACTTTACAGCTGAATTGGAAACTTTTATTCAAATATGGTATGATATATCGTGAAGTGATGTATTTGTCAAGAATTGATTTTTGTCAAGCTTTTAACTTTGGATCAACCAATAAGTTGGTAAATCAAATATTTTCAATGATGAAGGACAGTAATCCCAACATATTTAAACTTCGTTGTCCTGGTCCGGTAATAACGAATTGATTATTTAATGCCCACTTTAATATTTTAAGTTTTCTTAGCTGAACATAACTAATCTTTACATAAAAACTGGAACGATGTTGTCGATATTTCCTACTGGTGACTATAAGACTTCCTTTGAATGGGAATTGGAAAATAAAACTTTTACCGGCTCTTTCGAGATTATTTTCAGTATAAATTCACCCATCAAAGATACTTTTGGATAAATAAAAAGATCACCATGAATATATTCTGAAAATTAAAAATTCTAGAAAATTTTGACAACTAAAACTGTGTTTTCATGAGCGATTAAACATTTGAAGCACTTAGAGTAGCCATTTAAACAGATTTCAATGATCACATTTTTTAAACTGGCTGAAAATAATTCTAAGTCGCTCATAATTTGTGTGTAATTAATTTAATTATAAAAATATTCAAGGAAGTCTCTATTGATCTCTGTTCAGATAATCAGATGAAATATTTTATATACAATTCCACGAAGTTTTTCATGTCATTCATTCATCAAGTTTAGAAATGAAAATCTGCAGAGTGTTTTGGTTTTTAATTTCATCGTTTCTTTTATTTTCAATCGCTACGGCCACGAGAAATGTTCTAACCAAAAGCCAAATAAACGATGAAATTCAAACGTTTTATATTAAAGCGGTTCGATGCAATTTTTCTGAAGATTTCTATTTTCAAAATTATAGTTGTTATGCCAAATCATACAATCGATCGTTCTCTACGGTCAATATTTTTTCAGAAATGAAGCCTGTTAACATTGACAAAGTTTATGTAAGTGAAAATAAGTTTTTTAAAAAAGTATAATTCAATTTTCTAAACTTTACAGCTGAATTGGAAACTTTTATTCAAATATTTATGGAGCGATTTATCGTGAAGTGATGCATTTAACAAGACTTGACTTTTGTCAAGCTTTGAAAAATGGATCAACCAATAAGCTGATAATTCAAATGTTATCGATGATGAAAGACAGTGATCCTAATTTATTTAAACTTCGTTGTCCTGGACCTGTAATCAAACGAATATATTTGTGATGAACTTCTTGCGTTTTATATTTTTATAATTTCGTTTTTTGCTTTAAGATTGTCATGTCTAAATTTAACGTGAAAACTGGAACCATGATGTCAATTTTTCCTACAGGAGACTATAAACTCTTTTTTGAATTTGAAATGGAAAACAAAACTTTGGTGGACTATTTTGAAGTCATATGCAGTCTAAATTCTCCTAACAAAGACACTTTTGGATGAATGAAGAAATCAATGACCAAGAAGATTCTCATTGAGGATCTTTAGACAGTATAAATTTAACTTGAACAATTCCAAATTTGAAATGTAATATCCATAAAAATATCTTCAAAATTACAAATCATCATTTTTTTGTGAATTGCTTTTTAATTCTTTCAAATCAACTCCATGGACTGATAGTCAAATATTCTTTAAAAATTAAAAAAAAGTAACAATGAATAGACAAATGAAGATTATTGTTCTTCATACAAAGCCCAACATAATTGACACAATATATGTAAGTAAAATTACAGTTACACGATTTAAACATTTTTACTTAGCTTTAAAGTTAAATTGAAAACTTTTATTCAGATATGAACCAACATTTCGTGAAGTGATGCCAAGAATTGATTATTTTCAGGCGTTTCAGGACGAAACGAACAATAAGATATTAGATTAATTATTTCCAATGATGTAAGATGACGACCCTAACATGTTTAAAGTTCGCTGTCCTTTTGTAAAAATTTTAACATTTCTAACTGTGCTTTTATAAATGATTAAACATTGAAAGCACTTAGAGTAGCCATGCAAACATTATAAAATAATCATATTTTGTTTGCAATTATTTCAATCATCAAAATATGGAAGTATCAACAGATAAATCTCTCTTCAAATAATTAGATGAAATATTTTATATACAAGTTCATGAAGTTTTTCATGTCATTCATTCATCAATTTTAGAAATAAAATTCGGCAAAGTTTTTTGGTTTTTACTTTCATTGTTTCTTTTATTTTCAATTGTTACATCCAAGAGAAAAGTTGTAACCAGAAGCCAAATAAACGATGAAATTCAAACGTTTTATATTAAAGCGGTTCGATGCAATTTTTCTGAAGAATACTTTTTTCCTAATTATAGTTGTTATGCCAAGTCATACAATCGATCATTCTCTACGGTCAATATTTTGGGAACTTTAAAACCTAACAAGGTTGACAAAATTTATGTAAGTACGGATACTGATTTTGTTACAGTTACCTCATTTTCTTAAGTTTTCAGCTGAATTGGAAATTGCTTTTTAAATATGGAATGATTTATCGTGAAGTGATGCATGTGTCAAGGATTGATTATTGTCAGGTGTACAACTTCGAAACAAGAAATAAGATAGTAAATCAATTATTATCGATCATTAACGATAGCGACCCCAAAATACTTAAAGCTTCCTGTCCTGGTTCTGTAATATAAAAAAAGATATTTCTTTCTTACTTTGATATTTAAAATGTTTTTAGCTGAACATAACTAATCTCTACATAAAAACTGGAACGATGTTGTCGATATTTCCTACTGGCGACTATAAGAATTTCTTCGAAGTGGAATTGGAAAACAAAACTTTAGTGCATTCTTTTGAGATTATTGCTAGTATAAATTCATCTAACAAAGACACTTTTGGATAAATAAATAAAAGAGTTGAGCATGAATATGCTAAAATTTGTATAAATTGATAATTTTAGCATTTAAAACATGTTTTTATGAATGATACCTTATAAACACTTATATTATTCATCTAAACAATATTAAAATAATCATATTTTTGGAACTGGTTGAATATAATTCTAAGTCAATCATAATTTGTTTGCAATTATTTTGATTATTAAAATTTAAGGAAGTATCTATTGACAAATCTCTCTTCAGATAATTACCTATTTGAAATATTTTATAAAGAAGTCCATAACAACGTTTTTCATGTTATTCAGTTATCAATTTGAGAAATGAAAACTCAGGAAGTGTTTTGGTTTTTACTTTCATCGTTTCTTTTATTTTCAATCGTTACGGCCACGAGAAATGTTCTAACCAAAAGCCAAACAAACGATGAAATTCAAACAATTTATGTTAAAGCGGTTCGATGCAATTTTTCTGAAGATTACTTTTATCAAAATTATAGCTGTTATGCAAAGTCATACAATCGATCGTTCTCTACGGTCAATATTTTGTCAACTGTAAAACCTGTTAATATTGACAAAGTTTATGTAAGTATAAATTCTATTTTTTTTTTTCAGTTAGTTAGGTACCTCATTTTCTTAAATTTTCAGTTAAATTGGAAATTGTTTTTCAAATATGGAGTGATCTATCGTGAAGTGATGTATTTGTCAAGAATTGATTATTGTCAGGCTTGTAAATTTGGAACAAGCAATAAGATATTAAAACAAATATTTTCAATGATGAGAGACAGCGACCCCAAAATATTTACAGTTCGCTGTCCTGGTTCTGTAATAATATAAAGAAAAGATAATTTTTTTCTTACTTTGATATTTTAAATATTTTTAGCTGAACATAACTAATTTCTACATAAAAACTGGAACGATGTTGTCGATATTTCCTACTGGAGACTATAAGACCTTCTTCGAATGGGAATTGGAAAACAAAACTTTAGTAGAATCTTTGGAGATTATTTCTAGTTTGAATTCACCTAACAAAGACACTTTTGGATGAATAAAAGAATAAAAGAACATTGACATTTTTGTACAATAAATTGTATAAAATTGATCTAAGATGAAAATAAAATTATTTATTTCAAAGTAGTTTTCATAATTGCAAGTAGCAGGAGATTACGTTTTATAATATGGTCCATAATGTGTGTTTTTAAAATGTAGAAGCTTTCTAAATTTCAGAATATTTAAGATACTTTGAAATAGAGTAGATTACATTAAATATTAGGTAGTATAATCAATTCGATGCCTTAATTTTGAATGAGTCAATGCATTGCAATGTCATATTATCTGATCTCTGATGTGCAAAACAATCTCGCATCTGCTTGTCAAAAATCAGTTAAATAACACAAGTCATCGAACGTACGCCATCTTCCGAAAGAATTAGGAACTTTTAATTTAACATTTGTGCTAAGTTAACACTGAACGTGACGATTCCTTTATTCCGCAACTTTTTGTGTTATTTTGACTTCAATTTAGAAATAGGAAACAAACTTTTTAATGACGAAAAATCAAATGAATTTTCTACTGAAGGGTGAAATAATAGAAAGCAATAATAAATATGCTCGAAACATTTAATTGGTGATACAATTGCTCAAATAGTTTTAATTAAATTTAACAGCTCATCAAAATTTAGTAAAACTTTTACACAGAAGTTTTCAATTTAGTGCTGAAAAGATTTCAGAAAGAATACAAAAAATTGGCGGTTTATGAAGAGATTCTTCTCTGAACTTTAAACAATATTTCATGTGGCTACAACATTTATCTCCATTTGTTCACAATCTTCTTTGCATTCTTCAGCGCCATTACAAATATCACAAAGAGATATCTCTGGTGGATTGTAGAAGGTTGTAGCACGACGAGCTGAAATGAAAGATTTTGTTTTTGATAATAATTTATCACCTTTGTTAATTAATCACTCACAATTCTCATAATAATCGTAGACAATTATTGGAGCTGCTTTTTGTTTCGCTACACTATGAGTTCGATAAGCCTTGAACTGTGGACAAATTTGAGTCTCACTCAGATCGTTGAAGTAGACAACAACGATTGTATCCCCATCTTTAGTTTCAACTTTCTAAATATTGAAATATATAAAGATCAACGACTTGAGTAAAAATTTGATATTCACCTTAACATTCTCTGTTGAGAGAAGTTCTGGTGATGAATCAGTATCGTAAGTGAAACCACTTGGTAAAGTCACTTCCATAATAGCCATATTGGAGTTTTTAGAAGCTCCATTGGGTACATAATTAGTACAGACTTTGAGCTGTAAAAATTCTTTGTTGGAGATTTTTTCGACTTCTGCTTCCAATAAGAAACTTGGAACCGTTCCAGCAACGTTCATGTTGTATTTGTAAGACAATTGGAGAAGATTCACTCCTCTGCCTTTTGCAGTTATCTCAAAGTTTCTTGCATCAGATGGCAATTCATGTTTCTGAAGAATGAATGCATTGTCTCCATTGACACTTAAAGATGCTTCGCCATTCTGATATTTCACCATGTTTTCAATTTCAATGTCAGATGAATAAAACTTAGCAGAAAGCTTGGACAAAGCTTGGATGCCAACTACAGTGTCTTGGGTTGATTGGAAACCTCCATTCTCATTTCGCTGTTTTATCAACCATTTCATGACAGCAAAAGCTTCATATTCCTTTCTCCCTTCAAGTAAAGCTTGAAGTCCATAAGCACTCATTTCAATATCAATTGAATTTGGTCGTGAATCCCACGAATCATCTCTTGGCTTTACCGATTTCTCCCAATGTGTCAATCCTTTCGATTTCACTGCATTTTCCTGAAGTTTGGAAAGCAAAGAATATCCGACATCGTGTTTTGCAAGAAGAAGCGCATAAGAAGAAATAGCCAGCGAGTAATCGTCGTTGAGACTTTCGATATTATCAATGATGTAACTTAAAGCTTTGTCAATTGTAGATTGATAGGTTTTCGATAGTTTTTCATTTTCAAGGAAGGTGATTAATGTGTAAGCTGTTAATGCAATGCCTTTCGATGATCCACCTTGCATGTCTTTGTGTGAAACATGTCCAACTTCTGGAAAGTTTCCATTTGTTGCTTGGATATTCACAAGAAAATCTAAAGCTTGTTTGATGATATCGTCATCAATTGTTATGTATTTAGAAGCCTGATAGAATGATTTAGCAACGAAAGCTGTTAACCAAGTACTGCCTTTGCGATCACTTTTACCAAATGCACTGTAAGATCCATCATTATGTTTGTACCTCAACTCTCGTTGATATCCCGTCTCCATGTACTTTTTGGTCTTAGCTTCGATTTCAGATGTAACTTTGTTGATTGATGTTAAATAATCTAAAACGATGATGTTTGGAACGAAATTCAACATGTTTTGTTCACCACATCCGTAAGGAAGTTTACTGTGAAAATATAAAAAGATTATTTGGCATTCATTAAAATAATTCAAAGAACAATCACATCAATTTATCCAAATTTTCAATGGAAGGTCCTAAAATGTCACCAATAACCGAGAATTCAATTCTTGTAGAATCTGGAACAGCAGTTGAAGGTATTGCGATGACTTCGTTTGTCTTAAACTCGGAATTGTTTCTGAGATCTATTAAGAGAGCTTTATTTTTATAATGAGTGACACCTTCTGGTTCAACTATTAATGGTCTTTCGATTCCATCACCAGCAATAGCAGAATTTGCTGTTACTTTAATCTTGATGTGACCAACCTTCAATGGACGAATCATAAATGAAATTGATGATCCACTTTGAGATTTGATCACGACGTTCTTCTTCCTTTGACTCTCAATCGATCTTTTACGACGTTCCAATTGATTTTCATCATTTTTAACTTCTGTGAATTCAAATTCTCTTTCTTCGTTGAATAATGTGACTTCAGCTTGTTGATCACTTTCTAGATAGTTGAAGACTACAATCGGAATTGAAACAACTTCACCACGTTTGATTGAATAAGGCAGGTTGGTTGTAACAAAGAACGATTGAAAAACATTGAGCATTGTTGGTTGTTCTGTCAATGCTAAACCTTTCATTGGATCTACTGAAAATCCTGTGATTATCCATGACGTAATTGTGTCGGGGACTTTCTTGGAGATTGTTACATTTTGAGTGCTAAATTTAATAAGAAATTTCACAATTTTATCATTTTACGCTAAATATTAAAACGTAACTTACTTTGTATCAAAATCGATGCTGTCAAAAATCCAAGTTTCAGGGAAAGTGTTTCGGATTTTTATTTCTCTTTGTGGAATTGGCTGAGTTATGACGGAGTCAGGTCGATTTTTAGGTATGTTAACTGGTCCAGGAATTCCGCCAGTTCTAGCAAACGATGGTACCGAGCTGAATGAATAACTTGGTGATGACCAGGCTGATTGAGCATTTCCACCAAATCGAAGACCGTTATATGATGTGCGATGAATAGGATATCGACGTCTTTCTGGTGGCAATTCTACAGAATCTTGAAATCGACATGAAAAAATTATTCGAGTTAAATCAAGAAAAAAGAAAAACAAAACTCACAGTGTGGATCTTCAACGTTAGTTATGATTAATAAACCAGTTAACATTTCATTCCAGGCTAATGACTTCCACCACCCATCCTGTACAAATTTAGACTTTTCCTTCTCAATTTTCTTCTCTTTCTGCTTTAATATTTCTGCTACTTCTGACTTTTCTATGTCATTGCCTTTCTTCAACAGCAAAACACTTTTATCGACGCCAAGCAATCCAATGAACGAATTTGGATTTGAACTCACGAAGATATCAATTTGGCCACCCGGTTTTGTTTGATGTTTTGAAAGTTCGATGTTCAAATGATTTTCTGCTTCAGTTTCAATATCAAGTATCAAATAATCGTGAATGAATTCACCATCAGATGTGATGTAAAAAACATAAAAATATGAGTTTGGTGCCATTTCAATGGTTGGTGTTAATTCAATCGAAATTTCTTTCTCATTGGGAACTTCAACAGTCTTTGATATGAAAATCTTTTCATAGTTTAGAACATGATAAGTCAATTTTCTCAGATTATTTGTTGAAATTACATCAATTTTGACTTTTTCAGAAACTTTTAATCTAAAAATTGGAAATGAAAAAGAAATGAAAATGTTTAAAATGTGAAACGAAAAGTACTCACTTTTGGCTTAAAGGTTTGATTTGTAGGAATATTTTGGACTCAGATGGAGTTTTTTTAATCTCCGATGTCATTTTTGAAGTCTCCAAATATTCTGCTTTGACAGTAATCTTTGTGGTGTTGGCAGGGAAAGAAGGAATCTCGAGTGTAGCAATTCCATTTGAAATCATGACTTCTTTTTCAACGTTATAAGATTTTTCTTTACGACATTGATAACTTGAATGAGGTTGGCTTCGTCGTAATCGAGGAATAAAAGGACGATCTCTCGATCGAAACCCAATAGGTGAGCATGTTTCGATGCCTTCATAGAAATGTTTGATTGTGAACACAACAGCATTGTAATTATCCTCAACTGGAGCGTCTTTGTCATGATATTTCACAAATGCAGTTACAGAGAAAGGAAGACCATTCTTGAACTGATCATGGCTTGTTTTAAGTTCGATGTAATGTGGTGTTGGATGAATCTTAACAATTGTTGTTTCATTCTGTTCTCGTCCACTTAACTCTTCTTTAAATGTTACATCGACAGTCACCGACTTTTCTTTCTTTTTATCTGAAATTCCTAAATCATTTTTCATATTAAACTCAACAGATTTCTTTCCATCTACTTCAACAGTTTTCGATGCTTTTTTTCGATCAACTGTGGCAATGATTGTTGCATTTCCCTTTGCAAATTTTCCGAAAGTAAATTTGGCTTTGACAGTTGCTCTGATTTTTCCATCTTTGAAACTTACATGTGGATTTGATTCAATGGTTACTTCAAACTTTGGCAAAGTATATTCAGCTACTTCAAAGTTCTTTACCTTCAACTCATGTCTACCATCAATCACTCGAATATTCCAATTACCCAATACTGGCATGTCAGAAAGTTGAAGTTCATTTTGATAAACTCCTTTAATCAATGTTACATCATCGAACTGCTTTACGCGATTATCTGCTCCGTCAGTAATTTGAACTTGGACCTTTCTTTTGAAAATTAATGGTTTCGTATCAGCATTTAAGATGAGAACACGAAATTGAATCTTATCAGACGGTTTGTAAATTGATTTGTCAGTTTGCACAAAAGCTGTTATTGTTCCAGATCTTCTTGTATTATGTAAGGTCAACCTTTCCTTTAGTACAACATCTTTACCATTTTCAATCGTCTTGACTTGCAGATAATAAGTTGTTAAACTAAGCACAAAACTTTCAAGACTTCTCACCTGTAAAGAAAATTTCTCAGTGGAATTTCACAGAATAATTTTTTTTAATTTCAAACGTACGTCAAGACTTATCTCTTTTGTGGAATCATTGTCAATTATTATGCTTTTATTAAGTAAAGTTGTTAAATTAGAATCGATGACAGAAATTTCGAATTCTTGTGGCTTAGCGTATCCCTGCGATGTTATAGAAATCTGGTAATCGTTATCTTGCGTCACATACTTTGGAGCAAACAATGTGAAGTAACTAAAATGTCCTCCTTGTTTCAATAATTTAAACTAATTAAGTGTTCATGTACCCTACTCACCCTTTGCAATCAATTAAATTGAATAAAGCAAAAGTTAAAAGAAGTTTCACAATTTTATATTTCATTTTAATCTCTCAAAAAAATTTTTTTAAAGAAGTTCAACTTGCCCATCCGACGATTTGAATGAGAATGAAATTTTTTTTCCTACCAATCTCTTTTTAAAGCTGAAAATATTTTATTGATAACTCGGGGAATTTTGTTTATGCCAATATTCATCATTCAAGTTCACGAGAAGAAAAATGTAATCGTAATCAGACGTTTGACAGATTCATTCACTGAAATTATCTCAAGACTTGTTTCTTTGATAGAAAATGAACTTTGAAATCGTTTCAAATATTATTTAAGAAAATTAATTCCAGTTTTATTTGTAAATATTCAAAATCACCAATTTTAATCAACTTATTTTAATAAAACCCAATTTTTTAATAAAAAACAAATTTTCTAAGATATTACAAAAGAATTTAAAGTTTTATTTTTTTCCTCCTGTCACTTTATAATTTTCTTAAATATTTACAAAATAAAAATGTTTTCGTCTTTGTAGTTTTGTTTTCATTTTCTTCAATTTGTGTCTGCGTGTTCTCCTGGTTCTTCCTTTGTTGTTCGCATCAAATTTGATGATCCGTCGCGTTCTAAACAGTTTAATATGTGCTCGCAAATTTTTCCAAATGCAATTTCAATTCCCATTTTCATAATGCGACGATTCACTGCACAGTCAATAAAATTTGATTACTTTCAACCGTGCAGTTTATTTTTTATTTAATCTTTAATTCTAATAAGTTATGATGTTTGATTATCACTAAAGATTAAGAAGAGTAAGAAAAGCTTAAAATATTTTATTCTTTCATTGCTAGAAAGCCCCTTAACTTCAAAGAGAAATTTCATGATTGATTCCAGGAAAAATATTGCGTGACTTTTAAAATTTATTTAAAAGGAATTTTTCTCGTGTCTGTGTCGTCAGATCACAAAAGTGCTTAATTTTCTGTGAATTTTTTTCTTTTCATAGTTCCATAGATAAGATTAAGAAAATTGAAATAAATAAAAATTCTACAGAAAATATCTTGGAATGAATAGATAAAAGTTTAAATTTTGGCTTCAAGAGTAAGAATTTAATTCTGTTTTAACTTAAGTGCCACCATAGTGATGACAAGGAAGAGTACAATCCATGAAATTGTTGCGACGAAGCCCATGTAAACTTCGAACTCAAGAAAGCCCCATCCACGTGTTAAGATTGAACGAAGAGATGATGTGGCTAATGTTAATGGCAATCCAACAGCAATATTTCTACGATAAAAAAAGAAATAAGTTTAAATGATTTCACCACTTAATTCAATTAATTTATACCTTAAAATATATGGCATTCCCTCAATTGGCCAAATGACGCCTGATAATAAAAGCGTCGGATAGAAAGACCCGAGTGCCAATTGAATGGCATTTCGTTCAAGCTCACAAATTGCTGAGATGACAAAACCAAAGCACATGCCACATAATCCTTGAAGAATTGTCAATATTATGACTAGGAAAATGTCGCCATTATTCGTAACGCCAAACACAATAATCATGAAGAGAAGAACGAGAGCTGTTTGACCACACATGACCACAAATTGTGTTACAACATGTGAAAAGAGTATTTCAAATGGCGTCACACCAGCAACCCATGAACGATCAAGAAGACCTTCAGTACGTTCAATAATCAATGCTGAAGATGTCAATGCAACGGCCAAGAAGAAAACAATTCTGAAGAAATAATTTTTGATTAAAATATTTTTAATTTGCATTAAATTTGATTTTCCTTACGTTAGAATAACACCAGGAGCAACAAAGTCAGTGAAAGACGGTTCATTCGTTCCATAAATCGGATCTTTAAATTGAATTGGAACATCACCAAGTTTCGGATTGTTGTCACATTGTTCAAGTAAATCTTGCGCGAATGTTCGGTAAGTGTATTGAAGATCTCGATTAAGTAGAATTCCAATTTGCTGATTTGACATGTCTAACCAAACACGAATTTCTGATTGTTCTAATGTTTCCTCGTCAGCGTCACGTCCAAGTGCATTTCGAGCGACTAAAGCGTCAGTGAAATTCTCAGTAAAGTACATTGCACCCCAAGCATCACCTTGTTCAACCGCCATCTTCGCAGAATCCACGTCCTCATAATATGTTTGCACAATGCTTGAATTCAAATGACTTAAGTACCGACATGAAAGATTCGTAAACGAGCAGCCTTTCTCATAATAACAGTTTCCTGAACCATTCATTTCCTTGTTAACAATTGCGATTTTAAGTCCAGTTGGGTCACGTCCGATAGCCAAGCAGAAGAGAATGACTTGCATAACAGGAAGTGCAAAGATGAAAAGCATCACACCAACGTTACGCCACATTCTCAGAAAATTCTTTTGCAAAAGTGCACGAATCTTACCGCGTGTTGTGAACTGAGAAGGAAAAGGAAAAATTGAGTTTAAGTGAATAAGAAAATCGTAGGAAAATGATTGTAACTTACATTACAGCAATCTACACCACAATCATCACATTCAATAGCCGATTGATTTTGACCGGCGGCAGGAAGGGCAGGCGTACTTCCATTAAGCTAAAACATTAATTAATTAGTAAATAAGCATTAATTAATAGTGTCATCAATAGTCAACTCACTCCATACGACGATCCATTACTATCACTAATCAGAACTTCTTTACTTTGATGAAAATTTAATCCTATGACGCCACTTTCTTGGCTTATGTAGACGGGATTGTCTTTTTTGCTTCCAAATGCCAAGGCTGAGAGGGAAATATTGTTGCTGTTTAAGGAAAGAAAATAAATGAAGTAAATTGACATTAAAATTTAACATTAATCTTACCTTATATTTAACTCTGATGGTTGTTGTGATTGTCCTTGCTTCCGTGATAGTTTCAAGAAAACATCTTCAAGACTTGAACATCTATAAATTGACAGCAATACTTGTGGCGATTCTTCAGCTAAGAGACGACCTGATCTCATCAGACCAATCTGAATTTGACAAGAAGAATAAAAATTAGAAGTTGTAAAATTTGTGGTCATTTTGTTGAACTTTACCGTGTGTGCTTGTCGAGCTTCTTCAATGTAATGTGTTGTGATGATGACTGTTTTTTGTCCGGCTTTTGTGATATGAACTAAATGATTCCAAATACTTTGTCTAAGAAGTGGATCAACACCAACAGTTGGTTCATCGAGAATCAATAATTCTGGATCGTGCATGAGGGCGACGGCAAATGACACACGACGCTGTTGACCTCCACTGAGATTCTTCACAAGACGATTCTCCGATGGCAAATCGAGAAAGTTGAGCAGGAAGTGAAGGCGTTCGATGATTTCTGATGTTTGCATTCCAAAAATCCAACCGAAATACATCATCGTTTCTTTAATGGAGAATTCGGCGTAAAGGGCAATTTCTTGAGGCATGTAACCGACGCGTTTTCCGGGAACACCTGATCCACGTGTGCCTGGCTTTCCACCCAAAACAAAAATCTCTCCTGAATTTAATCGTTTTCTACCTACGATGCATGACAGTAAAGTTGTTTTACCGCAGCCCGATGCACCCAAAAGCCCGTATCTGGTTTCAAAAAATAATTCATTTAATTAAATTGTTAACCTCTGATATCTGATCTTTTTCATGAATTAAAGAAAACAATCACGATTATGAATTACAAAACATTTTCAGTTACACGTGTAACTTCTTAAACTTGAGCTTTTTTTAACAAACAAGCAAAAAAAGCCACGCGAAACGCATTACAAATTATTGTTTGAAGAACGACACGAGTTATGAAAAGCTTCGAAGAATTTGATGGAAAATATTTTTGAATGCATAATCAAGTTCTGATATTTTAATTCAAGTGAACAAGTTAATTCAAGTGATCATTTCATTGACATTTCTTATCATTTTAAATTCATTTTATTACATAGAAATAAATTAATGTCAATCAGTATTAAACATCGAATGATGCTGACAATGCAACTGCCATGACCAAAGATATTTGATCATTAATTTATTCCAATTTAATAAATAAAAAATCATTTAATTGCAATAAGTTTCAAAAGTTCTTATTTGAATATTATGCAATAAGTTTAATTATCTTAAAAATATTTACAAGAATGCGGTCACAAATGCAATAAAAAATCCCAATGGGAATACCAAAAACTCAACAGACCTCATTATGATTCTAAAAATAACCAAAATTAGTTATTCCACGTAAGATTTAAATCAAATTTATTCAGAAATCTGAAACTTTAATCCTGAAATTCTTGCATCTTCTTTGCATTCACAATCGAAATAGCTAAAAATATCTTTGAAAAAGTTGTGATGACACACTTTTAATTTTAAAACATTCAAAAGTTGTAATGAAGTGTGGTGGGAAGAATTTATATTTATTTTGCAACCATCCTTTGATGTCAAAACCTCTTAAGATATCGAACTGCTAATGTTCAAATTTGTTAGATAATGATCGCTAAACAAGAATGCATTACTTAAGAAGCAAGTTTCCAATCGAACCAGAATACTCATTTAACCAACACCAACTTCAAGCTTATTAATTCTTGTTCACCTTAACTTGATTTCATGATCTCAAACAAGTGTCTGAAACTTAGTTTCTTTAACTTTTTATTATAAATATTTATTTAGTTGTTTAGAGAAGTTAAAAGAAAATCTGTTGACGTTTCACTTTTATGTTTATATTGTTGTGGTTTTAACCAGAGACAAATATCGGAATTGTTTAGGTTTTAACAATGAAAAACAAGGAACTTAAACGAAATTGTTGTTTCGGCAAAAATAATTTTCTTTTACTTCATTGTTGGGTGATGTGAACAAAGTTATGCCGGAAAAAAGCAATGTCATCGATGTTTACGCATTCTTCAAGACATTCGTAAATAGAAATTATCAGAAACCTTGATTGTGGAATTGAAGATGTTAATTAAAAAGCAAAACTTTTTAATTTTGATTGGTCTGGAAAAGTAAACGTGAATATTTAATTACGGATTTCCTTGCCATTTTATTTTCCCGCGAGAAACCAAACAAGTCTAATTGCAACAGTTTTATCTAACAAACCTACATGAATTGCAATTAACTCTGTTTTCAAATGTTTACACTAATTAAGCACGTAATCTATGACGAAATCTCTTAATCCAGATTAACTGAACGAGTTTTTTATCCTTGAATACCATTTTGTTCATTATCATCAATCGAAATTGAAGGATTTCTTTAGAAGTCGTAAGATGATTGTAAAAAATTTCACTTTCAAAAATATTTTAGCAAGACTTCGCACATTTTTGTGTATTGCTGATAGTAACAATGTTTAAATGTCAATATTTATCCATTACACGTTCATAAAATCGTCAAGTATTCATTTCGAAACGTAAAATTTTTCTGTCCCATCATACAAATGATCAAATTGACCATGACGCTGGAATTAAATTTAATCAGTTTGGACTTTGCTTCTTGTCATCGTCATAAAAATTGTTTTGTTGTCAATAAATTCTCTGGTCAGTCTTTTAATCTTGGATTGGAAGTTAACTGTTGTGTTACATTCTTACTGTAACTTGAATGCTCAAATTTTGTCAAGTACGGTAAATGTGCCTGGCTTTTGTTTGAAAACATTTAAAGATTCATTTTCTTTCTGAACTAGAATTTCTAGTTCTAATAATTCAAGGATGTGATATTAATTAAAACGTTTTCATGACCATATAATTTTTAATAAGATTTTAATTACTCGATATTTTTTTTATGGAAATTAAAATCCTTTCTAATTAATAAATTGTTCGTTTTTGCATAAATAGTTGAAAGATCTTCATTTTCATATCGTGATTACTATCTCAATTTAATTCTAAATACTTACATTGTTCCTTTGGCCACAGTCATATTTAAATTATTAAGTACTTGATTAGGCTTTGATTTCGGTCCATAATTCTTGAATGCATGTCGCACTGACACTGCATTCTGCTGTCGACTCCAGGTCGTCCCTCCATCTTCTATTGTGGAGATAGTTTGATCGCTGCCCCTGCAAAATTATAAAAAACAAAGAAAGATGATAAATAATTTATGATTTACACAATATTTTCAAAAATTCATTGTAAAAGGTGAGAGAAAAAAATTGTTACGAATGCAAAGAAACGACGGACTGAAGCCACGTGAATGAGTAAAACCTTGACCTAATTAATCAACTTCTGTTTACCGAAAGACTTTTTCGAGTTTCACTTTTTTTATGTCTTTATGATTTGGCAGCAGGTTGAACAGAAATAAAAACAGAAAGTCGAAAAATTGCAGACCTGTCGTTTCTGTTTTAAATTTTGTTTTTTTTTCAGAATTTGTTGTCTTATGCTTTAAAGTGATTCGTAATGCAGAAAAGCGATTCGGTCATTACTTCAACAATTTCAAGGACGTTTATGACATGGATGCAATAAATTAAATTAAATGTTCATCATGCAAAGCAAAAACTTCATGTCGAAAATGTCCGTAATCGACTTCACATTATCGGGAATTTGCTTATTTATTTTATGAATTATAGTCATAAGCTTCAAATGTTTCCACGAAACTCAAAATAACAAAACGAAGCCAGAAGACATGATGAACAAGAGCTCAACGTTTTATAAATTGCGCAATTCACGTAAAATATTGAATTAATTTTCAGTATGAAAACAATTTTTAAAGCTTGTAATTATCGCAGCTTCAATGATCAGTCAACACTCACAAACATTGGGAAATTGGGAAATGTTGGGAGTAATTTGGCGACTGAACAACGTCAGTTATTTTTTATTATAATATTTCTTGTTTATCTTTAAATCTTCCAAGAAATCTTCATACATAAACACTGAAGAAGATGAAAAAAGAATTACACAAGAAATCGTCTGAAGACGGATATGTTAATTACTTTTAGTGACAATTTGAAATTTCTACGTGCAACTGAAGGGCTAACGATAATTATTCTGCGGAATATTAGCGAAATGATGCAAAATCTTGATTTATGTGTAAAAGTGTTGACGTTAATCGTGGTCAGTTCATTGTTAAATAATTGAGTGAATGACCACCCAGCAATCAGGTAAGTATCTCAAGGTTTTATTTCGTAGAAAAACCGCTCGTTTCTCAACTCTGCTGATTCGCAAAGCAAAATGAATTGCAAGCAACGTCAAATGGACTCTCAAGGTTGATGATATGTTGCGGATTTTCCCAGAATTTCGTGTAGCAAACTTTAATCATCGCAATCTCTTTGACAAGTTTATAATCTTGCTAAAAAGTTAGGAAACAGACAACTTTAGTGATGAGTAAAAGAGCATCCTAAAATAGAAATTTGTTAATCCTATTCAAAATCTAAACAATTCATTAAATTCCTTAATTAATCTTCTCTCAATCATGAACATTCATTCTTATTTCTTCTTCTCAATCGAATGATTAATAAATAATTGTTTCATGAAATTGATTTTAATTATATTCCGATGAAGCATTGAAAATCTCAGTGTAAATTATTTTTAAGCTTCTAAACTTTTTTTTCTTCAAGCTCTGACGTCAAAAGACAACTAAAGACTTCAATACACCAAACAACAAAGAAGCAAAGTTGAATGGATTTTGAACGGGATATACAAAGCCACAATGATTAAGCAAAAACCGAACAACAAAAGAAGAACTTTAAACAAATTTTTACGTTATTATTTCATCAAAAGTTTCCTAAGAAGTTTTGAGTGCGATGATGATGATGAGTCAAACTTTAAATATGATCATTTGAACTGTAACAAGTTTAAAAAATAAGAAAAAGTGTTCACAATATCATCGGCTTATGCAATTCATGAATCATTCATTTCTTCAATAACCCCGGAAAAGGTCAAAAACTTAATTTTTTTCTTGAAACAAACAGTTAGAGCTCTTCATAATAACTTTCTATTCTTTAAAACGGGTTCTAAGTTAAAATATTAATGAACTAGAAGAAACGAAAAACAAGAATTACCTAAATTACATTTCTGGAATTCCGCAAATCTTACCACTCAAGTTAAGTTTTGTTCAGCGTGAAATTATAATTAGCTAAGAGAAGTTTCAAATTGAATTTAATTCCACATGTGGCAAGTGTAACCTAAGTGAAGGTCGTGTGTTTGCTAGATTGATCGATTTCTGCAAAGGATTTCCCCAATCTTCTTACTTGTAAACAGATTTTAATTAGTAAGAAATGTTTGTTGATAGGGTCAAGCTTTGTTTTTTTGTTTATCGTGTTAAACAAAACTAATTTAATGACATTACATGACATCTAATGATATCATCAAAACTATTCATTAAATGTCCTGAGTAATCTCAACAATATTTACAATATCGTGATTTAACTTGAATATAAATGACTTGACATTATTTAAATATTAAAATGAATGAAACTGTTGACAAGTGTTCACTTGATAAGTCGAACTCTGATAAGGAAGAACGCTGAGTAGAAAAACTACAACAGCAGAAAAAGCAACGAACCTTTCACCTATGGCTACTTATACTTACAAAATAAAATATTCAAATTGCATAATTTGACTTCTGTTAATGATTGAAATGATTTGCAATTCTTAAACTTATTTGAATGATGAATTATTATTTGAAGGTTGAAATGAGAATTAAAACAGCATCTATGGGAAAACCAGATGGCGGGAAAAGACTTGTCAAAGACAATAAGAAAAAAATAATTTTATTTCCAACGACATTTACTTTCATTACAAGTAAATCACTTGAAAATGTTGACGCACCTTCCATTACATTTAACTTAATCAACATAATACGATTTTGTACTTTTTATTATTCAACACCATTTCTTCTGCTCTTTTTTGTCTTCATTGCAGTCGTAACAACGACCTTCACGATATTTAGGACATTGAGCGCACCAACACAATGGAAAACGAAGCTCCAAAAATGCGAAATGTAAGCGGCACTGACACCGACAGCGAGCGTCTTTAGAGAAGCGTTTGATTATACAACTGATAAACGAACACGTTTGGAATGTTTCTCAAGTGTAGCTGTTTTTAATTTTGTCACAACTCACGGCCCCGTTTATGTATGTAGGTACCATCGAATTTGGAATTAGCTCGTTACGCGATAAAATACAAAATATTGAAGTAATTAGTCTAAGTAATGAATGTTCAAATCGACTTTGATCATGATTTTCCATGGCATTCTGTTCATTTCAAAGCACTTTAAATCAGATAAATCAGAAAAGAAGTAAAACGATTAAAAATTTTATTGTTAAAATTGTATTTAACTTCTCTAGAAATTAAGTTCAAGACTCTTTTTCAACTTCCAAGAACACTTTTAAACTTAAAGATATCAAACGCGTACTTGACATTAGGTCACCGTTAAAAAAATAACAAAACCACAAATTTTAATCTGTGATCGTAATGAATACTGATGAAGATTCTCCAGCATCGTATGAAGTGCTGTTCAAGGTGAATATCTCAACGCATTCGTAGGGTAATTGGTGAATATTTTTATGTCCACGATTAAAGTTTCTTAAGAGTTGAATGTTTAATACTTGAGTATGTAAGCATTCCACGTAATGATATATGAATTGAAGATGTGACTTGAGTAAACATTTATCATCTGAATCGATTGGAACATAAATGTGACCTTATCAGACTCAATATTTAATCCCGAAACTGTTGAAACTTTTCCTGGTTGTGACAATGTTTTACTTTTTAAATAAATTATTTTACGACAGCGAAGATGACAAGATTGAAGTTAGCAACAATATTTTAATCACTTCCGAAACACAACCGGTGGTGTGATGAATAATTCAATGATAATTCCTGAATATCTGGATTTCTTTTTAATTTTATAATAAATTCTTAGTGTTACTCACGTTATAAGCATATTTTTTCTGTTTTAAACTAAAAAAAAGGTTAAACTTTAAAAGTTTATCTTGCTGAAGGAAATCCCGTTTTGCTGGTCGTTGCCTTTTATTGAATGTCTTTCTCGTGATGATGACTTTAAAATATGGAGAAAGAAGTTGTTGATATTAAAATCTTTTTTTTTTCTATCCAACACTTTTCTAGTTTAACATTTTTTAAATTAAAATCAATTTCATTCCACTTGAAAATAAATATTTCCAAAGTTTGTCGATCACAAAATATTCAATTTGATATGGTGATAAATATTACAAAAAAAAAACTTTCAATAATTTTGTTCGAAGCTTCATAAACAAAAATAGCAGAGCAATGCAAGAAATAGTCGAATCGATTGAGCAAGTAAATAAATATCTCATGTTAAGCTTTAATTGCTTACACTCCTTTGTGTATTACGTGTATGAGTGTATTTAACTTATAAATATTAAAAAAAACTTTTTCAATGTAATTTCCAAGGCTTTCAACTCTGTAAAGCCAGTTGATACGCAGGAAAGCGGCGATTTCGAGTTTCAGATGAACTTTTGATCACTTATAGCAAATTTTGCATGGCATATAATTGCGTTGAGTAGTGAAAAGACTGCACAAAACTCACAAATTTTTTTTGCTAAGTGATTGTAATTTATTAATTGCGTAACACGTGTTAAACGTACACGCTGAAGTGTCATTTCATTACATGATCAGTTTGCATATTAATTGATGTATTTGCGAGTTTAAAATAATCTTATGAAGAAAGTTCGTGAAGAGAACATAAATATTTTATTTATTGACATGAAGAGATCAAAAAGATATCACGTATCACGATGAAATTTATTTCGATAAGAAAATATTTTTATGTTCGAAGAAGTGAGTTGATTCAAGGCTGGATGTTAAATTTATTGCATTGCAAAGTGTTAAATGAAAGAAAAAGAAATGCAAGGCTTTGGATAACTTGAAATTGTAATTTTTTAATATCATTTGAAAGTTAAATATTTTAATAAGTTGCATGTATTTATTCAAGTCAATCATAAACTATTCAAATTAGCGATATTAACTGTCGATGAATGACTGTTTTCCTTCATGCTTAGTTAACTGCATTATTTTTTTCGAACTTACTTCATTATCTGACCTTTGCTACAAAGATTATGGTTATGATGGTTTCAATTTGAAACTTTACAGAACTTTCAGCATTTTTTCTTTTCATTAAATTTGTAACAGTTTTAGCACTGCAGTAGAAGTAAGACGAGACTAGCTTATTGGAATCGAATGTGGTTTTCATTGAATAAATATCTTACTATACATTTTCAGCTTCGATCTTACTTATATAATTATCAAGCCATTTAAGTTTGCTAATTTGCCGACTTCAGCGGTTTTTTTTGCAACAAAATTGTGCATAAAGTTTTCTAGTTTCAACTCAACTTCCTTAACATTTTTAATTTATTCAATCCAAAGCCTTTCTTGAAACATTTTTTATTATTTAAAAGGTTTTCATCACGTGAAACAACGCTTTTGGAAATTCTTCAAACGTGATTGAAACTTACACTTTAGCATTTAATAATTTTTATTCACAATTGCACATTGTTGCAATTAATAAATTATGCAAATGAATTTAAAGGAGACAATCAATTGCATCTTTATTAAATATTGTTTTGCCTTCTGATCGTTTCACTTTGTTTCTGTTTTATAGAATTTAAAACCTTTAACTTGACATCGAAAAACGATTGTTAGGAAATATTATGGAATTGCCGCAATCTCACTTTGCACATAAACATTTTAATAAACTCATTTCATAATAAAATGATTTCTTGAATGTCAGATTTCTATTTCAAATGAGAGTAGAAATATAAAAGGCTTTAATTTATCTGGCGGCGGTAGCCAGAATGGGATATAAAACACGAATTAAAGTGAGTGCGAATCACGTAATCACTTGGTGCACAGTCGAGCTTTCCGCCATTTTGAGATGAGAGCAAAAGAAGAAATTCATAAAAGACTTTCAATTTCTGCAGTGTATCATTTTCTATTACAACATTTTCATCGTTATACCATTTAAGGAATTTCTTCTATGTTAGTACAATCAGCACAAGCAAACAATGTTGCCACTTTTGTTTTATTATTAAACTAAAATTGATTATTCACAAAATAATAAAATAAAATTATAAAGCATGAGATTCAAGTTTTAAGTTTTAGATAATTTCTTTTCTTTGCTCTGCATTTTTATGGTTAACTTTCAAGCTTCGTTGTTAATCCAAAAGTATTGAGTAATCATTCATCGAAATATATCTTTGAACATTTTCTTTTTAAGGCTCATAATTTTGCCATTTTTTTCACTTCCAAATTTAATCTTTTTTCTTTTTTGAAATCAATTTTTAAACCAACAAACAAATAAAATGTTCATCCTTGCCACATCAAGGACAAAACTCACATTTTTATGAACTTTTGAAATCTTCGTCTGTCCGAATGCCCGGAAAGAAAAAGAAAAAAAAACTTTTTGAAGCTACTTTTGCTAAGCTAACGAAACGACTCACGAGACGTTTAAAATTAAACTGAAGTGGTTATTAAAATTATTTCTTGAATCGAAAGCGAAGCAAAAATCTTGTGTGTTTGTGAATATTTAAGAAAATGAAAGAAAATTCACGTAATGGACATCTCGAAACGTTTGCTGAGCTCCGATAAACTAGAATGTCCAAGAATAACTAAACGAACAAAACTGATTTTCGAATCGAGCGGACTGACGACGAGTGAATGAGCATACGAGCGAGCGAGTTAGGTTTGAAGTGGTGGAAATAAACTTTTTTCTTCCATCGACTCGGCTTTGTGCTTGTATTTGCACAATGGACTTGTGATTATTTGTGACTGTAGTTGGAAGCGATGTTGAACAACAGTTCGTTGTTGTTTAGCAATATGAAAGAAAATAAAAATATTTCTTAAGACGACTTAATGTTGTAGTTAATGGAAGCAAGAGGGGTGGGTAAGGTAAAGCAAGTTAAGTTAATTTCTGATAAAGTAGCTTAGTTCGACTGACTTGAGTTTGTTTAGCTTATTAAAGAATTGAATTGAAGAGCAGAGTGTTCAATGAACTTTGAATTTAAAAGGTTTAAAGATTAAAAATAATTTCTCCTTAATAAATTTCACGTTTAAAGTTTCTTGTTTAGTTCAGTTAAAGATCAATGATCGAAGCTGATAAAGAAAGATTTATTGCAGTGTTTATGTGGTCGGAAGTAGACATTTATTTGAATTTTATATTTCTTGTATATCTTCATGAAACAATCGAAAAAGCTTTTTAATCGATAAATTCATTGTTAATACATGCAGAAGATAAATCAATTGTTTGAAAGTTAAAAATATAAACATAAGCAAAAGCACTTTGACTTCTGTGGTTGTAATTGCTTTGTTGTTAATTAATGCATTTGCTAGAGTTGTAATGAGCTTGACGACTCCAAGTCATTAAATAATGATAAAAACATTTTAAAGAGTATTCAAAATAAATCAATTTGTGCACAGGAAAAGTGATGAAATGTTGAAGAAATTAGACAACAGAGAAGAATAATGAAAATAAATCATCGTATGACGGCTTTTAGTGTTGGAAGTTGGTTTTTATGATCCGCCATTAAAATGAGTTAAGAAGCACAAATGAACTTCAATAAAGCGCTTCCTCCAATATTTCTTTTCTTTTGCTATTGAACTGTTGAGGCAAATTGTTAAAAGGAAAATAAATAAAAGTTTCGAATCATTTTTCACTCAGATATTTCACGAGAAACATTACAAATTTTTCATAATTGTGAAGTGTGTGAAATGCATTAGAAATCGTTCATTAGTCATCATTAATATTCTGATAATGCGAGGTTGCAATCGAGTTAAAGGAAATAAAATGAATATTGTATTACTTCATAATTAATCTCTCGACATCATCAACTTAATTCAATTAAATAAAAACCGCATCAAGCACACTTCTGACCCTTTCATCAATGCATTGCTGTTGTCAAGGTAAATTAATTAATCAAAGCAAGGAAATCACTTAACTTCGTGTGGCTTCAAGTATGTCAGTATTCTCAAGCAGAAAGACTTAATCTTAGAATTACTTTAATGAATACCGCAAAAATTAATCGTTTTGATGTAATTGAAATATTCAATCATAATTAGGTTGTTAAAATGTGTTTGAATGATTTTTAACATTTTAATTAGCACTTGGGAAATTTATTAATTTTTTTAAAAGGTTCTTGAAAATAACAAAAAATGAAATCAAAGTGATAAAAACGATCGTGAGATTTTAGTTTACTCATTACCGTTGTTAGAATTTATTGAATTTTTTTAAAAGTCTAGCGAAGCATTAGATATCAAGCGATATGTGGTGTTATGATTCAATCGTTGTGTTTAACAAAAAGTCTTCTTGTTGTCGATTTATTATGTGGGAAATATAAAAGAACATTCGTCAGAGTTGCTAAAATTTCATAACATTGTTAATGTTGTTTATTATTTATTGACAGAAGATATTCCGTTAATCTTACTTAAACTTTCATCCATTCATAAATCTCCAAAAATTCTTTAAGTAAGACTTAAATAAAATTCATTTGATAAAATTATAAGAAGGCACACAAGCAGGTAATCAAAGAATTTTTTTGTTTTTTAAAGTTGGGCAATTAATTAAAATTTATAATTAAACGATTAAGTGGTCGCTTAAGCATTTAAGTACTTAAGAATAAATGTTGATGAAATTTCTTGCGATTTTTGTTCTAATGAATAATGGAACGAAATTTTAATTAATTGATTTGATTGCTAAACACAAGATTATTTTAAAGTTATGTGATTCGCAGTGATTCTTAAATAAACATTCTGAAATTGTTACTCGGTTGGCTTGTCACTTATAAAGCTCAACAGTTTAACTCGTAGACCGTTTGAAATTCTTTATTATTCACTCAGATTCCTGCACATCGTCTAAATAAGACATTGAGAAAGGTAAGTTACAATTTTGCCTTCATCGGCATTCAAAACATTAAATAATCATCATGTTGACCCAAATTATGTTGATGTTGTTGTTTCGAGTTTTATGACCACGACAACATCAACAGAAGTGAAAACATTTCCATGTGATGATCTGATTTTGTCTGTCATAAATATTAAAAGTTTTATCATAGATAAATCAGAATACATAAATTACATAACTGACTAATAGTTAAATTTCGGTTAATGTTTGGTTTTATCAAAAAGGAATAGCAAAATTTGCCTTCATATTTCAGCTGTTGAGACTCCGAAGCATCAAGAAATATGTCATGGAACGATTCATAATTGCATTGCGCAACATTTCACGCAGAGATTTTTTGTGTAGTGCATGTCGATATATGAATTTGAATCGACATTCAAAAAACCGAAACTATATAATCATCCGAAGGTTCAACAAGTAATGAGTGTGTTTCATCCGTTGTTAAGTTTAAAACCAATCAGACTTATTGAGCGAGAGAAAATATCGACTGTTCAGTTGTGTGAGAATCTCAATGCAATGCTGCAATCATTAACTTCGAATAAAGAACTGCAATTAAGTGTTCAACCTTCAACATTAATATTTAAAAGTCAATGATCTCTCATCATCATTTCTCCGATGCGATGTAAAGCCGCAAGTGTCGTTCAGTTCATTCGCTGGTGAATTGTGTAAACTCGAAGAGAAAAAAACGATGATTGAAATTGATTATTACGCAATATTTGATCTTTGACAGTCCCACGATTTAACTTTTTTTTCTGCTCGAAATTTTCGCCAAACTTAAAAGAGATTTGAGATGAAGTTAGATATCAACGCTTTCAGCGAACATTTGGAAATGATGTTTATATTAAATATTTGAACATAGGAAGTGTATGAAACAGAAACATATTTTTATTACCATAATATGTAAACGCTCCCTTTACGAACCAAACGAATTTTAGTCTCAGAAAGACTTGTTTATGATATAATAATTGAATCTAATATATCAGCCATCGTAACAATCGACAGCAACTACTTTTTTCTCAAGTGTAAAGTAATGAAGCAATTGAAAAGCTTTAACACACACACACACACTCAAGTATAAATATGAAGGATTATTATGAGACATCGTCAAAGTTGGCAACGCAGCAAAACTTCATCTTCACATGATTGAAAGCAAAAAAAGCTTAAAAGCTTTTAATGGATGGAGGAAATCAATTTAATGTTTTTTTTTTATCATGACATGTGTCATCATTAATTAAATGGTATTTAGATAAAGTAGATATCAATTTTAAATTCGTAATCATTTCAAAGTGAAATGCGATTTATTGATCATTGAAATAAATTGGTAAACGGGTTGTTTATGTAACGTAACAAGACAACATAAAACTCGACATACTTTAGTTATGAATATGGGTGAAGCTGTAGCAGGTTTTCCACTCGCAATCACTTAAAAATTTTGTTTTCATTCATTAACTTGAGATATGAAAATGTGGAACAAAGTAAAAGTTTCCGACTTCTTTTTTTTTTCTTTCTCTCATCGTCTCGTGTCCATTTTTTCTGTTGTTTACAACTGTTAAAAAAACTCTTTAATTGCAATTCCAAGAAAAAGAGGTAAAAAAGCACGAATAAATATTTGAGTGAGCACTAAACCGATTCGAAGTTTTTGGAACTGACATACTTTTCTAAGACAGATCAAGCCACGAATTTTGTGATACATAAAGCAAAGAAAGTAAATGGAAGTAAGGAGAAAAAAATTATTTAACAATTATATTGTGTCCGTGGTAAATCTGAGTTTAACAATTTCTTTCTTCTTTCGGATTCGAATAAAATGTTACATAATACAAATGAAATGTGTGGCTGTTAAAATAACTTGCGATTACCACAATCATTCAATTATGCTGCACATTGAAAGCAAATGTTATGCAGATTTCCCAGACCTCCTTTAAAAAGCACTGAATGTTCAATCGTCCATAAATACTTAGATATTTCTTTCCTATGCAATTTATTTAGATTCAAACCATGCCTGCTGCAAACTTGCTTATGGTTGTGAATAACTGAAGAGAGAAATATGGGTAACAGTGTCTAGTTCATTATTTCAAATAGTTTGTTTTAATTATTCTTTGAGCACGTATTTAATGCAATTAATTTTATTTATGAGTGCATATCTATCTAAATGAAATAGACAAATGATTTCAAATACCTTTAAACTTCAAACACGACGTCGTGTAAATTTTTTTTAAAATCTTTTTTTATGTTACCGCTGAAAACTCGAAGCAAACATGAATATTTATGCAATCATCACCTAAAATACGTACATATTACTTTTGTACCTTACAAACAATAGAACTGATTGACTTTCTTTTTTGAGTAAAGTTAAATAAATCCATCAGTGGCACCACAGGCTCATTTGAAATGGTCAGAAATCTCATAAAAAAATAAAAGAAGAAAAAAAAAGCTTTCGCAAAAACAGTTTGTGATGCAATTCTTTATAACATTAAATAATAACATTAAATATACCAAGTAATGTGAATGTTTAGTTGAATTAAGATGAAGCACTTTTTAGCGAAATGTGTGACACGAGATGTTTTTCATTCAAAGATTTAAAACGCGATCTTTTCAGACATGCGAGTTTTTGGCGAAAAAACTGGTATGACGATAACATTTTATCCCACCTGCTTATTCTTGAGCATAATTTAGATATAAAAGTATAACATTTTAAAGAATGAGTCTGATCACCATTCCAACTTAATTAAAGCTTCAAAATTTCAACCACGCGTTACTTGTTGGAACAATTAGCGACAAGTACACTGAAATTTTCTAGTAATAAACCAAGTATTAATGGGAGAAATCTTTAGGGTGAGAATTTTATTGATCGGATAATTAAATTAATTTATTGAACTTGTTTATTAAAAATGTTCATTTTCAAACCCGCATTACGTATAACTTGAAGGCGCAAATATTTTATTGTTCTTAAAATATTTTCTCCTTCAAGTTACACGCAATGCGGGTTTAAGAATGAATTTTTTTATTAAAAAATAATTAATTTGCTTAAAACAAGATAAATACGGGTTGAAGGCTTTAAATAGTAAATTGATAGATAATTGACTATTAAGGTGAATGTTAATCGAAAAAAATCATTGAATAGTAAGTTTGTGTATTCAAACTTGCTTCCGTTTATTTTCCCCTCCAGCAATGTTTAAATTAATTACTTTCGCAGATAAATCAAAAATTTAATTAAGTTATCTTGATGATCCTATCCAAAGTTAAACACGAGTTCATAATATTAACAATGTAATTGTTAAGCAATTGATCTTGAGAGTCAATAAAATGTACCAACAATTTAGATGAAAATACTGGAAAAAGTTAATTTAATTATTCGTGTCACCTTCATTATTGCAAGTAAAATAAATTTTCACAACACCATACATGTAATTATTAATAAACTCCTTGATCTAAGAGTCACTTGTAACGTAAGGGAATAATACTTAATCACTGCATTGTGATGACCTTTGATATGCTTTTAAACATCTCTTTTTATAAAAAAAACCCAAAGACAAATATTTTCATTGTTTTTCCGCACTGATATTATTAACTTGAAGGAAATTACTTCATTCGTTGTACGTTATCGTTAATCTTGTATTATATTTTCCATTGAGCTTATGATGGTTAAATCAAAAATAATTTTTATTTGATACTTATTTGTTCCCGTATTCTCAGAGGGTTTATGTAAACATAATCAATAAATTGTTTGACATATAATTTCTTCATAAGTTATGTAAACCTTTAGCGAGTTAGCGATAGACTCAAAGACGCACCAAGCATGAATATTGCAAATCATTGAAAGGAAGCGGCACCTAAATGTTTGTCTATCAAACGTGATTAAAGCCGATTGATAATATTTCAATGCGCGCAAAACAAGAAAACGTGACATTGACCGACACGAAATATTAAAATCGAAATAGAAGACTAACAAATGTTAAGTGGACATTTAAAAATAAATTTCGTGGTTTTGTTATAAAGCAAAATAAGTTTAATTTGTGACGTGATTCATATGATGAAAAAAAAAGTGAAACATCGCCCAAGCAGCTAAGCTGAATTAGTTGTCTAAGTAATGTTTTATGTTGGTGAAGATAAAAGGTGGAGCAAAACGAAAAACTTTCCAAATCCATTGATATGCTTCTTTTAAACACAAAAAACAAAAATTAAAAAGATATCATCAGCCAATTTGATGTTCAACGATTTTCAAATTTTGATATGAATATTTCAGGAATTAAACAAAAAAGTTTTCAAGGTGAGATTGAAGGTAATCTTGTTGTGACTATAAAATGAATCAGACAAGCTAATGGTTGACAGACAAGCTTGATGGGGTAGTTCTCAGAGGAATAAAAATTGAAGTGATTTGGAAATCAATCGATGACAAATTATCTAAGGTCGTGAAAAAGCTTGAAGGAGTGAGTGGCAGCGTTTGTAATATTTATTTATGACATGAAGCGAACATCTTTTAATGACTACATTAAATAAAAAAAAACTTCAAAATGTTAGCAGAGTAGTCACGATAAAAATTCAAATATTCAACTTACATTCAATTCTTATTTACATTTATTGATGACATACTTTTTCTCACTTTTCCTTCATTCATATTGTTTCCATTTCTTTCATGACCGAATATTTCTTAAGAAGCGTTAAAAGTAAAAAATGAGAACTGGAAGTTGAGAGAAATTAATTCACAAGAAAGAGAGAAAGAAAATACAAAATAAAATTGTTTAAATTGAAGATCACGAAGAAAGAAGAATATTTTGATCATTTATGGGGAGAAGAAGCAACTCTTGAGAGGTGTGTGTGGTAATTCTACGACAACAATGAACATTTAAATATGTAGATTCCTATCAAAGTGTTGTCAAATGTAGAGAATTATTTCCAAGATCAACATTTCAATTGTTTCTTTCACACTGAGGTGAAGCTTACACAAATATCTAAGAAATATTGAATTGTTAAGCTGAAACATGAATAAAGAACCGATGTCAAGGTTAAATATTCTATCATGAAGAAAACTTCAATTTTCACTTTTATTAAAATTTTCCACGCACGTGTGACAATCACTTTCATTTATTAGGAAGATCTTGAGAATTTACGGAATATTTACATTTAAATTAAAAGAAGATAATCAATAGACGAGACATGATGCTTCTTAATGTGGGATTGGAAGTTTACGACAAATATGATTGAGTAAATTTGCATACCAGACGACGCGAAAAAAAATTAGAATCTCGTCAAATATCGATATTTGAACTTACCCAGCTATTGATGGAGAATCATCAGACCAACTGAACATCTTCTTAACTTTTGGTTTGGTATTAACAACTTCCATTGCTATCTTATGATCATCTATTTTATTTTCCATTATGATTTAAAATTTTCTTTTCCTTAATTTTCACGGTGAAATGCACTTCCTCGTTGCACAAATTAAAAAATATTTTTTACAATTTTATAATATTTGTTTTTCAACCCGGATATAATCGTGATCTTCACCGAATGAGAGGTTTTCATCGAATGAATTTGCGTGGAATTTTTGTAATCACTGCATCAAATACACTTCAACTTCACTTGAGTTTTAATCAACAAAAATGATCAATTTTTTCAGAGTCTAATTATTTGTAGATTATCTTGTTAAAATGCACAGTTTTGAGAATAAAAAGAAATAAATTATTATTGAACTCAATTATAGTAGTGAGAAGCAATTCTACAAAGGTGCTTTAAGCTAAAGATACAAATCACCACTGACAAAGAAATAAAAGAAATCAACATGAAAAAAGACGAGAAAATTGAGAGTTGGAGAGAACTGACATTGAATTGAGGCTCGAATAAAGCGAGGCATGAAAAACACCAGCACGGTGTAAGATAATTCGTCGATATCAACGAAAAACGGGCTTTGTTGCTTTAGTTATCGATCATTTATTATTTTTCTCTCTTCGCTTCTCTCTTGGATATTTTAGTTAAAGTGAGACAGAATTTTCTTACGAATTGTTGGGATAATGTTGCAAATATTTAACTACAATAGAAATCAAAGGTGAGATTTATTTAAGTATTCAATTCAACGTCATAAAATGAAACAAAATCTTAAAAGTTCTTCAATTTTTCTTTAAATATTTTACATCAACTTTATTGTAATGATAGAAAGTTATAACAATAAAACATTTTTCTCTCTTGAATTGCTTAAAGTTACTTGAATTTGATAATCTTCAGTGAGATGGGAAGATTTTCATGTCGATTGTTTGTTACAAATGAGTCATTAAAATTGGATGAAAATCGAGATATGGAAATGAATGAAAAACTTCCGACTCTCGAATGATGAAATTTGTTCAAAAACAAAAGCAGTGCCTCATTGCACATTTAATTAAATTTATTTAATAAATTGAAGAACTGAAATCAGTTGAAAGTGATCAAAGGTCGTTGGACTTTTATGTATGGAGACAAAGATGCAATTAAAACTATTATAAAGATCATGATCGTCATGTATTTAGTGTTCATGAATCATGAATAAGTTAAAGAATGAACGTGGATTGAAAGCGTAAAACAATGCCTCTTGTCTTTACTCTTCACTCTTTCAGCGTAATTAAGAACGTCAGATCTTCAAGCTAAAACAATATACAAATTAAAACTTTACGAGTTAAACTTCTAAGTGTTCTGAATGATATTCAAAATATTTCTGTGACGTCACTTGAATGTATACTTGGACGAATACGTCAATGACAAGATCTTACAGAATACCCAACGAACTGCCATCACATGCTAACAAAAAAAGGAAAACCTGTTTCGATATTGCAGAAAAAAATAATCTAATGAAGAATTTCGTGGACAAGACTTCTTTTGGACAGTACAAAAAATAAATCTAGCTTTAAGAAGACAAGTCATTGAATGATTTTGCACATTTTTATAAATTTATGATACTACTTAACAAATAGTATGATGAACGTCAAATGTAAACAAAACAACTAATCCCACGAGATGTTCGCCAAATGTTTATTTAAATTTCTGGAATTTCATAAGAAAACTAACAAAAAAATTGATTGATTTAGGAAATTTTCTTTTCCGTATTTTTCTTTGGAATTTCCTTGACTTCACGAAGTTTTTCCAATAGTTTTGAATTTTCTTTTCTCTGTTTGAATAATGAAATATGTAAATGAGTTTTAATTAGATAAAAATTGATATGCTAATCATTTTTGTATTTAATCGAAGTCTTAATTGAAATAAGCAATCAATGAAGCAAACGGCATTGAATTGTGAGAAGAGTTCGATAAAAAATTGTTGTTTGCCGGTCGTAAACTCACCTCTTTGTAAAATTGAATTTTAACGTCATTAATTTCATCTTTGAGTTGCGCAATTATTTGATCTTTGCATGTCAGATCAGTTTCTGAAGCTTGAGCTAACACGATTGCCGTTTTCATTCGTTTCTTGGTGACATCGAGTTGTGATCTTGTCATCAAAAGTTTTTCTTGTGTATCAACAATTAATTTCGGATTGCAACGACTTTCAAGAAGAGAAATTCTTTCGTTCAAAACTTTAATCGTTTCTTCAAAATTTACAATTTTTGTTGATTTAATCAATGAAAGACGTTGAAGCCGTCGATACTTCTCTAATAAGTCACCACGTTTAGTATCAAAAGTCTTAAGTTTTCGCCATCGATGAGTATTCAAAGGTGTAATCATTTCAGTCTTTAAAACTTTTGAATTTATCCTTTCCTGGTTAAGCTTCAGATGAAGTTTGAAAACTTCATGTCGCATATCTGCAGTGCTTTGCAAAGTTCGTTTCAGTAAATTACATTGCGATCGAAGATTGAGAATCTCATTCTTCATCAATTTAATATCTTGAACTCGTTCCATGTACATTCCATTACTTCGTTCAATTACAGCTTGTAATGTGATTTGTTGATGTTCCAACAAATTTGCTTCATCAGTCTTTCTCATCATTTGATTGGCGATCAAGTCACGTTCTCTAAGAAGTTTATCCATTTGATTTTTCATGTCTACAAAGCGCACATCATTTTCACGTAAAGCGTCTTTGCAATTCTTGTTTTCTCTTCGCACTTCTCGAATTTCTCTTCGTGAAAGGTCGAGAGCTTTCTTGATTCTTTCCAATTCTTGTTGTAGTTCGCTAATCTGCTTCTCCAATTTCTTATTTAATTTAGTGACATTTGAGAACTCAGCAATTTTATTAAATAATTTGTTGCTTGTCTCTTCTGCTTGTTTTTTAGACTTCATGTAACAATCTCTCAATTCAATTTCCTTTTCATGGCTTCTGTCGTAAGCAACCTTTAACTCCTTCAGTTTCTTAATCGCAACATTGTACTCATGTTTGTAGAAACTTAGTTGCGAAACTTCATCGTTTATTTGAGACATTTCCTTCAATTTATTGACAAATATGAAATTTATATTCAAATTAAAAAAATATTTAATATTCCAAGATTACTGCAAGTTTCATCACATTTAATTAAACATAAAAATTTAATTACATTTTAGGAATTTTTTATTTGACATGCTCGAAGTGCAAAAAGTTGTAAAAGGACAAAAATTGGACTGCAAACTTCAGTCCATTCAAGACTTGTTCCTGTTAATTTTAATGCAATTAAATATTTAAACAAACCCGTGAGAATGATAAAGTTTAATGTCCAAAACAACTTTTGCATTGATTGCATGTTTTGTAAATACATTCTTAAAATGACAATGAAACAGAAGTAAGCATTCATAATATCAGCACAGAAGAGAACAGAAAAGAGTTTAAACCAATCAATGACAGGCTTTTGAAAGACGTCTGATCGATAAATTCCATCTTGATCTGTTTCGTTTTGATGCTGCTGAATGATGAAGAAATCGATTGTTCCATCGAGTGTGAGCGTGAGGAAAATTGAAAATATGAAAAATGACAGAAGATTAATGAGGATTTCAAAAGGTGTGATTCCAAGCCATCGACTTAATTCAACAAGTTTGAAGTAAGTCCGACATTCGTTTCGCTCCTCGTGATTTGACATTTTTTTTAGATTTTGATGAGTTGCTGTTCTGGTTCTTGAGGAGTTGGTTTCAACATAAATGGTCGATAGACACGAATGTGAAGACAAGAATTCATTCGTTTTCTTATCGAGAAGTCATCTTCGTCATTTAACGGATGATGATCATCTGAAAATAAAATTTTTGTGAGCTCTTCTGGATGTTAATTAAACTTTCTTCAACTTACCAACTAAGTTTATTGTTGAAGTGTTTGCTTCGAATCCAAAGTTATGTTCTTCTGATAGCTTTAATGCTAGGTTAATGCCTCTGTTTATCGCGTTCCCGATACAATGTAAGAAACATTCACCTTCAGCTGAATTTAATATTGTTATGCACTTTTTTAAAGTAGCACGAAAATCTGTCTTGTTTGTGACGTATACGTCGTTTTTTCTTGTGAAGCTTTTCAATGGAGCTCTTTTCTTAAAATTTTTGGGGTTTTTGTTATAAGAATTCATTAGAAATCGATCCTAATGAAAGATTATTAATTTTTTCTTTTCTTCCGACAATCAAAACAAACCGAACAAATTTATTCAACAATTTTTCTAAAGGAATTTCATTTGTGTCTGACTGTCACTGAAACGGTTTTGAAAATCGGTCTAACACATGTGTGTAAAAAAAAAATAAATTTGAACAATTAAAAGAATTTAAATAAAAAATGACAAAGTTTCGAAGTAAGTTGAAGAAGAAAACAGGAACGAAGAAGGTCGCGAAAGGACAAAGCTCAATATCGAATCCTGAAGTGACAAAATATCGATCGAAAGCTAAAAGCCGATTTTTCCAGTCAAATTTATTGATAAGTAAGAAAAATGATGAAGAAAAGAAGGAATTGATTTACTAAAACTTATTAAATTTTAGCTCCATCATCAAATACAAACAATGGACTTACCATGGAAGCTGTCGAGAAACATGAGGCAATGGAATCCTTCAACAATCGAGATCCAGTGAATTTGATTTCGGGAAGTCTCAAAGATTTCAGCATTGCTGACAACGACGATATCTTTTCCCAATCACAACGTTCTGTGAGTCAAGCTACAACTTTTGCATCGCAGTTCAGTGCTTGCTCTAACACATCATTCAGCAAACTTCTCACAAACTTTCGTCCCGACTCTCAAATTCAGAAGGAAATGTTGGCGATCCTCGCTGCACTTACAGAAATACTTAAAGAGAAAGGTGGCTCTGAGTCAAGTACAGAATACTTTCTTGCAATTATGGAGACAATAGAGAATGCAAAAGACAATTCAGATATACAAGCTGCTGTCATGTTGCTTAACATGGGAATCAAATCTGTGCCTCAAGCAGTTCTTCGAAAGAAGTTCAATGAAACTGCTGAAACACTTCTTGAACTCATCACAAGATTTGTCGATTCTCCTGACAAAAATGTCCTTAGATCAATCATCAGTTGCTTATCAGTGGTTCTTCGTGCTCAAGAGTATTCTCAATGGAAACTCAGCAGTTCAATGAAGTTTTTTGATGCAATTCTTTCATTCACAATTCACACGAAGCCGAAAATCAGAAAAGCTGCTCAACATGCTGTCACGAGTATTCTTCTTGGCAGTTGCTTCATGTTGCCACCTAAGAAAGAAAATGAGGATGATGAAGAAATGAAGGTGGAAATGCCGAAAATTATTCATCCAGTTTCATCACATGTTGCAAAGTTTTGTGTTGACACATTTAAGCCGGAAGTGATTAACAATAATCAAACTTTGTTGCTTCATGTGTTGGGACTGCTTCAAACAATCCTTCCCAGCTTCCATAAAGACGACATTAAAATAATTTCTGAGCATCTCTTGTCGATTATGACTTCGGGAAATATGATGGTGAGAACAAGTTGCTTTCAAACCTTCCACAGCCTTTTTAGTTCGTCAAAGTCAGATAATTTGACAACTCAGATTGTTGGACGTCTTGTGACGGCACTTTATGAATATCGACCTGATCGATCTGATTTTCGACAAGTTCTTGCTTGGATCACAGTCATGACACAAGCTCACATTAAATTAACACATTTGAATCGACATTCGGGCATTCAAGCGTTGCCAAGAATTTTTGAAACGTCAATCAATGACTTGTGGTTGAGTGATAAAATGGAAGTTGTGGCTGGAACATCAAATGCAATGAAAGAACTTCTTGAAGAATGTATCAAACCTTTAAATGATGAGAATGATGAACAAATTCCACTTGAATATCATCAGCCAATCAAGAAAATCATCAAAACACTCACTAAAGCACTTGCAGCTCCATTCGGTGCAACATCAACTCATATTTTAGTGATTTGCAGCATTGCGTTTGAATCGATGGGAAAATATTTTGAAGACGATTTAGAAGAAATGTTGACGATTCTTGGAATGCGATATGATGATCAAAGTTCGCAAAGAGTTCACATTGAACATGCTGTTTTATCAGCAATTTCATCAATGGACACGGAGAAAGTTTTGTCGTGCATTCCATTGACGGAAGTGAACGGAAATATGTCAGTGAAACGATCGTGGATTCTTCCTTTACTTCGTGAAGGATTACAAGACTCATCATTGGAATTCTTCAATCGTTACATCATTAAACTTGCTTATCAATGTTACACCAAATGGCAAACATTAAAGGAGAAAGATCAGAAAAGTGAAGCTCACATTTACGAGCTTCTTTGTTGTCAATTGTGGGGATTATTCCCGGGATTTTGTCGTAAACCGAAAGATCTTCATGAATTCAAATCAATAGCAAAAACACTTGGAATGGTTTTAAATGAAAATCCTGATCTTCGTCCACCAATTCTTGATGGATTCAAAGAATTATTAACGAATCTTGAAAGTGATGATGAGAAAGAAATTTTCGCTAAATACGCTCAAAATTACATGACGAGATTCTTCAACATTTACACAACCAAACCAACGACAAGTTATGAGAATGAAATAAGATTATCAGCATTTGAAGTTGCGCAACTTTATCTAAAAGTGACACCAAAAACGGTGATGAATTCACTCTTCGAATCTGCCGTCACGCAAATGAATTCAAAGTCGCCAGGCTCGTTCATGTACGACATGCTGTTTGACATTGTTGAAGCAATGACATTATTTCAATCATCTGATAAGATTGAAGAGCTTTTCAAAAGTTACATTGTTGCAACATTAATTAAAGAAAAGAAAGATAAAACGAAGGCAGTTGAAGTCGTTGAAGGCAGTGAGAAGTTGAAAGATTTGAGCGTTCGACGAAGAATGAAAAAAGCTTACAAACTTCTTCACGACATCATGAAAAGTGAGAATGAAGGATGTTTGGAATTTGTTGACGGACATTTGAATGAAATTGAAAGAATTCTAACAAAATCAACTTACAAAGTCGCTGAGGCCACGCAAGTCATGCGACTTTCATGTTTGAATGGAATTTTAGAGAAAAAAGCTTTTGTGGATGTTAAAGAGAAGATTGTGAAGATTTCAATCACAGAAGTTCTTTCAAGCTTTAATAATGAAGCTGTGATGAAAGATGGAATCGCTTTTAATCTTTTGAGAGCGATTGGAAAAGTTTATGAAGATGGAGAACGTTTGAAAGATTTCGTTGACAGTATCATGACAGGATTAGTTGGTGATCATCAATTAACAAGCAATACAATCGTCGCTTTGAAGTTTATCATTCAAGAATTCGCTGAGAATTTAACTGTTGACACCCACAAATTTATTCTTGAACAAGTTTTGGAATTTGTTGTCAGTAATCAAAGAAATGAAGTCAATGCAAGTCTTCAATTTTTGGTGATGTTTGTGAAAATTCTTCCAGCTCCATTTGTTGCTAGCAATCTTCGACTCATCATCAAAGCAATTTCCTTAATGGTCCATGATACAAGACGTCACTGTCGATTAATTTTATCATTTTTAATGAAGAAGTTGTGTAAGAAATTCACGCCTGAAGAGATCATTAAACTCGTTCCTGGATCTGACGAAGCGCTTCATAAGAAATTGCGAAATATCAAAAAAGAAATCAACCGAGCCAAACGTAATCGTGTGGAAAATTCTAAGAAAAAATCGAAAGGTGGTGAAGGCGAAGATGATTCAGATGACGAATTTATGAATTTGGAGAAGAAGAGTATGACGTAAGTTGTTTAAATTTGTTTTTATCCTCCCACGCATTGACTTTTTCCTTTTCCTTAGAATTGATGACATCTTGGCTGATAGCAGTGATGAAGGTTCAGTTGAAAGTGATGAAGATAATGCAAAAACAAAAGTTAAGAATCCAGAAACATTTATACGAGAAGATGCTGATACAATTGTCGATCTTGCTGATTCGAATGCTTTCAGTAAATTAACAAGTAAGTAGATAAAAATATTTTAATTAATATAAATAATAATTAATTTCCGTTTAGCAACGAAACCAATTGTCAATCAAAGTCATTTGAAATCGAAGAATAAAGATGAGAATCGTGGCTTCAAAACAGCACCCGATGGTCGACTAATCATTGAAGATATTGAAGATAAAGAGAGTGATAGTGATGATGATGATATGACTGAATACAAGGATAAGTCAAAGACGAAAGTTTATGATCAAGAATCGGATGAAGAGAAGGATGAGCCATCGAAGAAGAAAATTGGTTTGAATGCTTATAAAGCTGGTGGTTCTGGAATTCATAGGCCACTTGCTGCTTCTGTTAAATCAGGTTATTCAAATATCTCGAAAATATCCAAGAAATCCTCAGCTAGTAGTCGACTTCCAGGTTCAGAATATAAAGCGAAGAAAGCTGGTGGTGATGTTAAAAGGAAAGGAAAACATGAACCTTACGCTTATGTTGCTTTAAGTCGAAATGCTTTGAATCGTAGAAAGCGAAGCAAAATGGGAAATCAATTTAAGAATATTGCTAAGAAATCAAAAGAAAATAAGAAATCTTCGAAGAAATGAATTTAATTATTATTTTTTATGCTTCTGAAATATGAAATTGAAATTTCTAATAAACATTTTTTCTTTAATAGTAAATTAAATTTGTTGAATTTCACTGTCGATAATTTCCCCTCATAATGAGGGGCAGAAAGATTAAAGAGATCATTACCCCCTCTGGTTCCTTCAAATTTCCCCTCCGTTAAAACTTTACATTTATGTTGCTGTGTCAAATGATTGTTTCACATTTAAGTTGTTTCAGGGTCACAATCGATTGTTGCGAGACTTATGACATAATTTCATTATTGACAGCTGCTGGATAGCATAACGAATTGGTTGTGCAAATTTCGAATCAACAACTTCTCCCATATTGCTTATGTGTCAAATTCGATATCCTTTATAAATTTTAATTTGCATGAAAAACTGAATGATTCTCTGAAATTTTAATTAAAATGAAGAATTTAAAAGCTTTCATATTAAATAATCTTGACTAATGCTCGAGGTGATGTTTATTCATTTTGAAGTTATGATCATAATCAAAAGACCGTTAAATTCAAATTTAATTTCGCCATTTTTCATTGGACTCTACCACAATTATTCTTGATGTTGTTCCATTCAAATGTTAAAGCATTTTTTTCGTATTTCCTTCGGTATTCCCTTTCCTTTGTCACGTAAGGACTTCTTCAAAGTGTGTTGTATTGCGTCATAAAAGTGTAATTGGTTAAGATTTTCGTAAAAGTAAACAATTTTATCGAGTTTATTGTGTCAGAGTCGATTTGATCTTGACATTTTCTGATAAAAAAAATCTTTTTTTGCTGTGATAAGTGTAAAAATAATCAAACAAAAGCTAGAAACCCGTTCGCACAAATAAAAATTCATTCCGAAAATCAATGTTATTGATTCAACAAACATTCAAATATTGATTCGAGAGCCTCTCGTCGTGTTTGGATGACGATGAGTCAAGCATCTCGACTTAAGCTTGTTCAGGAGTCACGAGCTTATTTTGTTAATAATTTTCTTTTACTTTCGCAATTTTATTTTATGCAATTCCTTTTTGTTTATAAGGTAAGCTTAGTTTATTGGTCTAGTTTTAATCATCAAAAAAAAAACAAGGCAAAAAGCAAACGAACTTTAGTTAAAAACCTTGCAACTTGATCTAATTAAATTAATTGAATTTAAAAATTAAATCCTTTAGTTCCATGCGGTGCCATTCTATGCATTATGAATCAGAACAATGACGAATTTCGAAAACTACAATCAATACTAGATGAGAAGGAACGCGACTTATTACTTTCTGCATCAATTGGAAAAGAACTTTTAGAGAAAAATAGTAAACTTGAAGATAAGATTATCGATTTGGAGACAGAACTGCGAGGTGCTAACGAGAATCTCGAACAGATATCGTATCAATTAACTCAAAAGAATGACCTCATCAATATTTTAACAAGCGACGATGAATGCAGAAGTGAGAATGGTTAGTTAAATAATTTTTTATTTGAGAAAGAGAAGATTTTAACGATTTAAATTCTTTAGCAACTCCAACAACATCAAAGTCCATCAACTTAGAACTCATGCAGAGAAAAATCACAACGCTGGAGGAAGAAAATAAAGCACTTCGGACTGAGGTCCAACAAATCGTGCAACAGACCGATGAAGTTGAAGAAACAGAAAAAAAAATCATCGATGATTTAAGTCATCAATTGAACAATCGTAGCATGGATCTTGAGAGTCTCAGTTCAGAATTAGAGCGTTATAAAGATGAGAATCGTTTGCAATATGATGAAATTTCGACATTAACGAAACGAGCAGATGAAGCTGAAATGAGACTTCATCAATTAACATCGGAAAATGAGGAAACTTCGTCACTTTTATGTATCACCAAAGAAAATCAAGATCTTCTTGCACATGAACTTGCAGAATTTAAATCGAGATATTACGAGACGCTCGCTTTACTTCGTGAAACTCAAGAACATTTACGAACACTAATGAAAAAATCCCAACCATGTGCAAGAAGTTCGTTCATTCCCGGAATTGGCAGCAACAATTTCTATCCAATCGATTCAATTCATTCAGAAATTCTCGACAGTCTCGATTCTGGGATTATTTCCGATCACACAACAGCAACGACAAAAACTTACAAAAATGTTTGCGACACAATGAAATTTGTTCAGAATTCGGCTAAAGATAAGCAACAATCATCAGTTGCTGATGAGATGTCAGCTATAGGATCAATGGCGATGAGTAGCATGTCAAAACAGCCCAGAATGTCAAGTTTCACTTCTTCGTCTTCTTCAAAAATTATTTCTGAACCTTTTTGCAGTACAATTTATGGATCTCCATGGCCCCGAACTGAAACAAATGCTAATCATGAAGAAATTTATCCAGCAAAATCTCAAATTGGCGTTCCAGGCTGTCCCGGTGCGAAAGATCTTGAAGAAGCTTTAAAAAGATTAAATTCAAGTGAAATTCTTTCACGTCGCGCAATGCTGTCAAATGCACCCGATGGAACTTTTTCTTATGATGATCAACCGACTTGCCGAACACCTGAATCAATCTTTTCAACACTTTCGGCTGAAACCGGAAGCGGAACTTCTTCAACAACAGCACAATGGAAATTGCCAAAGAAATTAGAAATTATTAAACCATTGGAAGGAAGTCAAACGTTGAATCATTGGAGTCGATTAGCGACACCAACAATGGGAAGATTGCTAGAAGATAATGAAAGGATTAAAGTGAGAGGTGAAAAACGATTAGAAGAACTTGGACTTCAAATGTATTCGTTGTCTGATGTTGAAGGTGAGAACAAGAAAAAAATTCTTATAAACTGTTAAAAATAAATAAAATTGCAGAAGACACAGATGAATATCCAGGAAAGCAATTTGAATCGTCAACATGTGTTTACACTTTTACAAACAGCACAGTTATGCATCCAGACGATGGAACGTCAAGTATCTCATTTAGTCTGCCACCTTCACAGATCTCATCAAGAATGCAATCAACCGTCACTTCAAGACAACCAACGTAAGTTTTCTTTTTAAAACCTTGTTAGGATAAGAAATATTTCAACAGAAATTTTCTTTCAGAGCTCCACCCACGCCTAGAAATCTTTCACGTCGTAATTCTTGTAGCACTTTTTCAGTGAATATGGGACTTGCTTCAGTGCTTAACGAGCGAGGAATTAAAGCTGTTACTCCAAGTGCTTTAAATACTCCTTCAGGCCCGAACTTTTCTCCGACTGTCACGCCATGTAATTCACCGACGGAAGGAAATTCACCTACACGATCTTTATCGCCAGAGCCTGGAACTTCTGCCTGTAATAGTAATAAGAACAAAAATGCATTTATTCAGTTAGAGAAGAAAGCATTACGATCCTTGATGCTTCTTGAGAGAGTTGAGACGTTGGGTTTGGAGAATATTGTAGCGCCGTCACGTCGTGTTAGTCCATTAGCACTTTACAGTTCGAACATTTACAGTTCACGGTCGAGTCCAATGGCGCAACTAACAAGTTTAAGAAAATTAACCGAGAATCGATATTCCGACGAAAATTTGAAATCTCATGTCTCGCCGTCGAGCAATGAAAGTCAAGGAGGTGATTTGAAGAAACATTCTGATCGAAAGAGTCGCGTAAATCGACAAAAGTCACGACGTCAACTGATAAATGGACATTCGGGGCAACGACAAGATCTGGGAACAGTCAATACTCGTCCTGACTTGGGAAAAGTTGAGAATGAGAGAAATGATGAAAAATCTTTGGTCGAAGGGTTTGTTGGTTCAATTTCTAGTCTTCTGTTTGGACGTAAAGGCGGCTTATTGTAAAAAAAATAATTCTAAGATGATAAAGTTTGTTTTGAGTAGAAGATTCAACACCGTGAGAATTTCGGTGTAAGTCATTTGAAAATATGTAGATATCCACTAACATTCTGCAAAAGTTAATAAATTATTCCATAAAAAAGTATTTGAGATGAAAAAAATGTTGTTTTTCTAATAATGAATTTTTTCTGACTGGTGATGTGAATTGAAAAGAAAATAATGGCTATCAGTCAATTTTGTCTTCTGTGTTTTTACTGTTTATTGCAACGTTTCGATGACTTGTTTGTCATCCTCATCAGGCTTCTAAAAATTATAATAATAATTACATCGAGTGAAGGAATGTGAAATAAAAATAAAATGAAAAATCTTACAAACAGTACAAAATCGTCAATGTTAATGTTTGTCGAAGCAATTTTTACATTTGCCTGTTTGTTGATTTTATCCTCAACTGAAGTTGTTTTTCTAATTATTTAATAATGGAGTTTTGTGACCAAGGGTTTGAACCGGTTCAAATTTTCCTTCAAAAATCGCTTTGAAAATCTTCTGAAAAATGAAAAATCGAATGAAAAAAACTTTAATTTACATTTAAATATCTTTAATTAATAATTTTTTACATGTACTATATAATTTTCTTCTTTTATGTAGTTTTTCTTCCTTTCTTTTTATCCTCTTCACGATTTTTTTCTTTTTTTTGTTGTCAATAATATAAATAGAATTTAATTTTTAAAATTAAATATTTTTCACCTTCTTTTCGGTTTCTTTAATCTTTTTTTATGTCGTCAGAAAACATTTAATATATTTTTCATTTACTGAACTTTAACTGATGAAGTTTCGTCGTTTCATAAATTTTCTTTAACTTCCTTTCAATGAATTTCTTATCAAACTTATCGCTCAACAATAAATTTTCGCTTTATCGGATTTCTTTTTGTCATCTTATAAGGGAATGAAAAAAGATGTGATTCTGACCTACAAATATTTATCTGATTTGTAATGTTGAATGCTGTTCAGTCGTGTTTTGATATTCGTACAAAAATTTGACTAAAAAGACTAAGCCCCTGTTAAACAAAAGTCCCCAGAAAGTTGCCATCCAACGTTGACACACGATTATCGCGATTATTATTAATATTATTTACTAGCCATACACATATAATGAGATTAATTAGAAATATTTATCATTTTTACTTTAAACTTTTTTTTCTTCTTCATCTTCATCTTAAAAGTTTGATGGTGGTCTCTGAGAACTGTTTAAAATCTTTTTAGTTTTATTTTTATGCATCAATAAACGACTGACAGTGTGTTCTATTGTTTCTCAAGTTTATGGCCTCTTGACTGCGCCTTTCTCGTTATGCAACTACAAAAATTGTTAAACTATCCAAAGAAGTGATTTTTTTAATTTCATTCATTGTTCATCTGCTTCTAGCTGATGAACTTCATCGTCTACTGACGTTATATTTTCTTTTTAAAAATAATGACATCTTTTTCATTTGCCTCTCAATGGTAAAGCTATTTTCTGAAATTTTTCATCATGAATTAAGAAAATTTTTCTTTCATTATTTAATTTCTCTTCAATATTTTTAGATTTTCCTCTTTAAAATCTCTTTTTTTGTAAGAAGATTTTCATCTTTCATTTGAAATTGAATGTTTCTAAAGATGTTTCTAGTTTATTCTTAAAATGTTTAAAAGCCATGCGACTTAAGTCTTCACAAGAAATAAGAATTTTTGAGATGGAAGAATGAGCAATGCAAAATTTTTAAAATGTTTAAAAATAATGAAAATTGTTCATGTCTCCACGTCTCAAAATGAATCAAATTTCTTGAAATTTCTGTCCCGAAAAGGACTCTTCTTAGTTCTTTTCTATTTTTTGTATTCATCTCTGCATCATCAGCCGGATTTAGTTTAGAAAAAGTTGCAGTTATTAAGTTCTGGCTGGGTCGTTGTGTTTGAGTGTTGCAAATGCTGATAGTTGTTGTTGAATGCTGAATTATGGAAGTTACGATCGTAAAGATTCGGTAATGGTTGTTGAAAGTGAACACGAGCCTGTTGCTTCGATTTGTGGTTCTTCCGCAATGGCTCATCATCCGGATGATGATAAATTTTTATTGGTTGTCATATCTGTGGCTTGTGCTTTCCACCGCATACGCCACACTGAATTCCAATCATGTGACAAGCTTTCAGCGGTGGGTAACACCAAAGACATGGAACAAGCAATGACAAAAGCGCCAAACCAATCCAACGCTTTGTGCAACTGACTTCTTCGGCTGCATTGCTGCTACACGAGCAAGGATGATTTATAAGTTCGCCTTCAGAGTCGCTCATGCAATGATACAACATACAGCGAGCACAAATCATCCCTGAAATCGTGTCAATTCCACTTTTTATGCAATCTGGCGCGAATGCACACGAACCTCTTCGATTCCATTCTTCTTGGTAGAATTCTTGGCAATATCTGAAAGGAATTAATTTTAAAAATATTCAAAAATAAACAAAATTTAATGAATTCAACTCACCGACAACGCAGTCGAGCTTTGATCATAGCATTTTCTTTAATAATCGATTCTGGAACTTCAAGTGCTGTTCGCTTCTTCAAACTGCAAGTTGAGTCTCGTCTTAATACGGAAGTGATTGGATCTTCAGCAACCGGGTAGTTATAATCATGAACAGCTGTCAATTGCACATAAGAGTAATTATCGGCTGGTATTACTGATGGCTGTGTGACAGGTGCAAGTTGATGCTGGCTGTTGGAATCGTTATTGTTGGAATTATTTGGTGCGAGCTCACACGATATGTACTGAATGTTGAGTTTCTTTGCTGGTTGTTGAAGTGATGATGGTTGTTTCTCGACGCTTTCTGTTATTTTATTCAAAGTCAATAAATTTTGTAGTTTCTTTAAGTAATTGCAGACTTACGATTGCTTCCAGTTCCTTCAGAACTCGATTTTGATTCCGATGTTTCAATGGGTAAGTCGAGTGTCTAATTTTGAATAGAAAATTGAATGAAAATCTTATTGAATGTAAGAGATCTTCTTTCCACTCACCATAAAAACATCATCTTCTCCAACTTGAGTGTCATCGTAATTGTACAAGTCGGTATGTGTTGATGTCGAGTGTTTATGCCAATTTGTTTTTTGTGAAAGTCCTGGAAATTGAATAATATCGAAATTGTTCATCATAATTTCTTGAACTCAATCAATTGAAATGAAGAAATTTATTTTACAATCAATGAAATAAATCGTTGCATAATTTATTTAATTGATTGTTGTTAATAAAATGAAACAAAGATGAAAATAGAGAAGAAGTTAAGTTGAAAAAAACAAGGAAACTCACCACGTGCGCAAAACAAATCAAGCAGATTTTTGTATATTTTTTTTTATTTTGTGATGAAGTAGAAGCATTCCAATGTTATGTAAGGGTTGAATGCAGATTTGATTGATTAATGGAGAAGGAAGGAAGAAGGTTGTGGATAATGCAAATTTATATGCAATGCGAAGAGTTTGAAAGAAGAAAGAAAAAGAAAAAGGGAAGAGAAAGAGAGGATAAAAGAAAGAAACAAACAAACAATTAGATTAGAAATTAATTTGCATGACATAATGAAGATTTCATTAATAATTTAATGCATCATTAATGTAACTTCATAGCCAAATAATCCCCAAACATTTTTCTTTGAAGAGTGAATTAAAAACTGTAAGAATTTCCACTTCACTCTTTCTGAAAGCTTCTTTCACTTAAAAAAAACGAATAAAATTCATAATTGCAATGAAATGTTAATTAAAACATGAAATGTGAAATCTTTTTACCGTCTATAAGATCGTCATATGCTTTGATGATTCCCTTGTCAAAAGCTCTTGCGTCAGCTGCCGTTTGAAATGTAAGACCGTTTCGTTGTTTCCCAGCACGCCAATGATGAAATGTTGGCATAACTTTATAGTACTGAAGATCGCGATTGATGACGCAACTCAGGATGACCTAAAAATAAAAAATTAAAAAAAATTCCCAGGAATTTCAACGATGATATGACGTCAAAGGCTTACCGTTTGGTCTGATATTCGTTGACCATAAATGATGTATTCATGTCCTCCAACGTCGGGCATACGAGCACGCTTACGTATCGAGACATTTGCAAGTCCACCACCTTGCAGTGGAAGCCAACCTTCGGTACTTTCGTCACGTGTCATCACCTGTGCACGAACTTTTACTAGCGAATCACTTTAAAGTTTCAAATAGAGGAGAGAGAAGATTAAAATTAGGTCAGCAATGTCGTCATCAGGAGCATGGAAGAAAATAGTTGACGGTATAAGTTCATCGTTTGGGGTCATTGACACTTACTCTTCATATAGCTCGGTCATGATTTCGAGGAGAGTATCTGAGCTTAAATTGCCTCCATGACACGAAATTCACCATTTTTATGAGTTAAAGACATCCAGACTGGCATCAATGAGAACTGTCGCTGGCTTTTCTGTTTCAATTTCTTTTCTTTTGGCTCAAAATGGATTTCGATACTTCCTCTGGCTTTTACATTCGACAAAGTAATTAAATTCCCTTTTATGACTTTTTGTTTTTCTTCTATTTAACTCTTGTGCCTCGAAGAGCTTCGAAGAATATGAAAATCGATTAGTTGACCTTTTTATTTCTTTTATTTTTTAACTTCTTTTTGTTTTCTCGTCACACTTGAACGTTTCAATCATTTAATTTCTCTTTCTTTTTTTTAATTTATCACTTTGAAAATAAAAACTATTTTCGCTTATGTCACTAATAGCTGCACTAGATGACAAGTCCTTTCGTGTTGTACTGAAACATTTAATTAAGCAGATTTTTTTTCTATCAGTGAATTACCATCGAAGCTTTAATTAAGAATGAAAAAAAAACTGGGAGGATGAAACAGAAGAAAAAAATTCCTTTTTTTTCATTCAACAACTCCATCGACAACCACGACGACAATGAATAAATAGCTCAAATTCATTCATTCATGTTCCACATTTTCCTCAATGAAAATTCAACTCTCAAACAGGCATAGGGAATTGGAAAGGAAGAATGAAATAAAAAGAAGAAGAAATGTTGGAAATGAAACATTCGTCATTTCACTTTTGTCCTATTTATGAAGTTTGATTGTTTTTCCATCTCACTCAGACACATACATTTGGGTTTGTCCTTTTCCCTCCCCCCACATCTCTCCAATTTATGGTTGCGTTTTTCATTCAACTTTTCCAAGCCTAAATTTTCATTGAAGAATTTTTTTTTCCAATTTCTCTTTTTTTATGAATGTTTCGATAATTTCCATGTAATAAAATAGCCAATTCATTCTTTTCTTTTTGATTTTATGAGAGTCACTAGCTTAGCCTTGATTGAGTGCACTTTTAGACAAAAATAACTTTGAAAACTTTTTTAATTTTACCTTTTTTTCTTATCATTTTGGCTTTCGATCATCACTTTTTCTTCCCTTTTTCATACATCACAGCTTGTAACTGGAAAATGTCGAAGAAGATTTTCATTTTCAGTTTTTTTTTCTTTTCCACATTTCCAGACTCTCATCGCTCATATCATCAGCACTCTCGCCCTACTAAGCTCTTATCAAGATTTCTCAATAACAAGAAAAAGAAGGAAAGAAAGAAACATTTTCATTCAATAAAACGATTCTTCGTTGTTTTTGTGCGATTAAAAGCTTTTAGTGAATGTATTGGTGATGTTCATATAGTTTACATTTTCCTTTCTTTTTTCAACTTGAGAACTAAATTTTCTTTCAATGATTAGATATTATTGTCATCATCACCATCATCATCATCATCATCATCATTAGAATATCATCGAGAATCGAAAGCATAAATACAAAATTTATTTAATAGAATTTAAAACATTTTTTAACAACATTCATTTCACAATTAAATTCATATTTTGTTTTTCTGTCAAAAATAAACAAATCTTTTCTGAAAAGTCAGTCGCATAGATATTTTCTTTTTAAGGTAGAATACTACGAAAAAATTATGGCAAAATAATTTTTGCCAAAATACATATTTCTGTGATATCTTTTCTAGAGAAGTTGTCAACAATGTGGGCTGTTCCTTTTTAAAGCTTATTAGACCCACAGAGAGAAGAAGCTTTTCCAACAATGGGTCAAAATTTCTTTTCAGTTAGTAGAGGAATCAATTCCTATCTGATATTTGATTTCAAACAATCAAATACTTCATTCAATCATAAACAAACAAATATGTTACCACAACGATTCTCTTATAACTCATATTTTTTATTCTTTCTTTTTCTTTCATTAATAAAACTCTCGAGAAATTCATTCAAGAAGCGAACTGTGAGAGAAGAAAAATGAATGGAAAACACTTTCCTTTCATTCGTGCGATGGCGCTGGCTGATTTAATTTCTTTTATGACTCTATAGAAAGCACGGAATAACTTGTTGTTTCTCAAGGATAAATGAAATCAAAAGAAATTTTATAAATTGAAATTATTAAGTTTGGTTTTGTAAATAAAAAAGAAATTCATCAAAGCATTTAGAGAAAATGAAAATTCATCAACATAAAGGAATTTCAAGTACAATTTATTTATCTCAATAAAACGTTTTCAGAGCGCAAGATGCGAACACGAAAATGGAAGATTCTGTGTCTCTCATCTCATAATAAAAACGACTCTCGGGAAAATTTAAGTGGATCCCCAAGAAAAAAAAAGAATGAAAGAAAAAAATGTTTTTCTTCTTGGATTGGACTGAATAGCGTTTTTCTTGTTTGGCGCGTAGTTTTCATGCTTCAAAGAGCTCATAATCAAATCTTCAAATAACACTGGCTAGTTGCCAAAATAAAACAGAAATAAAAAAGCTCACAAAGAGAATCAAATTTATGAATGAAAAGCTCGAAATAAAATTCCGTTAGTCCTTGAATTTTCATCTCCCGCGCAAACGCAACTCATACAAGAAGCATTTTTTCTCCCATAAGAATAGAAGAATAGTGAAAATAAATTGCAAAAAAGGAAATTTACATTTTTTTAAATTGACTTCAATGTCATGTAATATGTTAAGGACAATGAGAGAAACTTCTTCTTCAATTTGGAGAATGGCAGATTTTAATTTATAGAAATTTATCAGTCATAACATCGCCATTAGAACTTGAGAAGAAGCAACACCATCCTTGGCAATGAAAATTTCCGGTGTTGAGTCGAATCAATCGTTGTCACACAAGTATTTAAGTGTGTGTGAATGCGTGTGTGTAAAACAAGAAGATTTTTGCTCTCAGACACGGGCACATCCGCCCTGAATTTTTTTTCCTTCCAATGCGAAGAAAAAAATTTCAACGCGAAAACAAATTTTCATTACTATTAAAAAAATCTTTTTCCTAACAATATCATTGAAAGACCATAAAAATGATAATTTCACATCTTATATGATGAAGGAAATTCAGCCCAATTAAATCATTTACTGTAATTAAATTGTCAAGAAGCGTTTGAACTGCCGCGTTTTGTTTTTTTTTCTTGGCTTGCCACTCAAAGCATCGCCGCCCGCTTATGGCAGACACAAAAACACATTTTTTTTGTCGTATTCAATTCTTGAATGAATGAAATTATTAATTAAACAATATACAATCGTAGAAGTTAACACACACATGCCTAACATAGTTGGACATCAACAAAATTTTTCGTTTCTTTTAATTGAATGTAGGTTTCCGGTTCGGACGAGCAGAAAAAAGTGCTGCGACACAAATGACGACAAAAACTTATTGGACTGAAACCGAAGTATTGTCGGTGATATCATGCTGCTTTAGATGGGCATAGAGCAGCAGATGCTGAATACCATAAGGGACACATGTCAACCTTAACATCGAAAATATATGACAATATATTTATAGCAAAAAACATTTACAAAATTAACGCCTCAAAACTTTATTAAAGAAAATTTTCGAGCGCAAAGTTCGCAATGTAACTTTGTGTAACCTTTTTCAATGCTCTTTTTTCATATTCATTCATGCAAGCATTCATGTATAAAAATTTTGTTTCATTCATTCTTTTTTTTTCGTTTCTTTTGTGAGTAAGGCTTTCTGCTTTTCAATTAACATCCAACACATTCAATATTCTATCATAGGATCTAATGCCGTTTAAGACATCGAATAAGTGTTTACCTTTTTTTCTAATTAATTAAACAATCTTTTTCTTCACTTTGCGATCTTGAAGAGAATTCTTCTTCACAATTTTCGAGAACGACTTTTCACTTTATTACTGAAATTTCCAATATTAACGAATGTCTCTGCACTTTATTTCACTCGTCACATGTTCAATGTATACTTAAGCCCCTAAAAGGCTGTACAATTCACTAACAAATCAACTTAATTACTTTTTTTCATGTGCTATTCGAAATTAGTGAAAAATAATTTTTTAATACCTAAAGTTTTATTACGCTGATCCTCGGACACTTTTGAATGTTTCATGTCCGTGTTACATTGGAACCGATTGAACATGTCAGTTTGTCATACTACCGGTTCACTGGAAAACGGTTATACATATACTTGCGCCATCTGAAGTCGAGAAGATGAAGCAAGCTGAAAGATTTTAAAATTTCATAAACATTTGTGGCATAAAAATGATTAAATTAATGTTGGAAAGACTTGACGGATAATTCAAGTTTTAATTTTAGAACTTTTATTCATCCATTTAAAATTGTCTGAAAGTAAAACAAAACTATAAAGAAAAACAAAATCAATTTCAATGCAATGCTTTTAATGTTTTTTCTTCATTTTCATGTATCTATCAATTTTAACATAATTAATAATCATTTCTTGTTTTTACAAATAGAACAGTTTTAATTTGACAAAATAATAGGAAATAGAAAAAAAATTAAATAAATAAAGAATGAAATTTACAATTGATGAGAGAAACAGAGAATTAAATGTTTGGGTTAAAGTATTCTTAATAAAATATTTTTGCTTGACTGAATTTTCATCAAATGTGACTTTAAATGTTTTATTTTACATTGCAAAAATATTAAATTATTTGATTAAAGTTTATTTACAATAGCTTTTTCTTCATTAATTTTTATGTCATTTTTTCAGTTTCTATTTATGTTGAGTGTCAGTGAATTTCTAACTAAACAAAAGTTTTATGCAATGTGAAGACTGAAGTAGAAAATTTTCCTTTTTATATTATATCAAGCCTTGTGACTACGTGCGAACAGTTTAATGCACATCATTATTTTGTTATTTGTATCTCTTAACAAAAGAATTAAAACAATAAAAAAAACACAAGAAAATATCACAAAAACATCCATCAATAAACAGGAATAATTTTTTTCTTTAACTCTTGCGCAATCTTGTGTCCAAAAATCTTTTTTTTTAGCGAAAACGTTTTGTTTCTTGTATTTGGTGAATGAATTGAATTTCAGTTTGAATTTAGTGTGAATAAATTTTTCTTTCAAAGATTTTTTAAATTATTTGCATTGAGATCGAACCATATTGAATTTCCAATGTTTCTCTCTTTTTTAATTGATATTTGTGATATTTTTATGTCTGAATGATCAAAAATGTTTAACAGGCTACTTAATTAATGACTCTTTCATAATCAATAACAAAGGAAAAGAAACTTACACAACTTTTCTCACTTTCCTTTTTTCATCTTCAATCAACGGACACAATTTTATTATATTGCAATAAAGTCAAAACAAATCAAATGAGATTTGATAGCAATTTGATTAATGTTTCGACAAATCTTTAAATTATCACAGTACAAACTCATTTTCTTTCCAAAAGATATTTTTTTCCTTTTTTTGTTTAGACAAATTATAAAGAAGTTATTATTAATTTTAATTCTCGACATTTTGTCGAAATTTTCTTTTTTTCCAGAGCATAAATTTTTATGCTGAACATTTTATATGTAAGATGATCATGATCTTAAGGTGTTACATGTTTAGGCACTATTTTTTATCAAAAAGTTAATAAATGATTCGTTTTCCTTCAAAGGAAAACATTTTTCTTAAGAAAATGCAAAATTTTTCTGCATTTTTGCTTCGTAGAAGTTTTGACTTCTTACGAACATTTTCAATAAAATTTCCTCGCGATTTTAGTTAAGATTTCGCATCAAAGATTTTAACAATTTAATTCTCAAGGAATTGAATGTTGAGCGAAGTTAACTTTACGTGAGGAAAATTTTAAGATTCAATTGACCACCGCAAAATGTTATTGCAGTGGATCTCCAACGAATCCAATTCTTCCGCCATTGTTTCGCCACCTTCAGGGCAACTTTCTTCGTCTTCATCTTCTTCTTCATCATTATCAATGCTGTCGAAGAATATTTCGCTTGCGTCATGTTGTATTTTATTGACGGAAAAATTATCATCGTCTTGGGATAGAAAATTAAACGGCTTTCTCACAAAGAGAACGTAGCTTTGCTTATCATCTTCATCATTATCTTCTAAATTGCTTTCACTTGATAGATCCATTTGATTGGATAACTGTTCCCATGTTCTAGCGATCATTGGGTTAACCTTTCCAATCAAATGTGGACGTTCGTCATGATTTGTTTTCTTTTTGACTTGTCTAATTGGCTTTGGAACGATGATCGAAGAATTATCAATAGCCAAAGCTTCACCACCGCCATTTCGCAATTCTTCAGCAATCACCAACGGATGCTTGTAAGCAATATTCATGTCTGATGTCATTGCGGATGTTACAAATGTTGGCGAAGGTCGTCGGTTTTGCTGAAGTTTTAGAATTTCCGGCACGCGCGTCTTCAGCAAATATTCACGAATTAAGTTGTGAGACTGAAATGGTGTTGACGCTTCCATGAATTGACGTGTGTCATCTGCGACTGTTTTTCTGATGTTTGGTGTTGTCCACGATTTTTTGATTACATTTGATTGCATTGCGAAAGGGTTTGGGGTTTTTCGGAAAGCCTGAAATAAGAAATAAAAAATTAATTAATTTTAAAGCCTTCTTGGAATATTTTCATATGTTAAAAAAGTTAGTGCTTTAAACCATTTAGAAATTTAATTTGTTATTAAAATTACAGAGAAAGATAAAGATAAAGATCGTCGATCAATGATCACTGAAGCACTGAGCTTAATAACTAATCTTATTCAAATTTTAATTCAATTTTTAAATTAAAATTTGTCTCCATAACATGATTATTGATTCGATTTACTTTTACTTCATCATAAATTATTTCGTCACGAATAAAATCTTTAGCTTAAAATATTACGCAAAGTGAAAACAATGACAAAAATGTTACCACATCAGATTTGCAGAAAGTGATTGAAATTTGAGATATTTACAGGTTTTTACTTTTAACTTTTACTGTTTAATTGTTCTATTATTAAATGAAATGCCAAGACATCAAACAAATCCGATTCATAGTGTTTAACAGTTTTGTGTAACATTCAACAAAAGTAACAAAACGCTTAACGGAATCAATTCCACCATTGGAAGTTAGTTAATCACTGAATATATCTTGCGCTTTACAAATGCGCATCGAGTTAATCCATCAAGTCAGGTTATTTCCATCACGATCACTGATCAATCACGCATTGTGAGTAACAATCACATGGGAAGAGTTTAAGATAAAACAACAAAAGATCATTCATGCATTTCCATTTCATTTGACTTTGATATCCGTGGATGTGACAAGCCGCTGCTGCGATTTGAATCGTTTAGGAATATAACGAAATCGATAATTGATTGTTAGAAAGCAACACGAATTCAATCACATACATCAAAAAGGTGAGTAATAAAGCACACACAATCTGATCTACATTTGGCCTTTTGGTGGGAGCTTAATTTAAGCATTAATTAAACATTCGATACTCTCAAACCTACATTCAACCAACAAAGCAGCAAAGTTTGACCTCCAAATTATTTTTTTTCTGCAAAAGCGAAAACTAAAAAAAACTTTTGCAGTTTCTTTTGGGGTTGGGTTTTTAATTACAATTTCTGTTTCAACTGCAAAACTTGACATGAAAGCAATGGAATTAAAATAAAGGAAATTATATGAAGCAGAGAGAAGTCAATCAACCAACAATGTTAATTGGATTCAAAGGTAATTAACTTAATTAAATTATATATGAAAGTAACTTTAGGATTAACATCGAGGACGATTAAAGGATGAAAGAAAGAAACAAAACGAATTTCATATTGAAATAGAAAAAAAGAGAAGTTTATGTGTGTCAAGCCACTGATCTTGATCACCACACAATTCAGATCAAAAGAATTAGATTAAATCAAAAAAAATTATAAAAATAATTTGTGCAAGCTTTTTTTATGATTGAAGTTTTACTTTCATCGTAAGCATTTATCCGGCACAACGAAATCTACTCAAGCAAATCCATGCATAATTAAATAAGACACACAGAAAGTAACAGAAAACAGAAATCAAATTAGTATCCGCACAAGTAAACACAAATTGCATATAAGACGAGGGGGGGAGTGAAAAAAAGCATAATTTGTGAAATCACCTACATACATAAATAGATTTAAGAGAACAATAAGTAAAGCGACACAAGACTTAAGCCATGAAAGAAAGCAAAAACAGTTCAGAAATGAAAACAACTAATTGCAATTCCGTTTCTAAAATTGAATTTGAAAAAACAAATTGAAGCCAAATGCCGATTAATGTGCATTTAATGCATATATGTAGATGGAAATTACAAAAAAAACCATTCATCAGATCAATCATGCAAACAAAAGAATGTTTTTTATTCAAACTTGTAAGACCTAATTGAGTTTCTTTAAGCTTTCCATTTTCCCTCTAAATATTTATTTATTTTTTTCTATCGCCAGTCTATCAAACAAGGAAGCTTCTTGTTTTCGAATGACTTTGGATTAATGATCGTGTAATGAAGACAGCTAGAAAGAAATCTTTTCATGATTTGAAATTGGAAATTTATTATCGTATTCTCAGTCTCAACAATTGAATTTATACTATTAATGTATTGCATAGCAGCAAACATCATAAAGTCGCATAAGAATAGAACAATAAAAAGAAGCAGCAAATAACTGAATCATACGAGAACTTCAAGTCAATAAGAAGAGTCGCAAAAACAGTGAACCATCGAAAATGGGTCAAATCGTTACTGTAAATTTTCAACCGAACTTGAATTGCCTTTTTTTTGTTTCTTGTCTTCACTTCTTTTCCATTCACTCTTCATGTCTGTTAAATATTATCTATTTACTCGAAAAGACGTCACAAAGAGAACCTTTTAATGCTAAAGTCATGTTATTAAAGCTGTTTTGTGTTTATTAAATTATTTGTGTATGAAGTTAGTCTGCTTAAGTTTACTGTGAATTTCTTAAACCGTTCACAAAACGATCTTCATCTCTTCATATTAAGACACACATTTCAATTAACCTTTCTGATCTTTTATATCACCGCGTTAATCGCGAATTAAAATGTTAATGTTAATTAATATTTCTCGCGTTAATGATGAACAACCTCTGAGAAAATTGCGAAAAAAAGTAAAGGAAATTATGGCGAATTGTTGATACCTGCTGTTGCCTTCCATTTATGTTATTTTCTTTCAATCAAAAAATAAAGAAGCTTTTCTTCTTTTTCACCCAATTAAACTCGCATTTCTTGCGATTTACAGGAAAATGATTAGTTGAACTTCTTTTTCGTCTCATTCAATCAATGATTTATGAGAAATTTAAAACAAAAGGCAAGAAATCATTATGCTAATCAAATGAAATGGATGGAAAATCAATCTTCGACTATGCAGTTAGTTACGCTTAGCAAATATTTCAATCAGAGTTCGTGAAACACAAAAAAAAAAAGCGAAATTAGTTTCAAAATTCAGCGCAACGCGTGTTTTTTGGATTTTTGGAATTTTTCTTGTTATTTAGAAAGCAATCTAAATTAGCTTCGAACTTGTGGGTGGTGTGTCAAGGTATAAGCGACTTTTCTATTTTCTCTTTCAATCACTTCATTTTACATCAATGAACAGATGCAATATTTATGGAATTCATTAATTAAATATTTAAATATGAAACTTTTCATTGAAATGAAAGCTTCTTTTATGATTAAAAATGTTCATCGGACGACGAAGACCTTCTGATTATCTATTCATCTTTTTATCATAAATACCAACGATGATCGTGCAAAAACTCATCAATAAAATTAAATAAATATTAATTGATTAAACTTAATCTACCATCAAAATGTCTGCATGAATGTTAACATTGCAATAAATAAATTTTGGTTGGATGATTTGTGCAAAAAAAAAAAACAATTTCCATTGTAAGCAGCTACAAGTTTCTATTAAAAATTCAAACCATAAGCGAATGAGTGAGTAAGCACAAAATTGCATGAAAAAGAAATGATTCAGCAAGGAAAATCATCTTTTTGGAGGTTTTCTTTTCATAAGAAATTAATTAAAAACGAACTAATCAAAATGTCAAAAAAAAACAACTAAAATAATTTTAAAAATATTAAAAGAATTAAAATAAAGAAAGAAAAAAATGTTTTAAATCACTTACGCAAAATATTTCAGGAAGACTTTCAATCGCACACTGACTGACAACGAGCTTATGGGTAATCAATCAAAAGATTTAATTTCTCGCGATAAGAAGAAAGATGACGATGATCGACGATTACGACGATATGTGCAAAGGAAAAAAGTTTAAGCTTATGAACAAATGATTTGCTGCGCTCCTATTGTTGTTGATCTTCTCCATCTAAGTTCCGCGTGTGTTTGGTTGTGTCTATGTCAGCAGCTGAGATGCGGAATTTCCGTACAACTTCAAATGCATTGTTTCGCACCCGCGGATTTCTCATAATCAATTCCATTATGTTTTGTTAATTATCATTTCTTACTCGCTTTGTTTTGTTTCGCAACTTATCACGATCATTACAGGAGGAAAAAAAAGCACCAGAAGGTGATGATGAAGTTCATGTTGGTTTTACGCGATGCAGGAAAACAACAAAAACATTATTTTTGCTTAATTAGCAGCGGATAGTTATAAATTTACAACCAACTTGCTGTGATGATTGACGTTAAGCACATGTTGCACTTCACTTTCCGATGCAATTAATTCTTTAAGTCGTCTTCATGAACCTTTTTTTTAATCTGACTTTCACATTATTTGTCGGAAAGTTTCTTCCGAAATAAAAAACAAACAAAAATGATACGAAAGAAGAGCTATGAGTAAGATGATCAGTGTGCACAATGATTACAGATTAATCACATGAAATAATAAAATTATGGGAGAGAAAGTTATCCTGATGATGTTTCATCATCGGTCATAATTATCCACCATTGGGTTAGTTCGCGAGCAGTTGCAAAAACAAATAATTAATGGAAACACAATAAAGACGAAGAAATTAATCACAGACAATTGTTGATCTTAAACATCTTTCAATCATTTCCCTTCGAATACTTCAACAACATTTCTCTCCGTCCCAAGAACACAAAAAAAACTTTTTTTTTCTTTTTGTCTTCATCAATCGAACGTGATGTGATGAAACAAATGGAACGTTTTTAAATTTTCAGCCAGTTCCAGATGGAACTGCGAATATTTCGTACCTTCCCACCATTCGTCTCACCACTTGAACTATTATCGTGAATATCATTCTCACGACCAACTGAAACATTCGACATACGACGAACCGGAAGTGCAGTGAACTTTCTATTATTGGTGCCATTATTTGTTACCGCATTCGGAGATGTTGGTGAACGCGTCACAATGACACCACTTGATGTGGCCATCAGTGCACCAGTCGATGACGACTGAAGACGCGAAAGTGAATCTAAGTTCTTCACTTTCGTTGTTAATGAATCGCGTTTGTGACGAGGAACAGGTGACGACGTCACATACTTGTTGTTTACATTCACTGATGTTGTTGACGGAGAAACATTGACAATTGTCGTTCCATATGAAGCAGCATTTGGTGATGAGTTGACATTTGAAGATGACGATGCCACATTGATGATTGGCTTGTTTGAAATGGGAATTGATGAACTTCGATTTTTACCTTCAAGTGACATGTTACGCCAACTTTGGACGGAATCGGGACGTGTTAAGCTTGTGTCCTTCTTAGTGATGGATGAAGGGCCGCTTGACTTCTGTCCATTGTAAAGACTGCTGGTGGATTTTGTTAGACTTTTATTGGATGGTGGACCATTTATCGGTGGTCGTCCACTTGGAGGTTTCGCAATAAATCCTTTCGTACCTGGCAATGGAATTTTGCTTGGTTTACTTCTTTTCGGTGTTTCTGGACATTTTGACAATGCGAGTTCTCTTTCTTGTTGATCATGAGCTGACTCTGTCGAACTGCTATTTTGAAAAGCTTCATCCATTGCCAATGGTACCATCGCCTTCATACTAGGAGTTGAGATTGTTTGCGAATGTGAATGTGGAAGTCGATTTGGTGTTGACGTATGCATGATGGTGATGCCATCATGTGAGGATAATTTTGTTGAATTTACATTGCTTGATGACTGATGATCGGGACTTAAATCAGAACGATTAGCGAGCTTTGATTCCATCACGCGAAGTTGAGCTCGAGTGCCTTCAAGTTCGATATTTCGTTCTTCAATCTGTCGATATTGCGGGTTATAATTTATAAGAAAAGAAAGGTTAATGGGATCATTTTAACTCACTTGAAACTTTAAATCCTCAACGTCTTCTTTCGATTTGTCGAGTTTCTTGATTAAGTAAATCTTTGATTTCGTTGCCTGCTCTAATCGTTGCTGTAGCACCTTGAATGAAAAAAGCAAAAGAAAGGTTAAAACTTGATTGTCAAAAGTATTTTGAACGAGAATTGAAATTTTGTTCATTTCTTGTCTAAATTTGTTGATCGAAAGCACGATTTGTTCAATTTGTTATGCTTTTATTTTCTTTTGAAAGTGCAAAAGTTTGAGAAGTGATTGCAATTTATAAATAAAATCGATTTGTAAAATGTCATTTGTTCTGACGTTAATGAACAACAATTTGTGATATTGCAAAATTATTTGAGCTTCTGTTTCACTTTTTGTTACGATGTTTAGATTTAAAATCGACTTCTTTTTTCATTCATTCATTCAAACGCCTCAGAGAGTGAGATTCCAATTAGAAGATATAATTTGTGCTTTCAAAACGTGAATAGACCAAAGCTTTAGATATTTCTCATTTAAGTTGAGATATCTTTCATCAGCTCCCACCTCCCAGCACATTTTCCTCATCATCACAATTATAAATCATAAAAATATTTCTGTTTTACTTTAAAAATTGTAAGCAATGCGCTTAGCGTTCCACTGAACTTTGATCAAATCATCAAATGCAAATCATGCAACAGCTAAAATCATTGGGAATATTCATTTGGCTTTTCGAATGGCAGATTCAGATTTCGATTCATGTTAGCATGGAGGTTAACCAAAAGTTATTTCAGTGCGAAATTCATGGACGTTTAAAGAGCCACAACGGGTGGAATTTCAAATTAAAGAAAAAAAAAGGTTGATGGCTACCATCCATTGAGTGTTCACTAATGTGTAACGAAATTCAATGAAATAAAATCACATGTCGATTATCGAAAACGATTCGCCTTTTTTTCTCCATTTTAAACCACGATAAAAAATGAAAAGAATTTCAATTGAAGCAAGAAATGAAAGCTTATTTATTAAATTGTTGATTTGGGACAAATGAGGGCAATCATGACGCTTTTTGGCAACCATCAGACATCATCGCACATTTATTTGCAACTTTGACTCAATATAAAACATCCCGGTGATTATATTTGACTTTGAACGTGACTCCGGCCATTTACCACGGTCTTTGAAAATATTTTACATTTTATTGTAAATGTTTAACTAAACATTTTTTTCAATTCAACTTATTTTTGCTGTCGATTTAGGAATAAAAGAAAAACAATTTCAAAGTTCAATTGAAATTGAGCTTTTGTTTGTTTGTTGCTATTATTTAAGTTGCTTTAACTCACGGAGGCTTAAAAATCGAGGACAGGAAGTGACATCAAGCGCAAAGTGTCTGGGAACACTTGGTCGTTGTCGATGTTATAAAATGTTCTTGAACAAGTCACACAAGCCATAAATCTCATAATTTACAAAAACAGAAAACAAAATTTGTTGTCCTCAAAGTCAAATGAAAATAAGATTTTTGTCGTTGCTGTTTTTGTTTTGTTTTGTTTTAGCTTCTAAAGATAATTGCACTTAAGTATTATTTTTGTAGTCTTTTATAAAAGTGAACACATAAAAAGTGTCGTAAATTTGTTGCCCAATTCACTATTGTCACTAAAAAAGGCCACGAACGAAACTTGATTTACGGCAATCAAAAGTCAAACGAAAAAGTTTTCGAATGTTTATTGAAAAGCCTTTTTTTCATTTTTCAATTAAGAAACAATAAAAAATTTTGCAATTTAAGGAAAGGAAAAAAATAATAAATCAATTTGAGAAAATAAATTATTGACAACATTTTGTGACATCCACGAATCTTCTAAATAACGATAAGTTCATCTTCATCATCATCGCCATCGTCAGGCCAATCCCATCAACACGTTTACAGTGATGAAGAATTCAATTAAAGCAAGAAACATTTAAATTATCATTACATAAAAAATATGTTTCAATTTCGTGAATTGTTCGAGTTGTAAATTAATGAAGATGATGAAGAGTGAAAGATCATTAAGTTGGTTGCTTGCAAAAGGCAGACACACCATGCCAATGTCAAGTAAATCGCGAGAAAATTGAGTAATTCACAACAATTTTCTGCCATTCAAAATAAAGTCAAAAACGTAGAATTACGAAATATTTCACAGATATTTAATTTGTCTCATATTTTTTTGTTTGATAAATGAGATTTCTCACATTGTTCGTGCGTTCAATTTTACACAAATCTGATTTTCGCGTTTCCTTCGCTAAGCTTCTTGCTCAAACAACAAATCAAATTTTTGGCAAAAAGTAAATTAAGACGCAGACAAGCTTGACGATGATAATAATGATTGTTGTTGTCGACTCCATCTTGAAAATTGGTCAGCTGAAAGCTTAACAACGCAATAAAAATCAAATTTACTCTACAAAGTCGATTGAAGTCAGCCCTCGGCTTACGCTTTCACTATTAAAAATCCCATGAAGCGCACCAAACAATGTCTATATGTTGGCCATATCTTTACAAGAGAAATAGCATGTTCAGATCAGCATGCTGCAAGTTAAATGATATTGCCCAGCGACGTGCCGCTGTTGTGTCTATTGCATTAATATTTTATTCCTTTTTCGCTTGCCTTCTTTGAATTACTTACATCTGACTATCGCGCTTGTTTGAAAATAGTGAAAATGATACAGCATAAAAGTTATGATGAATTATCACAATTGGTTGAAGAGTTTTTCTCATAAGTCTGGGTCGCGACTTGCAACAAATGCGAATCAGCATGAGTTCTTGTTGTCAGGGCCAAAGGCCGACAAAGGAGAGAGTGTTATGCAATGTTAGATTAGTAATCACAACATGTTAAATTTAAATGAGAGAAAATCTCATTGTTCCATTGAGCTTTTTACATGTCTCGCTGATAGATGTTGGATTGAAAACATCTGGAAGGTGAAAACTTCAATTTTGTGTGCGTCATTCGTATTAAAACTCAATTTCGCTCTGTTATGTAAGAAATTTCTTTCATTTAATGAGGAAATATGTTTGATAAATTATTCTATTTATATTCCCTTTCAGCGACATTATACGATAATGTAAGGAACATGGTCCAGTACGAACATATAAAGGCAACAACAACAAAAGGAAATTCAATTCAATGAGAACAACCAGCAACAGTTTGTTCGTGGAACCGTGACGAACATGTGCATTTGCAATTTTAATAACATTTTTTTTATCATGCATTATATGAAACAAGAGATGGCGGAGCTAAAGATTGAATTCAAATAAAACTTGTTCATATAATCAAATAAATGTAATTAGGAAATGTGCGAGAAGTTTATGAAACGGAAATTCAATCGTCATTGAGCCATTAACAACATTTACTACAATTCCAATCGAGTATTCAAATATCTAAACCGATTCGAAGCAGCCTGGCGAGTAAAACGAATTAAATTGAATTAAGTACGATGGCAGTTTGAAATGAAGAATTTTCAACAAATTCAATCAAAGCATTTTGATAATTTGAAGCCATGCAAGTCTTTCTAAATGTTCGATTCTTGATTCCACACAATAATCTAAACTTGTGACGATGTCTTCAAGCATTTTCCATACAAACCAACGATAAGTTATGTAAAGTTTAGACAGAAATATTTTTTAACATCGAGACACTAATTTGTTATTCAATCTAATATAAAATTTTCACTCAATTATTTTTTACTTACAATCTCCATCTGGCTTCATGCAACGAATTGAAATTTAATATCGAATAATAAAAAAAAATTAAGAAATAAATTCACGTAACGATTGATCTCAATAAAACCTACGAATGAAGATTACACAATGTAAAGTAATTGATGTCTTTAGACGCATTTTTAAAAGTATTTCGCATGTTGCTAAATGAAACCCAGACACAAGAGACAAAACAAAACATTTCATGTGAATTTAATCAACAGAAGAAAATGAGTTTTCAATTCATCACGCGAGAAATTTGGGACTGTAGTCAAGCTACTTGTGATATTTATCAATCCAGCCATGAAACAGATCTCTTAACAGGTGGAAAATTATGCCGGAAACGATAATTTAAAAGATAATTTCACACACAACATCATGAAAGTTAGATTGATACTTGTCGCATGTAGAATAACAAAAAAATGTAGCAAATAACTGACAACGATCCGGAAACTATCGGAAATCTCCAACTTTAAATTTTAATTGGACATGTTTTTGTTGTTTTCACTCAGCTACTGATTACAACGATTTTGCAATCTAAAAAAATTGAAACTATCTAGTTATAATTTTTCCTTATTTTAATCAAATTTGTTGTCGAGCTTTTCGTGTTTCCAAGCTTTTTTATTTGTGTCGTATTTTCTAGAAAAATATTTTATAAACATGCGCCGAAAATTACGACACTTTCAAGGTGATTACAGCAGATATATAAAAATAATCAACAGCGACAGAACAATAACATTCGATCAAAATGAAAAATCTAGAAAATAATTGCTTCACGTTCTGCGAAAATTCGTGGAAGTCAATTTGTTTGTTATTTTTTTATTTACATTACACGAATGTAGAACCTGACTTCACGCATAAGACAAATAATTAAATTGAAATGAAATAAAATTACAAAATTGAAGAACAGAAGCGACAGAATTGAAGTCACGCTGAATGGAAGAATTTGTACAAAATTTAATTGAGTTTTACTCGACATTCGGTTGATGATTAATACTCATGATGTAAATGCTTCAATTTCTGATTAAAAATTCTTTTAATTCAGTTTTCTACGGAATTTTATCATCGTTTTTTTTATGGATACCACACCCTCGCATCGCATAGCATTCCGTTACAAAAGAATCGTCGATAACTCTGAATGAATAAGTATGAGTCTCCGATTGTAATGGTTAATCAGACAAATGGAACTAAAGTCAGTAGATTATTAACGAGCTGGGTTCGGGCTCGTAGTTGGAAGGTTCATGGCATTGACCTGAGATTTCTTGTTTTCTGTTTATGTTGTGTCATTCAATATTTCATTGATCATTGAAAATTATGACAACATGAATTCATGAATGCTTCTGCTAATCAACGCCTTGTGGCTTACGAGCAAATGCCAATGTGAAGCCATAACGATGCAAAAAGACGATTTGAAATTCTAATTTATTTATTCATACAGAAGAAAAAGAAATTAGCAAGCCAATGCTGTTTAAAAATGTAATTGTGTCTTTGCGGTTTTCAGAAATTAGTGAGTAAGAAAGTTTTGAAAGTGACAAAAGTCATTCACACGTTTTATTTGCTTAAAAAGAAAGTTTCACTGTTTCAAAGGATTTCAAAATAGAAAATATCTACTGGAACTTCTAGTTTTACTTCAAGGGTTGGCTAATGATAATAAATTTTAAATATAACTAAGAAACTGTAAATATTTTGCTTTAAGAATTCAATGAATTAATTGTGTCTTTAAGGTGCAATAAAAAAATTGTTTCAATGGTCAATTATTTCACTCGTCATTAGTTGAACAGGTGTGGAGAATATTAATGATACGATTTCGGTGAGAGCCTCAAAACCACATACATTAGCGACTCACAACTACACCTCAGAGGCGTAAAATATTATGATCATCAAGTCACATTCACGCCGCACATACCGCAACAATTAAATCGCAATTATTATTATTTATACTTTTTTGTTCTCTCACTTCGTAAAGTATTTTTTTTTTGTTTTTTTTGTCATTACTACTTAGTCAAGAGGGAAATGTTTTGTAAAGTAAATAATTTCATCGAAATAATTGCAAGTTATTTTTTGTGATTGGCATTGATATAAGAAACACAAAATTGTGGAAGGTGTTTGGGTTCGATTTTAGGTTCAATTTACAATATTCATAAAATTCAAATCACCAAGAGACCTTCAGACGTTTTCAATTCTTTGCGGCGAAACTTTTTTTAGCTTCCAATTGTAGTTTCTTGCCGCTACTTGTTGAAAATGTTCATGATCTTAATTAATTAATCTTGTTTTATTTGTTTCAAGTCGGCAACATTAAGTAACTTAAACAAATCTCAATTGCTAACTAATCATGGCATTTGAAATTGTTAAAAATGCTGAATCATTAGACATAGAAAAAAAATTAAAGCTTCGATACAATGTTTAAAGCGAATAAGTTTTGCGAATTGTAATAAAGCAATCAACAAACAATTGGTGAATGAGAAGCCCCCGTACGATCTTTTGTAATTTAATCCTTCTCTAAAACGTATCATCGCTGTGAATGACATTGTAATTACATCCATAAGTAATCACTTGGTTAAGCGAGGTTTAGCAAAATAATAATAATAAAAATTGAAGCCATTGCTTTTAATGAAGACCATCGCGTGTCATAAACAGTCTCAAATTGCAATTCCTTTACACAAAACATTAAAATAAGAATCTCGTTATTTAAATTACAGCACGAAGCACATCAAGACAAGAACCACGTCATGTTTCACAACATTTAAAGCCTTGAAATTATAATTAGAAGTATTTTGGTTCGTAATCTGTATCACGAGTCGTCCAAGAAGTTTTGTAATGATCACAACAATTGCGAATTCGTTTTGTAGCATCATAAATCAAGCGGAACAAAAAAGTAATGAAAAATAAAATTGATTTCAATTGAAAACTTCAAAACATTACAATTTGATGATGCAATATAAAAGCACCAGCTTTACTCTCGTAATCTTTCTTCAAGAAAAACCTTTTTTTTTAGTTCATTGAAAAGAAATGCGTTTTTAATGACTTTGTCGTTGATTTCTTTTTCCTCATCTCTTTTGTGAAAGAAACTGTAAACGATTTTCGAAAGGAAACATCCAAAGCCATCGCCCATCAAACTTCAGACTTTTTATCGTTGCCGCTAGCATACAATAAGTGATAACGATCATTGCTTTAAAGCACTGCACGAGCTCGTCAATGCGGCGAACAACATCAAAGACAAAAAAAGAAGAATAAAGAGAGAAATTCAAAAGACTTTCGTTGATTTGCTTTCATTTTCACTTGGTGAGGAACATAATGAAATCAAATTAGCAATTAAATATTGTTATTAAGTCGTCCGATTATTGTTACTGCTGGGTCTTAATGTAGTTCATTGAATGAGCATAAACCCCGACACGTAAGTCATTTGCTTCGACAAATGTGGGAGCGGAAATTTATCAATCACTCTTCTCATAAGCGACGAAGCACGTGTCGTATAATTTTTTGTTTCTAAAAAATCAAATTATTGCCTCTGGTGTTTAGCACAATTTAAAAAGTTTCTTTCACGATTTTACATTGAATTTTCACAAATAAATTTCAATTACAAAGCAGATCGATCAAGCAATTAGAAAGTGTTGAAGATTTAATTATATTTAGAAAGAAAAATATGGGTTTGAAACATTATTGGAATTAGAAAATTATTCATGTGATGGTAAAACTTTAATTTTCTTGATTACAACTTGAACTTTATGTTCAAATAATTTTTTCCTTATTTTGCGTAATATTTCATCTACATGAGTTTTGCATTATCATCAACTGTTCCAATCTGTTCCGCTGCGTGCTTGACAATAATATGTTGCTTTGCAAAATCATCGAAGCTTATAATTCACTGCATTTTACTGTTTTTCCTTCTTCAACTTACAATTCAATTCTCGTAACCAGCGATTTGACTTGACTTGAATGACAGACTTGCATGTTTTTCAAAGACTTGACTTGACTCAAAAATGTATTTTAACTTGACTTATTTTCTTGATTGGACTTGAAAATTTTTCTCGACTTGACTTAATCGATTGAATTAGCTTGAAACAAAACCCAAACGAGTCAAAGCGCTGCTCGTGAGTTCAACGTTAGGTGTTATAAGTTGTAGTAACAAATCACAATGTGGATGGATGTGTTTCTCATAAATTTTAAAAATTATTATTTCAGGTAATAGAAAGAAAATTAATTTTACATTTTCAAATGAATTCAAGCAGAGAAGAGCTTAATTAAAGATGCTTATTATGATCTGTTACTCTAACATGTTACAAATTGTTAACTCACCTGATTTTGTACTGTGATTGTCAACAGATGCCGTTGTAACTCTACGATGTTTGTTTCCAGTAGTATGGCAGCAATTTTCTTTGAATCAGGCACACGAACTTTATTCAATTTACTATTAGGGTTGCTTATCAGCCCGTCGAGTCGACCAAGTTGATTAAGCTCGTCTTTAAGTTGCTTTGAATTATTTGGCGTCGATGATATTGCTGAATCATCGGCATTGGACGCTTTAAGAAGTTTTTGTGGCTTAATTGGAATGGGTTGGAAAGTTGAGTTTGGACGATTTTTGATGATCGATGACGACGTAAGTGTGTCGTTACTTGTGAAGCGACTCTTTGATGTGTCGGGTGAACTGTGAAATAATTTATTGATTATGAATGATTATGTAAAATATTTTACTTCACTTTGACTCACATTAATTGATTACTGGCACAATCTTGAAGGTCGTTCATTCGACTCAGTTCAAGCTTTTGACTCATCGCTAATTTCAGCTGGTCTTCAAGCTCAACTTTTGTCTGTTGCAACTCCTGCAGCTGCTCATGAAGCTTCGATTCTTTGATTCTACTCGCTAGAAACTCAGCTTCCATATCACCCATTTTATCCATCAAATGATCGCGCTCTTTTCGCAGATTTTGCACATCTTCCTTACTCATGAAATTTAACTGACTTTGGAATGATGACGTGCCTGCTTGAGCTGACGTTGCTTGACCATTAACATTACGATTGCTGAACTTTTGATAATTATCAATTTCATCAGCAAGTCGTGATGTTCGTCTATGTATCACATCGAGAAGATTCCACAACTCATTATCGTTACTTGAATCGGAACTTAAGCGGGCAGTTAGTGCACTTGAAATGTTATTGCCCTGTAAAGGAAGGCAATGATTTCTGTAAAGAATTTTTAATGATTGATTATAAATGAGAAAGTTTACTTGAGCTCCCGCTGAACCAGCAGTTGATGAGGCGCTGTGAGCTTCTTTCGAAGAGCTGGTTTCAGTTGAAAAACCTGAATCTTGTATGACACTTCCATTGCCTTCGCCACCACTCTTTGGTTCCTTTTTGCCACTGTGGGAGTTGCTACGACTTCTTATAAGCAAAGATGAAGATTGAATTTCGCCAGTACCACTGGCATTACTGCTTCCATCTTTACTTAAATTGTTATTAAGTTTACGTCTTACACGAATTCCAGGTTCCCATTCTCGTCTAACCAGAATATGAAATTGTGAGTGGAAGAAACTTTTTATTTATTAAATAACTTACCTGGAAACTATCGATGACGATTGAAGACCGGTAATTGTACTGTTTGCGCCCGACGATGCCATTTTATGTTTGAGATCAGGAAAGGTTTCGATAACCAAATCGCGAAATTCCAGTAAAGCTCCGACCTCATTCTGCAGCTCCTGAAGCGATTTGGTTTGATCGGTATGGTGATGAAAGTTGTGATGATGGACAAGATTATTGAGATGATTGTATTGTCCATGGGCTGGTGTTCTGGGGATAATATCCATCCCAGGTTCCAATGTACACAACTCGTTCTAGAAGAAAAAAATAAAAAAATAAATTAAATTAAAACCGAGAACTTCAAATCAATAAATAAACTTAAGTGTTGATTGTTTGCACAATGAAAAAAAATCGATTTCTTTGTACTGTTTATTTATATCTTTCGAGGCCAAAAAAGAGTGGAAAAAGTTCAAGAATAAAATCCCACACACTCAGCTTTCTATTCTATTTCCTTTTACAATTTAAGTAATGACAGTAATTTTATTTTTGTTCTTTTCGGAACAATAACATTGTTGTTGTCTCCATTTACATTTTCTTATTCGTTATGTGCTGACTTATATTAAGAATATTTTCCTATCACATCAGTGAAACGATGCCATGTGTGAGATTTCACGATCTTGTCCACAGCATGGGTTCATTTACATATTATTGTCTTATGTTAAGCCGCATTTGTAATAATCGTCAGCAAGCCATCATCAAGAAGCATTCATTTGAATACGAAACTTGTAAAATTATGAAAACTTATTTCCTAGTCTTTCGCTCTATTTCCCGAAAACATTGAAAAATAATTCAGAGATAATTTGTCAAGAGCACGTTATTGTTGTTTGTCTTCGCTCATCGCTTTTTCGTAGATAAACAAGCAGAACTGTTTTTTATTTTACTTTTTGATATGATTTACAGTTTATTGTGAGGATTGGTAATAATAAGCAATTACTGAATGAGACACACAATCCCGTTTATCGGAAATCCATTTATGTGTGTACATGAGATATTTATTTGTTTCATTCTATATACTTTTGTGATTTATGTTGACTTAACGAGGCTTTCGTTTCATATTTTCTGCACACAAAAAAAGAAGTTGGAAGAATAAACGAGAAATCCTTTAACGTAAATATTTTTCTTACTTGATAAACGATTTTTGTTTTTTGTCTTCTTTTTAAATCACGAAGCAAGAAACTTTGAAAGATTTGCAATTCATAAGTATAAAAGTATAATAAACGGCAAACGACATTGAAACCTGAAAAAGTTTTCACTCGAATTTCATTACACTTAACTGTTGACTTGCTTATCGCATGATTCAGAACAAAAATATTTGACAATGTCTCACATGTAAGTGGTACGAGATGGTACAAAGAATGAATAGTTATTGATTATTTAAAATGTTTGCCTTTGGCATGGAAATTTTCCACATTTTATGGAAAATTACCGTGGTGAATAGGAAAGAATGGCACAAAAATATTAATGCATCGATTTTCGGTGTGCAAGTTTGCGCAATTGAAATTAATTCGAAAAGCTTAAAGTTGCGCAATTTCAAATCGGAATAGCTTAACAACAGAAATATTTATTGATTTCTAAGTAAAATGTATGTATTTAAGTAGTGATGATGTAAAAACATGTAAATGATGACATTTGATGTGGAATCATCAGTTGGATTGAAACTCCTTCGTGTTATTATGCAATTGTTTCTCTTCAGCGCATATCAAGGTTTTCATGTACGTGAAGTAACTTCATTTATGAAATGGAAAACTGTCATTAAACTTTGCATCAACAAACGCCTTTTTTCTTCAACTTATTCGACGTTAAAAGAAACTTCCAAGGCAAGAAGTGATGACTTTTCATGTTCAATCTACTCAATCGCATGACGAAAATTTGAGAAAAATTTTACAGCACAAAAACAGAAATGAAATTAAACATTTTTTTTTGGTTTTATGTTTACGTAAAACTAACATGCATCAAGTAAACAATCGCATTGCTGTGAAATTATGTTTCACTCAATCCACAAAATAAGAACAAGCATTTGAAGTTTTTTAAGAAACCAATCCAGGCCAACTTTCAAATTGAAGAAGTTTAAATGTTTAAAAAAAGGTTCAAATTAAAGTAAAGTTCATTAAATCATTTTTGCGTGTTCTTCAATGCCCACAAAAATTCAACTTTGTTGAGATTCGATGAAGAGGCGGAAAAGAAGTTTTTGATTTCATTTTCAATGCAGCTTTGTTACTTTTTGCTTGGCTTTGGAAGAATTTTCATTGTTCTCGATTTCATTGCTCTTTTTATGAGCACAATTTGCAATTTTTTATATTTTTTTTTTATCTTTCTTCATTCTTCTCGTCACTACTCTTGATTGAAAAGAAATCTTTTTTTTTCTGCTTCTTTTTTTGCTGTTGATGACGCTTTTTAACTTGTATCAGAATTAGAAAGCATAAATAATTGTGTTATGTTGGTAGTGCCCATGCTTAAATTTTTTTTGCCTGCCATCCGAAAAGAAAGAAAAATGTTTCATGGTTGGGAAAATTTTTAGCAACAAGCAGAAGAAAGAAATCATTGAGGCTTTTGTCAATGGGATTGTGTGAAAATAAGCTCCGGATGTATGTTGTTTAAGGTGTTAACAAGTAATTTATTTGCACATGTCATAAATTTCTCGCAAAGCAGATGATTTTTTTTCGTCAAAGAAATTGTTGAGAAAATGATGATAATGAAAGCTTTTAAAGCATCACGTGTAGCCGATTAATGAATGAACTTTTTTTTACTTTTCTTCTTTATAAACTTAACAAACAATTTGGGTTCCGGTGAATCCCCTTCATTGATAAACAAACATCGATATTATGTGCAAGTATGTTCACATCGATTTGTAAAATTTGTTTGTTTGCTGGCGGCACAATGCACATTTTCCTCGTTTGACGAAGCGCAGCATGATAAAAATTTTACATCTTTCCGTTCCATATTCTCCAGCACGAGGAAATTAAATATTTTACATTTACTTATATTAAACAGACATAAAATTAGCCGCGTGAAAATGCTTTTAAGTTTATTTAAATATTTGATTTTTAAATTATTTCTCTTGTTCGTTCAGTTTCCAACGAAAGTCTTGCAACATAAAATATTTTATGTTAAAGGTAAAAGCCAATAAACTATTAAATCATCACTACCAACGACAAAACATGATAATCAAAGCGTAGGACACAAGATTCGATAACACGATAAGAAAGTTTAAAAACTTTTTCCTACCGAATACGATTTTCAAGAAAAACAATCAATCATACATTTAAAAGACTTGAAATCATCATTTTTAACTCTCTCTAACTCAGCTTGCAGTCAGTACTTGTGCTTAAGAAAATAAAATAAAAGATCAAATCGTTTATCTACTTTTTAATGAGGAAACGAGCTTCATATTGATTCCTCGTGATTTATATTAAATGAATTTTAACATTCTCTTAAAGATGATTACGTGAACAAAAGTAATAACTGACACTAAGATTCACATGTGAATGAGAAATTGCCATCACACGCAAAACATCATCAATTTTCCTCTTACTCACTCGCCTCTACATGAACTTATATTAAAAAGCCATTTATGGCGGTTATTTGTTTGCGATGGGCGCTCGTTTATCGCTGCTTAAAACTTGATCATGCAAGGCGGCGGTCTCACGAGAAAGCAAGAGCAGCTTCTCAAATCATCTGAAACTTTACGTACTTTTCTTTTCCTAAACAATTCCAAATAAAGATCACGTTGAAGAGAACCGTGAAATTTGATATTTATTTTACGATAACATAAAAACGAGATAGAGAAGAATATCAATTTGCTAACTTCGAAGATAAATGGAGTGTAATGACAGACTCATCAAGCTTGTACTTGTAAAGAAAGAGTTTTTCATTCCCTTTTTTAACTTTGCCATCAATTGATCATCATGAACACATCATTCGAATGGCTTTTTCGTTGCCTTTCATCTTGACAACATGAAATTTTTGCCGAGGTAAAAATAAGAATAAGAAATTCTTCTGATCGTGCGATTTCGAAGCGAAAAACTTGTGAGAATAATTATTTAACCTAAATTTGAAAGCATAACACTTGACTTCGTTTCAATCACAGTTAAACGCAAGATTAATACGAATTTAATCATCATCGTCGTTTGACAAACGATTTCTTAATTTTCCAGCCGACAAAAATTTTATTTTCGTCTTCAAATTCTTCTTCCTACCAACTGTCGACACAAATAGATTCAGACAAATTAACAAGACATTCGACTAACAAGTATCAACTTTGATATTGAGACGTTGATCAAAAAAAAAGTCGCGACATGAAATCAAGACTTAAAGTGGTTGTTGCAACACGCAAACAGCAGCATAATCAGATAACAATGCGAAGCGATTGAGACAACATTTGTCACGTTGCATGTGTTAAAACGATGTCTTAATATTTAAACATTTGTTTTGATTGCGAAAATAAGTGAAATGCGATTTAAAAGAAATTCATTTCACTGTTTAGACCGTGACCCAGCAAATCGCTAAATCCGCTTATGCTCCGATATTTGAGTGCCATGTGAACCGACAAACAATAATTTATGATTTTTTCTCCCATCCCAGTCAAGAAAATTACTCGTTTTCGCTGACTTTTCCGACAATCCAATTTAAGTACTTACAAAGGTATACAAACTCAAAAGACGCTACACGAGTGAACTTACATATGATGCTCTTGACGTTACATAAATGTCAATTAACACTTTCTATTTCTCACCTTAATTCTTAAAAAGTGCATGTCGCTCGGTTTAGTTTCTTTCACTATCTCTTTCTTCCCATGGCTCTTGTATGTTTGCAAAACACTCGAACGATCGAACTGTTAAACATTTGCATAACCGTTGTTTAAATAAATAATAAATGTCGGAGTGTTTTTGAAAGTTCAAAGTGAAGTTTGTGATAGTAAAGAGGAAATGAAAAGACAGTTGAAATGCAGTAAATTATGCTTCATGTCATGACACTTTATTTTACTTTTATTGCTTATTTAATTGAGAGATTTAAAGTGAAGATAAGAAGTATGGGATAAGCTTAAGTTTTATTGCTGCTAGTTGAAAACAGAATGTGAAGACATTTGAAATCTTTCACTCTCTTTTATTTTTTTGTCTAAAAATCAGTGGAAAGAAATTTTAATGCATTATTTATGAGCGATAAATAATAAATAAAGTTAAACGTCTCTACTCGCATAGGCGTCGTTACTAGCACATAAACATCAAATATTTACTACAAATCAAAGATGTAATAATTTTCATTAAAATAAAACTCCAAACTTCACTTTTCCTTTTCGTTCAGCTAATGAAATAATAAGCATTTTATTTACAAACTTTAATTAAGCAACTGAAGCTGTTGGTGCATCGATGTAACAGTTTTCAAAGGAAAATATGTTCACACGTCGTGAGTCGCCTTAAAGCGAATAATAAACTATAATTTTCTTTTTAATTATTCAACTGAGTTTATTTGTTAATTCAATCTCTATAAATCCCTAATAAACATAAAAAAAAAGTGGAGAAAAATCAACGGATTGACGATTAATTGCAATTTGCATATAAAAGATTGTTTAATGTTGCATGTTTATGTGGCTCAATCTTTTATCATCGAATTTGCATTTTAATTGACAGTTTTAAGTGCAACGACTCAGTCAAATGTCATGAAGAGAAAGGCAATTAAGTCGATTGATATAAACTTAAAGTAAATATTCTAATTAAAAAATTACTTAAGTACATGAGACTAGTTTTCGCATAAAACTTTAAGCACATAGTGTTGAAACATGTTTAGCAGGTAGAAACTTTAAACACTGCACCAGAATGACGAGAATTTCAATCGCGATTACTTGGAAAACTGTTCTTTTATATACTTTTTAATTAAAACGTCTGTGTGCATCTCAATGTGAACGATTGTCGTGCTAATGGCATAGAATGCCACTTGAAGCACACATGAAAAGATTTCATAACAAATAAAAGTTTTGCTGCGAAAGTTTTCTTTTTCTTTTCCTCTACGAGTATATTTGCACGTATTTGATCTCGATTTCACTGGATGTCTGCTTTTGTGCGAAATTATTCCACATTATGCTTTTCTTTTTAACATAATGTCAACGAGATATTAAAACTCCAGACAGACATGCATCGCTTTGTTTCATTGATTTTAAGTGTGTGTTTGTTTGCTTTGTGGAAGCGATGTAATAAATCACGAATTATAAATCTGACAGAAAATTACTGATTAGAAAGAAATGTTCGAAAAACGGCGGGTATTGCAGACAATAATAAGCTTCCACTGCTACAAGCGAGACAATGAGTCGGCAACAAAAGTTATATGGGAAGCCACTTTTGATTGATTCACGCAATCTTTTGTTATAAATTTTTATTAATTTCAATGCCTTAGACAGCAAAACAATTGCGTAAAGAAATCGAGAAAGAAAATTACACGTAGGTAATTTTATTCTCTTTAAGGGTGATCGTTAAAATTATTATTTCCTGTATCGACTTTCAGTTTGGGGTCATAATATTAAGATCCAGTGGCAAGATGAAAAAAAAACTACTTAAACTAGCAATTGTAAGACTTCAAATTGAATTCATTCAAACATACAATAGAAATTGAGTTTAATAGTGAAGAAAATGAGTGTAGGGCGATGGTTATTCTGATTTCTATTGACAGAGCTTTATTTTTAAGATCATTTTGATTTATGTTATCAATGTTTCTTTTAGAAAACATATCTTTATGCATTAATGATCCCTAATGGCACTATCGATGTTAAAGGAGTGTTTTACGATTGATAATAACGATTCTTTATAACTTCAAGTCATAAAGTACAATTTGTCTGTTGTTTTATGTTCATTACCTTCTTGAATCTCAAATCGTGTCGCTAAGTTTGGATTGGATAAAGCGAGGTAAAACCTCACAAAGAACAAACTACATATCGAATATCAGTGCAATAAAAAAATATTTAAAGGAGAAATTCACAGCAATTTTCCACTTCAACCCGCGAGTTTTGTTTTTTCTTTTTGTCTAATGGATCAATCTTTGATACTTTTACTGGTAGCATATAAAATGTCTTAAGGTAATTTACTTTTATGGCTGTTTAAATGTAATCTTAAATGCATTTTAACAACTGAATAGGAGAAAAGTTTAATTAATTTATTTTCCAAATGTACTTTTTCTTTCACAACATTCTGATACTTAATGTTGATGTTGCTACTTAAATGAAAAGAAAATTATGTGTAGAAATGAAATACTTAATAAACTCTAAAGAGAATGTTAACAGAAAGCTATTAGCTACTAGATGCAAGCAATTTTGTATATGCAAACATGAATCGTGCAGCATCCGTAAGTGATTTGACGTCTCACATCAATTGTTTGAGTGCTTCATGAAAAATAACGCAACTCAAGTACATTAAATGGAAACCAAGAAATGATCTTTTCTCATTGAATGATCGTCAATTTATTCCCATCTGTTTTCATTTATTAAGTTTATATTTAGCTCACTTTATAAGCCCTCAAAGATCACACGTGATTTGAGATATGAATCAATATTTCATTAAATGAATGCTTTGTTACTGGCATCATCAAAAACCTGAGTGAGCGGAAGCGGTAATGTCAACAGACAGGTAAAATATTATTTTAATAAACTATGTAATGATTGTAATCAACTATCCAATCATTGACATTCCGATGACATTCTTAACGATTTGTTCTATTGACACAATTTCATTTCAAAGCAATTATAATTTTAACAACTGAACCGAAAGAACTTGAAATCGTAGGTGGATGCTTTGTTCGATTCTTCGATAATGTTTACTAAACTTTTCAACTTTTTTTTATTCATCTATGAGTAACATGTCATGCCATTCCCTTCACTAGACAGAGAATTAACCGAAGGCGGGTGATGTGAAGTGACAGATAAAAAACAAATAGACAATGCTGCACGAGATTGGTGTCGGTTTTAAATTCTCACAGTCAATGATCAACAGATAATTATCATCATCATCAGTCAGTCAATATTTAAACATAAAAGAACATTAAGCAGTGAGAAGAATTATCGAAAAAGATTGCAATCAATGAGAAAACGAGATTAAAATGATTCGTAACCGTTCAAAAATGCTTGAAGGTCGCGAGAATGAAGTAAAAAAGAAGCGAAATAAAACAATTTCGTGGAGGAGAATAAAGCGAGTAAACAAGCATATAAAATAATACCAAGCACCATCAGAAGGGTTGGGCGCCGACACTGGAATTATCTTTCAGGTAATTTTTTACCAAAAAATTTTTTTGTTTTGCAGCAAACAACACGAAGAATGAAATACAATGGAAACAAGTCTCGCTCTAAGCATTTGGGTGTTTGGTCTTGCGGAACCACGAAGCACATAAAATATATTTCCATCATTTGCGCAAGCAACTGAGCACACAGACACAGATGCATCAACTGAAATCTATAGCATGTGCTTGCTTTATAATTATAAATTTAAAAGTTTCCATAATGTGCAGAATAAAAATGCTAAGGTGAACTCACTCGAGTTTCAGTTACCTGAATAAACAAACGAATGAACGAGTGTAAAGTCATGCAAAGAAAAAGGGGTTGTTGACTCGAATGTGAGAATTGCTATACACAACAACTTGTTTTCCATTACTTTTGGATAATTCAACTTCAACTTTGTCACCCTTTCAATTATTTAGCCTTCGACATTTTCCAAGATTTTTAATTTATTCAGAGTCCTTTCACGAGCAGATGGATTTACAATTTCTTAATGTAATTAGCGAATTTGTCCACAGCAATCAATTAATCAATTTAACTACTGCTGCCAATTTTCCACCTTGTTTTTACCTCGACAGTTTCATTCGAGTTCTTCCTATCCACACATATTTATGTGCTTTGTAAATATGCAAACACACCTCAAATCCCATAATGCTTTAGGTCATGAAAAAACCTTCTCTGATGACGACTGCTTAGTCGATTTTTGTTCGCATGCTACTCTCTAAGCATTAACATAAGCGACAAGTAATTAAACAAATGTCGTGTTTCTAATATATAAAATTTTTTTCTCAGGGCGTTTAATGAGAGCGATGAAAGAAAACTTGATTTCTTTCATCTTAAGAAAACATCTTGCACGACCGACATGTTTATTAGCAATGAAGTTATGTTAATTTTCATGGACACTGACTGTTTGATCGGAAAATCTTTAAGTTTCTCAAACTTGAAACCATGCGGCTTCATTAAGTTAAAGTCAATGAATGTTTGCATCGCTGAAAGGTTTGCACTTCATTGCTTTCTCATTTGAATCTATCTACAATTACTATCAATGCTAAAAATATCTTTAACATACGCACATTAGAAAATAACAAGAAACAAAGTTTTAAAGGCAATGACCTGCAGATGTACATTGTAAGTTACTATAATAATAATAATTTGAATCGCTTCTAGGAAGAGACATTAATTTCATTCTTAAATATGGTGAAAGAAGCTTTTGCTTAAGGCAAATTTAAAATATTAATCACCTCGAAACGCGACACAACAATTACTCAACTAACTATAGGCACAGTTAATTTAACAACCCTACGCAATTTTTTTCTTTATCTTTCTTTTTTTTTTCGTTGAATAGACTTAACTTGCATCCACGCAAGTTTCACTTGAGAGACAAATTAAATCCCATCTTTGCGTTGTAAAATCTTCGGGCTTATTGCGATATCCGTTGTCTTGTCTCTGCTTGTCTATTTACAATTCAATATGGGAAAATCTACATTACAGTTTCATTGCTTATTAAACAAAGAAGTGTCTGAACGTATGTATGAACCTAACTGTTGTTTCTGAAGTGTGATTTATAAAATATCAGGGACATGTTTAACAGATTTTTTCGCAACAAAACAATTGAGAATGGGCTTGTCGAAAATAAAATCAATCAATGATATTCATTGAAAATAAAAGAAAGTTCAACATGAAGGAGATCTCTTTAGCATTGTGATTTCTGTTATGTTATGACACCTGCTTTACTTTTCTTGACAATGAGCTACTTGAGGCAATGACAAGATTAACAAAAAAGTATTTTGCGTGATTTTTTCTTTCATCTTAATTTGTATTTCGTGAAAACCTTAAAGCCACAAAGATTTGCTTTCACTTCTACTTTGTTGAATTGAGGTGGATTATAAAATAATTAAAAAAGAAACAAATGATTATTGAACCGATACATTTGATATTCTTGTCATTAATGTAATTATTTCCTAGCATGTGCAGCACAGATATCTGTTGAACTTAAAAGTAAATTCTGCAAACTGGTTGAGTTAAATCTGCACGTCCTTCCATTTGCGGCAAATTTTTTCTTAAAGAAAATGTCTGTAAAATTATCTTGTTAAAGCTATTTTTTTCTTAATCGATTGCTTCGATTGTTTCTCCTTTTTCTAGCAACAAGAAGATTAAGATTGTTATGGAATTATTTAACTTTATAAAATGTATCATTTGAAGCATATAAACTCAATGATCGTGTTTTACTTAAGAAGCGTATACAATTACGTCGTATCTCGATCAATATAAATTTGTCTTTTCAATTTTTAATCATTAAATCGATAAATCGTAGGCGTAATTTTTTCATAGCGGAATTTCAGTAATTAAGCCTTTCAAAGGCTGATTTAACGACCGATAAATTGATTAAAATCCTTTTAATTTTTATGTCATGAAGTTTCGAGAGATGATGATTTGCGCAATCATTCAATTTGACTAAAACCTTTAAAAAGACTTGCGATGTTACTCAAGAATAATTTATGATTTTAAGAAATTTTCTCTCCGTCTTAAAACCGTCTTTAACTCAATTTAAAAACGAATATATCGCGATCATCTGCCTACGCAGCATGAGAAACATGCACTGCGTCAATATAATAAAAATTGATAGACAGAAATTATCTTTCGAATACGAAAAAAAGAGGCACGAGAAGAGTCACGAGATTAAAAGAATAAAATAAATTTTGAATTAATGTGAGGTCGTCATCAAAGCCAGTGTTAATGATCTCGGTCGGATGTTTGGTGTTGTGAAGTAAAAAGCATTTAATCTCATTTCTTTATATTCTCATTCGGTTATTTATTGCACACCGCAACCACGTGTCTGAGCCAAATGTTTTGATTTATCCATTCAGAACTTAGAATTGATATCAAAACTGCCTACTTAAGAAGAGAAATTTCATTTTTTTCAGTTCATATATCGTCACGTTATTCCAATTCTTTTCCGCTTCAACATGCATCGCAGCAATTAAATTACTAATAAAAAAAATTAAATTATTATTCCGAACAGAATGTTTTGAAATTTTCTAAGCGGAAGTTGAAATAAAACGAGCTTGCAGGAACAATTCAGGTGATTAGTAAACAACTTTTATAACTCACATTAAATTCTAATAACCGACAAGCATTTTAAACAACAATGGAAAAGCAATTCGCTCAATAGCTCATTCATCCAACACATTTTCTCAAACCATGAGTCGACATTAAAAATTACCGATTTAATTATAAGAATTTTTCATAAATTTTAAGATTCGTGTTCGAGCCATAAAAATTTTGTTTCTTTTATTTCATCGTGAGGAAATCAAGTCAACATGTTGTGTTGGATACTGAAATACGATCTACATGATGAGCATTTGTAATTTACACGATGCTTGATTGAAAGTTTCAGTTAGATTTTTGAGTTTAACAACTCATTAATTACCCAATTAAGTATTGAAACAAATTGAATATTTATTAAGAGATTTTATTGTTTTTATATGAACGTTACCAAGTCACGACTATTTTAAAGGTTTCCGTAGTAGATTTGATAAATCATTTGCGGCATCATCAATTAGACATTCAAATTAGCTAATCATGTGTCGGCCAATACGTCCGCTAGACACTAATCAAGATCTTGCATAAGACTCTTCAAATGAAATTACCAGCTATTGAGCCCAGAGATGTTGAGACTAAATTGCTTTTTCAACGCTACTTCAAAGGTCAATGATGTCTGCGAGATGGATGCAAGATCGTTTTGCGTTATGTTTGCGTGGGCGGACATTAAAAAGGAATCATCCGCCATCATTATGACAGTCAAATGAATTTTATTTAAATATTTTTTTATTATGTAATTGATCGTGATCTTTCCAATCCATCAATCTTCATCTTATTCTTTCATCTTCCCGTCATTCTTTTCAACAGTAACGACAAGATTAGCGTGTGGCTGGTACCTTGATTTCTACCCGCAGCTCCTTCATGTCAAAGTGTTGATTCTCAGCTTATTAAAAGAACCTTCACTTCAACAAACTTCAACTAATTGTTTTTAAATATTCACTTCAAAAATTCTGCTCGATTTCTCAAGTTTTGTTGGGACGCAAATTAAATTTTTTCTTCGTTTTTAATTTTCGCGTGGCAAATAGAGGTCTGTTAACTAAAATATTCAAATTGGTGTCAATCCAAAATAATCTTCTCGTGTGCCGATTCATGTTCTTCTTTGTCTTTCATTCTCAACTAAATTTTTTAGGTCACCATCTTCAAAGTGCGATAAAATATTTTGACAGGTTTTAAATGTTTTGCATTTGCCCTAAAGTCGAATTGTGTGTGGTTCGATTTCAAGATCAAGATCAAATGATTCGAAATATGTTATTTGAAAGAAAACATCAGCTACTAAGTGATTGTCCTTCACACGTATTCGTCTTTTCGAAGTTGTTTTATCTTTCGCTCGAGAGCGTTCATTAACTTGAAGTCGAATTTCATCCATCATCTTGTTTATAGTACAACATTGATAAAGAATTCTTGAAATGGTCTTTTTGCAAGCTGCCACAACTGCCTTCCATACACGGGTTGAGAAGAAATAAGTAGAAGAAACATGAAAATTGATTGAAACAGACGAAGGTCAGAAATACCAAAGCGAATTGATTTCTCTATAAGTAACACGTTTCTTTAACTTCTTTATCAAGCAAGTGAATGGTTATTGAGGTTTTGTGACTATCGTATCGGATATTCACTTAACGCAATTAAAACTCTTTTCATCGATGATGCAATGGCATGATGAAATATCTTCGAAATATATCCAAGTGGTGATTGAGGAAATATCTATTTGGTCTTCGCATCAAGTCATTAAAGTTGAAAAATTATTTTCGTTGTCACAATTTGACAACGACGCCATCAGGTGACTTAAACACTCATTCATACATATCTCTCACTAATTAGTTAAATATTTCATATTCTCGTTGATGCTTTCATGACTCAATCGTCAGTCACATTGTGTGATTTTATCTTGTCTTCTGAAACCAATTTCAATTCGCTTTGCTCTCCATTTTTTCTTCACTGTTTTTATGTTTCGATCAAATCATAAAGAGAGTGAGAAAGAGAGAAGAAAAAAAAGTTTGAAACTATTAGAAAATCGAATTTTTCACCAAACAACAAATGAAAAAAAAAATTAATTACATGGTGAATTTTAAGTTTTCTTTTTACGGTGGCTCCGACCGAAGCATTCAAACAATTTTCTCTTTTTTTCATTTTCATTTAGCGGGTGAGCTTTAAACGTGTAGAAAACAATTGAATGATGGCAATTCTGTTTTCGTATTCCAGCCCAGCACATGTTATAAAGTGACCACCGAAGCTATTTGTGTGAGTAAACTTTTAATTGCTTCACATCGTCATGTGCCACTAATGCTATGAACTATAATTCACTACATGCTTCGTTGCTCCATATTGCGTTTGTTTTTATTTTTCATCATCACACACTAAATAATCTTACTGTGGTGATGTTTGTTTTTCATTTGACCCCGAGGGAGATTTTCAAGATATATCAACATGACTGAAGCATTGACATTGTATTTAGATATCTATGATTGTAAGAAAAACAAGATTTAAATTTCTTTTTCATTTTGAATCTTATTTTGAGTACATTCACTTAAAGAGATTAATTTAATCCCATTCGGAATTTTCATCTTTTTGGTATGAAAGTGGAGCGTAAGCATCTTAATTTATGAACATAATCCATTCGAATTGTATGTTGTGCTGATGCTAATTGATATCATTTGATTGTGTGCCTTATGATTACATAGAATAGGGGACAGCGAAGAATTGTGTGGCTGGTTTGATCAAAGAATCTTCTTTTTTCCCTCTGCTCTTATTTTTTTCTCCTTGTTTATTTTATCATGTGTTCGAGCATTTGACTGTCTCGTCATAAACAGACGTTTAATTAAACTCAATTGGGAGAAGAGAAGGCATTAAAATATAACTTTGAAAACTTTATTTGATCGTCGTGTAGCAAGAAAAAAAAAATTTATTTTCCACAAGGAAATTTATGAATCATGAAAAGCTTTCTTCTGAAATTTCTATTAGCAAGAAGTTTGAATATGAATGAATCTCGATCAAAAATATGACACATACACTCACAAACACGCACAGATTCGGTGATTATCATCACAGACAAGTTTCGTTCTCTTTTTATTTTAGTAGACATCATAAAAATCATATACGTGACTTTATTTGCAACTTTATCTGCTCAATTTTTAAGACTTTGTGTTTACTCCATTCAACACAATCTTTATTGGTGTGATGATGACAGAAATTTGTATTTCGGAAGAGAAAAGAATTGTGTCTTGACAAAATAAAAAATCCAAACAAACCATAAAAAATTATTATTCGCTGTTTAAACTTTCAGTCTACAAGTTCCGCAACTTTACTGTTATTTTTCTTTTTCTTAGCCTTCGATGAGATCCGATCGTTGATCGTCTACGTTAATAAAGTTTTCTTCTCATCATTTGATATCGCTTGAGTGCCCATAAAAACATCTTTTCGATCATCATCAGTAGTTTTAATTTCGGATTTTCTCCTTCAACTTTTTTTTTTCTTTTATCATTGGCAACGCGATTATTTAAAATTAGAAATTTGGCACAATGTGGAAGACGCCACATTTAAAATTTTATTTTCTGCTGTAAGAGATAACGCGACATATGAAAGAGTTTTTATTTCTTCTCTTTTCATCATTGAGCTAAATATCTTTTATTTTTTTCTTATCGCAAAGGGAGGAGTTGTCTTGCCGTAAATCATCACGTTTCACTACTTTTGGATGTTTTCCTTCTTATTATTATGTTTTAAGAAACCAGCTGAGCTTTGAATTGCACTTTTAAGTATTTATGAAGACCTCATTTCATTAAAGTGAAGAAAAAGCGGACTTTCATTACACAGTGATAATCTCCTTTACATTATGCAAACAAAACTCAACAAGAAAATGATAGAAATAAGCAAAATAAAAAAAGTTAAAACGTCGTTTTCAATTACCATTCATTCATTCAGCGATAAAAGATTCTGTTTCTCTCTTCTCGCGTCTCTAAGCTGCGTTATTGACTGCAATTAACAAATAATCCATTGTTTTATGACTTTCTTTCACATGCAGGAAACACTTTTCGCTTTTCTTTTTTTAAATGCTAACCTCAAGATTGTCTTAAACATCTGCTTCAAAAAAAATGCTAAATTGAGGCAATGAAACTTCTCAGATCTTTTTTTTTTCGATCACTTTAACAAAAACTTTACATTTTCATTTCACTAATAATTTCTTAAGAAAAATTATTTCTTAGCCTGATTTTTTCGCTTGTTGATTTTCATTTCACTTTTTAATATCTAATTGCGTTGAGTGTAGAAAGAAGTTATTTCTTCAACTTAGTTTAGTTACATATAAAGTTATTTCTTCAATTTTTAATCCTTCAAAAATATTAAAAAGTTCGACATTTTTTGTTATATTCCTAACGTAACTTTTTCCTCTCACAATTATGAAATTGACGATCAAGAACCGTGTAATTTAACGTTGCACAATTATCGATACATCAACTTTTTTCTTTCTAAGTATCTACTTGAATCTGTTCACTTCATCAAATAATCTTTGCGAAATTTATCTTTTTCTCTTTTTTTCTGGTTTATTATGGGCTGACGATTCAAAACTGTTCACTTCAAGTTAAATTATGAAAAAAGCTCATTATTGTTAATGAAATTGAGGAAATCACTGAATTAAATATTATTTTTTAACAAACAAACTAAACAAGAAGTCCAATGCTTCATAGAAAAGCAAAAAATTATTTTTTTCCCTAACGACACCGCGTGATTCATTTGTCTTTCCGTTTTCAATACCACGAACCGACTGATTTCAAAGTTAAAAAAATTTGAGCGATTCTTCTTGACGTTGAGCGAACGAACAAGCAACAGCAATCGGTTGGAAACAATCGTCAGTCGCATAGAAAATTTTATAAGTGAATCGGTTTTAATGATCACTTGATGGTGTTAGTGAAGATCGCAACATGTTTCAATGTTTCATGTTTTTCTGTGATCCAGATCTTTTCTTTCTCAATGAAAATGCAATGTTCAGTAGAATGCAATTAAAATTTGAAAAGTCTGAATGTATTTCATTAAAAACACAAACACACACTACAGTTCAATAACTGAATTTCATTCTTGTCATAATCACGGGAGCATGAAAATGCAATGACGTTCTTCGCTTTTTTCATTTCTTTCTTCTATCACTTTTTATCATTCACTTCAAACGAGAGAAGATGCTTGTCTGGCTGTAGAAGTTTAATCGTCATAATGATGTTTTCTTCTTTCTCTAAAATATTAGTTTATGCGTCTTCGGAGTGGTTTTTCATTCATTTCTGTTAATCGTGCCGTTGATCTTTTTTTCCCTTCTTTTAAATGCTACGATTCTGGAAATTATTTACATTTCTTCTCTTTTTGTTGTGTGTTTTATGTTACATATCGCTTAACAATCTGAATTTTTATAAATTAACATTCTTTTTTTCTCCATTTCTTTCATTTGAAAATGATTTGTGCTATTCATACTCACTACAAGTCTACACTTATTGCTTTAACGGGTACCGAGCAAGTGAATATTAGAAGAGCGAAGAGAACACAAAGCAGAACATTTATTCATTCAGTCAACTCTTATAACCGGAAAGATAACAGAATTGGTGGAAGCGCGACGAAAATATTCCACCAAGAAATTTATAATCCACTGTACAGACCATGCGTGAAACGAAATAATTTGCAAATGTACATCTTACTTCTTACTTCTTTCACTTATATCACGTTGGTAAATGAAGAAACTGAAGCCAATCGAATCAAAACTGCATTCCAATCAGCTTCTCACCGGCACTACTCGTTGCCCACACATTAACCATTGACTTAGTTGTTGCAATGAGACGATAAGTTGTTACAGCGAATGATGATAATCGGTGATTAAAACTCCTCCATGCAACAAATGAAAATGAAACACTAAACAACGTCATTACAATGCAATTATGTGAAATTAAACTATGTTCAATTACATCAGCATGAGTTATAAGTTGGTCAATCGACAAACGATTGTCTTTTTTTTTAAAACAAATTTAAACCTTGACTAAAACTAATCCACATTAGATTCAAGACATAATCTCTTTAAAGTTTGTTAAGAGATATGTAACATGTTTCTCTTGTTCACAAATCGTATTACCGATAGTGACTAGATTAATGACATTACATTTACTTTCATACTCACTAATACAATATGAAAGAATGTTTGATGAAATAACAGGTGACTATGGCAACATCAATAATTTCTGTATTCATATTTGTTCATAATCATAAAGCTATGCTAACGCATAATGCAGAAAAATTCAAGACATGAAGGAAAAGAAATAAGTAAGTAGAAAGGAAAACACCGAAATAGCAGAGTAAAAGCGAGCTAGCAACCACAGTGATTAATGAATGATGATTACAAATAGCGATGAAAGAAGAATCCGAGCGGTACTTTCGATGTATGATACAGGCGCGTCGAAGCAAGTCTTCAAAAACTACAGTTTTACGTCGTAAACAAAATTCTAACAGTCCAACTGCAACATTGCGCCGGATTTTTCCTCTAAACATTCATTCCACAAATATTTATCTCAGTTATTTTTCATTTATTGTTAGACTGATCGACTGTGTTACCGTTATCAGTTCATATTTCTTTCATTTCATCTTCATAATTAAGTTTCAATGTTCAATTTCTTTCTTTTCATTCCAAAACATTGTTTTAATCTAATTTATTTTATTCGCATGAGTTTAATAAATTCTTTGCGTTTGCTACTTCATAATGACTGGAAAGTGAAGAAAAGAAGAAATTCATTCCGGAACCGTTGAATGTAGACATGAAAAGCAGACGTGTTAATAGAGAAAAAGTTGCTTTCGTCTTCTTCTGGAATATTAAATTTGAACTTTGACAAGAGAATCTTGAAACTTTAACTTATTGAACGATCGTTTGACCGAACTTTATGCACTTTTATCTTGTTATTTTATATTCCAAAATGATTTAAAATCAGCGATTTTTACTGATGTAATAAAAATTGTAATTGCTTTAGAGATGCAGCAACATGTTGTTACACAACACGATACTCCAATTGTTAATTTAAATTATTTGAGTCGATTAAGGGGAGTGCATGGCTGTTATAAACAGATTTGAGAGAATACATAAATCTTGATATAATTTATTAAGCTTGTAACCCAAAGAGAAACAACTAACTGAAAGCAATTAATTATTGTGCAAAAGTTTCATTAATTTCTATCGCATTTAATGAATTCTTATTTTCCTATTCAAGACTTTTAAATGCATTATGATTAAGCAATCATCTGATTCAACATCACAATTCATTTTGTGTCATTCTATTTCAGTATTAAATCTGTCATTGAGTAACAAATTACAAGCAAAGCTGCTGCAATTGTCCAGAAGCTATCGACAAAATGAAATGGCAAACAATTGTCGCTGACGCGTCGTGCAACAAAATAAAGAAAAAGAAAACTTCTTGGAATAATTGATGATGCAAATTGAAAATGCTACTCGTAACAAAACGCGATCTAACTTTGCCACTTTTCAAACAATGAAGTCTTTTTTATTATTAAAACAATACAACGCGATTGATCTGAGTCTTCACCAAGCTCGAGTTTACGTTAAGGAAATAAGTACTCGAGGAAGCGAGTTATCAATGTGAAGAAGGCAAGAAAAAACTTGAATAAATAGAATGAACTTAATCAAGATTAAAACAGTTGACAAAATACATTCAGCACTCTCTCATTAAGCCTCGTATCAATCATTTTAATGAAGAAGATAAATTATTCATCTCTTTTAAAGAAAACTTAGTTACAGTAAACTTCATTTCTGTTTTATTTTTTCGCAATATCTTAAAAAATACTTGAAAATACGGAACAAGGAAAAATTAAATGAAATTTGGATCAATGCCTTCTTTCTGTCTTTTCCGATCAAACACTTCATCAAAAACGCTTGAAAAACATGAAATTAATTCAATTCCAATTGATTTTCAAACTATTTTATATCTACAAGTGTTGTTCTTTTCTTTCATATTCAGTCAAATGAACTATTTGTGTCATTGGTTGCGATCCATTAAGTTTTAAGTTTACAAACTCAATTTTTTCGTTACAATCGCAATTCTGCTGTTCTCAGACACTAATTCACTTAACAAGAGTTTATTTATCATCATCATCATGAATTACAAGTAAAGGAATTTTACAAAACATCGCTTGCATGACAGCAAAACAGAAATTATTGAAATGTAGCAAAATTATGTATAAAAATATTCAAACGTCATGACGCTTTGTGCCAGCCTCTGATTTGTCGTAAGAGGTCTTCCATTCACTGGAACAATATCGTGGTAGACCTTGCCTAATAAACACTTTATCAACATTTTATTTCTTTTTCTGGGTTGTTAAGAAAGTACACAAAACAAATAAACATTTATTGTTGTTGTCATGATATTCGTGTATCCGTGACAAATATCAAAATTGCAAACAAAAACGTGTTTAATGTGAAAGTTTCATTCATTTTTCTTTGTTTTTATTCGCGGTGGCAAGCGTGAAACGCTTTAATTTGTTCATCATTAAGGAGTGTCTTAGTTCTGCTCCTAAATTTTCATAAATATTAGGAAAATAAACAAAGAACATCTTTCGACGACATCAATACTTAAATTAATTGACACAGAATGAGAATGTTCTTGACTTCTTTACTTTAACATCGTAAAACAAATTTAAATTTTATTTTCAAGACCATGGCGCGACTGGTACGAACAGAAAACAATAAAATGACATGAAAATAAAAAAAACTTCCAACTTAAACAAACAAAACTAATCTACATCAATCGTGAGGAAAGAATTTTCGTTTGTTTAAGAATCTTTGCCTTCTGTGTCGTTATCTTCACATTTTTATTTCTCACTAAACTACTGAACTGAAATCTTATGTAAGTTTGTTTAACTACATAAATACGTTTGACTGAAGGGAATCCATTAAGCGATAATTGCTGCCAATTATTTGCCTATCGATTATATGACGTCTAAAACTCATCTTTAACTTTACTTTACGTAATTGAGATTTTTTAATATCACTTGGCTGGCTCTTCGTCGTTGCCCAATCGTCATTAATTTTGCAAAAAGATTTTTTTATTGTAAAGATTGTATTCGTTTTCAGCACTTCAAATATTTAATATTTATTCGAGTTTCGTTTTTCTTCTTCCTATGTTGTGGGCTTCTTCTCATGGTACTTCTTGATATTCGAAAAAAAAACTTCCTTCATACCCATCTCGAAGCATTTCATTTTTCATTTTGCTATTTCATTCAATGTTGTCTTAACGAGGGTTGCAGATTAAAATTTACATTTTATTAAAAGTTTTGTTTCACCCATGCAGTCATTGATGACAACAAGGATGAAATATTTTCAAAAGCTGTTTTTTTATTTTCCAACTTGAAGTTTGAAATTGAAATTAAATTTTGGGCTCAATTCACTCTTGGCTGTCGTGATTTATATAACAACTTTCAATGTCTCGAGATGTTAAAACGTGTATCAAAACCAACAGTATTTTTTTTCATGTGACACAGAACCAAAGAAAATCTGAATATTGTTTAACATTACCACAGGAAAAAAGAAACCAAAAAGAGAAAAAAATTATGCAATCAGTTGAAGTGAGAAAATCACAATTGGATTCGAAAGCCTATTTATAGCCACATCTAGAGTTTCTTTTAAGCTCTTAATGAATAGATTTGCACATTAGACAATTCTCAGTAGTTTTTTTATGATCACAAAATGCATCAATTCGTGAATCGTAAATCAAAGAGAAATTTTTCAATTGCAATAAAATTGAAGCTGTAAAGCAATTTTTTGCTGCTCATTTTAAAAATCGATTTGACAAGGAAAGCCTTTCTTAAGCATTTAACCTTTTCAACTTAACACCCGGAGATGATTTTAAAACCGTTCTTCATAATCATAAGTAGAGAAGCCTGACTCATGATGTTTACATTTGACCGTATTTGGAATCAAATTTAAAAAAAAAACCTCACAAATTTAGTGCTAAATATAAGTATTGATAAGAAATAATGGAGAGCAAGACCTTCGTTGATAGCAAAACAAGCAAACGATTGGGATAAGTAAACAAAAAAAGATTACAATTCTGTGTTTCCACTTTGTACGATAAACAATTTCTAGTGAATCGATTTTGATAATAAACTGCTACGAAAGCAGGAAAATCAAATAATTTTTTACGGGTTCGGTCGATAGCATCAAGAAGATAAGAAAAGAAAAATTAGAACAGAAGTGAATAGCTTCGGAAGACTATAAGAAGAAATGACATGACGATGTCAGATTTAATCAATGATTATTAGTAGCAGATATTTATTCTACGGACGGACTGTCAATGGTATAAGATATCAAAACAATAACAATAACGTCAACGTCAGTCTCCAAAAATCAAATTCCTCATTTCCAAAAAAGTGATGGATGGGAATAAAAGTTCTGAGCTTAATTAAAAAATGTTAATCACTTTGATAAATTAATGACAACTAATTGTTTTGTTATATTTTCACGATCTGTAACATGTGAAACAAAGGAAGTTTTATAGTGGAATAAAATAAAATTTGATTTAGTGTTTTATTCCCTGACCTTAATCTACAGGAAGATGATTCAGAACATGGATGAGATCATTTACCACATTTTTGACGTCATATCTAATGAAATTCTTGTTACATAATGTTTAAAAAGAAATAAAAAAGATCTCACGGAAAAATAGATTATTTGCGGCTTCCAGAAGCCATTCTTTCAACTTTTAATGAATGCTTGGATGGAATGACATTGAAATAAAGCAAAATCATATATCCATAACGTCATCAAAATGTTCTCGCGTTTTTTTCTACTTTTTAAACAATCACCGTGTCTCGCAGCACAAAAAGATTCTCATGGGTTAATAAACCTGAAAGATGTTGCCATTATTTCCTTTCTTAATTCGACGGCTTTTTTCTTCTGTTCATTTGTTTTGTTTTCGCGAGAATAGAAAGAGCATCGTCTCAGTCTTTTTAAAGGTTCTTTTTAATTCTAAATTGACTTCTACTTGAAGAAGCAGAAATAATGTAACGAAGGCCATTTACATTGCTTGATGATGTCATTGAGAAAATGAATTAAATGTTTTTGCACGAAATCTCTGAATCACCTGAACATGAATACAATTTTATTTAATTTTAAATGATTCATCTGCTACATGGACTTGGATCTTTTGATCTTAATTATCTTATTATGACCTCTTAAATCTTTCGACTACCCCAACATTTTGTAATTTACATTGTTTGGAGAAAACATTTTAACAACTCTTGGACTTTGCAAAAATTACGAATACCGATATAGTGAGTGACAACAAAGAAGGTTGAAATTCTCTCAATTAATTAAATTAAATTGCTTTCGCTGTGAAAGTAAGCGGTACATCATGATGGTTTTGTGCTATTTTCACTTTTATAGTCTTGAGATTCACAGATTATAGAATATTTTGTCGTACGTTAAATAACAATAATACTTTTCTAATAGGATAATCAGCAACATCAACTTATTTGCTCAGCTCAGACGATTTTACGTCATTCATTATTATTTTCATAAAATGCACTTGAATCAATAACTCGTTCATTCACAGAACCTCTCGATGTTTGTCGATTTGTCGATTGGTTTTATTCCGTTTATTTGAGGAACTATTAACGTTTTATTTTTTGCTGATAAGAAACTGAAACTTTTAAGAAAAAAAATGTACTCACCATCAATAAAGGAAGTGAACGAGTCGTGTTGCTGCTTTTCGTCTCCATTGGATCCATGGTAGCTCATGAAATGTTGCTTATTAGTAATCCAAATGTGGGTTTATTAAAACATTAGCACTATCCTTTGCTATTTTCCATATACAACCATCTCTTTTAATTAATTTCATATGATTTTGTCATCAACTTTCATGAATTTTTTTTTCTCTATAAATTTACACTTTTGGAATATTAAATGAGTTTGAACAGATTTGCATTTATAATTATGTGACAGACGAATCTTTAATAAAGATAGCCTCACACTTAAAATTTTTAAATTAGCACTAGAAACTTTGAAAATTAATTTTATTTCTCTCGTTTCACACGAATCAAATTTTTTTTATAAATTACTTTTCGTACCCCTTGCGTCCATTTGAAGAGGGGAATTAAAATTTTCATCTAAACGCGCGAAAATTTGAAATTAAAGTTCGTTAAATTTTTGATAAAAGATGTTCAGTGCTTCAGTTTTTCTTTTTAAATTATCTGACATCCTTCAAAAGCATGCAATCAAGTTTTTGTATTTATAAGCAAGATTTTTTTAGTCTACAAGTTGCAATTCAATGAAAATGTTCAACTTACATAAAATTATAATTCTCGTCATAATTTTCAAAAGTTGCCAAGGTAATTCAAAGTTTTGTGGATCAGCATATAAACCAAGTGGTCTTATCGTAAATGGTACACAAAGTGTTAGAGGAAATTGGCCGTGGCTTGCTGCATTGTTTAATATTAATGAAAATGAATTCTTTTGTGCTGGGACATTGATTTCAAACCAACATGTTTTAACTGCAGCGCATTGCATTCATGAGAAATATTCTAACGGTACTATTAATACCAATGACATTGCAGTTCACTTGGGACGGTTTAATATTTCAAAAACTTACGAAAATGATTCACAAATAATTTTATTGAGATCAATTATCGTGCATCAAGATTGGAACAGTGAAAGTCGAAATTATGACGCTGACATTGCATTACTTTTCTTAAACGAAAAAGTCACTTTTAACTCATTTGTATTTCCTGTTTGTTTTTGGGAACCTTCAATAGCAGTTAATGACACTATTGGAAGTATTGTAAGAATTTATTTAAGATTTTTTTATAAAAATTTTATAAGTTAAAAGTTTTCTCTTCAGGTTGGATGGGTAAAATATTTAAATATTTCATAAAAGATTGTCAGGAAAGTAAGTCCAACCATTAAAAAATATTTCAGGGCGCCACACATTTAGAAACGCCACGTGTGCCTTCAAAAATTCAACGACAAGTTGAAGTTGTTATCATTGAAAATGAAAAATGTTTTCTTGAACATTATCAGTTGACTTTCATATCATCAGAGCGAACTTTTTGTGCGAAAGGTCAAGATCATTCCGGGCCATGTCTTGGTGACTCAGGAGGCGGTTTCTTCTTTAAAATAGGGGGCAAATGGTTTATTCGTGGAATTATTTCAGCTACAGTTTTGGACGCTGATGGAGGTTGCGATGTAAGAACACCAGCGATTTATTCCAATGTATTTTTATATACTGACTGGATCATTGAAAAAACCGAAGTTTCTGTTACTTTAATTGAAGATGAAGTTGAAATAATTAAAAGGTCTGATTGGTATGCTTCACCGCCAGGACCTGACATTCTTTATTTGTCCCTTCCTTCCAAACGAATAATGATTTCACATACAGTAACAAATTCTTGTGATGATCTAGAAACCTGCAAAAACATCATGGAAAATCTTCAAAGAAATCATCAAAAGAAAGGATTGAATGACATTTATTGTAATTTCTTTATTGGTGGTGATGGATTGATTTTTGAAGGACGTGGATGGGAAATTCGTGGTGAACACACAGTTCGTTCATCAAATGAATCTCATAACGATGCAGTTTGTGTAGCTTTTATCGGAAATTATCAGGATCAAGTTCCAAAGAGCTTNAATGTGTTCTTATTCGAGATCACTCAAATCAACTGAAAGATTTCGCTCGTGTTTGGATGTGCAATGTTTGTGATGAAGTGTTTCGTGGACTTGAACAGCTTTTTCTGCACCGGTGACAACTTAGAATTTATTTATTTAAAATTTGAATAAACCTTTTTATTACAGTCATAACGAACATCATTTCTTTCCACGAGTTGAGCAACCAACAAAGGAACTTTTATTTTTATGCGAGTTATGTGCATCGACATTTAAAACGGCACCAGAGCTTGTTGAACATTTCAATGCAAAGCATAATAAACAACCAAAACCTGGTGAAGTTCCTTCAACTTCTGATCGTATTCCCAGAAAAGCTGATGAACAACGAAAAGGTGGCGTTCATCAAACATCTACAAAATCTCGTCAATATCTTTGCGAAGTTTGTGGTAAATCATACACACAATCTTCTCATTTGTGGCAACATTTAAGATTCCATCAAGGTGTGAAACCATTTGAATGTTCTTATGAAGGTTGTAATCGTCGATTTACAATCCGACCTGATCTAAACGACCACATCCGAAAATGTCACACTGGTGAACGACCTTTTTTGTAATTATTCTCATTGTCAATATTTCTAAATCTGAGTTTTAATTGAGAGCAAATTTGCAGGTGCACCACTTGTGATAAACGTTTTTTGACCGGATCTGTTTATTACCAACATCGATTGATTCATCGTAATGAACGTCGTTATGGATGTGAAGAATGTGGAAGACGATTTTATCGTGCAGATGCTTTAAAAAATCACATGGTAAAGATTTTAATTCCTTTTTTATTGAAGTCTTTTAATTTGGCATTTTTAAAGCTTATTCATACTGGTACGAAACCTTATACTTGCGCTGAATGTGGCAGAATGTTTCGTCAACGTGGAGATCGCGATAAACACCTTAAAGCACGTCATCCACATGCTGGAGCTGCAAACTCACCAAAGAAAGAACGAATCAAATCATTTGGTCGTGGAAGAACAAAAGACAACACGAGTTTGTATGAAGCGAAACCAGATTTTTCTTTGTAGTTTTTTATTTACACTAATTAGTTTAAAAAGCTCCTTGCAAAGCTTTTCCATGATATTTATTCCTGTTATTTTTAGAGGCTGAATATTTTTCATGCTTCAATTAATTTTGCTTTTGAAATATCTTCTGATTTTTTTCTGCTTTCCTAAGTCATTGCATGTCAATAAAAGAGAACCAATTTTTGTTCTTTTATGTTATTCCATGAGAATTGATTTCTGTTGAGATATCTTTATTGGTGGTGATGGATTGATTCTTGAAAGACGTGGATGGGAAATTCGTGGTGAACACACAGTTCGTTCATCAAATGAATCTCACAATGATGCAGTTTGTGTAGCTTTTATCGGAAATTATCAAGATCAAGCTCCAAAGCAATCGATGATTGATTCCTTCTTCAAACTTTTAAATAACGGAATTTCCATTAACATGCTGGACAAAAATTATATCATAAACGCTCAAAGAGATTTCCATTCCAGTGATTCACCAGGTAAAGCATTTTACAGAACTATAAAAACATGGCCAAGGTTCAGCATAAGAGCTTCACTCAATCAAACTTCTTTTGTTTAAAATAATAAATTTCTTTGTTTAAATAAAGTTTTTCTTTTAATTCATATTTAAGTACAATTTCTTAAATTTTTTCAATCTTATTTGCGGTTCATCCTTGTGAATGTCCTGTTGTTGAATGAATATGTAATTTACAATCTGTAAAAAAGCTTGAATGATTGAGGTTTCTGAATTCACTGTGATTTATTGTATGTGTAGACTATGCAGCCATTTTAAGGAAAAATAGTCGAGGTATCGTCACAAAACACAAGAATAGAATAAATTTAAGTATGTTCATCAATTTATTAGTGAGAAATGTTTTAAATAAATGTAACTTTGAATATTTATGGGCAATTGCTATGAATGGAAAAGAAAATAAATAACGAACTCTACCGCGCAGAAAAAAATCACTTTTTCAAAGAACTTCATTGACGTAGATGATCTAAGGTTCCCTTGGAATTTCCTAATTCGACAATCGACCTCTTACGTAATTTTCAGACTCATTACAGATCTTCATCCTCAGAAGGTAAGTAATGTCAAAAAAAAAATCCTAATTACGGAGTTATATAAGATTCATTCGATTCAGAATTGCTGAAAACATCAAGAAGCAATTAAAATAATGGAAGAAGATGGAGGATCCTATGGATTCATGGAGGATGTTGAAGAAGTTTTATTGAGCAATCTCACCAGTTCACAACTTCAAATGTGCGATGAAAATTTAGACATTCAGTTATTGGAAAATCTCATTTTTGCTGATCATGAAAGAAGTTACAATGCTTTAGATGTTGAAACATCGGAAACAGTGCTCAGAGCTTTTGATGAAGATCGTAACATTAGTAACTTTAACAAATCTTGAACGGAACAATTGAACAACTCCTTCAACTTACAGATAACTCAAGCAAAGAAAAAGTTCAATGTTCTCATTGTCAAGAAATTTTTTCAAATGAAGAATTTCAAGTTCACGTGTGCACTTACGATGAAAATCATCAATTAATTCCAGTCGATGAAAAGGAGAGTTCTGTAGAAAATACACTCGAAGATCCACGAACTGATTTGAGAATGCGTTTTCAACGTTCTATGAACATATTGAAGAAAAATCAAGATTTAATCAAAAGCACTCTGGCATTAAATGTCAAATCGTCGAATTGGAGTTGTGAGAAATGCTGTCGTAATTTTGTAACTCAAATGAGCTTACAACGTCATTGGGATCGTCATATTGGGGAAATCCTTAATCCCTCGGTTTGTGAAAGTCAAGTCAGCTTAACGACAGTTCCACTGTGCATGCTTTGTGGCGAGGTTTTTGGAAAAGATTCTGATGCTTGGGATCATTTGAAATTGAAACACATGCAACTCGTTGATGAAATTGAATACATTAAGAGTTCTACAGACGTTTTGATTTTAGAAGAAGTTTCTGATACTGAAGAATTTGCTCAAGAAATTAAAAGAATGAAGTTGGATAATACAGGAAAGAACAATGTACGTAAGTGTGTTGGACACTGGTGACGTAAGAGTTCAATGAACTCTGTTTCAAGAGTGCAATGAACTCTTTTTCCATTGGAAACTGTGACCTTCGGTATATTGGATTGTTGCTCAGTTTTAAATTAAGAATTAACGGTTGCTCATTTGAAAAATTGATTTCGTATCGACACATATAAATCAAAAACATTTTCCAGGAGAAGAATGATCAAGTTGAAGTTTCATTTATGAAAGATGTTGAAACTGTGCCTGAACGTAATTTAATCATCAATGATTACCTGAAATATGTTCAAATTAAAAAACTCTTTCAATGTGAATTCTGCGAGTCAATTTTCAGTCACCCAAAATCGATGCTTCATCACGTCTCTAGCCATGCACCATCGGAAAATTTTCAATGCAGAAAATGTGAATTATATAATTTATCATTGAGAGGAATATTGTTACACCGACGGAATGAATGCGTTCTCATCCGAGATCATTCCAATCAACTGAAAGATTTCGCTCGTGTTTGGATGTGCAACGTTTGTGATGAAGTGTTTCGTGGACTTGAACAGCTTTTTCTGCACCGGTGACAATTTAGAAACTATTTATTTAAAATTTGAATTAACCTTTTTATTACAGTCATAACGAACATCATTTCTTTCCACGAGTTGAGCAACCAACAAAGGAACTTTTATTTTTATGCGAGTTATGTGCATCGACATTTAAAACGGCACCAGAGCTTGTTGAACATTTCAATGCAAAGCATAATAAACAACCAAAACCTGGTGAAGTTCCTTCAACTTCTGATCGTATTCCCAGAAAAGCTGATGAACAACGAAAAGGTGGCGTTCATCAAACATCTACAAAATCTCGTCAATATCTTTGCGAAGTTTGTGGTAAATCATACACACAATCTTCTCATTTGTGGCAACATTTAAGATTCCATCAAGGTGTGAAACCATTTGAATGTTCTTATGAAGGTTGTAATCGTCGATTTACAATCCGACCTGATCTAAACGACCACATCCGAAAATGTCACACTGGTGAACGACCTTTTTTGTAATTATTCTCATTGTCAATATTTCTAAATCTGAGTTTTAATTGAGAGCAAATTTGCAGGTGCACCACTTGTGATAAACGTTTTTTGACCGGATCTGTTTATTACCAACATCGATTGATTCATCGTAATGAACGTCGTTATGGATGTGAAGAATGTGGAAGACGATTTTATCGTGCAGATGCTTTAAAAAATCACATGGTAAAGATTTTAATTCCTTTTTATTGAAATGTTTTTGATTTGGCATTTTTAAAGCTTATTCATACTGGCACGAAACCTTATACTTGCGCTGAATGCGGCAGAATGTTTCGTCAACGTGGAGATCGCGATAAACACCTTAAAGCACGTCATCCACATGCTGGAGCTGCAAACTCACCAAAGAAAGAACGAATCAAATCATTTGGTCGTGGAAGAACAAAAGACAACACGAGTTTGTATGAAGCGAAACCAGATTTTTCTTTGTAGTTTTTTATTTACACTAATTAGTTTAAAAAGCTCCTTGCAAAGCTTTTCCATGATATTTATTCCTGTTATTTTTAGAGGCTGAATATTTTTCATGCTTCAATTAATTTTGCTTTTGAAATATCTTCTGATTTTTTTCTGCTTTCCTAAGTCATTGCATGTCAATAAAAGAGAACAAAATTTTGTTCTTTTATGTTATTCCATGAGAATTAATTTCTGTTGAGACATTTAAAAGATAAAAAAAATATAAAATTAGATGATAATCAACTACGATGAAAAGGAATTTTAATTATAAAATCGATAGCTCAAGCAACACTTAGGATTTGTAATTACTGGAGCGTGAAACACCAATTACACTTTGCCATTTTCATTTCGTTAATCTTAATTGAACAGAGCCAGTATGGCATGTGAATTTGAAGAAAACAAGGTCGAGAAAGTGATAAATTTCAATGATGAAGAAGGCAAGTTTTCTTACATTTTCACATTTTCTACTTATCCCTAACCTTCACCAACCATTTAGAAAGTATTATTTTCACGATGTTTTAGTCGCGTGACACTCTTGATTTTTAATTCGTTTTTTTGGCATTTCATTAGCAAGTTTCGTGTTACTTGGAAATAAATTTTTGAATATTTCTGTGATTGTCACCCTTTTCTGTTGAGAATTTAGTTAAAAATAGCATTATGACCTAAACAATGAAAAATCTGTTTAATGAAATTATAAAGCTTCAAGAACAAAAGGTGAAAGTGACAATTTTGATACAATGAAAGTTTTTAATTAGAGCACGTCTGTCAACAAGATTTAATCTTAATTTGGATATCATTATGATGAGTATCTGAAAAGATTTAATAAGGATATGATTGAAAATGATATCTAATTAACTTTTTTTTCAATTTCTATGTTACTGACTCAATGATATTGTTTGATAGGCTTTGGGAGAATTAACTTAAATCAAATGAACGATCTTGACCCTTAATGGAAAAAAGTTGTATCACGTTTTCACATAAGTCATAAAATCTTTGATATAATCGCCATTCATATAAATTTAACNGTTATTCCATGAAAATTATTTTCTGTTGAGATATCTTTATTGGTGGTGATGGATTGATTCTTGAAAGACGTGGATGGGAAATTCGTGGTGAACACACAGTTCGTTCATCAAATGAATCTCATAACGATGCAGTTTGTGTAGCTTTTATCGGAAATTATCAGGATCAAGTTCCAAAGAGCTTAAAATAATTAAATTTCTTTGTTTAAATAAAGATTTTCTTAGAATTCATATTTTATTAAATAATTTCTTTAAAATTTGCAAAAAGCTTCACAAATCTTATGTGATTGAAAATTATTTTACAGAATTTAAAAAGCCTTTTCAATCTTTTTTGAATCAATTCTAAAGAAGGAAGAAACAAATATTTTTCATTTATGTGGTTTTGAGAATGTTTTGAATAATTTTTGTAGATCATATTGCATGATGATAAAAAAGGTTGAAATGAATATGACCGCTTAAGTTTCTTATAAAATTATTAGAGAAAAAAAATCATAAATTGAATTGCTTAAGTTCCAATCTTTTCAATCTCATCAGAGTTTTCAGCATCAAGCAACATAATTTTCTTGCCGAAATGTTTTTCAATGTCACGACAAATTCGCATGCATTGTTCAGAATCAATTAAGTTGATTGCAATTCCATGTTTTCCGAAACGACCTGTACGTCCAATACGATGTAAGTAAGTTTCACAATCAGCATTTCCCTGTTGATCGATTGGAAGATCAAAGTTCACGACAATATTCACTTGATCGATGTCAATGCCACGACTTAAGACATTTGTTGTAATGAGACATTTTTGATGACCTTCACGGAATCTATCCAACACAGCTAATCGTTGTTCGACTGTAAGATCACCAGACAGAACCCCAACAGATTCACTTCCAACTTCATTTGACATCTTTCCAGCAAGCCAGCCAGCGGTTTTACGAGTCTGATGAAAACATTATTAAATTGTGAATTTTATTAAGGATGAGAAATCTTAAAAACTCACATGACAGAATATGATTGCTTGACCAATGGTGATTACACCATAAATATTTGCAATCGCTCGATATTTGTCATCCTGACCACGACATTTCACATAATACTGCTTGATGTTATCCAACACTTCTTCTTCCTTTTTCAATCGAATTGTAATTGGAGATGGAACAATAAATTCAGCGAAATCCATGACTTTCTTTTCGTATGTTGCTGAAAACAACATCATTTGACATTTCTTTGAAAGATGTTTTTGCAAGCGAATACATTGATCTTGATGTCCTTGTTGTGCAATCATAACATCAGCTTCGTCAAGAACGAAAACGATGATTTTTGACAAGTCGAAAGCTCGAAATTTCAGCGACCAATCTAAAACTTTTCCTGGTGTTCCGATAATGACATGATCTTTAAGTTTATCACCACGTGAGATTTCCTCTCCACGAACGGCATAGCGAATGCTTATGTCAGGACAAAACTTTGCCATTCGTGCTGCAACTTCACCAGTTTGAATTGCCAACTCATAAGTTGGACTCAGACAAAGAACTTGAGGATAATCTTTTGTTGTGTCGACACGAGTTAACATTGCTAAGGTGAATGCTGCAGTTTTTCCTGTACCTGATTGTGACTGTGCGATCATATTTTGTGGGGGATCAGCGATGAGAGTTGGTAAAGCTGTTTCTTGAATTTTCGATGGAGTATTATATCCCATTGCATACACGCCTTTTAGGAGCTCGGGTTTGCTAAAAAAAAATAAATTCTGAATGTTTTGATTTCATTCTAAAAATAGCACAAGAAAAAATCTTACAGGTGGAGAGCCTCGAATGATTTAACAGAATATAATGGTGAGTTGGGATCCTTTCTTTGAATATCCAGATCGTTCTTTGTATCGATTAAACCCTTTCGGATGATCTTCATCAACAAAGATGCATCAGCAGGACTTGAAAAGAAATTTCAAAATAAAATGAAATGAAATTTTATCTCATCATCTTACTTATCATCAAGTTCTGCAGGTGGAGGTTTATGTTCATTGTTTATTCCTATTTCATTGATGTCCTCACTCTATAATTGAGTAAATTTAGAAAAATTCTACAAAAAATGAATTTCCATCAACCACACTTACCAGTCGTTGAATTTCAGTTAGTTCCTGAGTTTCTGCAGCTTTATTCCAATTGTCAGTCATGATAATAGAGTTATGAGTTTTTGTCTACGAAAGTTGATGTCTTTTATTTCTTTTCTATAACTTAAGAATGCTTTTTCGCAATAAATTGCCGCAAAAAAAATGTTTGGATGTTGTTTTAAACTTACTTTCGCACCCTTTATGATATGTTTCTTACGTCGCGTAGTCGTATACCCTCGATCTCGCATTGAAGGTGCCCGCATCTTGTCTGACTGTCAAAGTTTGACATAAATTTTTTATAGCAGTTGCTATAATATCTTCGAAATAAGTCGCATCCTAAAAATAAAGTAATTCTAATTAATAAAGTGTTCAAAGTAATGTTTAACATTTTAATTCGGTAGTGTAGTAAGTGTTCTCTGCAAAGATACCAAAAGTGTTATAAAGAAAGCTTTGAAAGAATGATATTTTCTCAAAAGTTTTAAATTGTGAGTAGAATATAAACAAATAGTAATTTTTGAAAAAATAATCCAGTTCAAGCTCGATGAAAGTCATTAAGATTATGATTTTGCAACTTATTCATAAGTGATCAATTATAAAAACGCTTGATAACTGATTCCCTTTATCAAAATAAACCAAAAAACACGATTGAAAAAATTCCCCTACATGCATTTCTATGCAACAGCAAATCTACTAACGCACACGAACAACAACCTGAAGAAACTTTCTAAATTTTTTCCTCAAAAAAAAAACCAAAACAAGCAACATCATTATCAACATGCTGTTCAGTTTGTGAATGAAATAAGATCGCAAAATAAAAAATATTAAACCTGCATGTCTTTGTAAATCCACGTTGAAGTACATTGCAAGAAGATAGAAAGAGAGAAAATGTTAAGTCAATTAAGTAACACGAACACGAAATATTTCTTTGTGGGAAATGTTGAGAAATGATGTAAGTATCATTGTCTCTTGTTTGATGTTGAATGCTTTCGCTTCTTTAACTTGTAAATCCAAAATTTCTTCATGAGTTCTTCAAAAAAAAATTTTAAATTTGGACTATCATCATCGACTGATACCCATCATCACATTTGAATTCTTTATCGCGAATCGCTAATTTCCTAATCGAAATCCAGTTTTCTCTACTTTACAATTCAACACAAGCATCTGAATTCGATAATACTGTTATCTTTTCTTACTCTAATGTTCTTATGGAGATCAACAAACGAAACCAACACACCATTAAGTGGGTAGCTTAACCGTTCACTGGCGCAACAGCAACACATTCGTCAACGATCAACAATCGTGAATGTGTAAGCAGCAACTTAAGTTTCATTTGTTTCAAGAAACATGTCCGTTCACAAGAATCTGTAGAATGTTACTGTTCACCGTTTCTCTCTCTCTCTTCAACATCATTTTCTCTCTTTGTTAAAAGCTCTGCACAATAATGTTTCATACAATACAAATATCAACGAAGAAAGTTTCAGTATGGAATTTCTTCTGCTAAGACTTCAGTTTGAATTTGACATTCGTTATGCATCGACCGACGGTGTGGTGTGATCGCTAAATAAAGAATGATATTTCATGTGTACATATCAATTAGTATCTAAAGTTAATTAATCAATCACAACTTCTTCTAACTGTATCATTCATATTGACATAACGTGACGTGATCTCATGCTATCAGTTAAAAAGCTGAACCTGTTTAAAACGTCATAGAAATCAATATTAAAAAGAAAAACGTTTTGTGAATGGAAAAAATAAATAGAACGTAGATCAAAAAAGTTTCGTTGACGAATTCATAAAAAATATCTCGGTTGAAGTCAATGTTCTATGATATTTATTAAAAATTGAATATATCATATTTTAAAACGAAAATTATTTCGTTAAATGGTTGAGAAATCTGAAATAAGCATGATGGATGACAATGACAATTACCTTGAGGTGAGAAAATCTGTATCCTTGAATGGTAACTGCAGAATGTTTCGCTCGCTGGTGTTTGTGCTGTTTCTTTTTTTTGCGATCTTTCAAAGAGGAAACTTCCTTGACTTGTTTGACGTCAACAACTTCGATCGAGAATTCTAATTATGTTTCTTTGTTTGTAGCTTTCAAAGATGAATTTCTCACCATTTACAACGTCTTTTGCTAATGTGAACGTAAATCAATTCGCGAAATTCACTCAAAATTTAGCGACACCAAATCAGGTAAAGTTTTGCAATAAATAAATAAAATATAAAGCAAAAATATTAGAAAACCAACACAAATGTATCGACGAGACCAGATTTTAATTGTAAACTTTTACTTTAGATTTCAATTCAATTTTTTTCTTTTCTTTTTCGCTCGTTATTATTTTTTTTTAACTTGTACTTCAATGAAACGAAGCAAAAAGAAAAAAAAATAAAACTTTCACTTAACATTTAACGATTTGCTGGCTCATGGATGCATTTTCTTCTCTCTTTATGTTATTATTGGGAGTTCTTAGCATAATGTCAATGTTACATTACGTAAATTTCCCACAAGAAAACAAAAGAGATTTACTTAAATGATTATTTGTAAATTAATTTGAAAAATATTATGCAACTCTTTAGGTACTGAGTTTAGTTTCGGGCAGTGATGGAAACGTGCAATTTTTGCAAACGCAGCCACAAATGACATCGCCAGCAACCACAATGAATCCTACACAAACGTACATTACGCTACCAATTACCATTCCACCATCGAAGCCTGGCGATGCAACTCAAACATTTCAAATTCAAGTACTCAATCCAAATCCGGTTCCGCAAGCGCCAAAGTTTCAAATGGGACAAATGCAAATTCCAATTCATGGTTTGCAACAACATGGAACAACAGTGTTGACAGTTGCTTATTCACCGCAAGAAGGTGAAATTGTTCCGAATCAAATGCCTGATGGAGGGCCTGTAACAGTGTTAGCAGCAATTCAACCACAAGATCTTCAACTTCTCGCACAACAAAATGGTCTTACTCAGCAACATCTTCAAACCTCATCACAACAGCAACAAACATCGGATAGCGATAATGATAATCAAGAGAAAGATCGAGGAAGAGTTAATATAAAAACTGAACCAACATTCTGGGGTCAAGCTCCAGTCACAATATCAGCTCCAAACACCTTAACCACTGATTTAAGCGAATATTTTCAATCTCGTAATATGAACCTTCAACCTTATCTCAAATTCAACACAGATGGAATGAATATAAAGAAGGAAATGTACAGCGATGCGCTGGCACAACTTCAACTAAGTGACAATAATAATGTAATTAGTATCAATAATAACTACAATGCCGATAATAGCAATACGAGTATGAGTGGCGCGGGTGATACTCAAGATCAAAGTGTGGAAATGGACATTTCACAATCAACAGAAAATGGTGATGAAAAAATTGAATTGGATGCAAATGGGAAAGTGAAAAAGAAAAGAAAAATTAAGAAGAAACCGCCAAAACCGAAACGTCCAAAGCCAGGACAAGTTCATATCGCAACAGCACTAGATGGAACACTTCTCTTCTGTTGTCCTGAATGTCAAATGGCTTATCCTGAAAAGGAGAGTTTGGAAAGTCATCTTGCTGTTCATAAGATTGATAGAAGGTGAGTTAAGAAGATTAACTTTCTCTCAAGTTGTTTTTTTTTTATTTGAAAATCAATCTAATAACGTTTGATAATAAACATTTCAACTATTTAATTAATTTTTATGATTGATAATACTTTCAGATATATTTGCGATATATGTGGGGCTGGGCTGAAGAGAAAAGAGCATTTAGAAAGACATAAATTAGGTAAGATAAAAGCATAAATAATAATTAATTAATTAAAACTTAATTTTCTATTCCCAGGGCATAATCCTGAAAGACCTTACGTTTGTCACATTTGTCTGAAAGGATTTAAACGAAAGGAGCATTTGAATCTTCATGCTGTTATTCACAGTGGGCACAAAACAGAGGTAACTCAATCTCAAATGCATTTAATCAATCATTATTAACATTTAGAAATTATAAACATTTCAGATCTGTTCCGAATGCGGAAAAGGATTTTATCGTAAAGATCATCTCCGAAAACATATAAAATCTCATCTTACAAAACGTGCAAAGGAGGAAGCAGCTCATGCAAATCATCAAGAATCAAATAAGATAGATGTAAGTATAAAACGAGAGAAATTATCGCCGTCAAGTTCGCCGGGTAATAATAATCAACAAACAAATGAGGAAATCGTACCGATATCATCGTCACTTTCTATTCCACATTTTAATCTGCCACAGGAAGTTACCATTCACGTAAATATTATTATATTTCATTTCATTTCATGACGGGAATATTAATCGGATTTTCTTTCCAGGTGACAAGTAATAACACAACACTCCCGGTGCAAATTCAACTGCCTCAACTTATGACCACCACAGGGCCTGATGGAAAGACCGATGTCGTTGTAAAGATGGCTTCGTCGAACTCATGATCGAAGCGGAAAAATCTAAAGAGTCAACATTAACTTGTGTTGAGCATACAAGTCTAGCACGACAGTACCTTTCACAATAAGAGAGAAAAAGAAACAAAAAACTTTTGTTTGTCATTCCATATATTTAGAGACGTGAATAGCAAAGGACTTTTAGTTGTTGACATTTTTTAATATATTTAATTAATTTTTTTAATAATTCAAACAATTTTTTTGATGGAACTCACTCATGTAGGTCTTAAGTGTATAATATTAATAATTTATACAAGTTTGCAACAAAAAATACGAATGAATGCAAATAAACATATTTTTATAATATTTAACGGAAAGAAAATATTTGAATTTTTGTATACTCTCATGGAGTATGTTCAGGTTTGTTTATATTTAAACTATTAAAATTATCGGGGATTAAATTTCACTCTAATGGATAAGTTAAATCTTCAAAAGGCGATTGATTCGCTTAAAAATACAGAGTGCAAGTAAGTTAATTGAATAAGCATAAATATCATCAACTCTAAAACGATTTTATCCATTTTCAGTACGAAAGAAAAAATTGGAAAGTTTGAAATGATTAATCAAAGTTTATCAGCTCTTCAAAACCATTCCAACTACAGAAATTTTCTTTCAAATGCTGTTCAAATTCTTTTACTCTTCTGTGAAGACAACGACTCGAATTGTAGAATAAGTGCTGAAGAAAATCTTAATCGTATTATTCGAAAGGCTGAGAAAAATCAACAAATTATTTTAATTCAAATCGATCTTTATCATGAATTGAAAAAGAATGGAAATGAACGGTAAGAGAGGAAACATACAAATATTCATTGATGTTAATATAATTGATTTTTCAAGATCACTTCGGATTTGTTTAGGTTTGTTCGCACATTACATGAGGTTCATCAAACATCGAAGAAGAAAAGTTTACGCTCAAAATCTGCTTCCTTGCATTCTGGCGATTGGGAAAAGAAAGGAACCGCTAGTTATTGAAACACTTGCTGAGTTTCTTAAAGCATTCAGTCAACATCTTATCAATTGCTTAACCGATGGCGAAACAATGAAACTTATTGAGTTGTTTTTGGATAATTTATCAGCTGAATGCGCAATCAAACGGAGATGTTCAGCACAAAACATTCTCACAATCCTCCAACATTCTGTGAAGAAAGATCTTTTGATCAAATCAATTGTTTTAAATCTTCAAGAGAGTCTGGGAAAGAATCAAACAACAAGCACAACATTGGGAACTCTGTCGCTTTTTAGACTGCTCACGTCGATGCTCGTCGAGTCTAAGGAACATCATCAAAAGCTGTTAGAGATTTTAGAAACCTGTTTGAACATCTTGAAAATTGAAACAAATCATTCCATCATAAATGCAAACTTAGAAGCATTGACGTCACTTTTATCATCAGCTGAGAATTGCGATGAACTGAGAGAACTTTTCACTGACGATCAGAAAATGTTACATAAAGAAATGTTGCTGTCAAGACGTTCAATGTCAGCTTTAATGAATATTGATTCGAGAAAATCAAGTGACACAGAAACACTGAAGCTTCCAGACAGCTACCTTCAAGTTCCTTCAATTGCAGCTTCTGTTATGTCAACACCGAACAAGTCAGTCACAGATTTCAGTGATGTTGAAGGCGATTCCTTCAAATCAATTGATTTTGATGCTGAAGTGACATATTCATCTTCACCATCAACTGTTAAAAACTTGATTGAACGAGGAGCTGAAACAATGTCACATAAATCAACTGATTCGATCAATTCGTTCTTCAATTCCATTGCGACAAATACTGAAACAGTTTCAAAGTTTTTTCGCAAATCGTCGAGTGATTCTCCAGCACATCAATCAAAGTCCAACGAATTTATGGATGATGTTTCAATAGGTCATCTTAAAGATGAAAATATTGACATTCCTGACTCTCAAACACTTCCCGAAACAGCTGAAATGGCATTGGAAGATCCACCAAACAATGATGATGAAGTTAGTGAAGTTTTCGTTGAGTCATCTTCATCTATTGAGCAACCAGCAAGGGAACTTTTCATCGGATCAATCTTTGATCAAAGCATTGTTGAATACATTGTGAGAGTTGTGACTTCAAAGTTTCTTCTCGATGGCATACCAAAGAAACTTATCAGTGACCAAATCATTCGAGTTTCTATTAAGAATCTCGCACTTTCCGTTGTTTGTGAATGTGTGAAACTCAAAAGTGATGTGCTGATGATGAAACTTCCCAAAGATTTCACTGATGAATCAATGATGGTTGAAAGTCTTCTCAGTTATTTAGTTGATGAAGATTTGCGTCTTGAAGAAGAGGAAAAGAAAAGGAAAAATGAAATGCAAGTGAAAGACGAAGAAGTTGCCAATACGTCGGAGAGTTTCATGGAAATCAAAGATGATCACTTTGGCGAATGCACGACTGCAACATTCCTCGATTATTTCTCACCTTTAAGTAAAAGTCTTGACGATCAAGGATTAATTTCATTGAAAAATCGAATTTACGAAGAGAAAACCAAAAATCGTGAAGAAAGCGCAAAGAAAATTAATCGAGATTTATGTCAACTCTTAACAAGATCGGAAATTGTTGAATCATCAAAACTTCCACTCATGGAAACAACTTTGAAAATGCCTGAAGATAAAGATTGTCAATTCATCGTTGACATTTTATTGTATTCATCACACACAGATCCAGTGTTAAGAAGTAACGTCTACATGATCATTGGAAATTTTCTTACTGACATTCTGAGAAGGAATTTCGATCATCAAAAATTCATTTCAAGAAATGAAATCGCCAAAGATGCTTTGGAGTTTAAGAAACTCTTCCAGCTGATGATGAAGGGACTGAGAGATGAAATTCACACAGTTGTGAAGCAAACTTTGATGGCTGTGGAGAAGTTGATCAACTTAATAATTTCAGAAATGCAAGAAAATGAGGTTGAAGAACTTCTCGATCAACTTTTATTGGTGTTTTGTAACAAATATTGGCTTGTTCAATGTAAATACAGCGACGTGATAACGAAAATTGATTTTAAACTTTTGAAACATTCAATTGGTGCTGAGAGATTTGAAGTTTATCAGGTGAGATGAAAGAAGTGTTGAAATTTGAATAAAATTTAATAATTTTTAATTACAGACACAAATCATCGATCAATTATTTGAGCTGCTTAAAGATAGCGACTTTCGAGTGCGCAATCATGTCAGTGAACTTCTTCCGACATTTCTCCTCAATTTAACCAACAAAGTTGATAAGAAAGTCACAAGCAGCTTGAAGTCATTTGTGAACATTAATTTATTGAATACTTTTGAAGCATTTTATGTGAATTTAAAGGATCAAGAAGCATGTGACGAAAGTGTTGAGTTGGAATTGACGAGATTTTTATATCGGATGAGTAACGCACTGATGGATTTAAAGGATAAAAATCAATATTTTGGTGTCATTTACGCTTTGAAAATTCTCATCAGAAAATTCAGTCCATTAAAGTTTCGCAACGCTTGGAAGGAGTTCAACATTTTAAACGTTCTCTTGAGTTTCATCAATAAAAATTCAGGAATTGCTTTGGATGTTTCATGTCAATGTGATATGCTTGAAGTGATTTCATCTTTGATTGCTGCAAATGGAATAACGAATCATACAATCCCAGATTACAATGAATTTCTGTTACATTTGATGAGAATTCTCAACATTTTCACACATCTTTTAAGCAACACGAAGCCTTTGATTGTTCCAAAACAAAAGGGCAAAGACATCTTCACATCATCAAAGGAACTTGCGATTATTAACAGTTTTGGATTCTTTAGCAACGATCACTTTTATTTGAAACTTTATTTGATGTTGAAAAGTTCTTATGAAAGTTATCGAATGACAATCAACCAAGAAGCTGAAGTTAAACTAAGTCAACTGTTGAATGTGACTTTTAAATCACTTCAAACATTGTTGGAACTCAAAAAGATGAGAATCGATCATGTGAAGTTAATTGACGAGACTGTCGGCTATCTCATTCAAATATTTCCATTCCAACCACAAGATTGCGTCGTGACAATAAAAGTTTTGCTGCGATTTCTCTTTCAAAAGAATTTCTTAACTCATGCGAATCATCTTCAATTGATTCGAAGTTCGGCTGAGAAACATGACGAAAAGTTTGTGTTTGAGAGTTTTGAGAACTTTTCAACATTTGATGCTGATGAAAGTGTTCGTGAAAATAGTTTTGAAAGTTCAATTAAACAATTCGATCCACTCGTCATTCAAGGATTGCGAATATTCTCAAAATCACCAGCAAAACTTCAAGCAACTGTTCTTGATATGCTTTGTCAATTGTTAGAGTTTAACGTTAATTATATGCAACTTGATGCTAAGAAAGTGTTTGTTGACTTTGTGATGAGACAATTGGAGTATCTCGAAAGTGGATTTGTTATTGACGGAGACGTTTTAGCACCAAAAATTATTCATTTCTTGATTTATTTGACTAAATTGAAAGACAAAAAGTTGACGACAATTCCAAAGATTATTAACATTATTGACAATTTATTAGCATCGACAAATCCGACAGTGACAACTTGTGGAGTTGAAGCATTGTTGATGTTATCAATGGAATTGTTCTTTAGGAAAACAAATGTAAAAGGCGAACCGGAAGTTGTTGAAGTTCATGTTAAGGAAACAAATACACAACGTGAAGTCGTCATCAGCATGATGTTGAAGTTTATGCATGTGACGAAGATTCAAGAACATCTTGTTTGGATTCTTTTAAAGTCTCGAGCATTTAATTTTTCAATTGATGAAAATGAAATCTTTCAACAAATTGTGATGTGTGTGAAAGACAAAAAATTATTCGAATCACAACTGATTGGAATTATCAGCAAAAATATTTTGATGGAAAGTAACAATTTTGGTTTGATTTTGGATGCTTATTGGAGTCTTCTTGATGGAGAAATCGATCGATCGACTATTGAAACTTGTCTGATGCTTCAAGAGCAAGCGATAGTTAAAGTTGAAGAATTTTATTTAATTAATCATTTGAAACTTCATCAGATGAATCACAATCAAAACGAAGATGAATCGCTAGAAAATTTTCTCATCTTACACCATAAACTTCTTCTGAGATGTTTAAAAGAAAAAAATTTAAAGATGATTGAAAGATTGTGGAAGTTTCTGTTGTTTAAGAAACATCCAACAGTATTGCAAGTCTTCAGTGTTCGAATCATGAATACAAAAGAAATTATTGACATTTCTTGTGAAAATTTAAAAGTTTTTGATAGTTCCGTAAAATTTTTACTGTCATTTGACACAACGAAAAAAGAAATTTCTGAAATAATTGCGAGAAAAGAGGAAACAAAAGAAGCTTTCGATGTTTCAATTCAATCGCTTTTGTCTGATGACAATCGAAATGAAAAAGAAATTGCAGAAATGATAAAGAAACAAGAAGACGCAAATCAAGCATTTGATAATTCGATTCAACTTTTGTTGTCGACTGACAGAACGAAAAATAAAATTGTGAATGAAATTCAAAGTCACGAGAAAGCCAATCGACAGAAATTGATGGAAATTTTTTATAAAAATCTTTTCGCGAAGAGAAACGATATCAATGCGTGGGAGAACGACGAACTTATGGAATTTTTCAAAGAGAATGAACGTCTTGAATGTCTTCTAATGTTCAGTCAAAACATTCTTCTTGACAGTTTACTTGAAGATCAGGAAATATCGCGAATCATTCTCAAAAGATTGACAGTTTTGGATGTTCCAATTGATCGAGTGAAATATTTGTTGGAAAATGTTCATGAAGATTGTTTGATGGAGTCGTTAGATTACGTGATCAAGGAAACAATGAAAGACTCAAAATTCAGTCGAACGTTGCAATTTGTCATGGTGAAGAAATTAAATTCAATTCGAAATGAAATCGTCATGGGACGTCAAGAAAGTTTGAAATTTTCTGAAGATTCTTTGGATAAAATTAAAAGCTCGACGATCATGTGGAAATATCCGACATTTGTTCAAACGATTGAAGAATTCGTTAAGTTTTTAAAAGCAAAAGACAACAAAGATCAGTTGGAGATCAACGTGAATGATTTAAAGGAAGTCATCGACGAGTCTTGGTTCTTATCACAAGCAAAAACTTTCATTTCACGATCTTATAACGTTGCTGGTAAATCAGAAATTGCTGAAATGCTTCTTGAAATCAAATCTGAATCAAAACTTATAACTTTGTTGACAAGTGACGACTTCAATCTTAAACTTCTTCCTACAACTTTGAAAGTTTCTTTTAAGAAAATGTTGGCGCAATTTCAAGTTGATTGCATACAAATTAATCCGCATTTGAATTACATGAAAGTTTCGCCACTTTTAAAGATTTCAATTTTAATTCTTATGAAGAATTTGGAGAAAGCAAACGATTGTGATGAAGAAATTGTAAATTTATTAGCTGAAGTCTTATCAATGTTTCTACGTTGGATTAAGAAGCTTCACAACATCAGTTTGATGTACGTTGAAGCGAAAGTTGTTGAGAAGTTTATTGGTGAAAATCTTTTGAAGAAATCATTTTTCGAAACAATTTTAAAGTTTTGGAAGTTTCTCGTTCAAAGATTGAAAACAAATAAAGGAGCAACAAACACATCAATCCTGGAAGTATTGGAGGAAAATCGATTATGGCATGAAATCAATCAGAATAATGTCGAAGATGTTGAAAATCTTGTCACTTTCATTTACAATTTCCTTCGTGATGTTTTCAAAAACACGGACTTTGTCTGTCGGTATCAACACCCGCAAGTATTTGACGAATTGTCACAAGATCTCGAAAGTAGAATTCAAATAGCGAAGCAAATCATTTTCATCGCGAAACTTCAAGAATATTATGAAGATGGTGAGTTAAGCAACGTTGTGATGTCATCGAAGACGAGACAAAATGTTGTGAAATTTCTTGAGATTTCAAGATATCTCTTGAGACTTGATAAACTTTATCAATTTGCAATCACGCCTTACGAGATTCTGTTAAGCTACAGATCGGGTGACGATCTTCTCATCATGCAACAAGAAGGAAGTTTCAAGTTGAAACAAATTCCAATCGAATATTTGAACGATTCAGAACTTCTCGAATTTTATATTCGACGAATTACTCGTTATGGCTTCACACAACGACAGCAATTTGAAGAAGTTTTCATGACACTTCTCGTCTTACTCAACCAATGGAATGACATGCAAGATGTTGAAGAACAAAGTTACATCAAACAGTTGTGTCTGCAGACGAATGTTGAGTTAATTATTTCTTGTTTTTGTTATCCTGAAATTGGATTTGGTGGAAATTTGTTTTTCCATCTTCCAAGAAGTGAAAAGATTAAAATGGAAAATATCGGATTGAAGAAGCTTCATCATGTTCAGAACTCGTTATGTTGTGACTTGAACGTTTTTTATCAGCCCAATTTGGAGAGAATTAATGGACATAACAACATGATTGGCTGCACATCCTTCGAAATGAATCAATTTGCTTTGAATTATACTTGGCAGATGATTGAAATGCGGGAAGAAGTTGCATCGGCTGGTTCGATTTTAAGTCGTAATGTTGCTTATTATCATGAGAAATGTGGAGTTGACTTCAAAAGTGCTTTACAATTAATCTACGATGTTATGACACAAATGATTGATGAAAATCCAACTCTTGTGTTGCCGCAACTTGTGAAACTTGTCGACGTTTTAGATAACTCGGAACAATTTAAATGGATAAACAGGAAAATGCTTTCGCTTTACGAATTGATTGCTTCTGAAGACACGATCTCACATCAACATGTTGTGTATCTTCTTTGTCGATCATCAGCAGTTCTTGTGCCGTCTTTAAGTGAACTTCAACAGCTTCAAGTGATTGTCAATAAATATTTGGGATGCACTCAAATATTTGTGAGAAATTCAGCACTTCAAGGACTTTTATGTCTTTTCGAGTCGTTATGCAAGACAAACACAGTCATGGGTGGAATAAGCGATGAAATGAAGTTACTCAGAAGTTGCATTCTTAATTATACAAATAAGAATGGAATCGTCATGGAAAGGTGAGATTTGTTAAAGCTTAACTTAAGAAACATTTTAATTAATTCTCATTTTCCTTAGCAACATTTCATCATCCCAACATAACAAGCTTATCTGGTCATTGAACTTTTACGTCATTGAGATGACTTCAAAGTTTCTATCTGAATGCGATCTTCTAGTCGACTCGGTGATTTCAGCGAATAACGTTTTAAAGCGAACAAATGATTTAAATTTGTTTTATTTAATTCTTAATGTGAGTTGAAATTTTATTTTTATGAAGATTTTGTTTAATTTATTTAATTACTTAGGGCTTGGAACGTCTCGTGATCTTGAACAGTGACAAGAAAATGTATCGTGAAAAGATTGAAAAGTTGTCATTAGATTTAATGAAAATGGACAATAAACTTTATTCTCTGGGAGGATTGAAGCTTCTCGTCACTTGTCTCTACATCGGATCATTAGAACAACTTGAAAACACTGAAAAGTCCAACGGAATTGTTCAAGACGAACCAGAAATAATCATGCAATCGACAGAAAAGATTGAAATTTTATTCACGAGAATTCGGGTGGCAACAATTGACGAGGCGAAGATTTATGGGAAAGTTTTGGGTCAAATTTTAAAAGATTTGTTGCCGCCAAATGAGATTTTAACAAAAGTTGTCAAGGAACTTTTGATAATGAGTCAATCAAATTGCGTATGCATTGCGACAATAATTCATCAGGTAATTTTTATTTAATTTTTTTAATTAAACTTTTCTTTATTTTCTACAATATTTGAACAGGTTTTCCGTTCGGCAATCGATTCATCTTATCTTGTTCTTCTTCAAGAATGGCTTATCTGCTCTCTGCAAAATTTCCTTACATATCCCAACAATAAAAAATCAATTTGGTTCCTTTCTATAATTTTTCTTTCATCAACTTTAAATCAAAACTTATTAAAACTTTTCCCAATTCTTCTCGACGAAAATTTACCAATCAATGAACTTTACCGAATTTTTCTTGTGTCAGCTAAAGATTTTTATGAGAAACTCACGGAAAAGCAAAAGTATTCGTTTAAAGAAGCGTTCAACAATCGCATTAAATCTAAGGAAATGTCATCGTCTGCTTGTAGTTCAACTTCACCATCGAACACAACATCTTATAATAACAAATTATTTCACACTTTATTGCAACATATTTAAATTATGCTGAATTATGTTAAACACAATAGAAATAAATATTTTTTCCATCATAACATTGAATTTTTGTTTATCCAAGACAATTTCATTGCAGGTTAGTAGATAAAGCAATTACACATGCGTTTGGGCCAAACAAATTCGCCAATAAACACTAAATAAAAACTGATGATATCCAATAATTAAAATGTAAAATAATCCTTAATCCAAGCCTTAATCAATCGTAAAAAATATGTAGAGTAGAAGCTCTATAAGCGGAAACTGAAGGGGGTGGTCGTGTGAGGAGCTTTTCCGCTTTTAGAATGGCTTTTCAATATGAATGAAGTTGAAGGGGGTGGTCATGTTTGAAGCTTTTGCTCTCATAAAGCTTCCGCTTATAGCGCGTCGACTGTAACTTCATTTCAGTGTAAGAGATAATAGACAAGTGTAGATAATGTGCAATGCAGTTTGCGATAGTGTGAATGTAATTGAATGTTTCATTCTTAAACGTAGGATAAGTGCGAGAATACTACAAATAGATATTTGAAATTGGTGATGCGAAATTCCTCCAAGGAAGGGGAAAATAACAGAATACTCGTTAACACATCTCAGGTGTTAGTTGATGCTGAAACTTAAAAGCGAAGATAAAGTTTCCTTTTCAGATCATTTCGTTTTCGCTTGCCTTACTGATCAGTTGAAATGAACTTTACAAGATTTTTTCTTTTCTTTCTCTTGCTTTTGATAGCAGTTGTTTCAGGCAAGTAATTTATTATTATTTAAAATGTTAAATAAATATTATGTGAAAAGTCTCACATAAAAAAAAAATTGAAAATTAATTTTCTCGACACTGGAATCGAACCAGCTATCTCCAGTTATCTAGACTAGTGCTTTATCTTTATGTGAGACTTAAACAAAAACTTAATTGAGCGAAGGGCTCGAAAATCCCAATTGATAAAAGTTTAATATTATTTTTAAATAATCTTAATTAACAGCAAATCCTATAAAACGTGGTGGAAAAATTGGTGGAAGACAACCTCGTGGCCATAGAGTATCTGAAAAGAGAGAGAAGAACCCATAGAGACATCCAAACTTTGATTAAATATCGTGACGACTGTTATCGCGTCAACAATTTCTTCAAATGTTTGTCTTTTAATAATTTTTGTTACATTAAAAATTTATATAGAATATTGTAGAAGATCCTGATGATGATGACATTTTGTCATCGAAACTTGTCGATGGAATAAAATCTGAGAATAAATATCTTCTTTAAGTCTTAAAACCATAATTCGTGTCACTTCATCATTAAATCAACATCAGACGTATAAATAATAAACTAATTGTGCCAGAAGAACGGTTCAATAAAATATTTAAATAATGATAAGAAAATAAATAAAAGAAGTTTTATCTTTTACGGTATTACCTAGTCAGATAATTACAAAACGGCATAGTTAAGAATGAAAGTTGAGCTGTTCAAATAATTTTCTCCTTTATTTTTTTTAATCTCAAAGTACTAATTACGTCTATTGTAATAATTTCATGTCTATCGAAAAGCGTATTGGCAATGCATAACGAATTCATCCTCTGAATAATTATTTATTTGTTTATAATTCGAATTAGTAAATTAATTCAATTTCTACTTGTTATTAAAACTGATCCTTAAAGTCATGATTTGTTGAGCTTTGTCCACTGTCTGCTTACTGATTTGATAATCATATTCCATCATCGTCTCTGAAATGAGTCAACACTTGTACTTACGTTGGATAATATTCGATTTTATAAACAAATAGATAAGTAATGCAATTAAATTATTGCTTCACACAAGAAAACAGCGCTTGGTGATGCCTCGACGTGCATTCAGACCTTAAAGCTTTTAAATCAAAGTTTTGGTTGCAGAATGAGTGATAAGATTTCGTATTCTTAATTCATTTAATCTTAGAAACATTTCGCTGATAAAAATTATATTTTTAAAGACGTCGCTTGCGAAAATTTATTTCAGTCTGGTATGAGTCGTGATTAAAATCGCACATCATAAAATGGCACTTTTAGTTTTTATTCTTTTTGTAATCACAATTCTTGTAATTTGGTATCAAAGGAAATTTTATCGAAAAAATGCTTTACTTGCTAAAATTCCAGCTTTTAAGTCATATCCAGTTTTTGGTAGCAGATTAGCACTTATTGGAAAATCAGGGAGTGAAATATTCGAAACTCTTCAAGATGCTTCAGAGACATTAGGACCTGTTTGGAGACTTGACTTGAGTCCCTTCTCAAGTAGTGTATTTACAAGTGATGTTAAGATGATTGAATCGGTTTTATCAAGTCAAAAGCTGCTCGATAAAGGAAGCGGATACAAATTTGTGAGAGGATGGCTTCAAGAAGGTTGAAAGCTTTTTGAGAAATTCAAAATATTCCGATTTTTAATCATTTTTGCTGACAGGTCTTTTGTTATCAACCGGTAAGAAATGGTATCAAAGACGATGAATTATTACACCAGCTTTTCATTTTAATATTCTTCAACAATTCGCTGAAATTATGGATCATCATGGACAGATTTGTGTATCGAATTTAAAGAAGTTTGATGATCAAGAAATTGACTTCTTCTCAATAATTTCTCTAAACGCATTCGACGTTATTTGTGGTGAGTTTTCAGTAAATTATCAATCAGTGGATATGATAAGAAATAAAGTTTTATTTTCTGGAGCAGAATCAGCAATGGGTTGCAAAATAAACGCTCAAAAGAACTCCGAATCGGAATACATAAAAGCTGTAAAAGAGTGATTCGTCAAATAGAATAATTTTTCATTAGAAAATTAATGGCAAACTTTTTCCTTTGGTTAGAATTTCCAACATTATATTTTTACGGACGTTTAACCAATTTAAACGCAGCGACTTCTTATATCAGTTCACTGAGATGTACCAACGAGAACAAAATGCACTAAAAGTTCTTCATGATTTTACTGATTCTGTGATTGTTTCACGACGGAAAGAATTGGAAAGTGCAAGTCATGCAGTTAAAAATGAAAATGATTTTGGGATCAAGAAACGTAAAGCTTTCCTCGATCTCTTGCTTCAATCAACCATCGATGGGAATCCTTTAACCAACTCAGATATTCGTGAAGAAGTTGACACTTTTATGTTTGAGGGTCACGACACAACAACAAGGTGAACATTAAATATTTTCTTATCATTTGTGACTTTTAATTTCTTTTCTCAATTCAAGTGCAATTTGTTTCACATTATACAACCTGGCAAAGTATCCTGAAATTCAAGAAAAGGTTTTCGAAGAATGCAAAACGACTCTTGGAGATGATTTACAACAACTCGTGACCATTCACGACCTTAATAATTTACACTACCTTGAATTGACAATTAAGGAAACTTTAAGATTGTATCCATCAGTTCCGTTCTATGGTCGAAACATAAAGGAAGACGTCACTATTGGACACCTGACAATCCCTAAAGATACGAACGTGAATGTTGCAGCCTTCTTCTTGGGAAGGAATCCCGACATTTTTTCAGATCCATTGAAGTTCGACCCACTAAGATTTGATGCAGAAACCAACAATGAAAAGAACAATCCTTACGCTTATGTTCCCTTCAGTGCTGGTCCAAGAAATTGTGAGAAATTTTGATTTATTTGCATTTTACTAAATCTTAATTTGTTAATTTATCTTTCTAGGCATTGGACAAAAGTTTGCGATGTTGGAAATGAAAAGTATCGTTGCTAAAATAATCAGAAACTTTAAGTTATCAGTCACCAAGGAGAATGAGAAACTGGAATTAATTGCGGAGCTTGTGTTGAGACCAGTGAATGGTGTCAAACTTAGAGTTCAAAAAAGGAACAACGATTGAACAAATCAACAATCAAATTTAATATCCTTGAGGTAATTTAATTCAATACATCGAAGGGTTCATAATTTCAACTAGTCATGGAAACCCGCATTACCTAAGG